GATTTGCAGCGTGGGAGAAGTGAAGATAGCTATACCCTCGGGTGGCTGCTTTTATGTTGCCAGAATAGGGCAATGAGGTAAAAATTCTGCTCCAGAGGTTGTTAGTTAGACACCTCCTAGGTGTTGGCATGCCTGGAACCCTAAAGTTCGCACGATGGGAACGAGCAGGCATATTCTATGAAGCTTCCAGGAGACGTTAGAACTATATAGCCGTACCAGTCTTACGAAGTTCGGATTTATTAGTGCTTGACGTCTACATATAACCTATCCTGAAATATCACATTTTGAGCGATCTTCTGCACTGGTGCGACTACGATCATTGTCTGTAAAATGACTGACCTCACAACGTCCAAAGTCTTCTCGAGTCTGTCAATTTTGAAGTAGTAGACGATCCAGCCTGAGCCACATCGACAACGACCGGCCACCACGGTGTCCTTTGTCTAGCGAAGTCCAGAGGCGCTGAATTCCTTGGATGCCCACTTCCACAATGAATCAATGTGCAGGAAGACGCGCCTTTCAAATATGATAGGTCTCACGTCTACCAGTCGAAAAAATCTGCTGTGATCCATCAGACCCAGCAACATGCAATGTCTGTCATGCAATCATGACAGTTTTGTTATCCAGCCTCGACTGTAGAACGATATGTGTGCATCTGTACGTCATAAGTACCAGTCTAGTCTCACTTCCGCGGTACGATATTCCACGTAGTGTCGCGCACTCATGAACGCTTCCAGTGCTGCTCATCCTCCCAGCTTACCTGGCTCTTCGAGTGAAGGAGTAGTCATCCAAGGAAACACAGCACCCAGTCAAATTACTTGCACTTCTGGAGTATAGGTGTAGATATACATATTTGGGGTACATCGATCGCCCGATACTCTCGCGATGACAGAGCAATCCGGTCGAGGGTACGTTCGCGATGTGATATCGTTGTCAACGTCTTCTCGCATTGAAACTCTTTTGGAGTATCAGTTAAGCTTGTAGGAACGCTCGAAGGTATCATGCAAAGTCTATGAGCATAGAAGGCGCATTTTGTTTCGGTTGACGACGGATTCGGACTCGGAGAGGTTTAATGGTAACGGTGTCAACGGTACCGAAGATGATCCTATTTGCCTAGACGAACAATATGCGCAGAGTAAGCATCTGATCGACGTAGCAAGGGAAGGAGTTCTTAGTCTTGCGGAGTGGCCGGCTGCTAGCGCCTGTCTCAGGCAAGGCAGATCAGAGCCAATTGAGCATGTGTCGGAGAAAACTCGTATCGAGTTTGTAAAGTTAAAGTGTGAAACTGAGCGTTACGCTGGTTTCGACGATACGCGGTTGCAGAAATCGGTGGCGGTTGACCGATTCGACGTCTTCGCCAACGTGTTGTGACTAGTGAAGGAGTTCGTATCGAGATTCGTATCGAAATTTAGGCGCGAACAGAGGCCTGTCATGTTGCCCCGCCTTCGAGATGCTTGAAGATAGGTCTTACGAGTATCGACCTTGTCACAGATGCCTTGGTCCGATCAATTGTTTGTGATATTGGCCATCTGGACATTTCCATCCGTCCAACGCCTGTGTATGTAACCATGACCCACGACGTTTAGCCTTCGAGATAATACTTTAACTCCGTTATGTTTGTGGATCAATGTAGGCACCCGGTCGTAGCCAGATCGCATCCCATGTCACGCGCTTGGATATGGTAGCCGACGGTGTCCTCCTCGGGCGAAGGGTTGTCGGTTATGATCACCGCGATATCTCGGACGTTCGCTGGACTGTGATGCCCATGGATGCGGAAGTTGCGACCAACGCGGAGCTGGAAGGAACGAAGAGGACAGTCACGACCGCGCGCTGTTCGAACATAAACACGGAAGCAACTTTATTCGTTGATACTCCTGTACTATCGATCGAAAGCTTCTTGGTGCGATATACAGCTGGTTGTGTTTCGTAGCACGATCGCGGTCTCGATCGTATATTTCGCGGATAAGCGTGTATGGATGAAAGAGACCTTTGAAAATGCGAGCGAAGGCACAGACAGTGCGGAGTCTCGTGACAGGAGATCGGATCATCGTCGCGTTCGCATTGTGAGGTGTGTTGGCTCCCCAATGATGCTAGAAAGGGTGTTTACCGACGCGGTTGCATAACTGTTGGATCGTCGCGCACCTCGATACGTTACTGCTCAGGTTCGGCGAGGCAATCGTAGTCATCAGCTGCCGGACTGATGGGTTATCCATGAGAGCGTGAGCTTGAGATAGTCACTGCGTACGAGACTTGAGGCTCTGCTGCGTAGGTCGTCACCGGTGGCGAAGGGAGGGGCGTCTCTGGCCGTCTGCGCGAGGAGGGACAGGACGGCGCTGCCGAGGAAGTTCGGTGACAGCTCTTGAAGTAATTGAGCTACGGTGAAGACAAAGAATATTACGACACGAGGATGCAGCACCGTTCAATATTGAACGTTCCAGCAAGCCTTGACAGTTCCACTCACTGCTATGCCCAAGCGCCGCGAGAGGCTAGCGCCATGGAACAATGACAGCGCCGCCATTTCGGATGCTCCTTCGTATCGAATTTGCAGGTCAATGCGAGGGACGAGCTGCTTCGCTGCCACTGGTTGTAGATGGTATTCGGTAGTGATATCAAGCGCGTAGGAACGCCCCTTGTCTGCCGTTGAGGCTAGCCGCAAGGTATCAGGTAACAGATCAGGGAATCTTCGGAACCTGCTATCCGTCCCCATCGTACCGAGTCCCGTGGTCCAGGGTAGGTTCACTCAGATTCAACCCAAAAGCCTTCCAACAAGCAATACCCTGGGTGAGTGAACTGATTGTAATAAGCTGGAATCAGTTCAGGGAGAGGAGAGAGCCCTTTTCGATTGGTGCGATCGCGATGTGCTGTTCTTCCGAAGGGTAGCCACAGTGAGCTTGTGCGCGACAGAGCTTCGCGCCTGTTCGGCGACTTGCCCTCGCTCCGCTTCAGTCGAGGATACTTGTGACGGGAAAAGGTAAACTTCGTGAACCCTAAACCTTCTCAGATTGTTAGAGAGGCGATGTGTAGCATGCCCGTAACGGACCATCATGTCATGATCAGCCAATGGTCGTGTTTCCATTGTCGAATTCGCCCAATCTACACCACGTGGAGAGTGATAACGGTCTCGCTACACCTGATGTTCATTGCTGCATTCTGCGTAACATTACAAATACGAAGACAAACGAGATGTGTATCATTGTTATGTTACTGGCTATTAAGACCGTGACCGTAGCTGACATCTCGACTAGTGCACGAATGCCCTTGCTTGATTGGCGCGGATTCATCGGGAATTGCTGTGTGAAGTCGTGCCATACTCGTGGTACGCATTACCGTGTAGTTCTTAGTACATACGCTTGATTGCCCGTCTCAAAAGGCATGTCTGTGCACTCCGCGGGAGAGGCAACCCTACATCATTCTTCATCAGCAAGAACATGACCAGCCCCACCCCGCCGTACGTTATTTATGAATGTCGTTGCTCCATCTATCGTTATCAGCCAGAATGTCGTGCACACCGGCCTTCATTTTCTCAATCGAGAATGCAAAGCCTTAAGAACCCAAATTTGAGTGCATTTCTGCATTCGTGTACCCGCTCGCGATACAACAATGTACTCAGGCTCCCATTTACAGGTAAGCCGAAAGTCAAGAGCCGCTCATGTATACACGAGTGCCGATCTATTGAAGCTGATGGTAGACAGTTCCGTCGTACATCTGCCCGCTGTTCGGAGGGACGAAGAGTCCATCAGGTGCGTAAAGATATGGCGCTGAATCGTGTCCGATTCCAGAATAAGCCGCTGCTGAAAGATCGGGTGCGTAACTCATGTCAGCAACAGCTGGATGAAATCCTGAAAACCCTGCTTGTCGTACGCCATCTTGTCTAATTCCAGAAACCGGCATCTTGTTGGACGCCCATGGCTTGGACCCAGGTAATGAAAGTCGAACCGCGACAACCTCATAGCAACCAACAGCTACCTGGTGTGCCCGCTCGGCAAGTGAGTCTTCCATGGCATGCAGCCAGCGGATGATTTTGACGCAGTACCCTGCGAGGACGACATTGTCTTGTTGCATCGCGGGCGAATAAGAAAGAGCTAGGAGGAATACAGCAAATGCTTGCATTAAATGATGTACAAGTGTCCACCAAGGTCCGAATTCGTACACGAAGCGAGGCTGGGGTTGATCCGGTAGTAAATCCACCTCCATTTTGGCTGCGTCCACGCAGATCCCTGCCATCCGCCGAGCAAAGCTTGCTGACGCTGCCGCTTCTTTGTGCTGTTTCTCAATCTCACTCAATCCACTCAAACAAGGGCGTGTGAGTAAGATCTTGGCGCTACAGTATTGAAACGCCAACATCGTGCGCTGGCGAAACGCAATATTATCCGACGTGGTCATATTGTCAAAAGGAACTTGGAAGTTGAAGTCGACGGGGAGATTGGCAGCCCAGTCATCGATTCGTCTACCAATTTGTACAATATCCTGTTGAAGGTCGCTCGGGGAACGGATCACTGTTCCGGCCGAGTAAAGCGAAGTCAGGATGCTTTGCGTGGTGATGCACAGCTGCACGACTGCCTTGAAATAAGACCCCGAATTAGCTTCCGTCCCGCCAAAGCCCGGAGATCTACTGGGCTTGCTGCCGCTCATAGGACGATTTTCAGAAAACGGGTCGCTGTGCGCCACGGGAGAGGCAGCTGAGACTATACTGGACCTTCGCAACGCATCTACGAGGTTGACGTCCTCCGACATCTGCTGTTCAGAAAATGGTACTGGCAACGGCACGGAGCAACAAGAATCAACAATCACACTTGGTCGACCAGTGATAATGCTGAGCTGCCGTTCCACGTAGTACAGGCTCCACCAAACACGAATCAACACCTCACGCTTGGCTCCTGAGGCCGATGGATCTTCGTTCCGAACGTGGAGACCGAGTGCAGTTGCAAAGCGGAGCGCAATACCGACAACTACCCATGCTCTGGCTTGTATTAGCATACACGTTCGGGTCCGCGACACAATACCTACCGGCTGACCTGCCCGACCGACAGGTAATAGAAGGCCAGCAGACCAGCCACTTGGATTTGTGGCAAGTCAGGGTGCTGTCCAAGTGTGGATTCGTTCCATGCAAACGCGTGTGCCCTTGCTTGGTATATGAGGTGGTCCCGTTCATCTGCCTGCCAATTGGCCTTGACGAGATGAGAGTATTTCGCCGCGATGGCAAACACCAAGTTCAGTATCGCTTGCCATTTCGAACTCAATCTTGGAGCTGCGCCTTGTCTCAGTGCATCAAAATATTTCCGGCATTGGTCTTGAAATAGTTTTCGTGGAAGAATCGGGAAGGAGTCATGCACTTTCTCCATGTAGACATTCAACAATTGTTCAGCCGCGTCGGCCGTGGGAAGCTCGTACGGGTCGACACGAAACTCTGGATCGATCCTTCGACTGTCGAGGTAGAAGGTGACGGCGCTCACCTGCTCGTTGTTGGCAGAGCGTGCTGACGAGCCTCGTTCGGAAGTTGTTATATGGCTGCATCCTCGTTCCAACAGGAGGAAGCTACGAAGCCACTGAACTTCCGAGTTCGCCCCTAAAAAACCTGTGGCGCGCGCTTGATCGGTCTCATGCAGGTTCTCGTCAACGAGGTCCAACGACGGGGCATTCAGTCTATGTAGTGGTTCGCCCATGTCGGCATCGATCATGTATTCGGATTTAGTCGACTCCTCATCGTTGGTATCGGGATTGGAAACTGTCGGAGTCTGACGAGACTCGGAAATGTCTTCGTCGGCCTGAAGATGCGTTAGTGCCACAATGCAACGATGACGGCAAAGTTTGAGGGTTGGAGGCCTCTGCTGTGTATATCTTGAACCAGCATGAGAGCACTCAGACTTTGGCAGCATCAACTGGCGTGTTCACGAGGGAATCATACAGCTTCGAGCAGTTCTGCTATGCGCGCTTTGTCTTGGTCGTTGGCAAAGGCACGCAGCTTGTTCAGCAGCCCGGCCATGTGCCCGCTTCGTTCGGTTACGCTGGAGTCGTCAGATGACGGTGCCACGAGGCAGGAAAAGATATTGCACGAACGTTTTGAGACGGTCTTTGCGAGGCATTATGTACACGCACTCTCGACCGGTGGTCTCGCAGTGCTTGCATTGCGGAACATCGCCAGTGCATTTGATCTTGTGGGAGCGGCAGGCTGTGCATGCACGACTGACTCTTCTCCGGTCCTTTGAAGATTGCGAGTGATTGATCCTTTGCAGGCGAGGTATCGCGACCTTCCTAGTCGACGGGCCCGGTACGTTGGCAGACATGATTGCGCACGGTCTCTAACAAAGGATGCCCAGGGCCGCGGTCATTGGATCGGGGGTGGTAGGTTGCGTTGGGAGGAGAAAAAAGACACGGGATGGCTCAGCCGGGCAGCATGACGAGGCACGGTCGCGGAAGAGCCAGGCCAATGCTGTATTTTAGTGATGCGGGTTGGGAAAACAAAGCTCGGGAGGTGTTGCTGGGCTTTGCTCGCCAGAGACGATGCTGGTATTATGGCCGGTGACCCACCAACTCGTCAGTACTCGGACGTTCTTACCGTGACCAATTGGCAGCCATGGCCTTTCATCTCTCACACCTACCGCGCTCTCGAGGGCTCCAAGGTAGCACTGGCGCAGCGTTCTCTCCGTCATCTCGTGTTCGCGGATACGATAGGTAACACTGGTGCAAGGGCGCCACTTCCACCCAGGCTCTTTCCGATGCCGCGCTCGCGGGCAACGTATAGACATTCCATGGACCCCGTGTTCGTGCCGTTGGACCTTTGTATGACGTTGTGTGCGACCTGTCCATGTCGAATCCACCTCAGGCAGCACTCCTACAGGAAGCAAGACGAAGTTCTAGATACACTGTGTCACCGTGAATATGCAACGCGCCAGACTCGAACATTCTCGCTGTATCTTGCAGCGACTGTGCTGGTGGGCTGGCGGATTACGTCATTGCCGCGAGCTTGTCCAATGGGAAGCCGCCCCCGGGATTTTCACGGCTGGCCAATGACGAACCGACGCCGCCTTCTCATCAACCCCCAGCAACACTAGCATCGAACGGCAGCTCTTTTGGCGCATGCTCCTGTACTGTCTCTGTTCCTCCGATGGCGAACCCCAGGACTTCGGATTCCCTGATCGTTTGCTGCAACCAGGGTGCCATTGTCGCAGCGCGATTCACATCTGAAGTCGCACGATTCTCACTCTTGCACAGGTTCCCTTTGTCACCTGGCAACTGCCATGCTCGTACATAGTATGTATTGCGGCTATTACTTGCATCCATGGAACGCGATGCGCGACCTGCGCGTCGGATCAACGATTAATAGCCTTCATCGGCGATGCCACCCACATGCCGGAGCACGCTCTGCCTTTCCATGGCGCTTCACGCAATGCAGGGTCGCGGGTTCCGACAGGGAGCGAGATGACCCCCGGCGCAGGACGGCGTCATTGCCACGCGGGAATAGAGTACAGGCCCGCTCTGGATCGAGGTCGCGGCGATGCATCGGCAGACCGTCTCCCGCCGGCTGCACATTGTTGTTTCCCCGCCTCCAAGCGCTTTGTTTCGTTGTCCTTCTCCCGCTGGACATGCTGAGGGGGTTGCTAGGGCTGAGCTACGCAGTCCTAGTTGCGCAGGGTCTATCTGTCGATTGACCTACCAGAGATTAGAAGGAAACTTTCCCTGTCCAATGATAGTGCAGGTTCTAACCTGGGAACCTTCCTTGGAACCTAGGAATGGACTGCCTCACGTGATCCACGCGAACGAGATCCTGCGCCCGGGCATGGACACAGGCACATGCGAGGATTTGTTGCGAAGTTGACGGTCCAGACGCCAGTCTTTTACTACCGTGGTGACACGTTGCGAGCCGGCCGATCGAAGCTTCTGCGAACGTGCCCTGGCGTACTCCAGGGCTCCAGGGCTGTCTGACACTGACACTGGCAGTGTCCGTGCGGATCGTTAGTCATCATGTAACCACAGGAGTGACGAGAACTCAAAGCTTCATGTCGACACCGTTGCGTTGGGTGACGGGATCAAGATCCTGTGTGCATCTATCACAGAGAGGTTGTTCGGAGTATTGCAGTAAATTTGTGCAGTGTTAAGTTACACCATGTATCGGTCGTCCTGCACCATGGCTTCCATCTGCCCTACATAGAAACTAGCGCTGCTTCTCTGATATTTCGCTGCAAGCTACCAGCACAATGTGTTCTGACATTCGTCGTGGCGCTGGACATCGTGCAGAACACTTGTCCAAACACGACACTGTAAAAGTGTCTTGTCGCTGAACCGGTGAAGATTCACTTCGAGGAGCTCCATGCCCGCTCGGATCTCTTGCACGGCTGGTGGCAGTGGACATGATAAGCGCGTCTTGAACGGCTCGCCGAAAAGGGCCTATACCAGCAGCTTTGGTCTTTAGCCCCGCCATCGCAATCCCGAGTCCACCTTGTTGTTGGCTCATATGCCTATGCGATCCGAAAAAGGTACATTCGCCTTGCGCGACGATTGCGTCCCAGATTTTCCGTCTACGATTGGTATGAGGTCCTCCTCTGCCCAACCAAAGTCGTCGCCGCCGAAGCTGTCCTTTACGACTACTTGATTCCTGGACCCTGATTTCCACCTCGGTTTCTCCCCATTCCTTGATCGACCTACACCCATCTCTCTCCATTTCTTCGGCGGCTTGACTCCTAGCTCAACAAGATTTGTCCATATCTGTTCACCACGCTTGTCCCACCTCCGTAACTTGTCCTCCTGTTCTTGATCTGAGGGTCGCCATTTGCTCCTCAAGATGCGCTTGATGGCTTCCGGGGAGACCTGGAAATACTGCGCGAGAACGGGGGTGGTGAACTTTGTCGGCTGAGTCTTGTGTAGATGGCGTATACCTTCCATGGTGTCAGGGGAAAGTTTTTTGCGAGGATTCCACGCCTCTCCGTTTAGCTTTCGTTTCACGGCTTCCTTCTCCACTTGCCATGCCGGGCGCTCTTTCTCTGTTTCGGCTGCACCGTGCACTTCTGGCGACTGATTCGTCGCCCAAACTCTTGTATTGTCATTGAATGCTCCGTATGATTGTAAGCGACGGCGCGCGGTGGAGAAGGGTCGTGACGATGCAGCGTTGCGAGCCGAGTTCGTACTGGGGAGGATATTCGATTCAAGGTCGAAGATCGAGCGAAAGAAGAGACTCAGGGTCGCTCTTGAACAGGCGGGACATTTCATGGCTGGCATGGGGCACGGAAAGGAGCTCAAGAAAAGTTTCGGGAGATCAACGGGTATCCATACGCCAAGAACTGCTACATCACCAGCCACCACAGCCACATTTCTAAAGCGAGACGAGGCTGACGTCACGAAGTGCAGCTTGTGTGGTCCCAGCACGACTTTCACGTTCCTGCTCCAAAGCATTAATTGACATCTCTGATCCATTGGACACATAGAGGGTCATACATGAACAGTGTTGGGCGGGGCGACAATCTTGCATACCGTAGTAAGTTCACACGTGGTCCGGGCTAGTCGGTAGCATCTGACTGGTGACGGTTCGATTCAAAACGCCGAGATGCTTGCGCTTCGGTCGCAGAGTCTGTTTCGCCTCGATTTCTTCATCTCTACTGTCCATTTTGTGAATAATTCCTGGTTTGATTCTGCCTTTGACTCCTATCATGGCCTTGCACAATCCTTTCAGACGGCGGTCTGAGAACACAAGATAGTAAGTTCCAGCGAGTCATGTGGTTAGAGCGCTTCACTGACCGCTCTAAGCTGCTGGGGTTATGAATTTGAATGGACTGAACGTCATCTCACAGAAGAACAAGCCACAGCACTCAAACATTCGTATGATGTGCTAGGAGAAGAATGTCTTGATCGTCTCAATGAGATTTCGCCACCAACCAGCGGAGCGCTTCCGCGGAGAGATGATCTTCCGCGACAGAGTAGTGTGTCAGGCGCAGACAAAGAGCAGAAGGAAGAAATTCCACTTCCACAGCGAGATCTTTACATCTTGCTAAGAGATAATCATAAGTCTGATTCGAAACTTCAAGAGCTCTGGGACGAGGTGAACACCGTTCCGCCATGGGTAGATTGGGTACAAATACAAAGAGGACAGGATGTCTTTTACCGATACGGAGGTCCAGCTCTTACCGGGCTTACCTATCAATCACTGTTAGGAGGCATGGGCGCTGCGCGAGTGGTGGAGACATTGGTACGGACCGGGGGTTTTTCCACCAAGGTAGCGCGACGGAGACTCTTCGAGACGACACAACATATCCTCCAGTGCACAAAGTCGTTGAATTCGATCCAGCCGGGAGGCGCTGGTTGGGCTTCGTCTATACGTGTCCGCCTACTTCATGCTGCTGTCCGGCAACGGATTATGAAGCTCGCAAAGCAGCGACCGAATTATTTCAACCTAGAAGAATGGGGTATCCCCGTGAATGATCTGGATCAGATAGGCACCATAGGTACATTTTGTGCTACTTTGATCTGGTTAAGCTTCCCACGCCAAGGTATCTTCCTACGCGAGCAAGAGAAAAAGGACTACGTCGCACTATGGAGATACATTGGTTACATCATGGGCACGCCCCACGAGCACTTTGAGACCATCGAAAAGGCAAAGACTATCATGGAATCACTCCTCTGGAACGAGGTTCATCCCTCCGATATGTCCAAGGTCCTCGCCAATAACATCATCCACTGTCTCGAGGGCCAACCACCGACATTTGTCTCTCCAGATATGTTGATTGCCAGCGCTCGATGGCTTAATGGCAACGATCTTGCCGACGCATTGGGGTTACCGCGTGTGTCCTGGTACTACTGGTCACTCATGGCCGGCCAGTGCCTCTTCTTCATGGGCGTCTGTTATTTCTACCGCGCTATACCCAGCCTTGATCATGGTCATGTCGAGCGACTGAAGCGCATCTTCTACAATGTCATCGTGAACGCTAACTATGGTCTTGCTGGTGTGGAAACCACGTTTGACTTCAAGCACGTTCCAGAGTATGATACGGTTACGGCTATGGGCAAGCCGAGAGAAATCAAGCTCAAGAGCTCGGGAGTGGAGATGAGGAATCTAAGGGCCTTGGGTATCTTCTTCGGTGTTGTGGGGTTTGGTGCCTGGGTGGCGATTAGGGTTACGTCGAAGTTGCTGAACATGATATTTTAGCACAATGGATACAGGGTAAACTCGGACACCGTTACAGCAGGCATTAACAGAAGCGTCCGAATTTTCTCGGCGCCCGCTGTGTAGGTATTGCATCTGGTTGCGGGTACGTTCACCCTCAACATACAAGTTTTTCTTATCTACGAGCATGTACAAGCTGGGCGCCTTCCGATGCTTCGCAGGTTTACATCACTATGTTGACTTCTTATGAATCTGATATGAGGCCACGGACGCGTATGCGGGCCATGCGTTGTTTCTTTCACTGGCGGTCACAATGAACAACCGCGGGTCACTACAGTATTTCTCACTAACCCGCCTTCACCTCCGCGAGCCCTTTGTAAAGCCTGAACTACTTCAAGGTCTTCGCACCTGCTTGCTCTAAAACAGCGGACTTGCCACGATCAATCAACTTCGTGAGTCAGAACCAGTGCAACCGCCATTATGCACCTACCACCAGATCAGAAAGATTATGATACCTTCGGCGTAGATCTACGCACCAGCGTTCTCTTCGATCGTCATGGTGCTGTATGCGGCTGCCCGCAATTCTGGTTTTATTCCACCAACGCACAGAACGCCGACTCGCCAGTTTCTGCCCAAGCTCTACACTATGACCTGTGTTCGGGATGTCGGTACTCAGGGTGTCAGTGTCCTTTCCCATATGCGCCTGTCTCAGGAGCCACAGCCAGGGAAACCGCCACGATTACAAACCTACCAAGTCACACAAACAACACGCCCCGTCGTCCGAAATTCATCGCCGAGCCTCTCTCAGCGCCTAGCCGGCAGTGCAAAGAGACGTGCATCTTCTGGTATCATGGCACGTGCCGTCGCGGTGCGGACTGTCACCTCACTCACGAATTGAATCACAACTGGCCAATCTCCCGTCCTCCGGGGTATACCCATGATCGCAGCCGTTGCGAGCTTAAGTTCTGTCCATTCCGTACTGACATGACGGAGATGATGCAGCGGTACTATTCCACTGCGCGTGTTGGCGAGAGGCTTGAGGATGAAGTGGACGTTGACCAAGACACATTCACCGTAGCAGGCGAGAAAACTGATTCGGAGAGTAATGAGACATCTGAGGACCAGAGATCGACTGATTCGGACTCTAGTTCGGACAGCAGCGAGGTGGAGGACGACGGATCTGGGGATGACTCTGTGGCTCACAGTACGCCGGCTCCGTCGAACCATACAAAGGAAGCCATCCCTTCTTCATTGTCTGCAACACCACAACATGCCTCACTACAAGGTCTCGAGCATCTGAAGCCTGTTATGTCGCAATTAAGCCATATCAGTGCCGATGCTGGCAAAGAAGAATACCAAGTACCAAATCCAGCGACTGTCTACGCCAGCAAGGAGCAACCCAACGCTGATCCAGTGGTCAGAAATCCAGGGCAAGGCTTGCGCAAGCGCATTCAGAAGAAGAGGAAGAAGAGCCGGGCTCGTCGTACAAAAATGCTGGCTGAGTTGCAAGCACGCCAGGCAGAAGACAATGCTGTCATCAGCGATGTCCCGCGGCCTGTTACGGTTGACATTGTGGCAACATCAAGGTCCTCAGTCATTCCTTCGCCACCAGGATTACCACGGGTTTCTCTTCCTACTACAACATCTATTAGCCACGCCGGGACACAGCGGCGCAAGCGCAAAGTATCTGGTCAAGACCACAGCGTGTATATTGATATCGGACCCACCAAGAAGAGACGTTAGCATGAGAAGGAGAAGGAGAAGGCGGAAGAGCTATTAGCTATGCAAAGGCACCATCTTGCTTAAAAACTTGGAGCACTTGAGCCGTCCCTCTCAACGATCGGATCGCATACCACCATCCCACGAATCGCAAAATGGGTACGTAATGCCCGGGTTGCGGCATCCCCGTCTCAGCTGACTTGATCCTTCGCGTTTAGGTCTTCGCAGACCAAGTTCTCTGCCTTACCGTCTAGCCCGACTCGCGTCGCCGCAAACTCCGCGTGAATAGCTTGGTAACTGCTTCTTCCGGTATCACCAGGGGGTACTGTCGACCTAATTGCCTGCGGAATGGTTGTACTCCTATCTGTAGATTTCTGCACGAGCTGGTGCCTGGACAGAAAGTCAATTTGCCAGTAGTTGTCAATCATGACGATCATTGTCCGCTGCATCTTTCTCCAGTAGCGTCTGCAAGGCATAGGAGGGGTTAGAAGCTCAGGGATTACGGGTTTACTTGAGGAAGGCCAAAAATCTGCGGTGGCTAAGAAGTACTACGTTCAGAGAACAGACACTGCATTTTGCACCCTCCCCATAGCTCAGTCCTTTTTGGCATTCCAGCTTTTCGTCAACTACGTAGATGCATAGCGCGAAACGGGTATAATCACAACTCGTGTTCAGGTCTACTCACCAGACATACGGCTTATTTTCATAAGTCCAAAACGTCCCGCTATGCTGTATTCCTTTACTCTGAATTACATCTACCATCTTCGTCACGCTCTCTTCGGGCGTAATGATCCCCTGCACATCCCAACTCACATTAATATTTGCCATGTCCCTATCTCAAGGTCAGTCACTCACCCAGCACCCCCCCCCACCCTACCGGAATTGAACTTACGTTGCCACCTCACCCGGATGCATTGCTAATATTATGGTATCATCGTCCTTGCGCTTGAGTTCGGCAGCCATGTGCCGTATCGCCATGTTGAGGGCAGCTTTGGAGGCGGCGTAGGCGGCGAAGCCGTCTTCCATCTCGCGGAAGTTGCCGTGGGAGCCACTGTCCGACGACATGAAGGTTATGGTGCCGATGGGAATGCTTGTTTGGAGGAGCTTTTGTGCGCAGATGATGGGGCCGATGGTGTTGGTGTGCAGGTGGAAGGCGAATTCGTCGAAGGATCTGGTGTCCATCAGCATTGGTGGATCAGGAAGGGAAACGAGTTGGCATGTTATAGTCAATGGCAAGGCCATGTTTCCAGGGCGTGACTTGACATGGTGGATCAAGGCATCATGTGAAGTTGCTGAAGAAGGATCGAGGTACGTACAGCTCAGTCGCTCTCTACCAACATCAGCGCAGCCCTTGTATCATTAAGCGCGCGTCTCTTACATTGGGGTATCGCAGGACACCGGCGTTGATGACTACATAATCTATTTTGAGGTTGCGGATGCCCATGAGCTGGCCGACGAATTTCTGCGTTTGATGGTGGTCAGTCGACTGCCCACGGCGCCTCTGACGTAACCAAACAAGAAGCACGCGTGCAGGTGTTTGCAACGTACGATGATGCTATCTTCACTTAGGACGTCACATATATACATCTGACAGCGGCCATGATCGCTCCCAGCCTGGCCCCACAGCGCAGACGCATGCGACGCCCAGGGCTCGCGCACCGTGGCTATGATTCGCTCGCCGCGCTGGAGCAGCTGGCGCACGAATTCGAGGCCGATGCCTCTGCTCGCACCGAGTATGAGCCAGGTAGTGGATTCGCGATCTGCGTACAAGACGTCGGGGATCTGATTCATGACCGCGTGTGTGGCGCAAGAGGCTGGTGCAGCAGAGCGAGCTGCAGACCGAGACCGAGGTTGTTGGTACGTGGGATGCGGTACTCGAACTTGGAGGGATGTAGTTGGCCGGGTGCTAACCGAGCGCAAAGGGTGAGTAACCGGTCACGAGACGGCGGAGCAGCCCTGGAGCATTGTCATGATGGCGTACCGCAAGAGCCATGACCTGTTCTGCTGAGCTGTCATTGTGTGCGCACGACAGACGACGGCCAGCCAGCAACGGCCACAAGGAGCGCTCATTTCCGCCAGCCCACGCCCCGGCTTCGCCCGAGCCACTTTTGTCGATTTCTTTCAGCTGCATCGCCATTGGTTGCTACGGGGCCCGCTCGAGCCCTTCTGCGCGGCCTAGTGCCAAGCCGGTGACGCTCAAAAACTCTCTCCTGCTTTCCCATCATCAGCTTTTTTACTTCCCATCTCGCAAGCCAGCCTCCTCGACCTCCACTCCTCCGCTCCATTACTGCACCAACCCAACAGCTACTTCAGCTTCCTCTCTTTATTCACAATGGGCTTCGAACAGGGTATGTGCGCACATCTGCTGCCAAACGTCATCCAGCTGCTCGCATCGCCACGTTTCTATCCCAGACATTGAGCCATCGCGTCGCATCGGATACTGCTTTGAGGAGCGAGCATAGCCTGAGGACGCAATCCCAGGCTTGCTTGCCAACTTCCGTGGTCCCCATGGCCATGTGGCGGCTTTGCGCTCAACTTGCGGGAGAGACGGGCGCAACCGAGCTCGATCTTCATCAAGACCATTGCTGACGTATCTTCACAGGCGATGCTAAGAAGGGTGCCAACCTCTTCAAGGTACGACAGACACCAAAGTGCCGTCAGTGGTATCCGAAATTAACGTCCGGCAGACCCGATGCGCTCAATGCCACACCCTGAAGGAGGGTGAGGGCAACAAGATCGGCCCCAACCTACACGGTCTCTTCGGCCGCAAGTCTGGCCAGGTCGAGGGTTTCTCGTACACCGACGCCAACAAGCAGAAGGGCGTTGAGTGGGGCAACGACACCCTGGTAAGTTCACTTCGGACGTGCGCCCAGCAAGTTGACGGCTAATCCCGCCCAGTTCGAGTACCTCGAGAACCCCAAGAAGTACATTCCCGGTACCAAGATGGCCTTCGGTGGTCTCAAGAAGCCCAAGGATCGAAACGACCTCATCACCTTCCTCCAGAACGAGACAAAGTAAACGCAGTGCGCGTACGGCTGTTCTCCTTCGATTCTCCCTTCGGCATGGTCCTCTAATTCCCTCTGGTCGAAAAGCTTTTTGTTCCGACATGTACCATCAGCAGACATGATAGACGTACGATTAAGGCGGTGGTGCGGTGCAGTGCAGTTGTTTGTCTTGTATACATGTAATATATATGTGGTGTTCTGCGCAAGACGGTTTCTCTTATAGCTGCAGCATGGGACTGGTCAGGACTTGGCCGCACTCGAAATACCAATTCTCCTCCTCTTCCAACACGAGCGTTTTTCTGCGTGATCAACATGCATCTTCCGTTGATCGACACGTGCATCACAGACACCAAGCATGTCCCCTGAATTGACCAGACAGCGTTGGAGCATTCGGTTGACAACGTGTTCCTGATGGACGAGACCATGGTATCAGCGGCCAATGCCCAGGTGCCCAGGTGGCTGCGCTGTCACGTGGCGCTCCTCACGTGGGTAATTCGGAGCTGTGGAAGATTTCGTCGCCAGATGTTGATTCCCGAGGATGACCGGAAAGCGACAGCTCTGTTCGCTTGCCGATTGCATCCCTGCAGTTGTATTGAGCCTTGTAGACAGAGAGGCACAACCATAGACGTGAAGGACCAAATTACATTACAAGCTTCAATCGCGTCAGCTACGCGGGATTGAGGGTATCACGCGCGCACCCGCTGCTTTTTCTCTCCACGTGAAAGCTTCCGGCGCGGGAGACTGGAGGCTCAAAGTGTGGGGAGCGTTGGCTGCACCATCCGTCTCCGCCGGCAGACCAATTGCCGTTCGCGTCACCAACACCTAACATCTTGCTCGTTGCTCTCGTGTCTCATTCCTTTAGTTCTGTCCATTCAGTGTAATTCGCCAATCGACCACTCCGCAACGCGTGGTACCTCGGTCCAACATCTCATTGAGTCAAGCGTCATAGCGGGGCGGAAGTGCTTCGGCGTTTACCGCTCGTGCGCCCTCTGTCGCATGCTTCTTTGATACATCGATTGAGCCTCACCTACACCTTGGCGGACACGCAGCGCAGCAGGCCGGGTGGCCTTTTTAGCTTGACATCATGTCGTGGAAACGGACAGAGAGGCTGATGGACACCATCAAGGTGCGGCATCGCTTCTTTCCAATCGTCCCATGTCCCACATGCTAACAGCAGCAGCACTACAGCAACTTTCCGGCGACCAGTGTGTATATTGAAACCGTAACCACGAATCCTTATTAACCTGTACTTAGGTGTATCCCTCCGCCAGATGGTGCAGTTTGGTGAGAAACCTTCCACGGGGACCCTCTTCCGCGCGTCACAATTCCTCTCCGAAGAGCTACCCATACGACTTGCCCACCGCGTGCAAGAGCTCCACGAGCTTCCCGATGGCCTCAATGAGATGCCTTCAATATGCAGAGTGCGCGACTGGTACGCACAGTCATTCGATGTACGTGCTAGGCTGCTCCTTTACAACACTCTTGACTCATCTGATCTACCACAGGAGCTTACCAACTTGTCTCGACCGAACATCACCTCCGAAGTAAAGAATCGGCTATTAAAACCAGCGAAGAAGACCGAGTTGACGTCCAAGGGCACGCAAAACCCAAGCATCAAGCAAGGCCAGTACAGGTCGGCGCCCGAGAATGGCAGTGGCAGTAGCAACGGCAACGGCAACGCCCACGCCAACACCAACGGCAGGGAAGTGAAGGGCGCCGCAACCGCGCGAAGATACTACGCCGCCGCCGACGACGGTCAGGACTGGCCCATCGAGCTAGCCGCCTACAACACAAAGTTTGCGGAGACGCTCGAGAAGATCAAGCGGCGGCACGACAGCGTCGTCACCACAGTCGCACAGGGCATCTTGGAATGGAAGCGCAAGAAGCAGCGCATGCAGATCGACCACAACATCCAAGCGTTCCTCGACCGCTTCTACATGAGCCGCATTGGAATCCGCATGCTGATCGGTCAGCACATCGCACTTACCGATCAGCGCCAGCGTTCCGATCCTAATTACGTTGGTATTATCTGCACCAAGACCAACGTCAGAGAGCTTGCGCAGGAGGCAATTGAGAATGCGCGCTTCGTGTGCGAAGACCACTATGGCTTGTTCGAGGCGCCCAAGGTCCAGCTTGTGTGCAACCCCGACATCAGCTTCATGTACGTCCCCGGCCACTTGTCGCACATGCTTTTCGAGACGCTCAAGAACTCTCTGCGCGCGGTGGTGGAAACACGAGGGCAAGACAAAGAGGACTTCCCGGTGACAAAGGTCATCGTCGCCGAGGGTCAGGAGGACATTACCATCAAGATCACGGATGAAGGAGGCGGCATCCCGCGGTCAGCAATCCCCCTCGTGTGGACGTACATGTACACGACTGTGGACCAGACGCCGAGCCTGGACCCTGACTTTAACAAGAGTGACTTCAAGGCGCCCATGGCAGGCTTTGGCTACGGTCTACCTATCTCACGGCTATACGCGAGGTACTTTGGCGGCGATCTAAAGCTTATTAGCATGGAAGGGTGAGTCTAATCCCGCTCCTCCAGCTTCACACTAACTAACAATTTTCACAGCTATGGCACAGATGTTTACTTGCACCTCAACCGTCTTTCCTCATCCTCCGAACCTCTCCAATAGCAATTACCAGTCAGGAGAGACGAGTGGACATCTTCGGAGATGATCCGATCCTCTCAAGGACGGGCACAAGGTAATCGGTCTATGCGGCTGAAGCTCAACGGGCAGGTGGGCATGGAGGTTAGTGAGAGGAGGCAGGTCGGCGATGCGGAGGAGATGTTTTTGGAGAAAGGGCCGGGCGCGCCTTGGTGGCGGAATGTGGGGATGGAGGAGGGGATGTAGATCTTTGTGTGCTTTGCAGAAGGGCTGAAAAGGAAAAGACAGAAATAGATGCTGAGTGTGAGGGCATTCTTGTGTCTATATACGAGCATTTGATGGTGGGGATTCTAAGATTCGGCTTGGAAGCATGGAGTAAAACGGTACACTTGTGTATATGGGCACACTTAATGTTAGTTGCGACGCAACGTTTTGCTTGGGTAGGTAGAATGAAAAGAAACAAACAAGAAGCCGCGGATATGCAGTCAGAGATCAATGCGGTCCAGATTGGATCTATTACTCAAAGCTCAGGTCTGCATCTTTGGTACTTCCCCGTCCATTCGGTCCAATTGTTACAGAACTAGGACAAAGGTTTAGGGGCTGCTTACCCCGGAGCAACACTGCACCGGATTTTCCGATGAACCGCTATACTTCGATGATATCTCGCTATCATATGTTTTACCCATGCAAGGACTCAATATGGTATATCTACATCGCTCTCTTCTCTGAACCGCCCTTCCCTGCTCTGCTCTGCCCTGCCCTCTCCCTCCTCAAAGCCAAACCCCCAACCAGCCCACCAGCACCATTCCAACCCACAAGATGCGCTCAATCCAGGCCTCCCTCGCCGTTCCACCAGAATGCTTCCCCACCGTCGGCAACGGCGCCCCATTTGCCGTCCCAGCAGCACCACTAGGCAGCCCGCCCGAGCTTCTAACAAGAGTGACGATCGCCGTCACTGGCTGCATCGCGCTCGTACTACCCTGTATGATGGCAGCTGTGCCAGCCGCTTCCAGACTAACCACACTGCCCGACACCGTGACCGCCGGCCCCCCAGGCACAAGCGTCGTTCCCGGCGCAAGACTATAATAACCCGCGCGGTTGGCGGTGTACACGTGTCCCCAAAGGGTCAGCGGTGCAGCAGAGCTGGTGGTGACAAGAGTGCCGTAGGAAGGGTGTAGGATTGTGGTTTGTCCGTTTATGACGAGGGCTGTGGCGCTGCCATCGAGGGAGTAGGTTGTTCCCGACATGGTTATAGGTGGAGCACCGGGGCGTAAGGACTGCCCAGGAGACAGCACGTAGCCTTCAGGAAGGAGTATGTTTGGGTCGGACACTATGGGTGGGAGGGGGTTATGACTGCCCCGTTGGCGAGGGTGATGGGGAGGAGGACGGGGGCGTCTGTGATAAGGGCATCGGCAGGGGCGAGTGGAACGATTTGGGTGCCGGCGAGGACAAGCTCCGTGCGTGAAGCATCTGTTCGGATGGCGACAGGCGTGTTGGATATTGTGACTGTTCGGCCGGGCGCGACGGTCGTGTCGCCGACGATGAAGTTGCCGCCTGAGGGCGCGGGGTTGACGACGAAGGGTGAGTCTCCGATAGTGATGGTAGCTACGGGCCGGTTGTAGGGCGGCCTTAGGGTTACTGTCTGCGTGCCGCCGATAACGACTTTGGTTTGTCCAATAGATGTGTGGACCGCGACAGGCGTGCCTCCCACGGTAACAGTTTGGCCAGGCTTCACTGTCGTGGAATCATCGATGATGAAATCACCGCCCGACGAGCCTGGTCGGACGAGAACATTCGAAGGGCCAGCCGGGAGTGTTATGATTGGTGGTAAGACCGGAAGGCTACTCGCTTTTGTCTCTACCTCCTGTGCAGGCGGAACGTTGATTGGAAACGAAGGAATGGTCTCCCAGCCGGTCGCTGTGATCTCGACAATGGGAGAGCATCCGCGGCAGGGAAGGGTTATTGTGAAGTTGGGTTCTGGGATCTCGTGGTGGCCATCGGGATCGCCGGGATTGGTACTCGGCGCTGGCACGGGACGAAGGCCTTCCTGTGTGGAGGTCATACCCGTTGGTAGCATTGTGGGGACGACATTGGTGGCGCTGACGGGGATTGTCCCGTTGTTGATTGTAGAAAATGTATTGAAGGGCGAGGAAATTGTATTAAAGGTAGTTGATTGCGGTATAGATGAGATTGGTGCGGAGGGTATCAATTCTGTGTGTGCTGGAGATGTAGCCTTTGATGGTACTGTGCTCTCAGATATTATAGTAGGAGGCGCTGCTGATAACGGCTCGCCTGGTAGAGAAAGCGCTGTTGATATTATGCTGGAAGATCGAGGTGCCGATGGTATGAGACCTGTAGGGAAACGTGCAACGTTAGGCGGCTCTGACGGTATTATGCTCGAGGTTCGAGGTGCCGACGGTATAAGGCCTGTAGGAAACTTGGTCGAAGTTTTGAGTGCAGAAGCTAAAGGAGCGGTTCCTAGCACGGGTAACGCCTAATTAGAACCTACATTCGCAGGAATGATATTGGGTGGGAGGCTACGTACGAGGAACCGATGGTGTTATAGTGATGCCGCTGAGTGCTATCATACTTTCTTCCGATATAGCCGTTACAGCTATTTGGTCACCTACAACTAGGTGTCAGTAAGAAGCACAGAAGTTCTTGTGGAGCACAATCATAAAGCGCTGGTCTAGGGACTCACCCGCTTGTGCCAGTGTAGCAGCAACATACATGTATGTTGTGTAACCAATACACAACGTCCGACATAGATGCGATCTCGCGGCTCGTTTGCGATGAGCACTTGACATGGCGATAGCGACTGCGACGATCAAGAAGAGCGACAAAAAGGCCGAGGGATAGCATCAACAGAAGGAGGAACACGCAAATTCGCTAGCCATATAGGAGGCAGGACGCTGCCTCTACCCAATCACTTGGTCATATCTTGTATCTGGTCCGCAATCAATTTTCGTTCTAGAAAAGCGCTCCGCGTCTCGCGTATCAACTTGCGCAATTACGTCCTCACGGCTGATGAGAGCACCAGGTTTCCGAGCTAGCGCGACGCTTTCTGCATATATTGATGTTGATTAGACAGGTACCAAGCTTTCGAGGCATCATTCGTGCCGATGGGAGGTGCGCGGAAGAAATGGTAGGCGAAGATATGATAGGTCACACTAGAAAAGGCGAACTCAACCTTCCAGTGGTTGTGTAAGCGCACCTCTTGCCACAGGGTGCTATAACGTGCAGCGCCGGTAAAGATGTGGTTGGGTGGGCGAACACGAGAATGTGCGGCAAAGTGCATGATGTGGTGGTCCGCGGCGGATGCGACGATACAGTTGTGTAACTTGCGGATTGGAGTTATACCTTCAGTGAGGCTGTATTGTAGGATGTACGACCTTTGTTATCACCAAGCAGAGAGATCTTCTTCGAACCAGAGCGTCGAAGCAACCGATTGACGTATGCGGCGTATGCGGGGATCGTATGCATGGTGTTGGGAGGTTTGCCGTGGTCGGGCGTCCGGACCGCAACCGACAGGGACAATCAGCCGGTACAAGGTAGGACGTCGCACAGGCTAAGCGTCCCGAGACAGGGCTGGAAGGTGTGCACGTGGTGGCACTTGTGTGTGATTTCGAAAGCGGTGCAGCACCCATTGTTAATAGTTGAGTGTTGTAGCAACGTTGGAACGAGCTGCGGGCGAAACGGGTCGACGGGATTGATTTCCTGTTCCGAAGGCGCTAGTATGAGCTACCTTCAAAGAGCTAAGACTTCTTCACGCTCTGCCCGAACGATATATATCATCATTGTCACCCTAAAAACATGGGGCATGAGTACATCTTGCATTGCGATGGCTCACTATTTGCAACTTTGCGACGGAAAGTCAACACACTAGAAACAGAACAGCACCAAGCACGACACTCTCTAACAATTCAACAAATCGTGCCGAATCCACGCAGTATTGAGGGTCTGATCATTCGTATGCCCGAAGTTCAGAATTGAGAAGGAATCGAGGGCTTCCAGAGTGTCTTGAAAAGATTGATCATGTCCGAGCTCAGCTCCTGGGGCTGCTCATAGCCTGGAAAATGACCTCCCCGCGGATGTTGCTGCCATCCCACGATATTGAAGTCCTTCTCCGCCCAACTTCGCGGTACCATGAATACCTCCCTTGCAAAAGCACTCACTCCGGTAGGCACCTTTACGAACCTTTCCGTACCAGGTGGAATCTCACCCGACGTCGCTAGCGACAAATTTTCAAAGTACATCTGAAAGGCGGTCGTTGGGCCTGGGAAATAATGCAGTAGTGTCCACGTGATTATCTCATCCCTAGTCCATGGATAGCCGTCGGACCTAACGGTGGGGGGTACAAAGTCAGTGTAATGTTCAATTCAAAAGAATGGGCCGAAGGAGGTATGAATCCGCTTGAGAGTTTCAGACATTTGTGACAGCTGAGGCATCCACTTTGTACCCGAACTTACCACATCTGAAGTTTATCGGCCATCCAGGCAAGCATGCCCACAGGAGAGTCGTGCATAGCGAAGCCTAGGGTGCGCGGTTTTGTGCTCTGTATCTGGCCGTAGCCGGCTTGCCCTTTCTGGAACCAATTCATTATCTCCAGAGAGCGCTTCTCGAAGTCGGAATACTCTAGCTTGTTGCCGTCCTCAGGAGGCTTGACGAAAACCTAGCGACAGCCTATGTCAATCGACCACTCTGCGAGAAAAGACAGACTTACGTTGGTAAGATGGACTGACTGTATGTTTTCTGGGTGAAGTCGAACCATGGATGATGCTATCATCGCTCCCCAGTCCCCGCCCGCCACGACATATTGCTCGTAGCCTAGTCCGGTCATGAGTCGATGCAGCAGCTCTGCTGAATGCCAGTTCTTGAACCCTTGCTTGGTGGTGTGCGACGAAAAGCCAAACCCAGGGAGAGAAGGTGCTACGACATGATGACCTGCAGATCGAAGCGGCTCAAGTATTTTTGTTACTTCTGTAAAGTTTCCTGGCCATCCGTGCAGATAGATCAACGGAATCCCATCTTCTCCCTCGGAACGTTCGTGGATGAAATGGATGTCGAAGAGCCCCCACTCTTCCAACTCGATAGTGACTTTGAACTGAGAGAATTCGTTGAGTTTGAGTTGCTCGAGTTCCCAATTGTATTCTTCGAGCCAGTATTTGACCACCTCTTCGATGAAACCTACAGTAATGCCGTTGTCTTCTCCGCAGGTACTTTCGATATTGCCAGTTGGAAGGCGAACTAGCTGCAACTTTTTCTTCAGAAGTTCTAGTTCTTCCTCGGCGATATCAACCTGTCATGAGTCTTAGTCACTGCTTTGGCTGAATCGAAAGGCCGTCAGATACACCTGACTGACCTTGAAGGGCTTTGGATGAAGAGCAGGCATTTGTAGTGAGTAGCTGAAGATGTAAATGCGCAGACTGTGTTGTTGTGTGAGAAGTTGTTATGTGGCTCGTCATGCGGGCAGGCGCCGATCGTCACGAGAGTAAGCACCATCGTGGCACTACCCCGCTAGAACACGTGGTTTTCGTAAATTCAACACAGTCTTTGTAGATGAATCTTTTCAGACTGATATGAGTACTCGGAAGGTGGCAGACGGTCGTGTACACTTAGCTGGCAGCTCGTTGTGGAGTAAGCCTAAATAGGTAGCGCCCGAACCCGCCCGGAAGCCAATCGTCGCTGCTGCTTACGCCAGTGGTGGTCTGCGGGGTTTCCAACCGACCAGCCAAAATGGTAGTCAAGGTCTTCCATGGTGCAGTCGTCCACTCTATCAGCCTAGGAGAACTCGAGATTGTGGAGAATGGAACGCTTGTTGTTGACGCAGCCGGTGTGATAGTCGCATTCGAAAGGTCAGGAAATCAAGAGCTATCCATCCCGGAGGACCCCCAAGTACACCATCTGGAGCCAGGAGAATTCCTCATTCCTGGCTTCGTCGACACGCACAACCACGCGCCGCAGTGGCCGATGCGCGGCTTAGGGCAAGGCCTACATATCCTTGAATGGTTGAATCAAGTCACCTTTCCCATCGAAGCGCGTAAGCAAACCACCGAATTCAGCATGGGCATGTCTGTATCCAACAAAGATCATTGAGACCCGGATGAGGTATCCGTCCACTCTGTCTCGACTCACACTAACTTTGTGCTCGTGCGTCAGGCTTCGCCGATGCCACTTACGCTCGCAGGACGTACGAGAACACGGTCTCTGACTTCCTCAGACAAGGCATCACTACAGCATCGTATTACGGCTCGCGGCATGCAGAGGCGACGTGTATTTTGGCCGAGATATGTCTTGAGAAAGGGCAGCGCGCCTTTGTCGGCAAGTGAGTTGACCATGGGATCGAGACCTGTGTTACCTCGGGATACACAATACCTGGTCACATGTACCGTTGGATTGTACCCTGGTGTTACCTCAGGATAAGCTATCCAACAATGGCTAACCTTTGCCTAGGTGTAACATGGACCGCAATGCCCCCGAGTATATCTGCGAGCAAAGCGCCGACGTCTCTTTGCGCGAAACCCAGGATTGCGTTGCGCACATTCGAAAACTGCCAGGCTGTGCCGAACCGAAACATGCATTGGTCAAGCCCGTTTTGACTCCTCGCTTCGCCATTTGCTGTACTTCGAAACTTCTCTGCGGCCTCGGGAATATGATGAAGAAAGACAAAGACCTGGCAATGCAGACGCACTTCAACGAAGCGCAACAGGAAATCGACGCTACCAGGGGGCTATTTCCAGTCCTCGCTGCAAAAAGTGAGGCCGATCTATATGAAAGCTTTGGCCTTTTGTGTCCAAGATCTGTTCTTGCACACTGCACCATCATGACCGATTACGACATGGAAAGGGTGAAGGCGCTTCAATGCGGCGTAGCTCACTGTCCTATTGCAAACATGACAGTCGGTGGTGGTTTCATGGTCGCTCCCGTACGAGATTTCCTGCGACGCGGCATCAAGGTTGGACTTGGCACTGACAGCGGTGGTGGATGGGCCTCACAAATGCTCGCAGTCATTCGCCAGGTAAGCCGACCATTCAGTACGAAGCGGATGTGTCTTTTTGGCCTAAGAAGTTTTCTTCCTTGCGTGGATGAAGCATACACGGGATTCTGTGTTGACTCACACTAACTTTCTACCCGCACCTTAGGCAATGATCGCTTCCAACGCACGAGAAGGTACGTAATGTCGGGGTACAATGTGGGCGTTCATGCTGGGCGATGGTCTAAGACTCCAGGCCTTACACCTCTAAATCTGAGATCTTCAGACATTAGTAGCTGGCTAGAACACCTCCTTCACCCAATTCCCTCATCTGTAGAATCACACTGACTTTGTAACACCACCTTTAGTCATGTCTCAGGGCGAGGACAAAGGTCTTTCGTTAGAGGAAGTATTCTACCTTGCGACTCTCGGAGGTGCACAGGTCATGTGTCTCGATGATAGCATTGGCAATTTCCAGGTTGGGAAGCAGTTCGACGCGTCGTGGATATCGACCACGACAGGTTTACAATCAGCAATGACACCGCGTGAGGAAGGAGACTCGTTTCGGACGATCTTTGAGAAGTACATCATGTCAGGTGACGACCGCAACATAGCACATGTTTATGTGCGTGGTCGTAGGGTGGCGGGATCCCATCAGGAGTTGCGGGAAGTGGAGGGTTGTAAGAGGGAATGAATTTGAATTGTGCGGAAAAGCACTAAGCTTGAAACGCACTGTCACTTCACTCTCACCAGACTGGCAGATACCAAATAATGCACATCTAAACATGGAATTTCGTTCCATATCACCCCTATCCTGCGGAAATAGCAGCGTCAACAACTCTACTGGGCCTATCCAACATTCTCCCCCTCTCATCAGTCACCCTGACCATACCCGGACTGACAACCGTGCCTCTCCTCCCGACTTCTTCCCACACCCACTCATACAGATACGGCTGCCCAAACAACCACAGACTTAGATCCAACGCATTATTTATAACGTCCACCAGATTCTCGTCTTTGTCTTGGTCGGCGTAGGCGGGGTTCGCCCAGGGGAAGAAGGTCAGCGCGAAGTGCTCGGCTGCTTCGCGGATGTCGGATTGACGAGATTGGAGGGACGAGGTGGGAGGTGCATGGAGGTGCGCGGCGAGGCGCTTGTAAAGGATGTAGGCGGCTTGATCGTCTGTTTTAGGTATATGTCAGTAGGTGGAGGGCAATATTTAGGTGGGGATATGGGTTAACCAACCTGGTGACTCGAACGAGCGCTCGTTCTGCCTGAGGCCCGCAACCTCCGCAGGGAATAAAGTTGATTGATGTTCAGCTTCCGGCGCTACAATGTGCAAGATGTAGCCTACAAGAGCGTGCTTTATTGCTGTGGTAGGGAAAGAAGAGTGCTCCAGTTCCTCGGCAAGATTCATCGATGAATCGCCAAATTTCTTGAGGTCGTTCTGCATGGTCGGCGTCAACGTTGCGTGCACGTCGCGATAAAAGGCGTTCACATGTTGAAGAGTCTGATCGAACAATGCGGTGACTTTGTTCTGGACCGTTTGCTCGTCTGCGGCCGGCGGTAGCACACCAGCTAGGAAGTCTGAAGAATGTGACAAATCAGAGAGATCGATGCTATGTTTCAATGTGGGCATCGCAGCCGCGAGGATAGGCGGTGGACCGACTTGTGAGACCTGGACGTATGAGGGTTGGTCTCCCTTCGTTATGAAATTCGTAGACGACTCGCTGTGACCATGCTTCGACGGTCTCCGGCGCTTGAACAGCATGAAAGCAGCAAAGAATGCAATAGCCGCGCCAACGATAGCTGTGGCAATCGCAATGCCCGCTACAGCTCCTGGTGACACACCTCCTCCGCCTGATCCACCGTTGCCATCCGCATACCCTGCAGCAAGACTCGGTACAGCCTTGGCCGCATCGGTGTTCGTTTCTCTTGTGCTGGTCGATTCAGTCGTCGGCTCTGATGTTGCTGTTACTATCGCGAATGTATGTCGTGTCGAACTTCGTCCTGACTCTACTGGCTGCGTTGCATCTGGCTGTGTCTTGTCGTCCGTCTGAGACGGCTTTCCGTCGTCGTCTTCGGTGCGCGACGTCCTCGTAGTCCTCGGTTTGCTCTCTCCCCCTGAAGCAGACGTCGTGAAGAACCCAATTGTCTCCGGAGCATCAGCACCAGGCGTCCCTGCTGCGATTGATACCATCAAACAGGTAGCAGGATCCGTATAACACGTGTAAACACTCATCTTTCGCAGCGCATATTCAGCCCCCAAAGCTCACAATTCAACCAAAGCGTCAACGTCAACGTCGCGAACTCGGAAACATCGAAGAGAGAGACCATAGAAAAGTGAGGAGACAAGTATCCACACGCAGGTGCGCCCACCCACAGCTGATCGCACGCCGTACAATCCTTCGTGCGCGGTCCCTGCGGCTGAGCTGCTCCTAAGCCTCGCTGATGCTCCGCATTGCGCATACTAGCACCCCAGCTTTCCGCCCCAAGTGCGGACTAGCGACAATGAGTGTCATTCCAGGCATGGGGCCATTGGTGCGGAGCGTGTCGCACATCTCATGTTTCGTGAGAGGGATCATCGAGGATGCCGGGCGCTCGTATTTTAAGATCGGGGGCTAGTGTTGTTGCGGTTAGTGAACGTTGGGAAAGGAAGCGTCAGCTGTGAGCCTTCTCCACGCCTTGATCACCTTCGTAAACTATGGCCGATGTGGAATTGATTGACCGGCTATTGCATTGTACAAACCTCACGCGCAACCGTCCGTGTGGCTTGAGGCTGCGAATGAAGGCATGCTGCACCACTATCACAACGCCAGGAGGGTGTGCTGCACAATTTACGCTTAGATGGGTGGCGCATGTACGTCGGACCTCGAAAGGTCGCCTTTTCTCGGTCTGGACAAGTCAGACGGGCCCGAGCTGCGCGGTGTTTCGACTCCAAGGCTGCCCGTAACTGGCGTGCCTCTCGGGCGATGCTAGCGACCTCGAAAAGCAGATTTGCATCATCTAAGCTTTCGTCGTCGGTAGTAATATCTTCACCTTCTCTAACATTGCGCGTCTGTGGTTCCAAGTTAGTGAAGACGCTATGCTTAACGGAAGTATCCAGAGATCAACCTGGAGACAAGACGCAGTATCGCAACGGATGTTGCTTATAGTAAGCGCTCGGATCGGACTTGAGTAGGGTCCTTTGGGGGCTCACTGGCACTGTCCTCCGAAGTGGATGTCGTTTCACACTAGCTTCTACCTCTTATATCATCATCATCAGAGGTTCAGCTCTTGATGTCGAGCACTATGGTGTCTTAAAGCGCGTTTGTATACCACGCCGCAATGCAATCAAGCAATTAATGGGAATGTCAACATACAAACAGTGCATCAGTAAGTGGAGACGTACACAGCGTTATGCGGCACGGTTTGGTTTCGGATGGGCGATGCAATAGCTAACATAATGGATCGATTCATTATCCATACGTTGTAAGTCCCTCACCATCTTCCACAACAGATACAACGGACCAAAGCCCTTGTGGACTCAAACACCCTTCCACGCTCCCACAATACAGCTCTTCACCAAACTCGTATCTGTCCAGCTACTCCCACTCTGCGTAGGTGTCTCATTCAACTCATACGTGCTCGCGAATCCTCCAGCCGCCCACCCTGTATATCCAATATACACATCCGCATTCTGATTCAAATACTTCAACTGATCGCACATGTACTTCTGGCAACTCGCGGTGTTCCCCCCACCCGTCTCTGTCAGGATAGCAAGTCGCTTATTCGTACGAAGCCAATCGGCCAAAGGTTGGAAGGCGTTGGAGATGTTGTCTTTGACGCACTCAGTGTGCGTGCCCGAATTGTCCGAGTCGAGGTACTTGTGTACGTCCATAATCAAGTTCGTTGTGGTGTTGTCAGGATTGGTCACCGCAGCCAGCGCTGCCGCACTCCCACTCGGCACAAAGCTTTCAGCAGACGTGTACCCGTTTCCGGGAAGAAGAATGAGATTCGAAGTCGCACCCGCGCCACGGATCGCAATCACAACTTCTTGCACGGTAGCAGCCCACGCTTTGATATCCGGGATGTCGTGCGGCTCATTCATGACGCCGAATGCAATCTTGCTCTGCTTTCCGTACTTGGTGGCGAGCTGCTTCCACACATCCGCGAGCTGAGCATTTGTAGGCCCGCCCTGGCCGACGATCTTGCCGTTGTATCTGGCATAGTTGTGGATATCAATAATACATAGCACAGCACCGGAGCTAAGGCAGCCTTGCACAAGGCGGTCGTACTGCCCGAGGTTGTTAGGGTTGAGCTGGCCGCCAAGCTGACCGTTGACGAGGAACTGCCAGCCGACTGGTAAGCGAAAGGTGTTGAGAGTATCGTCTTTGACGAAGTGATTCATCTGGCCGACGGCATTTGCGCCGGTGACGATATCGTAGGGCTTGGAGGTGCCAGTAAGGGAGCAGGAGCCATCAGTCGTACAGCCAAAATCGAAACCTGCGATGTTGACGCCGGCATATTGGACCTTGGTTGCACGTGGTGTGGGAGAGGATGCAACGAAAGTCGCGAACGAGGTGAAGGCGAGGACGGAGGCTTTCATGGTGTATAGTAAAACGTGAAAGATACGAGGGACAACACAGTGGTAGGAAAGATGGTGACAGGACGGGGACCGAGGAGTGCAATTGGTGATGACTTGTATTCATAGTCTCAAAGAAATCGAACTGATGTACATTTATAGTGCTTGTGTCGAATACATGAAAACATAATGAAGATGTGCTTGCATTTGCGCACCTGATCGACAACTGTGCACTCCGTTTTCGAAGCGGGTTCGTGGAGTTTGAGCCGGGTGCATAAAACAGAACAGCTTAGGACGATGATTGGATGACGGAGCACCAACTTAGCGGTCTTACTATGGAAGCTTGTCCATGCTTAGGGTGCTTGTCCTTGTTCGCCACGTCGTATATTATGCCGGACGAACAGCCGCCTATCCGTCAATGCACCCTGTAAACATCGAAAAGCTGTTGTCATTTCCAAACTTATCCTCAGGCATGCGGTCAGGCTATGTGCGTCATAGATTCGCAGGCCAATTAATTTTTTACAGCTAGTAGACACAATTGTCAGTATCTCGACGTCCGTGTGCTTCTTGCAGTCACGAACAGATTTCGGGCCCTGAATCAGGTGTCACACCTGGCACATAACGTACACGCTCAATTGATGTCGATGATCTCTCCGCGCTGTCTGGCAATCTCTGCCGCATCTCGTACCTGGCGTTGTCCTCTCGTCGTTTGCGCGACTGGCGCAGCACGTGGAGCTCGTTGGCGTGGAGCCCGGTCAACCTTGTATGTGCTACCCCAAAGTGGGTGTTTCCTCTTGGATATGATTGACTTGGTAAGCTTCTTCAGATACCTGGTCGAATTGGGAACACGGATGCCCTTCTCCTCGAGGTAGTTATAGAGGTCTTCTACGTCATCCTCGGCGTCAATATAGCCCATGTCCCAGGCCTCGAGGAACTGAGCCAGGAGCAGGAAATATCTGGTGTTAGCGACAGGTGCCCACGCATTTCCGGCCTGCTTCGTGGCCTCGCCTCTAGATCCCTTGAACTGGTAATCCATCGGAAAGCCTTGCAACTGAGCTATCTCGCGGGGTGTGTATTTGCGAAGTCCAGAGGGATGCACATTCTCTCCACCACTAGTTGTGATGCATTTGGCGAGAATGGTTCGAGGATCCACAGGCTCCCGAGGAAGGCCCAGAAGCTTCTCCTCCTCAGGTTGATGATATTCATCGTGGATGTTCGCTCCGCGACGCTCGAGAGCTTCCAAAGCATCCCCTACCGTGACCCAATAAGGAAGACCGCTGTCTTTCGGTCCGCAGGCAGGCTTCGGAAAAGCTGGAAGAGGGAGGCCCTGCTTGGCGCACAGGAAAACGAGCCGTCGACGCCGCTGCGGCAGACCGTCCTCTGAAAGATCGCTGACCCTCCAACGGACATTATATCGCATGGAGATGATGTCGTTAATGACTTTCCTAAACCAAAGGCGGTGCTTCTTCAATTTGAGTAGACCAGGTGCCTGCTCGAGCGTTGCATAACGAGGCTTGACTGCCTTCAGAAATGGTCCTACCGTGAGTAAGGTTTCCATATTTTCTTGGTCGTTCTTGCCCTCATTGGTGTGGGCCTCGGACCAATAGCAGCATGGGCACGAGAGATGCAGTATGTCGACACCGTGCTCACAACGTCGTGCGATGGCAGGAAAGTCATGCGCATCCATATGTAACGGTTCTGCAGACGGGAAGTTCTCTGCATAGCCGCGTATAGCGAGTTCGTCTTTCTCCAGGCCCCACTTCACGAAGAGGTCGGCCTGACTGGCACCTTCCGAAACCCCACCGATTCCGGAGAATGCGTCCCCGACAGTGAAGCGGCGCGACTTGATCGGAGGAGACCGTTGCTCAGCGAATGTCCCATCGATTTGTTCAATCGACGGCCGCCGTTGCCTCGGCTCGCGGTCAGTACCGGACGCCAATGACGAGGCCTGGGAGGAAGTTGTAGCAGGAGGGGACGGCGTGTTCGTGACTCGATCGGTCTCGCGACGGTAAAGTTTGCGCACTTCTCCACTGTAGGATACAGAATTATGGTCAAAGACCACAGTATGCGCGAAACGACAGATGAGAGTGCCTTGGTGGAAGATCCAGTCCTTGATCTCCATAGATGTCTTTAGGCCCGCTGGTGCCCACCGATTTGCCATACGTACATCGTACGCCTCGTAGTCCTTATCCGTGAACTCGCACTTCCTCTTCTTGAGCACTTCTATGACAGATATGGATTGGAGTCCTTGAATCATATGCGGTCGGCGATCGTCTTCGGAAGCTTGGATGAGCATGAACAGTTCGTTGAGTTTGCCTGGTCGAAATCAATACAAGTCATATGAGCGCGGCGCGATGGCGCATAGTGCATTTCTTGCAGATTCTGGGTGCGAGGAGCAGTTCAGATAATAGCGACAACCGGAACCCTCTTGGCTAGCACGTACCATCGAACAGCGGGCGAAGATAACTGCACCGCCTGAGGCGGTAGCCACTTAGTCTAACTTCTTGCGTCTTCAAGTCCTCAATGATAGCATTGACTTTCAGGAAATCACCGCTCAACGTATGATCTGCCTTTCTGTCGGTTCGGTCGATCAGTTCCACGGTGTCGCCTGCGCGAATGAGGCTGCCACTTTCGAGTCGATGACAGGGCAGTTCGACGAGTTCGGGAAAGGTGTCTTCCTCGGGAGGCAACATTGTACGACCGCCGGCATCATACTCTTCATCGTCGTCGTCAATGAGGATATACTCTCGTTCAGTCTCACCTCCCCGTTTTTCATCCTCATTTTCGTCATCATGGCCTATGAACAATGGTGTTAGAGATGCGGCCTACATGCAGTTCTGCTGGCTGCCACTCACCGAAGTGTTGGACCTCAATCTCGTCCTCCAGCGGATTGCTGACTACGTAGTCCTCGAAGTTGTAACCCTGCTCGCGCCGCGGCGTCATCTTGGTAGCGAAGTCGGCAATTTGAATGGGGCAGAGAACAGAGAGAGAGAGAGCAAGCTCCGCGGTGTGCTTTGAAGTATGACACCCTAATGGGTGGTGAGCGAGTCTGCGCAAGTGATAGGCGAAAAGCCGCGCCTTCCTCGCTGCAAACGCGAGCCGAGCAAAGTCACGGTGAAGGTGAGGGCTAAGGTAACAGGAGACTTCCTGGAAGCAAACGGAAATGTTGTGGACAGATACCGCGGAAAGGTGCATGCCAAGGAAGCCATGAATGTCAAGACGATTCAACATTGAGTTCAAGGGCAGGGGGTTCAGAGGGAAGACATGTTATAGAAGATGAAAGTAAGTTGGACGAGGACAATTACGATGAGAAGGACGGGAGCGGCGGCTCGAGACGCTCGTTTTGAGGTATACTGGTAACATGGATTTTATCTGTACAAGGTCAGGAGTCCTCGAGGAGGGTCCCGCACAGGTTTTGGACGGGTATCTGACACAGCTTATCTTATCGTCTTCTCCACAAAGTCCCTCTCCAGTCGCCCTACTTCCCTCTTGAAGATCTCGACCTCTTTCCAGCAATCAAGCGGCCGTCGGTCGTGCAGCCGCAAGCACGCGACAACATCTTCCTTCGCCTTGTTCACCTGTGGATCTGCTTCCTCCAGCTTTTTCCGCATCTCGAGCTTCTGTTTCAAAGCCTCGATCTCCTTGGTGACGCTGGAGTTGCTCATCTCTTGCTTCTTGCGCTTTTCGGCGAGAGTAGAGGAGCTTGACGTAGCATCGCTAATCTTCTCAGTGACGTCCGAGAGCTTGTCGGTGAGCGAGGTGGGCTCGGTAGGGTGTTCGTGATCGAGGGTTTTGGAGAGTTCGGAGAGATTCTGGGCCTCCTTTTCGCGCAGCTTCTCGAGTTCCTGGGTAAGGCGTTGCTGGTACTGGAGTTCTTGCTGTTTGGATCTGGTAGAGTCGGTCTGCCGCGCCAACACGTCAGTTTATGTTTCTTTCAGATTTCGAGGTAGGGCTCTCACCTGTGTATTCTTCTGCAGCGAATCGACTAAGCCATTGGAGAATCGGACGGGGGTGTCTCTGCGTGGAAAATGTCATCAGTATTCAAATTCATGCGAAGGGGTCAATTGGCGTGGAGGAGAAGGACATACGAGGAGAAGACGTGCTGCGAGACATCGCTAGCGGGTTTCGAGTTCTCGGCGCCCATGGTGATGCTCGACAAAGCGCAATGCCCGATGCGTTGTTGCTGGAGCTGGCAGTTAGAAGCCGGATCGCGGCTGCCAAGTGCGTAGTGGCGCTATGACAGGAGCAGTTTAGGCTCGACGCGCATCGAATTCGCGTTCGCTGCTCCCCTCCAAATGCACCACTGAACCACTCATGTTGTGATAACAAAGGGCCAAAGCCAAGGGCACCTGCGCAATCAAGGAGCTAATGTCCTGGCAGCAACCGGGAACAGCAGCGCTCATACTAGAAGCAGCATGCTTCAATCTTCTATAACAGCATGGCTGAAGAAGCCAGCGATTGTTATGAAAGCTGACCAACCACCTCCAGCTCCAGCATCAACACCGGTACCATTCGCACATGCGCAACCGACCGTATCAGGGCCTGAACCCAACTCCGCTCCCACTGTAGACAGCGCCAGTGGGCCGTCACCGAAGCTACCCACTGCTCCTCTATTCTCCACACCTCCACTCCCTGACAATGTCGAACTCGCGCCGCTTACGCAAGAGCTCATACCCTCTTTCAAGCGCATCCTCAATTTGACGCTTCCTGTGTCGTACCCTGCCGTCTTCTTCACCGAGTCCATGGAGGAGCCGTTCCACAGTATTACGCTCATGGCTCTATGGCATGCAGCTCCGGCAGACGGTACACCCCTGGCGAGCATAGAGAAGCCACGTTTGGTCGGTGCGATTCGATGTCGCATCTTGCCTTCCGCAAATCTCTACATATCCACAATCAGCCTGCTTGCTCCATACCGTTCGCATGGTGTTGCTACACATCTGTTGCAGAGGATAGTCGCCAAGGCTGTCGAAGTACATGGCGTTCGGTGCGTCACAGCTCATGTGTGGGAAGCCAACGAGGACGGACTGGAATGGTACAAAAAGAGGGGCTTCGAGATTATTGGAAAGGAAGATGCCTATTATCACAAGCTCAAGCCTCAAGGTGCGTTCCTTGTTCGCAAGTGGATTGGTGTTGCCGATTTACTAGCACACCCGGATGAAGTGAGCGTTGTGAACAGGTGAAGAAGTTGCTCGTTATTGTGTGCTGCTCGTGAAGTGGCAGATATCATCGCATTGGGGTTATCAGACTTCCAGGGGATGTGAGAGCATGACTGTATAGCGTCTCCTCGGTCGAAAACAACCTTTTGGATCAGCTTGGAAGTTGGACCCAAAGCCAGCCCATTTTGTTTCACTAGCCCGCGGGTTGCCGAGCAAATACCGGGAGCTGAAGTCTGTTGCGGCGACCCCTGCTTTGCTGATCTATACGCAATGCACGCAATAACTCAGACTGATCGTCTAGAGCCCTATCGATGTGGATCGGATTTACATGTTTTACACATGTCCGGTTGAGACCACTGTCGGTTCCGGACGCTCAAATGAAGATCTAGGGGCTTCTCCATCTTACAGAACATCGTCTGCGTATTTTCTGAGCGTTTTTATGTGCTCTTTCCGTTATCAAGACCTGTACGGATACTCGCCATTGTGATGTATCCTTTTCTCCGATGGCGACTGAGTACCTTCACTTCTAGCCCCATTGGGTCCATCTTCACCCACAGCGGTCGTTCCACTTGGCAGGAGACTTCTTATCGCCATTCGCGCTCGTCGTCTCACTTGCCTTTCGACCGGGGTTATGTTCAGATCAATCTGCGGGTAAACTAGTACTATCACACAGAAGAGCAAACCAAAAATGTCACGCTACCCCTGTGTACGGTATTCTTGAGTTGAGATTTGCTCGGTGCGGGTCTCGTCGTTTCGATCGCGGTCATCACCATAAGGTCCAGAAAACCAGCTTGAGTGCTGTGTGGCACGCAGGCTAGATTACCTAAAATGGACGAACTCAAACTGTGTCCCACGGCTGCAGTTATAAGGTCTGCCAGTGATCAGGCCCGACATCCACGCGCTATGATATTGCGCTCCACTGCATCGGGCCGCTCCCAGTTACTCGTGTCACTCGGTTTAGGCCGACCTCCACGCCTTCTTTGTCCAGGAGATGGCTCTCCGAACCAGCCCAGAAACGCTGACTTGATCCACTTGGGCTCTAGAAGCTGCAAATACGAGATATAGGCAAGCGAACCAATCTATGATAGGCCTGGCCAAGGCTAATACACGAGCTTGCATCCTCATGGCACTGCTTCCAAGTACCTACATGCTGGCGTCCATATCTGGGCCCATATAACTCGGTGACCAGCGCATCCTCAGCGCACCTTCACCTGAGAGCTAACAGTTCCATTCCTTGCATCTTCCGTCAAGCCGGGTCTACTTCACATAAGATGCTCTTCCACAGAACAGCCCTCATCATCTCTATGCTCTGCGCAGGTTGCCTCGCAGTCAGTACCCTCCCTGCTCTCATCTCCAACACCACCTAACCCCAACATCAGGTCCCAGCATCCAAACTAGTAGATCTCCAAGGCGAAGGCCAAATCACACACACCGTGACCTGCCTTGGTCCTCGCTGCACCGACCACCTCCCCACGACCTTCCAATGGCCCACAGGTTGGCCCCAGCCAACTAGCACACCTCAAACGACACTGAAGACAACCAGCAGCGCTAAGAAGATTAGTTCGAGCAGCAAGTACACGGCGCCGCCTGAGATGAGCAGCGCGAAGACAACGAGCAAAAAGACGAGTTCAAGTGCGAAGTATACTAGACCGGTAAAGACACCTACGAAGGTCATTTTCTTCTTCTTCTCGCTTGAGGGTATTGATGGGACGTCGTGGGTATCTCTGAGTCTTTGCTAACGAGTCTCGGCAGACAACGAAGTCCTTGCAGCCCTCGAAGACGGAGTCTGAAGTCACGGGTCCGAGCAGTGCCAAGTGTCCTGTGCCGCTGTACTACCAGTGTGGAGGGTACTGGGATGGGAAGCCGTGGACGGGGTGCACGAGATGTGTGAGTGGCACCAAGTGTGAACATCAGAATGGTACGTTTGCTTTGACTTCGATTTTGACAATGGTTAATGTGAAGCAGACTTCTACTATCAGTGTGTCGCGGACGAGTAGGGTGGCTTCAGATGAAGTATGATGTATAGGGAATCCGCCCACGCACGCCACAATTGGCCATGGTCAAAGTGTCAAGCTATTCAATGTGCAGTCCGTTAAAATGGTTTGTTGATGTAAAAAACAAAGCAAAGCTGACTAGACAGCTTGGAGCTCTGACATGTATGCAGTGGGGCAAGAGCTCCGAGCTACCCCACTATCCGTACTGTAGTATCAATTTTGAAAGTCGTCATAACTATCCATTTATTTATTTCTTCCGAGCACCTCCGAACTTCTTTGTATGCGTGTATGCTTCCCGTCTTCCTTTCTCAATCGCTTCGCTGCTGATACCAGTCCTTTCACTCTCTCCTTCTACTTGCTTCCTCCTACTCCAAATCCAATCCAGACAGCTTCCTACACCCTCACACTCCCTGCAACGCGCAATGCCGGACCCCCGTGTCTTCATAATCCGCCATGGCGAAACAGAATGGTCCCTCAACGGCCGACACACCGGCACCACCGAGCTGCCCCTGACCTCCAACGGCGAAAAACGCATCCGCGCAACAGGCAAAGCCCTCGTCGGCGACGACCGTCTCATTGTTCCTGGCAACCTCGCACATATTTATGTCTCCCCGCGGCACCGCGCACAGCGCACTCTCGAACTACTCGACCTCGGGTGTCGCGAGCGGTATCCCTGGAAGCTCGAAGAAGGAAAGCCTGCGGAGGAGGAGGTGAGAACGCGCGCGCCGATACAGGTCACGGAGGGCATTAGAGAGTGGGACTACGGGGACTACGAGGGTCTAACGAGCGCGCGGATACGCGAGCTCCGCAAAGAGCAAGGGCTCAGTGGGGACTGGGATATCTGGCGCGACGGGTGCCCCGGCGGTGAATCGCCGGAGGACGTCACACAACGACTCGATGCTCTAATTTCCGACCTACGAACGCGCTTCCACAAGCACCGATTCGGAAAGGGCGCGGGTTGGAAGGGAAGTGACAGGACGGGCGCGAATGATGTGTTGATTGTGGCGCATGGGCACATACTGAGAGCGTTTGCGGCGAGGTGGGTCGGAAAGGAACTGAGGGATAATCCAAGTTTAATTTTGGAGGCGGGTGGCGTGGGGACGCTAAGCTATGAGCATCATAGGGTTGAGGAGCCGGCGATTTTATTAGGGGGTGCGTTTGTGGTGGATGTTGTGGAGAAGGAACAGGAGGAGAGGAAGGCTTAGATGAGGAAGACGATAAGTTCACGGCAGCATACGGTCTCGCACAGTCGGAAGCTGTAGTGTATGTTTGGAACAACATGTCGAAAGTATTTTCTGTTGACGCGGCCTCCACAATGAAGATACTCTGAGTTTCAATTGGTGCGGAAAGCCAGGGCTGAGAGCCATAATCGCCTTACAAGTCATCAGACTGCAGGGCAGGTCCACCTGATTCTTCATCGATTGCCTGGTGGGAGTCCTTCTCAGATGTTTCAAGCCTCACCCTGTTTGATTGCTTGAGTGCAGAGACAGCAAGAGCATGTGTCAGCCTGGCGGCGGTGCCCTCCCTATCATGTAACCTTCAACAACTTGATTGCATGTCTCTGAATAACCACCATAGCAGCACTGAAGGCTCGCAAGCAAATACTTTTGTCCCAGTGCTCGTCGCATCGCCCGCAATCATCGTGTGGGTTTATTACACTTACGCTGGAACACGGTAAGCTTGACTATGGCCATACATACCAAGCTCAGATTCAATTCGTGTCCATTGCTCGTACTATCGGTAATGATGATCTGTTAAATCCCTTTAAAAGAGTTGAACTTCACAATCTGTCTAAGCTGACCTGGGCAAACACACGAGCATTAGACCCGGAAATGCCGCCAAGCAACATTGACTAACCGTCATACCAAATTGAAAAAGAATTGTGTGCAGTCTGTGGTTACCTACGGGATACTACGGAGCTTTAACAGCTCGGTGCGGCCTTTTCCGTTCTCTTGCCTCCACCAAGTATGTAGTTTCAAGCTCAAACACATACACTCCACATGATCAGACCCACAATCATCATGTATATTCGCTTCTTCAGTTCCATCTCTGCTCGACCCACAACATCAAAATGCGTGTCACACTCTTGGTTACCTTTTCCGCCGCACTGGCAGAAGCCTGCCCTTCCGCAACCGAGGACGACATTCCCACGCCCCTACGTACTCCAGCCCGGTAGGAAACCGCGGACCGCCTTCACCGCCGGTCACAACAACGTTGCACATCCTGGCGCCGAAGAATTGGCAAGCTAGCGGAGGCTGCAAGACCGACCGGTGCGTACTATCCACTCCATTTCTGAGGTACGCTGACTTCTTATAGGTTCAAGAATAGGCCTTATCTCAACCAGTGGATAGGTGAGGCCGAGACGAGCAAATGTGTGGGGTGGAAGTATATTACTGCAGTGGGTCAGGTAGGGTGTGTGAGTGGGTGGAGCACTTTTGGATGTGTATCTGAGTATTGAGGAGGTGATATGGATTGAGACAGATTGGTAGGAGGCGAAGCTGCCGGACCTTCATGACGAGTACTTTAGCTGTCGCTACAAAATGAGAAAAGTGGTTATTGTGTCCGAATATATACTGGGACAGAGCCGAAGTGTGAATGGATGGTCCGCAACGTGATCGTGGCCCACTCAGTCTTCATCATCCCAAGTAAGTCCCTTGTACTTGTCCATCAGGGCATCCCTCAACCTATTGCCATCTTCGCCCCAATCAGCCAGCATAAGCGCCTTCTCCGCCCACAGCTTGCACTTTTCGTCCTTTTCCTGCACGTAGTAATCGACCGCATGATTGAACGCCGTGGTGGCAAGCCACTCCAGCTCGGTGGTTGGGTAACGATTGAGCTCCTTCGCATCGTGGTCAGTCCTCGCTATATCAAAGTCCATCGATGCGTAAGGCGACGTCGCAGGTGGGGTCTCAGGCATATGGGAAGGCGTCTGTAGGGGTACTCAATAAGATATATAATGAACAGGAAAAGTAACGAGAACTCACCCCTTTCCTTCCAGACGCGATGCGGGTTGCATGTTCGAGACACTTCAAGCTCACAGTCTCATCATATGTCAGAGCGAGTTGAAAAAGACAGCGGATCCACCTGGACATCTTAACAATATCAAAACCCGCAGTCTTCCCACTCGCATTGATTATCTTTTGGAGCGCGGAAAGAACCTCTGCGACAAATGTCAGTCATTCGAGGTTTGCGTAAGTCATGCTGAACACACTCACTGGTCTGATACTTGCCGTCAACGTTGTCTTTCGACAAGGAGGAGTACATGATGAGTACCAGGTCGGCAAGCGTGTCGTAGTGCTGTGGCTCTCCGTATCTCCAGCATTCTTCGAACAGATCATCTAATTCCTCCCACTGCTCACGTTTCAGTGCAGCTTCGAGCTCCAGCTTGACGACTTGGACGTGCTTCGCTGTCATGTCGGCTTTCGAGGACCCGCGTAACTTGTCGACGAAATCAGCACCGACAAAGCGAAACTCTCTCCCGTGCTTGGAAACCTGCAGATAGTTTTGAATCTGGCGTTGTTAGTGGCTAGATCATTGATGCGGTGGAGACTAAGTACACAAGCTTGCATACTGTCTTCCGCACGAGCCAGAGTCGTAAAGGCACAGACGGAAAGGTAATGCAAAAACATCAACCGGAGACAGTAGTCACCGTCTTTTTCTTGCGCATGATTGAAGTCCTTGAGTAATTTGACAAACTTCCGGATCTGTTAGCCGAAGCAGCGGATCGAAACGGGGCGCGAGGTTACCTACTTCTATGCATGCAGTCAACAAGCGGACGAGGCTTGTGGGTTGCACTTCGGCGCAGTATTTGATAGCTAAGTTGTATGAGTTTTTCGAGAACCACTCAATTTCTCCAACGTTGAACTGTTGCCTGCTCGGGTTACTGGGTCTTCGTCGCGAAGCCTTCGCATGCGCTGACGCTGCGCACGATCAGCTCTGTGCGATGATCAAGAAGTGAAGACACACCTCCTTCAAATGTTCTGCAGATCTGTTCGAATATATCTTTCTGGAAAACGCCATTCTTGATCTGTTCCGACATGAGAAGCCGTACAGTCATACTATACCCATCAGCGACGTTGCCTAGGCCTATTTAGAAAGCTTACCGTAAAAGTGCCGGTAGGTGCACACCAGTAGGTACCTGGTCGTTGTACTTCTCGAGCAGCTTTTCTAGCGCCGCTATACCCTCTCGCTTGTTTCCAGATTGCTGTGCCTCGATCACACATGCATAAAGCAGGGAAGTGTCGTTCGATGAATGCCGGCACACTGTATCAAGGCATTCGGCGGCTGCCGAGACTAAGTAGCTCTCCGTGTCATACGTCTGTAAGTAAGCTTACCGAAATCTGGGTAGTTGCCGTGCAACGCAACTTTGTACATCATATACCGGGTCATGCGATCTTCTCGACCGATATCGGACATCTTGGAGAAAATTTCCCGAGCGGCTGCATAATCATGCCGTGCCATAGTGCACATGATCATCTTCCTGTTGGACGTGAGCAATGGGACCTGCATACACCAATTTCGCGTTAAAGACCTTGCAATCTTAGATCTGTTGATCTCACCTGCCATGTCGAACAACGAATGAAGGCATATTCCACACCATGCTTCGGCTTCTTCATGCTGACCAAGGCTAGAAGTGGCCTCGATCTGTTTCCAAAGCAGCTACGTGGAATCAATTAGCATAGGCGAGTAAGAAAGGCTTGTCCCACTTACAGTCTGTGCCGCGTGGGTCACCTGCGCAGAGAACGGGGCCTGCACATTTCGAAGGACTTCGTCGAATAGCCCCAGGAGTTGATATAGCGTTCCTTCTGCAACATGTGTGGTGCAGGTAATCCATATCCTTGTGATGACAGCTTTCTCGATCCACGCCGCTTTCTCCTCTCGGAAAAGGCGGGTGCAGATGAGTTCGTCGATCACCTTGCAAGAGGTAACGGTACTGGTATCATTAAGCGACTAAACCAAAGACGGCTTACATTGTACTTACTTGTGGTCCTTAAGCTTGTGAACATGGTGTAAAATCCTGGAACATCGTCAATCTAAATGTTTGCGCTGCGAGCGGCTCAACATACGTCTTGACATTCCGCTCATTGAGTACAACGAATCGGATCACCCGATGCAGGACTGATGGAGTCAGCAATCCCTGGGGACAAGCTCAGCAGGTTACAGTAGTGCCGATAACTCGCACAGTTCTTTGCTCAACATTATACCACTCACCTAGATAGACTTTTTCGGCATCCACTTGGGTCTCTGAGTACAAAAGGTCGAGCCTAAGCAGGCTTACAGACATCTTGCCTTCATGATCCTTAGATACGTCAGCTTCGTCATCCGACTTATGTTACAGTGAACCCACTGCTTCGAGTAGCTGGAGCATATGCCATGCTTTGGTGCGAGCATCGGCGGTTTTGAGCTTCAGGTATGCTTGCACTAGCTTTTCGTGAGTTAAATAATTCCATGATGGGCGCGTTGGTATACCTATACTATGCATGATGCTCACTTTCAACTCCCCCGCTTCCGCGCTGAGCATTTCAAGCCTTTGCTCTTCAAGAATATCATGAGCACGCTCGAACCATCGCGTCGATGCCTCGCAGTCGCGTTTGCTAAGTAGATCTTTGCCTATCTCGTAGAATAGATCGGCAATGCCTTCTGCAAGAGAGGCTGTGAGGAAACGCGAGAGGTGGTTGCACTTGGTGAACATGTGCTCCGCAGTGTCCAGTCGATCCGATCTCCACGCCTTCGCAAATTATCAGTGAGTTCACAACGCAAGGTGTGAATTCAGTGAGGATGCTGCGCTCACCAGAGCAGTCCGCAGAGCATAGTACTCAACGCGCAGTCGTGCTCCCCACTCAGCTTCGTTCCTCTCATTCTCACCCTCTTGCGCCAACATCTCCTGATACTCAGCAGCGCGCTCAAGAACCTTTGTCGCATTGCCGACCTCTTTGTTCTCAATGCACCATCTTGCAGCCTTGAGCGCTATCTTCATCAGCCGGATGCAGTTCTTGCGTTCCCGGCCTTGAATGGACTGGCTACCCGCGGAGTCCAAAAGCAGGAACGAGAAGACGCGCAACAGCCCCGCTTCATGATATTTCCGTGATGCTTCTTCTGAGGCTCTGCCGTTTGTGTGAGAAAGATCACGTCGCAGACGAGTTGAGGTGTTCCACAGCTCGGTTCCCAGCTTTTCGAGTTCGTCTTGCTGTGCTGCCACGACCGAGGATGCTGCGAGCGGCAAGCCGCGGATTTGGTCTTGAAGATCCTCTGCAAGCGTTTCGTCGGGCGATGTGCTGAGGCGGTCCGGGAGACCTGACGCAAAAGCTGTCGAATATTAGAGGAGCCCTGGAGGAAGCCGCAGATGAGCCTACTTACAACAGACGGACTTGATTTTCTTTTCGCGTTCTGCTCTTGCTGTTGCGTGAAACGGTGCCATTGCTGTAGCGAATAGGGTGGATGGATGGAAAGTGGAGTGAAGAGGGTGACCGGAAGAGTGCCATGGTGGCTGTCGTGACTTCCTCATCAGCATCACGCGAATGAGGAAGCCACGAATAGCCATTTGCCATCAAATTGGAAATTTTATGCAAACAACTATCGTAAAAGGCAAAAAAGAATAGCATTCCTTTGTAAGAAGGGTATTTCAATCTCCCGTGCTACTCACGCCAATGCGACAGGAACGTTCATCCGTTCCATGTCGTTGTGCCCTGGCCATACATGATATGGTAGATCCAGAAGTGACGCAGCTGTTCCGTACAATAAGATCAGAGTCGGACCTAATCCGAAGTACTTTCGCATGTGAACCCATTACTAGAACAAAATGATGCTATCAGACCATGCGCCAACTATGCAATCACAAAGGAAGACAACGAATAGTCACAAGGAAGAAACAGCAGAACGATTACGCATTCTGCGTTCAGTCGCTCAACTCGAACCCAGACTCACCGCCCATGTGTATAGAACTCGTACAACCGTACAATTACTGAGGGATATCACGAAGCAGAAGACGGGATGGTTCCAGCATAGGCAGGAAATTGCCTACAATTAGAGAGGGGCTACCCATGCGTCAGCTGTGATCGGCATTTGAATTGGGTTTGACTCACATATTGAGCGTATCGCGCTTCACAGTGAAAGAGAAGCAGCACCGTATCTCAGGGTCCTTTGAGTTTGGATCGGGATTCTTGAGCGAGCAGCTGGTGAGGATAGCTTTTTGGTTGTTGTCGAAAGCAATTGCGCCAAATTTCTCCCAATATGACACCAATGAGGGCTCGGCGAGAATCTCGTGGAGAGCGATATTACCCTATCATCAGTCTCAGTATGTTTCCTACGCATGTTAAGTCGCCACTTACGTCTCTCAACCTGGACATAGGAACGTGTATCAGATTGGCCATCTCCTTGTTCCCTCGATATATCTCCCCAGTTCTCCGCCAGCAGCACGCTGGGATAGCCATACTGGCAAAGACGCGATCGTATTCCATCAAGCTTCTGTCGAACCAGATCTCGATGCGCACGAGGTCCACATCTGTCGAAGATTGTACGCGCTCACGGAACTTTGGCCTAAACCTATCGAGTTGTCGCAGAATGCGCACACGTGATATGGATTGCAAGTTTTGTTCCATGTACTGATTGAGCCGCGCGTAGCCTTTGACGTAGTTGAATGGCTTTAGCAAGCCGGCGTCCATCTTGGCTTTGAGCAGCTTGTTCATCCGCTCTTCAGGACTGTCCGTACCGGCAGGATCTGCTGCTGTCATGTAGTATTTCTCTCTCGCTTTCTCCAGTGGGAAAGCACTTGATGGCCGTTGTATCGAGTTAGCGGAGGCATTTTGAGCGGGAGGCGGCAGCAGTTGCGAGCCACTGTTGGACGCGTTTGGATTAAAAGGCGTGTTGTTGGTAAGGGTCCCCATAGGGTTCATCAAAGATGCATCGGAAAATAATTGGTGGAAATCACCAGTTCCATACATGTTGCCGTCCTCCATCAGGTTGCTGTTGAGGAAATCGTTGAGTAGATTGAACTCGTTACTGATCTCGGACGTGCCAAACATATATGACGGATGAAATTGGTGCATGTCTTGGAAGTTATTGTTGGACGATGTAATCCAGTCGTTGTAGTTGACAACTAAACAGTGATTCAGTTTTAAGCCTGCTGAGCGCTGAACAAATGTGTAACTTACGAGACGGGCTCTGAGAGGTCAGAGCTGGTAGCTGTGGCGCAGACACGGGTGCGGGCTGGGCGATCGTTGCTGCGCTGGCACCTCTGTCAGGAGGAGGCACAGGAGGAGGAGGCGGCGCAAGGGTCAGGCCTGCATCTTGAGCAGTAGTTTGCTGGGCCATGGGGTTCACAGCGCCTTCGGCTGGCGTTGCCTCGTGCTGGGAGCCGGATCTGTCGCCGTTGACGCTCTCCGGGTCTGTTTTGGACTTCTTGACGCCTTCGCGTGGCTCATCATGGCAAAGGTGTCCAATATTCCTCTTGATACACCGCGTGCATGGTCGTTCCTGGCCGGTCAAGGTGATCAGTCAAGAGACAGGGACCAAGGCAGCGGGTGCACTTACAAGGTCACATGTCATATGCTGATGACTAGGGGTTAGCAGACTCTGTCAAATGTCTTGGATGCTACAAAATAGAATGTATCGCAAATCGGGAGGGCCTGCGGCTCACCGAACGTCTGCAGTATATGCACGCTGGAGCGGGCATGTAGGGTCAGCAAGGCCATTGACACTATCGAGGGCGCACAGCATGACGGCCTTACCATGATTGACCTTTCTACGCTTCTTTGGAGTTTTCGTCGGGACGTCGGAGCCGGGTGCAGATGAGCCCCTGTCTTTGGATGGCGAGCTGCTCTTGGCTACTTTTGATCGGTCGTCACTCTTGCCATGGTCCGTGCTCTTGGGTGGTGCTGTCGCAGCGGAGCCATTGGCATTGAGTGTCTCGTCGGTCATCAACGACGGCGCTGCACGTGTTTTGGGCGCTGGGTGATGGTCTCGGCAGCTCCCGGCTTCTACAAGAGGTCGCGCGTGGGCGGCGACACGGGGAAAAAGCAATGCGCCTCAGCACGTTGGAACGGTAGCACCGGGGTTCTGTGGCGACGGATGCTGGACGGTGGAGAGCGATGTTTCAGCGGCACGCGAGTTCTGAGGCTGGAGTTTGGCGCGCCTCACCAAGTTTGAGGACGGCCGCTAGCCGAGGATCTGGCGGGGCTTTTCGCGGACATGGCGCCATCCTCCGTGGGCACGTCTTTGCCTTCTTTGACGTTCGCTAGAGGAGAACGGTGAGCTGGGCAACGCGCAGTTTGCAGCAAGAGGCGCACTGCTCTTTGGCAGCTTGGACGCGGGGGAACATGCGCACCCGCAGCGTCCACAGTCGCACCGCCTCCAATCAACGGCCGCCCTGGAGCTGATGGTGAACACGTCCAGGGCTGGATTAGCTCTGCATGCCTGTCTCCGAGGACCACGTCGCTGGATCACTGCATTCTATATTCGGCAGACTGCCATGGCACTTGCTCTTGACTCCATCCCCCATGTGCGCACCGCTCTGCCCGCCCGAACTCCAAGTCATGCTGTCATCGTGCCAGCCTATCCCCACGTCGGGGTAGCCACTGCTGGCCCTGCTCTAGAATATCGAAATTGCGCCTTCGTGTCCCCTGAACCTTGACAGCAACGTTGCGGACAGTCCCAGTACCGCGTCCCACGTTACTCCATGCATCAAAACCCGTACGCCAAGCCATGCACCCTCTCTGGGACAGGAAAACACTCCCCTGAATGCGAACCGAACCTGCATGCCAATACTTCATAGCGTGGCATATTCCTCTGCGCTGGCGTGTTTGAAAAGCACATCGTCCAGCGCCACTTGCGCATTCCTCATGCCAACGTCGATGCCGTCCACTTGCTCGTGGTTACCCTGCATCGACTCTAGGCTCCGCCCGAGTTGTTCGAGATGCGGTGCGAGGTCGGAATCAGGGGTATCGAGCATCGTGACATCCACTACCTTGCTTTGCTTCCAGCCAATATCCTGAGGTCTATCGCCCATGCTATTCCTCTCCAGGTCCTTCAGCAATGGATGCATCTGAAGCGCGTTAGTTGCATATTCAGCCCCGTTGGAAATAGAGTCCATATCTCACCCGACCCTGCTTCTCTTGTTGCTTCCACGTCGTCTTCCAATCACGTGCATTCTTCCTCAGCTGCTCCAAGCTCTCTTGGTCCTTCTTGAGGAGGTGCTGAGCCACCTTCACTTGTTCGGCGAGCAGTTGGTGCGAATGGCGCGCTGTTGTCAATTCTCGGAAGAGCTGTGCATGGCGCTCAGTGAGCTTGTCGATATTGAAGTGGACGTCTTTGGCTTGGGGAGGGATCCGTGAACCCGACAGCTGACGTGCAAGCATTCGAATGATAGAACCCAAAGTTTCATCTGCAGCAAATGCCCTCTGTTCATCCCGTTGTGTATTGACTATGTCCTTCTTTGCATCCCTCAACGTTTCAAGGATGTATTCCAAGACTTGTGGTGAGACATGCGGCCAAGTCTCTATCACTTCCCGCGCAATCCTCCTTGTGCGCGGTGCTAGCTGCACGTAGTTTTGCGCTTTGCTCTGCTGCGCAGATGCTTTGTCAGTGTCACGGTCGAGCAATTCATCGTTACGATTTCGTGAAGGTCGTCCACGTTTTCTTGCTGAACTTGGCTGATCCATTCGTCCTCGGTTGTGCCCTCGCACCGCCGTGGGGATGGCTTCCGCTTGAATAAACGAAAGCTCATCCACTTCCTCCTCATCCGTACCCGCATGGCTCACGCGCGCTGGCCGTCCTGGTTTCTTTGCTGCCCGTTCGCCATCATGCTCCTCGCCCGCTGCTCTCTTCCTCTTTGCGCCAGATATTTGATTCTGGGTAGTTGTCTTTGTCTTTCGACTGGATGCCCCCTTTCCGGCGTTGGGTTTGGGGCCGCGTCTGCTTGTGGGAAGTAAGTTGCGACTGCCCGACGGCCGGCCTCGACGTTTGGTGACTTTGTCGTTGCTCGATTGCGGAGGTCGACCCCGCTGTTTCGCGGATATGTCTGGCGCCGAATGCGTGGGCGCCTGAATTTGAGTCAGTTGCGTTTCTGATAATTAGGTTATTGCTGCTCACCATGGCAGGGTGGTGGGGTTGACCAGGCGCGTTGGCAACGCGTGTTGATGTTTGGGAGCGACAGTGCGCCTGCCACGACTGACGTCGGTCGACGCCCAAAGCGGAAGGCTACCCGTGGGAAACACTGCAGCAGGACAGATGTATGTTTGCAACTCCAATTCTTTAGTAACAAATTGGTTTTGGTCAAATGAACCTTGGAGGACTCTGTATTAGTGCTACATAGTATATCCATTTGCGTCAATATCGAGCTGCAGAACATAGACCGATTCTTGACTTCCATTGGTTGTATTGCGCACTTTCGGCGCTCTGAACACATATATGCTTCGATGGATTATTGCCCCATCTCCGTTCCTTCATCAAGATTTGCAATCACATCTCTATATCTCACAGCCCTCCGGCGGTTCCTCAATGAAACTTCGCACTCACACCGCCATATCTCACCCCATCCACCATCAATTCAAACACCAGACCCGCAGACTCAATCCTCATATCCAGCGTGAAGTCTAGATTGTCAAACTCCACACCCTTCGTCGTCGTCAGTCTCGTGAACAGGCTCTTAGGTACGGTGTTCAAATCAGTCGTCAGCGTGCAAACGTTGATGAGGCCCTTCCGGAAAGAGTCCGGCGCGACGTCAGCGTCGCATGCGATGAGGTCGTCTTCCACGACTAAAGACTGGCCAGGACGGAAGTTGCGCGTGTAGTGGAAGGAAATGGGAGATGAGTCGGAGACTTGTGCGCCCTATGTTCTCATCAGTGACATTGAATGGGTAGGGGGAGCGATGCACTACCTTTGCTATATGCCACTGCATTCGATCCGACACCATCCACCTCTCCCACAATGGCGACCAATACCGATCCTCAATCGGGTGTTTCGCTTCATCGAACACAGTCGCATAACTCGTCCCATAGTGCCACCGACTCCTCCGACTAACGACCATACTGCCTTCTAACCCCCTCAACACGGCGCCTCTTACTACTGCCTAGATGCGCGGGTACGAAGTCAGTGTAAGTCAGAAGGTCGGGAGTGGTAGGAGGTATTTATGTCTGAGACAAATCGACTTACAGTCCAGGAATGAATTGGATGGAAGATTTCTATTGATGGGACGACGCTCAATGCAACCGCATGCGTCGGTCTCTCCGTGTACGGCGGCGGAGGCGCACTGTTGAAATGATGTTTCATCCGGCTGTAAAGGTAGTTGGACTGGCCGAATCCGCCTACGAGCACTATACCACATACCAAGCCCCCTTTAGCTCGTATTGTCTGCACCTGGCCTTCGACTAACGAAATAACCTCCTGGACCACAGGGTCAAAGATCTCCTTGACCTGCTCAGTACTCATGACAAGGAACCCAGAATCCAACCCCGCTTCCTCATCGTCTGGGAGACCAGGAAAGGGCACGTTGACTTCGGCGTTTTCCTCCTCGTTGAAGTTGCGCTTTACAAATTCCTCAAAGTACTTGAGGCCCATGTTCCATGTCTTCGCTTTCTTTTCACGCATCATGGTGTAGCGCTCTGTGCCTATGCGGCTCTTTACGTGATCTTCGAAGCGGTAGTTGAGGAAGGCGGAGCCGCATAGTCCTCCAGTGCCTACGGCGGATTCTTCGACGCGGAGAGGGTTAAGCTGTGTGATCTTGTACGCGATAAGATCGACGGTGCCGCCACCTGATTCTTTGTGAGCAGTTTCCCAACAAGACTGAGATCCCAGGTCAAAGACATGAGCCTCTTGATGGAGCGTCATTCCAAGACACGCAAGACGGCACCCGGAATTATGCCGTAAAGGAACACAACATACCAGCATCACATACAATGAAATTATCCCCAATTTTCAGGTTATTAGGTTGGATAGCCTTCAGCGTATACACGGCCGCCGCCTCAGGTTCACTAATCAACTTGAGATCCTTCCCGCTGCCCATGCCTAAAGGTGGGGAAACAAAGTCAGTGTAATGCTCACACACCAAGGAAGTGGGTGAAGTAGGTGTCCTGGCCAGCTATTAACGTCTGAATATTCCAGACTTAGAGGTGTAAGCCTGGAGTCTAAGCTAATCGCCCAGCACGAACACCCACTTTGTACCCCGACATTGCGTACCTGCCTTCTCCGCTGCCTTCAATGTTGCGTCTTTGGCACTATCTGACCATACCGCCGGCACCGTTAGCACGAACTGCACCTTGGTCATGGACAGGAACGTCTCTCCGTATCTTCTTGTCAATGTCTCCATGGTATGCTTGTATATCTGCGCAAGATAGTCGGACACAGCTTCCGCAACAGTCTTCTCATATTTGCGCAGCTGGGCGGCAGTTTCGAGCGGTGAGACGAAATGCGGAAGCTTGTGGTTGCGGTCGAGGAACAGCTTTATGCAGCGCAGGCGCGTTTCTTCCGGCTTAAACTGGAAGCCCCATTTTATGTTCGATTTCGAACGGTCGGAAGGAGATACGTATGCGATTTCGGTGGGGACTTTGTCGGACGTGATTCCTAGAGAGAGACTGCATGAGCTTATGGTTACCAAAATAGAACGGATTGAGTACCGTTCCCACCCGGCCAGGATTTCACAATGTCTATCTCTTCTGGGCTTGCGCTGTATACGGCAGCGACGCCTGTTGCACAATCAACGTTGTCCACCAGATCGCGTACATGATCACGCACCACTGTATGTCGTTCCGAAGTCGACACCCACAATTAGCCTGTCCTGCGCAGGACTCGCCCTCAGCAAGTTGCTGAGAGCCGGCGCGGGACTGTGGTTCGTGGTCGGATTGAACGCGACCGGTATGTTGCCAGACCGGGCGCTGAAGACGCTGGCTATACTGTGTTTCCTCTCCATCGTCGCCTTCCTACAGGGTTACGATCAAAGGGTGGTGGTGAGTGCTACATGGACTGAGAACGCGTGGGGACAGCAACAAGCGGCTGGGATCTCCAGAGCTAGCCTGGAGAGCAGTTGTTAAATTGCAGGAGCACGGAGCGAGGGAGAGCGGTCGCGATGACCTTGGAGATCAATACAATGGGTGCCTGGAGCCCATTGTACAGTCAGGCGCCTAACAAGCCCGACGAAAACGTGGAAGCCTGGTGGCAGCGATCCGCATCAACGTGCTTGTGCCTGGCGGGTGGCTGAGCGCTGCTGGAGCGGAGCGGAGCCCTGAGCCCCGCTACGGGCCCGTAAACTTTGGTGGGCTGCCGTCATGGCAACACCACACTATGTGCGGCTAAGATGCTCCAAGTAACGTTGCGTTCGCGTTGGATGTTTTAGATGGTCGCTTGACGTATCTCCTTCAAGTTCAGCTCAGATATGCGCATGTCACACGTCGCATTCCTTTACCGACGATTGCGGACCAACTCTGCCCCATGACGGGAGATAAGAAGGGCAACGGTATGCGCTGAGCTTCTCGTCTCAATGTCCTCTCGCTGACCCAACAGATCTTTCGTCCCGTCTCGGCGTGAGACGGTCGAAAACCACTGCTACCAATCATTCGAAGGCGTCCGACTATACAATCAACGCCCCGCCGAAAGCAGCTCTCGCAACCGCAAAGCGTTTCAATGACATGCTACACCCCCGATCGTCCAAAGAGCGGGAACGAGCTAGGAGAGTATCAGACAGTGCCGCGACTCAAAGTGAAGCCACGGTAGCTCCGCTGACCGAAGAGGCTGGGCAAGGCGACGATGGAACTTCGGACAAACGATCGCAGAGGATCGCAGAGCTAGAACAAGCGCTGGCGACCGCTTTGGAGGAGCAAAACATGATGAGAGAAGAGCTGGTGAAGCTTAGAGATCATGGAAAGGTCTACAAAGAGTCGATCGAAGAGTATCGGCGAATATTGGCTGGCACATACCAGTTGCAAAGCCCTCCAGGAGCCCCCCATTCCGATTCGCGCCCGGCATCAGCCCGCTCAAACTCATACGAAGGCGAGAATGCGCCGCGAAAATCGACGAGCCAGCCGCGTGAGGACCTTGTAGAGCAAAATGATAGTCTCCGTACTCAGGTTGCGCAATTGCAAGATCAGCTGATGACGCAGGATGCTACATATCAGTCTCTTCTGGATCAACGGAGATCGCGGGCTGAAGCTGAGTGGGACCAATTAACAGCACGGCTCCATTCGACCGAGAAAGAATCTGGTGAACGGTTGCAGCAACTGCTGTCTCTGAAGTCTGCTTTCTCGTCTCTCACTCGGGTCGAATCGCAAGTGACAGATAGCGAGCTGTCAGAAACCTTCTCTCAACTTTTCAACAGTGTGCGCGAATGGGTCATCAGCAATTATCGCCGAGCAAAAGTGAAATTCAGCGATCTACCTCTTGACACCGCCGAAATCCTAGAGGCCATATCCCCATTGTATAGAACCGTCGACCCAGCCAATCGCCTTGCGCTGTTCCAGGCTCTGGTTTCATATATGTTGATGAACATTTTTCAGGAGTTCCTCTTCGTCGGTATACCAGAAACTGGTCCGCTAGCCACTCTGCGGCAGGTAGCATCTACCATCCGGAGCACTGGTACTGGATACCAGAATTGGCGACATGTCACTATCCGCAGTCTACAGGAGAGTGATGCGGCGTATACAATCAAGGAGGGGAAGGCTCATCAGAGAGACCTGCTGGCATCTTGCATCTTGCATCACTTGCTCGCCATCACGTCAACAACGCCTCTCCCAGAGGCCCGGTCAGCATTGGACAGTATACTGAGCGCGACGATGGAGTTTCAGAATACGCTCCTGCTTCAGAAAGCACGGTACAAAGTAGACTTCTTCCGAAAACAGGACGAACTGCACCAGAGCGTTGACGACAACCGTATGGAGCCTATCAATGAGCTTGATGGTTTTACAGATGATGACGGTGACGTTGTTGTAGACCGCGGTTTTGTGTTCTGTGTCTTTCCGAGCTTGGAAAAGTTCGGAGACGAATATGGAGAGCACACCGAAGTAAGCAACGTGCTGGTGAGAGCCAGAGTATGTTGCAGCGTACGGTGAAACTTGTTCTCATTCATGGATTGATAACCTTAAAGGTAATGTGCCAACGGAATTATTTCAGCCAGGCTCAAAAGATGCGCTCCGTGGAGCAAGCCAGTCTGATGTAGAATTGCCGAAGGCGAGAGCCACGCGAAGTTGTCATAGCCAGCTGTACAAAACGTACAAGCCGAGACAGAGTTCGCATGCAAGTCCTTCTTCGCACGCAGACTAGCTGCAACGGTACAGAGGAAGAAACCGAGGTAGCTTAAGAGTGTGCGGATAGATAGCAAAGAGAATGAAAGCAAGCATCCAGAGGCCAAGCAATAACATTAGTTGGACTCGTTGCAATGAAGAGCTACTCATCCTCGTCATCATCGTCGCCTTGAACGTCCATGACTCGTTCACCGGCTCTCTCGAGTGTGTGGCGACTCCAGGCGCGTACTCCCCGATAGATAGCCTGCGAAGTGTTAGGGGAACCATGCATCAGGATCTGGTATCTTCACTTACAAGCAGGAATGTTCCCACTCCTATCACAATAATTATCCAGCTCACTTGCTCATACCTGTCGCGTGCTGTGGTTCGACCTCTGCCACCGCCGACTCTGAACAGTTGCAAAGGGCTGGCCAGAAGGGCTTTGAGAAAGCCCAAAACGCCCATGGATGCAAGCCCCTTAGCGAAATGCTCATACCAAGTGGCAGGCTCTTCATCATTATGAGATTCGTGGTACGGTGACGACCAAGGAGACAAAAAGCTCCAGGGGTCAATGTACAGGTTGATAATAGGATCCGCTACGAAGCCTAGGACAAACACCACCGCGAGGAGGATAGCAATGGTCAAGACAACTTGTGCAGCTGGACAGTATCAGTATATCGTATACTCCGTGGTAATCAAATCCAACTTACCAATGCTTCCAACAACTTTACCGGCTCCCAGTCGTGCGAGCCGGTACTTGAATTTGCACGTAGGACACTGCCAGTAATTACGTCGGCCATAGCTAGGGTCAGCATGACGCCAAGCTTGCAAGCAACCTTCGTGAACGTATTTTGCTGACCCTTTGCACATACACGGACGAATCAAGCGTCCGTTTTCGTCCTCATACTTAACATTGCCGGTGGATTGCAGAAAACCAGGCAGATTCTCTGACGGCACATCGAAGGTAGGCTGGACAGTTTCGAGACATATGCGACATTGGCGTGGCCGCCAGTGTCTTCTTTGTCTCGAGAAGTTGGCGCCTGGGTCATCTTTTGGGACAGATTCGCCCGCTGTCGATGGATTCGGGGGCGATCGTTGTCTTGCTGACGAAGGAGTTCCTGGTGAATCTTCTCTTAAAATGTCCTCCGGCCATATCCATCCCGGCTCGCGCTCGAATCCCGATGTGGAAGACATAGCAGACAGATTGCGCTGAAAGATGTATGGTTTGGTACAGATTAATGCGGCTCTTACGGGGGTAGGTACGTGACAGAATGAAGGCTGTGAATCAAGTGCAGCATTGCCGGATTGCCTCGCTCAAGTGGGAGAATAAAGCATGTCCGGGCGATGCGCCATACTAGGCTTCAGTGACCGTCGAGAGTGACACGGTGGCAGAAGCGCAGCGCGCTCGTGAGTGAAAGAGAATGGAAGATGGAAGAATCCAAGGGAGTAGTGGACCCGTCGGGCTTGGCGAGCCGGTAGCTCCGATGAGCCGCGGCCATCGAAATGTCCCGGAACGGCATTTACTACCATCATCGCAGCTTTCCTGCATCGAGATCTACTCAACACTGCAGGTATTTCCCCTTGCTTTCGCGCAGACCACCAATATCTATACACAGTCCGGCCTTCGCCCCTGACGGCAAGTGGCATTGGTCCCTCTTGAACTCCGTCGGACGTATACGGCGAGCAAGATTGGCAGGACAGCGAAGACGTCACTGCAAGACAAGGCACCAATCAGCGTCGTGGATGCTATACATAATATACTTCGTGCACCAGTACGGCTTGAGCTATAAGAGCATTGGGCACACTAGCTTTGGAGGCACGCCAGTTCACACAGTGTCATTGACTCTCGATGCTGGGGCTGTAGCTTCAGTGAAGAGCGCCGCAGTGGAGGTTTACTAGAGCGTGGCATATCACAAAGCCACACCAAGGTCTGCGTTTATGTGAGATATCTTACTAGATCTGGTTTTACAAGGCATCATGAGTACGACATCGCCGTGACTGGAGGGTTTTTGGGTTTGTGATATGCGCTCATCACGATGACTCGTCATCGGACAATAGCAGACTACGCACTACAGCTTCGACCTCATAGTGTTTACCTTTAGAAGAGATATTGCCGATGGTCTCTCTACGGACTCGATAGCAGACGAGGCCTTCCAACCATAGTACACAACAGGCGCAGAAAAGTGTCTTACCCTATTCCTACACGACTATTGAAGTTGTCTCAGTATGCCTTCGGTATTCTTACAGGACCAGGCCATTCCGGTCTGCCCACAGAAATATCTTTGGGGGAAGTGTGCTATATAGAAGCGGGGACCTAAGCTGGGATCTTCCAATATGAGATAAGGCCCTGCGGGTTTCCTTTATCAGTTACTATTCTTGTGTAATCTGCTTGGATCATTGAGCCGATCAGTAGCTGGCGTTTTGCTCACTCTCATCACGACTTCGTTTCTTCGAATCAGTCGTATAGCAAGCATTCGTAAGGGTTCACCCTTCCATAGTCACTTAGTGACACTATATTCAACCGAGAGCTAGCGTCGCTACGTCGCTTTGAAACATCTCAGTGAATGGGCCTTCGTTCCCCCGGCGCGATTCCCACTCGCTCAGGCCGTCACTCTTTACCATCTGCTCCCCACCCAAGCTTTCGTCCACAGACGATCCACCTTCCTTCTGCCTAGATTGCCCGCCATGAGACTCTCATTCCTTACCGCTTTCATCGCTACGGCTTGTTTGGCTTCCGGCAAGGTCGCGCCTGCCTCGCCCCAGGCTACCGGAACGCTCACCTCGCCACACCACCTGGTCCGACGCTTCGATGCCGATACACTGGCCAGTGACAAAGAGTGGAAAGCCGCGGTATGTAGAGGTGGGCAACTAATTGATAGCATGCTTGCCTCGGACGAAGAGGCTGGCCGCAACATCCAAAACACGAAGCAAGCTCACCCAGCGTCGGCGCGGAGCGAGTGGCAGGGCGATCTCAAACGTGTGTCCCCACATGATGTGTGTCATTTTGGACGTTGCTGATACGCGGTTGCAGAGGAGCTGAGGACCTGGGGATGGCACGATTTCTACAGCAGCAGCGCGCACGCGGACATGGATCACTGGCAAGTGTCATCAGTTGTGGAGGCATTGGGTATCAACGGGAAGCCCAAAGCGGAAGGCGGGAACAATGTTCCGTACGATGTCCAGCATTGGGACCCAGATGCAAAAGACGAAAAGGGAAACGACATCAACAAGAGGAACCAAAAGTACAAGGTCGATGACAAGGAGTACCGCGTGGGCTTTCCAGCTCTTACTGTCTCTTGTGCACTGCTCATAACCTATAGGTCACCGAAGCGCGACACGCTTTTGTTGTGAACCCTGCTGATGGGGGTAAATGAATTTTTCTCTTTCTAGAGAGTCTATCTCATGGGCGAACACTTTCTGACAAAAGAAATAGTGATCATGGGCCAGTTCCTAGAAAGTCCGGCTTCTAGTGCTGAGAGGATCTGGAACCGCAAGCCAAAGCAGAATGAGCTCCCCAAGCTTAGGAGGCTCTCAGATGTCTTTTGGTATGTAAGGTTTATTTTGATATGCTTTAAGTAGATCGGTGACTAATTTTCATGTGCTCAGGGGATATTGGAATCGAGACAACTCAAACCTCGCAAACATCAATTACTTTTGGATGATGGAAATCGCGAACGAGGATACCGAGAAAATCATAGCTCGTACCCTGCACGGAGCGGAGAAGCGGATTCGAGGATGGCCGGGTGTCACTTTCGACATTAACTCTGACGCAGGAAAAGCTATACTTGGTAAGTGAGACCAAGTCAATACTTGAGTCTGTATCCAGCTGTGGTGACTGAACTAATCCCAACTTAGGTTCCGCTAATGGTGCGGTCTTTGCATGGTTCTTGATCCAGCACAAAGAGCAGCTTGGTAACAAGTGGATTACCAAAGTGACAGTCTTTCTCGACGATTCGGAGATATCGTGGAAGAGCGCGCATCTACTCTTCTACGTCGAAGATGTTCCCGATTCCGGGAAGGAGAAGAAACCGGATAGTGCGAACATCGCGTTTGTAGCGCCTTAAGTCTTATTCCCGCAATGCCGCGTCAAGCATGAAATGCTGGGGAGGGCATGTGCCTCGCTCTCGTTCTGATGAGATGAAGTGAGGCATCGTTCAGACATATGCTGCGAAACTAAATGAAACGAATCGAGAAGTCGTTCACGTGTTGAATATCTTTCACAACTGCGAAAAGCCTATTGAGTCCCCCTCGAAACTTGGGGCTCCTTATTGTTCTATAAATTGTGACTTCGCTTTGCCGTTTGTTAGCGTCTTGGTCAAGGTTCGCCTGTCGCCTGCTTTCTCTCCACCTCATCGTATGGTTTCATATGCTACATGCACTGACCATCACTGCCTCGTCTTTCGTGTACCGCCACCAGTGGCTGTTATCGCCACGCCCACTTACCGAAAACACTACAGATGTGTTCATGCAAATTAACCAAAAGGGGACTAGTTTTCTGATCATCCGCCTGTAGTATGCGCTCCCTGCGGAGCTCCGCTTCCACGCTCTGACCTTTGTACACCGATTCTCTACGAACAATCAGCTTTCCGACCTTCCATACGATATGGCAATCGAGCGGTGAACCGTTTCGTTGCTTCGTATCCGCGCCCCTGCCGAACGGCTTGGCGACCTCGGCGCCAGCCCTGGAAGACCATCGACCGGCTTCGTGCCCCTTCGTCATCGGTTATTAGGCATCCTTATGAGGAAACTCTTTGTTATTAGGCATCTTTATGAGAAACCCTTTGTTATTGGGCATCCTTATGAGGAAACTCATTCGAAGGCCTTGTTTGAATCCAGAAACGCCACAGGCTGCAACTGTCCACGATTGGAGTCTACCACATTGGGGCCAAAACAAGACTCAAGATGTTCCATTTATCCATTGTGTACGAATCTCTTTACCGTTGGCTACCCAAATGCATTGGACATTTCATTGTACCAACTCGGACCAAGCTGTGTATCAGGCAGAATCAGTGGCTCCAAACATAGCAGTAATTTTATTAATGCTACGCAGAATACAGTCAGAAAGCGCGATGATCATGCCCATCTTCGACCAATGCTATGGTCCAACGAGGGGCTGTTGGCGGCCCTTTCCCGACAGCACGGTCCTCGTGGCTGCAGGCCAAAGCGGTAGGTAGGGCTAGTTCCAGGACCCAAGAAAACGCGCGACGTATTTAAGCATCGCACTAGCAGTTCGTCACCACTGTAGCCACCGCGCTGAGCATTGTCACCCGAGATGGCATCGGCTAGGGGCGGATTGTCCGACAGTAGAATGGAAGATTATTCATACATTATATCCATGCCGGCGCTCCAGGTCTGCTCCCTTTCGTGGGTCCCTGGACTGTGAGGACTGGCACTGACTTTGAGAAGGGAATCGCGATTACGTTCACTACCCTGAGCATCTTCCTCACCGTCGCCCGACTCGTTCACCATTGGCGCTCATCGCATCACCTCCATATTGATGACATGTTCAGTGCCATAGCGGCGCTTTTACTCATCCCCTACACAGCGGGCTCATTGATAGACGATGAAGTCCAGTACGACATACAGATGTTTGATCTAGGTCGATCATCACACCTTCCCTCCCTGGCTCGCATCCGGAATGCGTTCAAGATGGAAGTTGCATGCACTGTGTTCCTCTGGCTCATTGTGTATGCGGCCAAGGCGACCTTCTTAACGATCTACTGGCGGATGTTTTGCAGCCGACGGACTTTGCGTAATGCATGGTTCGCGGTAGCAACGATTACGGCATTCTTCTTCGGCGTCATTTTCTTCTCGGTTTTCTGGGTGTGCGGAAGTCCGTCGAAGGTTGGCGGCTTGGGTGAGCCTCACATCTGTTACCGTGTAATCTGATAGGAGCTGACCCATTACAGAGGCATGTCGCAGCATGGAAACTGCCGCCGCAATCCGACTCCTGACTATATGGTGTGTCTTGAATCTTGTCGATCTTTCTATCTGTAAGTAAGCTCTTGAGTCTTCATAAGTAGCGCACAGGTCCGGATGCTTTGTGCTACTTTAGTAGCTGCGACACTGCGCTCGGAACCTTTAAGTTGAAGCAGCTACTTATTATTCCCAGTGATCGCTTTCCCTTTCGCTATCATGTTCCTCTCGCGCACGCACCTCGATGCGCGTCAAAAACTGGTAGTGTCCCTCGTGTTCCTTCTGGCTCTCTTTTTCGTTGCTCTTGACATTCTGAGGACATATTATAATCTCACCATTTCACTGAGCGCAACGACGAACTTGATATTTGTATGGAGAATTCTGGAACCCAATGTCGCGGTCATACTGGCCGCTATATCAGGATTTGCAAGTTGGTGTCGGACGATTCGTTCGACTTCGAGTGTTGCGGACGATGCCTGTGGCTGGATCGAGATTGGAGATGTAGGGAAAGATATCTCGAATTAACAAGTTGTTTTACGACAATATATTTTCCTTGCTTGCCCTCGAGACGGTGATTTTCATCATCCAATCGGCGGCTTTTCACTCAACACGGCCCACGCATCTGTCTTTTGAGCTTCTCAAGACTTATGCTCTGTGACTGGGTGACTGTGCTACTTAGGAATTGTAGATTGTATATTGTACAAGTGTAATTACTCGATGATCATAAAAAAGACGTACTTACGTCAAAATGGGGTTGATCTCAGCAATATGTCCGAATGTTGCTACGACATTGCCCTGGCACCTTTCCATGTCCCATCTCGTCCTCTTTCTGTCTAGGCCTTGACACAAGAAAAGTACTGCGCCCACGCCGCCCAGTCAGCCGTTGGGTCCTGCGTCGGGAAGTTCCAGCTGTTCCACTGCTGCTTCGTGATCTTGTTCTCCGTGAAGATGTTCGCAAGAACAGGCACACCAGTTGCGTCCGTGTATTCGAACTTGGTGCAATTTGACACAATGCCAGGCATGACAGGCACAGGTATTTCCTCGGGAGTCCAGATGTCACCGCCCTTGACAGGGCCAGGGTAGGTGTAACCAGGGACACTGATGCAGACGGGTACATATGCTTGTAGGCCGAAGCACTCCTTGCCGATCTCAGGGTTCCAAGCCAGCAGATCGTGGGCGGTGAAGTTGTTGTATTGGGAGACGACTGTGCCACAGTTGTCGCCGGATTGGACGAGGTAGCTTGCCTGGCCTGAGGTTGCTGTTAGTGATTGAATGTAGGGTAAAAGAGAAATAGAGACATGCAGTTGGTGGGGCGGCGAATGCAAACACAGCCCGCAGAGACACTGCAGTAATCCGAGCATTCATCAGGCAGAGTAGCTTGTCTTGCGACGAGGCCCTGCGTAGGGATAGCGATGACGGCGGAGACGAGCAGGGCGATGCTCGCAGTAAAAGTGAACGACACCATCATTACGGTATCAGATTTAAATATGGTGTTCAAAGGAATGAATGGTCGACTGATTGGGTAGCAATTCGAACGAGCGATGATGGATACTCGGTTGAAATCGCGCCATTTGAGCCTACCTTTATACTTCTACCCGCTTTCTCCAATCTCGCAATTTCATCGTCGACTTCCACCAACATCTAGGCTGGATCGTCAGGGGAGTACACTGGTGGCTCTTAGTGCGATGGTGGCCTATTAACCGAGATGAAAGTCGAGAACCAGCGGGGATGAGACTCCGTCGAATTGCTAAATCAAGAAGCTATGTCAACAAAGTTGTCTGTTCTGGTATTGGATTCATGCTGTGGCCTGCGCACGACCCGCTGATGCCTTCGAAAGTACCTCTAGCCCCAAGGAGCAGGAGCAGCGCACGGCAAAAGATCGTGTATGAAGGTACCCACGAGATAGACGGTGATAGCCCAGTCTACGCAGGGCTAGCGTGCGGGAGCATCGCGGCACATGGGCCCTGGGAAGCTTAACACTTGAGCTTATCCGAGCCTTCAGGCAACATCGCTCGAGACACTTTATTAGTAGGCCGTAGCCCTGGGCCACCGAGAATGGATTGTCAGCATCCCTTCAGTTCATGACCCTGTGCCGAGATGGTTGCATCGAGTACTTAGGATGCTCGGCAAATATTTAGTCCAAAAATCTCACTAACGGTCGGAGAGAGCCTGAAACACAAACGGCCGTAGTGTCATTTAGAGAGCATGTCAAATCTCCTGATGTACAACAACTCTGCTCTCATCCCATGTCATCGTATGGCTGCTTGATCATGTTTGCGGTGTGGCTGGGATATCGTTCGCAAACCACTTCCTCGCTAGTGTCCGGGCAATTTTTCGATGCACCACTTGGCTCTCGCATCGCGTCTCGCGCCGTCCCGCAGGGGAGGTTTCATCAATGCACACTCTAACTAAACTTATGCGCCACACGTTTCCGGCCATCCCGGCTCTTCATGCAGCTCCAGATGTCCTTTATTCGTTCTCCATCACCGACTCTACATCGTGATTCCACTCCAGCTGCTTTCGGTGCAGTACTAGACTTGAGCTGCTGCAGTACTACAAAACGTTTGAGGAACCATCGAACCAGCCGATAGATTGACAATACTAACGATAAACAGATTTTGAAGGTATCTATGGATATGCACAAACCACGTGATCACAACCTAACCTTGGAACCTTGGAACAAAAACTGACCTCCTCGCACCCCTATTATACAGCTGCCGTGTCTTGTGTACTCTAGTATTGTGAATCTAAGCAACCATGTTCACAGCAACCTTCGCCATCTTCTTTGCGAGATCGTCAACCTCGCGCTTTGCCTCCATCTCCGCCCTCTTCGCCTTCTTCGCCGCCATTGCAGTCTGAGCCTTCTGAACCAAGAAATCCGCACCATCAGCCGCGTTCCTTCCGTACGACAGATGCGGCGGCAAGATGGTCAGCGTGCCATCGCACACCTGGTCGCCGTTCGCACAGATGATCTTTGTCTTGGCCGGGTCAAAGTTAGGTATCTGGCCGTTATCCTGAGTGTTCTGGGTGTCGCCGTAGAGGATGACACCAGCGATCTGGCTCTGGACAGCGGGATCGAGAGACTCGATCGCACGGTGGGAAACGGCGGCGCCCTGGGAATAGCCTCCAGCAAGGATGACACTGTCGGGGCATTGTGCCGCCATTTGGTTGAGGATGTCGGCCATCGCTTGCTTGGACTTCGCGTCAGTGCCGCCAGGCATGGCGTTGGGCGCGAGGGCGGCGGCGTATTCGATGCCCTCCGTTGCGACGTTGGCATCGCCGAAGGCAGCCTTGATGCCGTCCGAGGTCTGGGGACCGCAGATCGTACCCTGAATGCATCGGTATGGGCTGTCTAGAGTTGTTCCTGGATGAACTCACCATGTTGCCAATCTCAGTGGAACCACGAGCAAAGGCAAACATAACATCCCTGCAACCGCCTTGGGTGAATTCATTGGAGGTCGATCCAGTCGCACGCTTCTCCATAGGTGTGGCAGCAGCCAAAGCCGTCAAGGCCAGGGTGAGGAAGGATTGGGTATACATCTTGGGTTATTAAAGGTAAGACGTTGGCAAGTTTTGGAGTGAATGAATCGAAGTATAGATAGAGAATGTAGATTTGTGCCCAAGAAGATATGCGGAGATGGTTGCTTGCTGATTGTCGTGAGTGCTGCAGATGTATACTTATAACCTTACCGGCTCATTATGCTAGATTTCATGCCTCGGTCTTCGGAAGCGCCAGAATGTAGTGGTCACTCGCCAATGGAATAGCCAAGACTGCATCATAGCGGTTCCGACAATATGATGCGGTATATGAAAAACAACGTCATGCAGAAGGGAGCTCATTCTGGGGACCTGAGGTGGGACGTAGGGCACCCCTGTGCACAATGTCTCTTGAACCGAGGAAGGCTTTCCAAACGACAGGCGGAGACTGCTCGAGAGTACCGTTGCATAAGGCCAGTTTGGGTGGGTTCGGAGCATTGACACTGGATCGCCATTTATGTTTGATATCCTGAAATTCCTCATGACACCGCTTCAGTGATTGCGCAGGGGTATGGCTGTTCAGATTGTACTTGGCACTTCCTCTGCGGCATCCGCAGCAGTATCCACGTTCAGAAAACAGATCGAGCGCAATGCGGTCTGTCAAGGGTTCATTTTTGGTGGAAAGATAACCGTAAGGCCAGATACTGATGGGTAGCTAACGTTAGACGCCATTGTCTACATTTGGATAGAAGTTACGTTTGCTTGCCGTCACAAATGATATCCGCAACTTTGTAGTGTAGTTGAAACAAGCCACAGTCCTTGACTGCCAAGCTCGGCCGATCGCAGATTCGTTTCAGGAACTTGCGTAGAGCTCGTCCGGGCGTCAAGCCACAATTAGATGCCGTTATCGCAGATGCGTGACCGGGGATCAACGTAGACAACCAAACATAGATGACAGAAATCTATGAATCGTCGAGTCTGGAGCTCCCGGGGTCGGTGAGATGGTGGAGCAAAGGTTTGGAGTCGACTCCGACTGTAGGTATTCTTGCGGCGTTCGACGTTCATCGCCTGTCGTGACATTGCGAGCTGCCAAAAGCAAATATCTGTACCCCGGGGGTGTCTCATGTCGGTGTTTTCCACAAAACAACGAGCTTCTGTAATTGCCACTTCTGGCAGTCTTCAGCCTTGGTGCGAGCATTCCGAGGAAAAGCTGAGACCTAGGCCTCGGCATCCCATGACCGTGGTCTGGTCGCATCGGCTGCAGCAGATTGATCTACAAAACCTGGACGTGTTTGAGAAGGTCCCATCACGAGACCTTGGCAGCCAGAGCCAGACTCAGTCGAGAAGCTTCACGACCAGACCGGGCCAAGATTCTAAACACGGAGAATATTCCGCTCTTCGCTAGATGTGTATTATGCTGGCGAACGGCGACGGTGGACGGAATCGCTGGTCCGCTCCTGACGCCACCTCAACTGCATGAGTATGGCTTGGATGCTTGAGTCAGCGTCTAGAATCCCGAGGTAAAGAGAATGTAGGCTCATAGTTTAGGTAAAAATATATAATATGACTTGACTTTGGCTTCATGAAGAGCAAAAGATGGGTGGTATCGTGAATTTATCGAGAACAGACCAAGCCCCACTACCGTAGCGCCTTCCGGCCAGAATCGAAGCGCCTTCACCCCGCCACCGCTCCGACCTTCCACTCTCAACCTTCTCGGCCATCTTACTTCGACAATGACCTCCCTAGCCGCAACATACACCTCGCCCCCTCTACCGATCCGCGAACATTCACGTATGCGCTTCCCACCCTCCCCGCCTCCCCACTGCTTCTGACCGTACCGCCTACCTCGCCGCGCTGCAATCCGCCACAAAAGCACTGCAATCCGACGCCAACGCGTTTTTGACGCAAAAAATGGAGGAGGATAAAGCGAGTGGCGGTCAGGGCGTCGATGCGAAGGAGGAAGCCAATTATGGGGAGGAGGTTGTGGACGCTGATTGAAGGTTTCATGGCTGCCTACGCCGACCACATGCGCAAAGATGAAGAGGACCACATCCATGCAAGCAGAAGGATGATATGGAATCGAACTGAACGGTGGAAAGCTTTAGCTGAAGGATGCGCACGATTATCCCCGATAGTCTTGGAAGCATATCAAGAGGCTGGAGTCGCAGAAGTCTGCCATAGAAGTGGAGCAGGATGCTGCCGCGTTGTAGGCTGAGATCGACAGCTTGCAAAAGAAGTTCCACGTACGCGACCGCACCTAGCGTCGATCATTCCATAGTTCTGCCCTGCGCGACAAGGCCGAAGCAATAGGGCCATGTTCCTGAAGTGGCTCAGTGCGACTGTCTGTCTTCCTGGCTCTCGCTGATGGGCCCAATGTAGCCTATGTATGTATCTACCTGGAATTGCGTACGTCGCAACGCTTTCATCAAACGACAATATTCACGGTCCAACTTGTAGACAAACCCTTGATGCGAAAGAAATCCGCCTTTGAAGGCCAATCTGCATTATCTAATTACCCACGTATCGACAACAAAACCCCATCGCGGCCGGCTACTCTACTGTTCCCTCCATTACCGAGCTATCACAGCAAAATCGTTTCCGAACTTCCGCCTCTTCACATTATCCGGTGCGCATGTGTCAATCGCACCTGGCATAAGCTCATCCCCGACTCGCCACTCCTGCAACACAAGACATGGGTGCCTAACGACTACTCAGACCCCACCGACACATTCGACCCAACGACATCATGCCTAATATCGATGATGACGATCCCAATTGCTCCCTACGGTGATTTCGGCTTTGATGCCAAGGGCGAGGACATCACCAAGCGCTACATTTACAACATTTCCAGACATCTCAACCCTATCGCCGTATCCATATTGATGCAAAATCTACCTCCAACTGAGGGCCATTGTGGCATTTCATATCCACCAAAGACATCGACACAGATGGGTTCGGAGGCTACCTTCCATTACGACCCATTGTGCTGCGCCCGCTATCCAAGTGGTACGAGGCACACCAAAAACCTATAGAAACATAGGACCAGATGACCCTGTACCGCCCGGAAGCTCGCAAAGTTAATTGGGAAATACCGGCCATGGATACTAATTATAGCTCTCCAACCTTCTCGCTCGAAGCCAGAACACAGATCGTGGTGATCGAGAGGCCTGACGAGCCGCTTGTTCTAACACTAAGCGAACTGTTTTTTTTTTTGGGGGGGGGGGAGCGAATGTGTTTTCTAGATTGGGAAAGGCAGCTGCATGTAATGCGCCATGGCACAGATTTGGGTTGTGTCCTCGAACATGGACTGCCGCACGAGCGCTGCTTAGCTCCGAGCGGCGAGGAATTTTCGGATGATGACGGAAACATAGCCGAGGGTGGGCAATATGGGGAGCTCCCAAGACATCCATCCGGTACGAAGATGTCGATGGAGGAGCACATCGACGCCTGCGTCGAAGCGGCTTCGTGATGGATGCACCGTCTCCACTCGACCACGTTCGTTAACGCTAGGCTGTCTCCCGACTATAGTCCGAGCGAAAGTGGTAATTTCAAGAAGAGAAATCACTTCCATCACTACCTCCAACGATGCTGCAGCCTTGGGGCCGATGCGCTTCAATTTGAACCTTCGGAATGAACAAACAAATATAAACCACCGCGAAGTTGGCGCAAAGATAGACAACTTAGCTGTGGAAGCAAAAGGTGAACACCTCTAAACTTCAAATTAGAGGCTATTTCAACGACATTAGCTAAAGTAGACTCAATAGACTTGCGAGCGAGACTGTGCCAAATTCTTGCTCATGATGCAGCCGCATAGATTCAGCTGTAATGCAAAATTGTGGACTTCCTAGTCGTGCAGCGTGCTTCGTGACTTATTTGTACGTAGACATAGGTGCCATAAGATACCCAACGATTACGTTGAACTTCTACGAGTGTTTGTGAACAAGGTGAAGAATGTCTCTTCCCCGCATGCGCATGTGAGCACAGCTGGCAATGAGAAGCGTGCAACATCGTAGGCGCGGGCAGGGTAGATGGGACGGGAGATGGGGTAAGCACGGTGCGGAGGCTGCGGCAGACGGAGGTTTCGAGGCATATGGAGGCAAACAATCATGGATGATGCGCTGCCAGACGCGCGAGCTAGCTCAACCGGTAGCACTCACAGTAAGCACGGCGGTGAATAGGAAATTCAGTTACATTCCCACCAAATGACATCGGGTATCAAACCAACCAGCATTCCTCCTCTTTACCTCCACCCCTCCCTCCCCGCCTTCCTTACACTCCCCTCAAACATCCCGAATGCACCACACTGTTATCGGGATAAACCCTAATCGCACTCCCACCAAACCGCTTATGACAAACCGCACAATGTCTCTCCTCATTAATCACAACCCTCCTATTCAATCCTCCGGGCACATGTCTCCCGTGACTGTCAACTTTCCCCTCGCCCAGCAGCACCGTGGCTTCCACCTCGACCTTTTCCACGCCGCGTAAGCGAGCGACGATGCGCTCTTCGTTGAGCAGGAGTTCGCGCTGCGGATCCGGCCTTGGAAGTAGGATTCTAGGTCTTTGATTGGGAGGGAGGGCGGCACAAGGTCGAGAGTTGTGTTGGCCGGAAGGCGGGCACCGTGGCGGGAGAGGAGATTAAGAGCGGGGACCAATTAGGTGTGTGTGGGTGGGGTGGAGCAAGGTAGAGGGAGAGAAGGACCTGGTAAATGGAAGGTTCGGCGTCGTCGTGGGGGTTGGGGTTGGGGCTGTGGAGGGCTGAAAGGAAGAGCGAGTGGGTGAGGCGGGTTGGATGGTGGACATGTAGGTTTGGTTGCAGTATCTGGGGTAGTTAGCATAGCGAAGTATCTGGGCTGTGAAGTGCTTACTCTTCAGCCTTTTGGTAGTCTTTCATGTCGAAGACGTAGATCTGCAAAGCTTGCTTGTGGTTGCCCATCTTGCTGAGGACTACGGCCCTCGCCTCGTAGTAGTCCGCCTCGTCCGATGGCAGCTGCCTAAACACGCGCATAGTGTTGTAATTCGTGCTGGTCTTGAGGAATGTCTGCAATCGGTACCTCCATCTTTGTTTCCCTTCGTCATCTTCGAATTCATGAGCCCTAAGCCTCTCGAGGAACAGATCGACCAGCTTTTGATGGAATTCAGGTGTGAGATCGTTCAATTCCTCGATGATGTGTTCCAAGTACTCCACAGCAAGCTTCGAGTCAATCTTTTCGAGGAATTCAACCACCTTGTGGCGAGGCAATGTTTCAGCGTTTTCCGTGTCAGCAAGAAATACTTCCATGCCGAGCTTAGTATCCGTTCGCAGCGGCCATTCCGCGAACTCGAGGATGAGATCTATCATCTCCGGTGGTAGCTGCTGCAAGTAACCGACTGTTCGTTGAGGACCCTGAAGCGCGGACGAAACCTCGTCTTCTGCTTCGTTCTTTCCGAACTTTTCGAGGAGCTCTAGTGCCTGACGGTGCATTTTCTTGCCGTGTAGGAAGTCGATCAGGTCGGCATACCGACCAGTCTCGTAGAGCCTCTCTTGAACAACATCTGGTTCGCAGAAGTTGGGAAGACGAAATAGTGGACCGGCTAGGCCTGGGCTTGCTAACATGTACGCACGGAAGAGGGTGGTGTCGACGAGCTGAGCTGCTTTCAAAAGCTCCGTAGCCCAATCAACATGCCCTAGCGATGCTGTCGTCTTTATGAAGTAGTGAAATGGTGGCTTGTACTCTTCCGCTTGGCTATCACTTTGCTCAGGTAATGGCTCTTTCAATGTGCCGTCGATGTCGATGTAGCGCTTAATTTGCACCCGACACTGTGCCAGATACACTTGCAAAGCACGCACCGCGAGCCTCAAGTCCTTACCTTCTAGGTTCTTATCCGGTAGAATGGTTTCCGAGGTCTTCCCTTTAATACTGGCGGCGTCGGCGGTATCTTCTCTCGAGTCCTTCAATGACGATCGAATAGACGCGGTATCGGAGTCCACCTTTTTATGGCCGACCAATCTGCCCATCATCGAACGCCCAATGGTGTTGCCTGCCGTGGAAGGCAGTTCCTTGCTTTCGGCGGGAGCCTTGTCTCCGTTCGTTGCCTCCTCTTCATCGGCCACACTCTCATCGTCCTTTACGCTCTCCACTGAGGAGTAGTTGCCCGCGATGGACTTGGGATACAGCGCGATAACACGTTCGGGTGGCGCTTTGGCATCCGTGAAAAGATCCATGGCCTCGCGAAACTTGCGTAGCTCGAACAAAGCCTGTGCCTTGAGAATCATAATCTCCCTTATTCTCTCTTCCTTGTCGAGAAGAAGTGTATCCTCCAACATATTGAGAAGACTCAGGGCCTCATCGAACCGACCATTGGCAACAAGCTCGTCAATCTGTGATTCGTAGCTCTGCGCACCCATTCTCCAGATGCACCGATCACTCCCTACAAGGAAGCCTTTGCCGGCATGTGCTAAGCTGATGTTTGGTTGCGGGACGTGGAGAAAGTTCGCGTTCGGCAGGGCGATGGTTTGCAGAAGGTTGAGCGTATCCGGATTCCTGATTTCCAGTCCTCCTTTTGCGGGTGGCTGTAGCGATAGCATGTACGGGTACGAGTATGCAAGGCACTCGGGCGCCGATGGCCATGGTACTTGTCGCTTATCGAGGGCATTCCCGTCGGTGTCGATGAATAAGCTGTTTACATCCTTGGACAGTAGCATCTCGCCCTCTTGCAGCCGTGTTGCCAATGGCTTCGGCACCCAGCTTCCCATACCCATATAACCCATGCCGGATGAAGACACAGCGCCAAATCTGGTCCCGCCCTGACCACCAGCTTCGCCCAACGGACCCGGCTTAACGATGTCCTGAATTTCCTGGCTCTCGACATTGACCATGACAAAACCAGGATCCATACCAGCGACAATCTTGGTACCCGTTGCCCACGTCAGGCTCTTGACCGAAGCAACAAGGGTGATCTCGGCATCACCGCTCAATTCCATGTCCTGCCACGTCCATAGTATGATCTTCCGCTTGACGGCGACTGCCAGCCTGCTCACGATGGTCGGAATGCCCGTGCCAGGATCTTTGACGATGTTGCTTGTCACGGCGAAGGTTGTGGCGCCCCGTGTCCGCTCTAGCTTCTCCTGTAACGCATACGTCTGCAGATCGTAAACCGAGACATGATTGTCTGACAGCGACAGGAGGATGTTTGCCTCCTTGATGATAGCCAGCTGCTGTACCGGGCGTCGCGAGAACTTGTCTTCTTCGCGCAGGAGATCTACGGGCTTGACCTTGGGTGCCTGCGACTCGGGCTGGTCGCTGCCGTTCTGCTCGCCGTTCTGCGCGGGTTGCTCGTCGTCTTCGGTAGTCTCGTTGACACGGTAAATGCGTAGAGAGCCGGTGTTTAGGCCAACAAGTACTCTATTACCTGCACGCTGTCAGTCAGCGTCTCACCCGGTAGACGGCTAGGTCAGGGTAGCTGCATACCGTAGGCGAGGATGGATTCGATCTTGGACTTGTCGCGTGGCTTCAGCTCGATAATCGGTCGGGCTGTGAAAGCGGACAGCATGTTGAGGGTGGGGACGACAGCGTGAGGAGATTCATTACGCTACGCTCATGTTGCTATGCGGTGAGGTTGATGCTGTCGTGAGCTCCATGAGCTGTGCGCATGCGCCGCGGTCCGTCGTCATTGCTGGCTTGAGCCATGGTCCGTGCCCCACGTGCTCGAGCTTCGACGCTTCACACCACCAACTTGCACACGACACAACACAGCATGAATGCTTAGCAAAGGCAGCCTTTTTGTAGCATGCGGCTTCTGCGAAGCTCGTGGAGTTACAAGAACTCACTGTTTTAGCATCAATGTGAGCAGGTTCATTCGATTCATAGTAGTGGAAAGGAACTTTTGGGGGTTCTCTGCAAATTACCGAGAAACTACTGTACATGCCGAATTGCGGGTGTCAAAGCAGCTGCAGAAAGTAGCCGCCCATGAGTAAGGTGAAAGACTCTTAGGAAGCAGGGGGTATTTCTTAGACTAAACGCCATGAAATCGTGCTGCTCCATATCCAATGGAGAATGAAAGCCAGATTAAGGGGAATGGGGGTGTTGGGGTACCGCAGAAACAAGAAAGCCATTGTAGAACTCACCATGACCCAAAATGCCCAGTCGCCAAAAGACAAGGGTCGGTGGAAGGGAAAGAGAGATCGAGACAAATCTGAAGGGCAAGGGATCAAAGCCGTTGGCATACGCGCCCAACTCACCTCACCGCCGTACCCATTACAACACCGGCGTACACCTCGCTTACACACCGATTGCCGTCCGGCCAACGAGTGTCGGTGACAGGTAGTAACACATGCCGTTGAAAGTCCTTTGATGGTCGTCGAGGTTGTGGTCTGTGGTCAGAAATCGATGCGTAAGGCAAGCGAAGAACATATGCTTGATGCGGTTGCCGGTAGTTGCCCGGGCAGACGGTGGGCTTGCTAGAGGGATTCCTCTAGCGCGTCGAGGAGGTCCTGATTCAGGCACTTTGGAATATCTTCCTCTTCGATCTCGTCGACAGGGAGGTAGACGTCCTCCATGGTGGGGATGCATTGGACTTGGTCGAGTGTGTATTGCTCGATTACCTTCAAAACTGTTAGATGCTGTAATTGAACGTGGGATTATCGGTGATACTGACCTGGAGCTGACCCCACGGAATAGTCGGTGCGCCTGGCTCGCGAGGGAGCGGAAGGAAGCGACCGCAAGCTGTCTTAGCTCGATCATCGCCTTCCCACTTCATCTCCGCAAGGGACGGCCATGGGGAAATCTCATCCTTACCGTTCATCCAGTCGAGACACCAGATTGTCTTCATGCCAAGGACGCGCGAGGTATTGCCGGTCATACTTAAATTGGCATTGGGCATGATCTTGGCTTGTTGTTGTTAGATAATTACACGTACTGAAGATTTGAAAAAGAAGCTTACTGATGGACTCATCCCTCTTGGGATCAGAGTGAGGTACCTGGACAGCACGCTCAAGCTCCTTCTGCTCCACAGCCCGGGCTAGTAGAGCCTTCTTCGATGCAAGCATGCCTTCCTTGTGATCAGTATAATCCTGCAATTTCCACTTCGCGACATCGCTGTTTTTGAAGAGCCGACGCATAGCGTTGCGAATGATGACAAACTCCTGATGGTGTTGGGCTTCCTCTGACACCCAGGTTCGCGAGCTACGGAACCCATGGCCGGCGAAAGGGTTTGCGGCAGGTCCATGACCATGGCCAAAGACATTTCGAGGTCTCAGCGGACGCAGGTCTCGAGGTGCCAGCGGACTAGGATGCTCATGGCTAGTATTGGTATTGTGGACAAAGTGACCTCCAGATTTCCAGAAGCGGGAGCCTGTGATCGCGGAAAGATCGCCGCCATCAATCGGAGAGCTGATAGGAGAAGCCACCCCCGGGGATTCGTTGGAGGCCTGCGCATCATCAAGACTGTCGCCCTGAAGCGTCTGGCTACCCTCCGAAGAAGATGATGAAGACGAGACGGTCTCCTGCAAATCCACACCGCCGCTGCCGGGGAACTCCCCACCCAGATTGTGATCCTGAGAGGCCATTCAAGGATGGCTTGGCTGGGGGACAGAATGCAGGAAGTGACGACAGGGATGGATAGTGTAGGAGGGTGTGAGGTATTCGAGGCGAGCTCTAGTAGAGCTTTGGATTATCGTTGTCGGTGACTTGTAGCTGAGAAGCGGTAGACACTGTGCTCTTGAAATCGTTGGTCAGTGACGGCTGGATTGATGAATAAATGGCCCGACAATTCTGCCATGCAACGTCTGAACAAGGTACTACCCCGCAGTAGTTGAGCAGTGAGAAAATAATAAGCAGATTTCCAAGTGGCCGATGACGAAAGTTGCACTAACAAGTGAATCGGAAGGCGTGACCGGTCTGACGAGACCTGAGGGGTAGGCAAACGCTGTTTGAAGCTTGTGCTACATTATGATAGATTTACATCAAATCTTAAGAACCTGTCCGAGATATCCGTTGCGAAAGCTAGTGGAAGAAACGTTTGCCAGACGTTTGCGGGCAGAGGTAGAAGTAAGACGAATTATACGTACCGAGACCACCTCGTTGTCCGTAGTAGTGGGTATCCTGCGCTCGAGAGCTCCGAAGTGGCGGTATGTTGGAAGAAAGGAAACCTATCGGAGGTTAATATAGTAGCTCCAGGAACACCGCCTAGTGTGGGGTAAAATGACAATGAGAGGATACGGTGAGATGCCATTGAAGGTCCGCATTGAGAATAATATCAGTGCTCACCAGGCCTAGGTGAGAGACTTACTGGTCTAATCAGGCGGCAACTTGTAACAGCCACGCGCTGTTTCCAGCCGATGCAGCTCCGTCACTACAATAGCCAGCGACAAGCTTCTTGTCTATGTCCAAAACGAGGCGACGGCCAGAAGAAGCGAATACAGACGAACGTGGTGTACGAGGGTGTGAAATATAAGTAAACAGTTCGGGCGACGAAGATGCGGCGAGAAGGTTTGCGGTGAACGGTCGCGGCTGAGCGCGTCAGATCGATAACAAAAGAGGGTCGAGAGAGGTCGTGCAGAGGGCGATGGATTTTATACAGGCGGAGCGTGGCGTAAGGTTAGGGACCACGACGCAGAGGCCCAAGAGAGCAGCCAGGTGAAGCCATCACAACCTTGGGCACGGTTGTCCGCAACAACTGCCCGCAACTAAGCTTTGGACCCTGCACTTCCGAGTAACGCGAACAAGATGCGCCTCGAGCGCGCGCAAGCGATAATCTAAGAGCTCAGCTTCTTCAACCACAATCACGCTACCACAACACAAGTCTCCGAACGCCTGCTGGAATTCAGACCTGGTGAATCTAGCGATGTACCGGCCTGTAGCCGCGCAAGTGCGCAAGCATGCACAGCAGAAACGGGCGGGCAAGGATCCGGTGAAAGCTACGAGTTGCATCGGAAGATGATATTGTGAGAAAAAAGCAGTCTAGCATTCGCAAGATCCACATGGATAGCTGATCAAAGTAGCTTGATAAAACAACAAACGAATGAGACGGAAGTCGGCCGCGATGCGACAGACGGCTGCTTTTTCACTGTGCAGCGATGCTGAAGCCTGCGGTCCATGACTCCAATAACTCTTTTAGGGGATGTATCTGCTCTACCCGTACCCGCCGTATCATGGTCTCTCTTGATGAGCAGCCTGTCCAGTTTTCGTGGATCGTTTACGAACAATCTACAAGAAGCCGAGGGGGCATAGAAAAGGGAGACAAGGCAGAGACAATGTTGAGGGGAGATAGGATATCTGGCCCTAGATACAACGGATCTTCTTCGGCATGGCGCAACTTGCGGGGAGCATGGAAGAACACTTGTGAATGTAAGAACTCAAGGGAAGGCACGTCGTCTGAAGTGGCTTGTTTTGAAGTCGAGATTGGCCAGGGCTTGATTGGTCCACGCTTCCCCGGATCGCGCCTGCTTGGCTCGGCGCTACGCCGCAACCTTGCAGCCGCGGGTGCGCAACCGAGGGCATCGCCAGCGGCACGAAAGTGGGTCGGGCACGCTCTGTTGTTCTCGTGGAGCCCAAGCAGAGCTCCCGAGGAGGAGCCATGCTCAGCTTGACCACGACGACCATGCGCAGCAGACTCTGTAGACGATGGAGAGAGTGAACCGCGCTCACTGCTTCGAGACTGCTTCGAGACACGGAATGATGACGTCGGTGCCAGCCTGCAGAAACAGGGAAGGCGCATTGCCCGTTAGCGCAGCGTGCGGATGCCGTACAAAACCACGCCGCCCGCCATGTCTTGCAGCTTTGAGCCTCCTCTGCCTGCGACCGAACGACCCCAGAGGTGGTTTCCCTTGCGCTCGACAACAATCCGCCCTGCCCCGCCTGGTACGTCGCGGGGCCTCTCGCCTCCGCTGCGCGCCAGGGCAGCCAGTGGGCGCAAGCCGGTGAACAAAGGACGCCCGCCCAGACAACCCGCGACAACCACTCGAGCAGCGAGAAGCTCGAAATAACAGTTGGCTCCGCACGAGACTGTCCTCGCGCGGTGTTTGGGCCTTCTCCAGCCTGACCACCTGCCACGCAAATGACTGGTCGCCAGGCCCTTGTTCCGCCTACGTGGGCGCCTATCTGGGCCGCTCACCTATCCACATCTCGCCAGACCCACAACAGAGCCGCAACGTACTGGATGCGCTGTTGGACGTCGACGTCGAAGCAGCCCACTGTTTGCGCTGCCATTGGCGCTTGCAGCCGGCCTGTGCTCCGTCCTGCGCTTCCTCGCGGTACGTACTACACTTTGTTTCAAGTCGACATGTGCGGTGAATGACCCAAGACTGTATCCTTTCCCACTCCTCTTCCATACTGCGCTTTCACCTTCGCCTTCACCACCTTTCTTTGTTGCATTGTGCGGAGCGTTTGGGTCTATTATTGTCCTCTTGTCCTCCATTGTCTCTTATTGCCTAATCATACTACTCGCCTCCGACATCGATTTCATACGCCAACATCTCTGGAAGATATCGTGCATCGTCATACCACCTTTCTACGACTCTCACGAACCTCAAAATCCTCAGCCTGGCGCTGGCTTCCTGCAACCCATCTAATACTCTGCCCAGACCTCGCGCCCATAACCATCCACTTTCGTCATGGCTTCCACGGCGAACCAACAGCAAAACTTCCCTGCTGTACCTCCACATCTGTCCGCTGGCGATTATGAGATGCGAGACAGCTACCCAACTCAAGAATCACCACGACCTCCGTTAAACCAAACACCATACCTCAAACCATACCTCGGCCTTCGAGCTAGGCTCTCGCAGATATGGATCAACCGCTGGACCATTCTTCTACTCCTCGTTCTCATCCGCCTCCTCTTCGCCATCGCGAGCACTGACTCAAGCCTTGCGTCAGCTCGTAGAGAGGCACTCAGCGCGTGCACCCAAGTCGAAAATATGGGCAGTTCCATGGCTTCCATGCCCCACTTCATGGCCGATGGCATCAACGAGATGACCGCGGCCGGCGTCGAAAAAGCAGTCAACGGACTCATGCAGATGATGGAACTCAGTGTCACCGGAGTGGAAGAGATTGTTATCTTCGTCATTCACATGATGACGAGCACATACCTCTGCCTCATCACTCTTGCCGTTAGTGGCAGTCTTCATGCTGCAGTCGAGATCGGAGAAGCTATCTCAAAAAATCTGAACGAGACTGTTGAAGACGTCACTAACGGCATTGGTGATGCCACCAAGAAAGTCACTGATGGCATCAACGGCCTCATCGACAAGATCAACTTTCCATTTGGACCTTCGTTTGAGAAGCCGTCAATCAATTTGGACGATCAAATCAACAAGCTCAAAGCCCTTGAAACTCCTCCCGAGATGCAAGAAGGCCTTCAGAAGCTCAACGAGTCCATTCCGACCTTCCAAGACGTGCAGAACTTCACCGACAACCTGATCCGACTCCCGTTCGAAGAGGTCAAGAAGCTAATCCAGGGCATGAATAACTTTACTTTTGACCGAGATCTTCTTCCCGTACCACAGAAAGAGCAGCTCGACTTCTGCTCTGACGGCAATTCCATCGGCAAGTTCTTTGATGACCTTGTTGTGCTGGTTTACTCGGCCAAGAAGATCGCTCTCGGTGTTCTCATCGCCCTGGCTGTACTTGCTATTGTCCCTATGGCCTACATGGAAATCCGCCGGCACCGTCGCATGCAAGAGCGCGCCCAGCTCTTCCACGATGTCGCCTACGAGCCGATGGATGTTGTTTATCTCGCCTCTCGCCCGACTTCCTCTACAATTGGTCTGTGGTTTGGCCGCCGCTTCGGCTCCGCCCGTCGCCAAGCAGTTGCGCGATGGGCGTGGGCTTACGCAACTTCTGTTCCGATGCTGTTCCTACTGTCACTAGCTATCGCAGGATTCTTCTCTTGCTTCTGTCAATATCTGCTAGTCAGGGGCATGCAACAGAAGGTTCCAGAACTCACAGACCAAGTTGCCGGGTTCGCTGAGAAGGTTGTCGATTCGTTGAACAACGCCTCGATGTCATGGGCCGGCGGCGTCAATGGAGCCGTTGAGCAGCTTGACTCCACGATCAACGATGACATGCTTGGCTGGGTGAACACTACCACGACTGCAATCAACGGCACTCTTAATGGCTTCGTCGACAAGATGTCCAGTGTTCTCAATGACACATTCGGTGGCACGGTTCTCTATGATCCGATCAAGGAAGTGCTTAACTGTCTTATCGGCCTCAAGATCGCCGGTGTCCAGAATGGGCTTACCTGGGTCCAAGAACACGCCCACGTCAGTTTCCCTGGGGTGAGGAACGATACGATGTCCCTCGGAGCGCTTGCCAAGGTGAGCAATTCGAGCTCTGCTGCGGAACTCCTTGCCAATCCCAACGGCAAAGCAAGGGACGAAGTTACCGAAGCTGTCAACTACGTCGTCGAGAAGCTCCTCAGCGGCATCCGGACCGAGGCCCTCATCTCAACTGCCCTTCTTCTCATCTGGCTTGCCATCGCGCTCGGCGGTCTCGTCTACGCTGCTACTCATATGGCGCGTCGCGATACCCCAACAGGCACAGCCTATGTTATTGACCCGGCCTCTGACAATGCTCCCCAGAACCGCGACTATCCTGCGGACGCAGCGCCACCATACGAGTACCCCGTCAACAAGGCTGCACCGTACACTCTGCAGCCCCGACCTTTCCAAGTCTTCAGCCCTAACCCTGAATCTGAGAAGGTCGGTCAAGTGGAAACTCATACCGTCAACGATTCCGCCCGCCCCGGCCATCTGCGCACTAGTAGCTATGGACAATTTGCCGACCCATCCCCTCTCGACGAAAAGCGCAACCCCTTCGCTGATTCACAACGACGTGAGAAGAATCCGTTCTCCGACCATTGATCCTATTGTCGATAACCCTTGCTCTTCCCTGGCCTTTTCGTTCGCGTTCTGAGTCTAGGAAGCAGCACGAGTTGCTACATTGACCTGTGACGAGCTGTAATTGCTCAGGTTACGTACCTTGGACCTTGAGGTCCTTTCTCTGATGATGCTTTGCTCTCGAGAAATATATCTGCCGGAGTGACGGAGCTTGCTCCCCGCTGGTAGACGAACCCAAACTAGTGTTTTAATAATGCATCCTTTTCCAATTCTAACACTCCTCAGCAGCGTGTTGAGTGCTTGCACTCCGCGAGCTGGGGCGTCGAATCATGTATTTTTTTTGGTTTCAATGAGCTGCGTCGTGCTCTGTTCTTGCTATTGGCGTTGGATCGATATCCCCTCATTGCATTCTTCGGAGCGTTTGGTACTTTCTGTATTCCCTTAACTGGCGTGTCTCAACATCGCATCTCTTTTCTCGCAAGAGATGCCAAAGTCCATTTCTTTTCAAAGTGTGATCCAACAATGAGGTTTGTGCATATCTCCTTTGGTTTGTCTGTCCCCGAGGCCCTTTCCCTCCTGCCCTCTCCCGCACCGCGCACACCCCTGATTGGAATCTTCTGTACGCCCGCACGCGCACTCCCCGCCTCCCCGCGGCTTGCCCGGTTGGCCGCGAGTCCCCGTGCGGCGCTGCAATCAAGGACGCAATCGGCGTGCGTCTGCGTCGGTGCGGCAATGGCCGGACATATTGGGTATAATCGCTCTATTTCGCCTTGTCCTTCCGCGCCTCCATATCTCACCGGCCCTGTTTGGATGCATCTTCGGACCCGCTGAGGCTGTTGCTGGGGGAGGTTTCTCTTTGCGATGCAGGATGAAGTGCTGATCGGTAACGAGCGTTGGTTTGCTTCCCTCCTCACACTTCTCCCTACTTCCTTTCGCAGGACGGGAAGGGCGGAAAAGTGTGCAGTCGAGCTGGAAGTCGACAGATGTGCGCTTGAGTCGGTTTTTGGTTGAAGTGATCCTCGTCCTCTGGATGAAGGGTTGGTTTACATTTATGTATGCGCTTTGCGCCGCTTGTGTTGATTCCGTGCTTTTGCCGGAACTGTTTTGTTGGTATTGATGAGAATTGGGTTGAAAGAAGGTCAAAGAATGAATGGGTGGAACGGCTGGTTACGTGGCGTGTGTTATGGCTGACCTGAGTCGCTCTTTTGGAGGGGTTTACTTTATCTTTTTTGGGAGGGGAGATGGCTTTCCGACCAGATTGTTGTATGTGTTTAAGCTGGAGGCTGTCGATGTCAAATTGAATATGCCCTCTCATGACTGTGCCGTATGCTTCATATGTGATATTGGGGTTATGCAGAGAAAACTTGAATTTCACTTAACGGCTATAGACATACACTTCCCGGCAGCATGTGTAAATATATCAGTAGATTACAGAACCAAAAGCAACATTAGATCAGTAGAGACCCTGGGCGTACCCGTGCTTACAGAACCCAAACAAAACCTGTAAAATACCCACCGTAGATCCTACCCTGGCTCAAGCCAGGAACACCCACATGTAAATTGCCCACCCTAGCTTCTAGTGAAGCTAGGGTAGTCTCAAGAGCCCAATCGCCAACTTGATAACAAGCACGCCATACTTCCACACCACTCACCAGCTCTTCAAGCCCATCGCATCCAACTCCTCCATGAGGTTATCCTCCCTCAACTTCGACATTACTCCCTCCTTCTCCCTTCTCCGCATCGCAGAGTGCCACGCGTCATTCTTGCGCTTCCTCGTCTCACCTGGAGTCTCCTTCAGCCCCACAATCGCTCTAGAACGCCGGTGTCCGCTGTCATTGGCAGGACCCAAGCGCTTTGGAGGTGGCTTCTTCGTCGTCTTGAAGTTGATGGAGGATTGAGAAGATTGTTGAGGCTGGATGCCCTTCCCAAGCTCGTGGATGATAGCGATGTCGTGTTCGTCTTTGCCAACCACAATACAATGGTAGGGAGCCCGAAGGACGGGTGCAGCGGGGTTAGTCGCGCGGTGCGCCGTAGTGCCGCATGTGGTGCAAGAGAAGTTGCCGGAGATCAGGTCCACCTGCGGTCGGAGTTCCTGATCTTGGTTGTCCCAGACCTTACAAAGAACATCGACGTGGGCTGCGAACTTCTCTTGTGCCATAGGATCGCCATTGTCATCGAGAAGTTGAATGTGTTCCTTCACGGTCTCAGCGGTTGAGGAGCGGTGGATGTTGATTGCGGATGCGTAAGCCGTCGGGACGGTGGAGCCGGTGGAGGAGATTCTGGCCATGGGGGGCTTGCAATTTGCGGCACAGGGCTCGGCGTTTCCCTGTACAGCCTGGAAGTGGTAAGGCAGTGTAGGCTACTTACGGCATGAGGAAGGAACTTACGACGGTGTGTCCGCAATCGAGAACGTGAATACGGGAACCAGTATGGAAGCAAAGGCGAGTCTCCATGTTCCGACGGGAAGAAAGGGGAGTCCAAGGCGTGACAGGAGGTTGCATGAGAGTGATGCTGAAGTACTTTCTCTCATTCTTCTTGTACAGGATATGGTGATGCATTGTCTGTGGAGAGGGAGTACCAGAGAAGTGCCATGGCGGATTGTTCTTGAACCCAGTCTTGAAGGCAGTGGCCTTGGTGGACTTTGGGCCAGTGGGAGCATTCGGAGGAGGATCAGTGCTGGAAGGGCGCATTTGAGGCTCTTCAATAAAGGCGGCATCAGCCATGTCCGCATCGGAATCCGAATAGTCGACAAGGCGGATAGGGGAAGACATGATGTGGAAGTGGGTGGATGAAATGTGTAGTGAGTATATAGACGAGTGATTCCCGTTGTTTCCAAAGCTAGCTCTTTTTGAAGGATCCGGTCTATAAGCGTGTGTGGAAAGAAAGAAGCAGCGGCACAGCGGCAGGGCCCGCCTCTTATGCCTCCAGCCTGCAAACACTCAATCTCAATGCAGAGCCGCACCCCGGAGCTCGGAGTCGCGGGAATGACAAGTTCGTTTGCATACGCGCACTTGCAAAGTCACGTTAATCCACATGTTGCCCGCGACGCAAACAAAACGCGGCGTCACCGGAAAGTTCGAGTGATTTCTTCTCACCGTGTTGCGGTGTTGGGATCATCATCTGTCATGCACAAGGTGATCTGAGGTTTTTAGAACCAGACTGCAGAAGTTGGGTGTAAGAATGATCGAAGGTCGAGTTGGAAAGTGCCTATGTGGACTAGGTGTGCTTCTCCTTCGGGGCACAGATGCTCCTTCTAATGGTATGATATCAATTCATCGGTCCATTAGTCTCCTACCCGAATTTTCGGCCTCAAGCAAACAGAACAAGGAATCACACGTCTTTTGAAGCAAGGCCTAATTTCCGGTTTCCCGTCCAATGGCATCGCTCAGTCACGCAACCCATTGAGTGGAGCACCCAATTCTCGAGCATGCCTTACACAACCATTCACTCTTCGTCTGAGCCGAAAAGTTCATTGCATGTAGTTGTATCTTAGCTCTACTCGGTCTCCCTTCTCGCAACCCACGCAGCCTTCCTGAGCCCAACACCGGGCCGCACCTCCCAGTTGATCTCGTTCCTCGCCTGCGCAAACGCTTTATCAGCATCCTCATTGTCACGCAACAACCCTGCCGCCCTCTCCAGATCACCCGCAGCAAACAAACACTCACCCAACGCCATATGTGTCAGCCCGAGCACATACCAACTCCTACCCCGCTCTGCATCAGTGAACCAATCCGGTTTATTCGGTGGAATGAGTTCAGGGGGAAGTGAGCGGAACCATGGGTTTGAGGCTGGGGAGGGAGAGTCGGTGGATAAGCTGAGGGCGTGGGAGGCCGCCGTTTCGGCGGCGAGAAGGTCGGCTGCAATTTGCTTTTGAGCTGCCGTGGGAGTAGAAGCTGATATCAAAGGGGAAGAGGAGGCAATGGTTGGGGAGTGCTTTGCATGAAGCGTCGTGGCGAGCGTGAGTTCCGTGCGCCAGCGCAGATGCTGGAGACTCTTGACAAAGGACTCGGGCTGCGAGTGCAATGTCTCCGCACGCGTGAGGTACGCGTAGGTGATTGATATTGTTGCCGCCTGGCATTGCTGAGTGGCAGTTTCGTAGTCGCTCTTATCGTGCGCTGCCTCAGCGCGGTCGGTCATCTCAGTCACGGCCTTCAGCCATACATCCGCCTCGAATGTCGCCGCCATCATGCTCCGCTGCAGCGCGTACGCATATCCCTCCAATAGCTCCTTTCCATCTACTTCCACCTTCCCAATGTCTGTCAACGACCGAAACAATTCCAGTAAATCGCCCTGCACCCTCGCTTTCTCCAACCCAAACATGTTGACCACAGACAAAAACAGCGCATGGCCGGCTGCCCATGCCCCAGATGCCTTACTCGCCTGCTCCATAAAATTTACCAGGCGAGGAAGATACTGTGCCGGAAATATAACACTCGTTCTCTTCACAGCGCTTCCCTTCTCCACAATCGTCAGATCCATCGCATGCGTCGTACACTTTTCCACCGCCTCCGGACTCGCAACCGAGAACAACACGCCCGAGTCCTCCAGCATCGTCTTCGCATGTCGTGCATCGGGGGAGTAGATTTCGAACTTGATAAACAGGTTCTTGGAGTAGAAGAAGTCGCGCGCTTCTTTTGAGATCTGTTTGTTGACGAAGAATAGAGCGGATGCGACTGGAAAGGGCGGGCGAGAGGCGTTGAAGTGTAGTGTGGACTTCTTGATGGTGTGCGTGTAGGAGACGTTGGGCTGGCCGGCATTGACGAGCTCGGTGTCGAGGAGGTGGGAATGGATCTTGTTTCGCACGGGTGCTGGAAGGGTGGTGAAGCCAACAGGTTGCTTCCTTGATGGCGGTGCTGATGAAGTGGATTGGAGATGTGTAGCTTCCAGCTTCAAAGGAACGTCCGTTGCAGCGTCCATGGAGTCATGCTTCCCAATCGAGACCATTGCGAGCATGTTCGAACTCGCAAGGAACTGATGCGATGACCAGCGACTGTCTCGATGGATCTGTGTGGTGCTCGAGTCCGCAGCCGAAATGTAGTCTTAGTCGGTTGATTGCTTTCACTGTAGCCGCCCAGCAATAGTTGTAGAACACTCTGGTTGCTCCCGGCTTTAAGTTGTGGGGTTATATAGCTGCGCCGTTCCGCATCCCTCCAAGGTGCGGGGAAGCTTGACATCTCCACATCCATCTACGCACAAAACGCGGATCCGGTACTAGTCCTGCAAACCCCTCGCGGAAGTATCCAGATTAGGTACTTTGCATATACTCATATATCGTTATGTGATTAGCCTCAAGGCAAGGTATCTCCCCGGTACCTACTCCTACAACCGCAACTACAGGCTATCGGAAGATGACCTACTCTACATAAGCAGTGTAGATCTGCAACCCCTTCGTAGCCCTGAATTCCATATCTACATCCTGTCCAACGAAGAAGATATACCCCTCACTAAGCTTATGCTCCTTCCCATCCGCCTTGAACGAGCCCTCACCACTAGTCACGATAAAAATAGACGGCCCACCGATCGCATCAACCGTCTCCTCCTCGCCATCTTTCAACTCTGTAGACAGCACGCTAAACTCGCTCAACGGCGGCGCATATACCTGCGTCTTGCCATTCTTCGACTTCTCGGACGTCTTCGGAGGAAGCATGCACTCGTCCGGCGAATGCGGCGTGAAAGTGAGGCAAGAGGTGAACATATCGATCGAGTTGCGATCAGCGCGTGGGCAGAATCCGGTGTTGAGGACGTTGTTAGAGCGCGCCATGCACTCAATGATGTCGCCGGACAGGTAAGCGTGGATGCCGTCGGCGGGAATGTAGATGCTGTCGCCCTTCTTGAGCCTGAGGTAGTTCATTGTGATGAGGGCCACGACTGTGCCGTTGTCTGTCTTGTCGTACTGCTTGGACAGACGGGGTATTAGCTCCGGGATGTAGGAGTCCGCGCCGAACTGCTCTTTGGGAAGTTGCAGAAGAGCGTCGTTGGTCTTCTTGATAGCTTCGTCGGAGGCTGTGAGCATGGTCTTCACCACGTGCTTTAAGGATTGGTCGTCAAAGTCGGGCTTCTTGACGGAGGGAAGAAAAGGTTGGAGGGGAGGCAACTCCATTAGCCTCTGGATGTCTTTGAGAGGCTTGAAGCCGCAAAAGGCTTCGAAGTCTGATAGAGCAAGTGCGATTTCCGGCTTGTGGTTTGGGTCCGTGAACTGTTCAGGGTCGCGGCTGTGAAGTTGAGAGGCAAGCTCTTTGTTCTGGAGAGCTTTAGCAAGTGGGGGTGGTGATTGGATGAGGCGGGACATACAGGATGTAGCTGCAGGGGAAGAGCCTTTGCTATCGACAGCACCTTTGGAAGGTAAGGGATCTTAGTGTGGTTAAACTTGGTGATGGTGTTCTTGCCGATGAGTTCGTCGGCGTTCTTATCCAATACATCTTGTAGGTCTTCGCCACTCTCGAGCACATACGACGGTAGCTCGGGATATGTTCCCATCCACCTGGCACGAGTTAACAATCGTGCCCGAGGACGCAGTCACACGGGCTGGAGGCCCCTTACATCTCAGCGTATGGGCTGTTCTCGTCAATCTTGAAGTCGGTGCCTGGGGTTTTGGAGCATAGTTTGGCGGCGAGCGAATCTGAGCCCTGTCTGCCCCAGGGGTACTGGTTGCAGTAACATTTCAGCTGTATAACCTTCTCGACCATTGTGAGGGATGCGACGATAGAATTGGCCAAACGGGTCGAGGAGGTCTGGTGGATGTATGCGTAGGAAACATCAGAATAGCAGATACTTATGATATCGCAAAGACATATTCGTGACAGGTACTCGACGTCATAGCGGGTTCCGCTGCAAAGTCGCCTTTCCAACACTCTTAGACCCGCGCAGTGCCGCCGAGAGGCCTCCAGACGATGTTCTTGGGACGAAACCCACTACGATGCCGTTCCGGTCCAATTAGCCATTCGGGGATATGGGTCGCGGAAGACGAGTTGTGAGCATGACCTCGGCGCGGTCGGGTGAGGCGTGACGACGGCATTCCCGCTCCTCATGGGCCGTACGCATGAAATCGTCGTACCTGCACCTGCACTCAGACGTCTTTGTCGCTTGAAGAAAAAAGATCCCCGGGCGTCTGCTTCGGGCTCACGGTCAAGCAAGGGTCCAGCAGTTGCGGAAAGAGAGCAGGGGTGTTCGGCTTGGCACTCCGCTCTCAGCCAGAGCGCGATAACACTAAATTTGCTCCAGCTCATGTTAGCTACTCCACAGGCCCGCCTCACGCGCGTCCCCAGAGCATTGTCTTTCCCCTTCACCTCGAGACCACCGCTCCCGTCCCAACTATGACCGTGTCATAAGCGCAACACCCACTTGTCCCCCGTTGCCTCCAACTGCTATCCCTCGTTTTGCATCAAAGGCCGTGCCTCTGATCTGGCCTCCCTGGCCGACTCCCGCCTCCGATTCTCACAATGCACTTCGCCATGCCGCCGCGCAAAACGTCGCGGCCCCCGCCATACGCCGCACGGAATCAGAGCTCGCTACCTATACCACCCGCCCTGAAGAACCTGCTCCGGGGAGGAAAGCTGCGGACGACTGCACTGGGAATACTGGGCTTCCTCACCCTGATTTGGCTGTTGCGAAGAACAGGCAGTGATGCGGGCGCAAACATACCCAAAGTTGCCATTGGCTCCGGCCCGCCTGTGGTCGTTGTCACTACCATAGACCCAAAGGCGGACAGGGTGTGGGCAGACAAGATCAAGAAGAACAGAGAGGACTATGCGAAGAAGCACGGTGCGTTCACTGCACGGGCATTCACCCACATTTTAGCAATTATACTGATCCTCTACAGGTTACTTGACATTCTTCCCCGAAAATAATCAATACCCCCTCAACAAATCTCCACACACGTGGTCCAAGGTGCCTGCGCTGCGCCACGCCATGACACTATACCCGGGCTCGACATTCTTTTGGTACCTCGACAGCGCCGCTCTGATCATGAACCCCTCGATCGACCTTCAATCGCACATTCTGAAGCCGTCCCGTCTCGAGGAACTCATGATCACCAACGAGCCTGTTGTCCCACCGGACAGTGTCATCAAGACATTTGGCAACTTGAAGGGTGACAGGATAGACTTCATTGTGACGCAGGACAAAGAGGGTTTGGTACCTACCAGTATGATTGTCAGGAATGGCGAATGGGCAAAGTACTTCCTGGATGCATGGTTCGACCCTATCTACAGGAGCTATAACTTCCAGAAGGCGGAATCGCATGCGCTGGAGCATATTGTTCAGTTGGTCTTCACATTGTTCCATTTTCTTGGTAGCATCGCTAACTTTCGATAGGTGGCACGGCACCATCCTTGCCAAGCTTGCTTTGATCCCGCAGAACATCCTCAACTCCTACGCAACCGGCCCCTCCAACCCCAAATTCGGAAAATATAAAGAAGGCGACCTCGTAGCCAACTTTCCTGGCTGTGCGCGTGACAAGCATGACTGCGCGGCGGAGCAGAAGGCCTATTTCGACATTCTCGAAAAGGACGATGACTAAATGCATTCCGAATGACGATTTACAGAGCCGCGGCCACGAGACTGCCTCGTGTGGCTGCAAGGCATGCACCCTTGCGTAGCATTGGGGTCATAGGGCAGCATTTGCAAGATGAGCACAATCATTGTGCTGGCGTACCGGCGTTGATGATAACGCATGTGGATCATGTTCGAACTTATACCAACCGACAAGGTTTCTAGAAACACAGGATGTAGTAGCAGGTACGCTATCTGTTTTGATATGGTGGGGGTATCATGGAATTGGGTCATGCAGGAGAGGTCAAGTCACATCTGGCTTCGTGATGAAGAGGGACACAATGTGTATTTTGGTTTAGATGGAGTTACATGGTATCTGAAGCTATATACAGGTTAATCTACAAGGCTCTTCTGAGCCATTTCTAAGCTAAAAGCCTATGTCTATGCAATGTTTGGTCGTGGGATCGTACAGCGAACGTACTAGCAATCGTACAAGGTGACCCAGGGTATTACTCTACTTCTCCATCGGCTTCCTCTGCGCCTTCACACTCTTCATGCTACGTCTCGGCCTTGTAGTCCTTTCCCGACTGCTGATCTGCTTCGGCCCGCTCACAATACTTGCACACATCGGCATCCTCGCGCCCACAAACTTGCCCAGCGGACTGAACACCTCTACCTCAGGAAACTCGCTTACATCCTGCACATCCTCCTCCTCATCCCGGGTCTTCACGTACTGCTCTCCGCGCATCTTTGCCTCCCGCTTCAACCGCAACTCCTCAGCCATCTTCTTCTGCACCGCAATCTTCGCGTTCCGCGCCGCGTTCGGATCCTTCTTCACCATACCGACGGGCTTCCAACCCTGCGCCCGCCTCACCTGTGCGCTGATTTCGAGCCAGCCCACTCCTTCGACGAGGATATCCGTACTGAAGATGCGGAAGGGCAGATTCTCAGGGCGCATCTTCGCGGCAACAGAGGACGTCAGGGGCCCCGCGAGTTTTTTAGTGACGTCCCACTTGAGCTTGAAGCGGCCCGCCGAGTGCATCTTGCTCCCGACGTCCTCGGCGAGAATGGACTCGACGTGGCGGTCGCTGACTTGAGCTTGCAGCGCGGCGGCCTTGTCTGTGCGGGTAACGTGCGGCTCGATGGGGACGAAGGGGTGGATCAGGAAGATCATATCTTGAGTAACCGGCGTGATGCGGATGAGGCCGCCGCCGAGGAGTAGCGATTGACCTGGCTTGAGGATGAAGCGCTGCGCGGTGATGCGGGATTTCATGATAAGGTCGTCTTGGGCTTTGGGCTGGACAAAGGTTTCTAGACCTTGGGAGCTGCGCGCGAGACCCGGCATGTCAACGAGCTCGCCTTTGTTGCGGCCGAAAGGAATGCGGATGGGTGAGGCGGTGGTTCCGGGGAGGGAGGATACGATGGGTAGAACAGGGTAAAGTGTATAAGGTTGGGCTGGCGGGAGGAGCGCATCTGGGTCGAGATCCTCGTCGTTTTCATCTATTTGCTTTTCTTCTGCCGTGTCAGCAGATTGATGTTGGTGCTCCTTCGAATTGGGATTCTGTTCCTGGCGCTCTATCTGGGCGTCCTCGTCTGCGAGCTGTTTCTGCACTGCGATGAGCTCGTCGAGGGATTGCGCGGCTTGCAGCATGGCTTCGCGCTCTGCAGCGCTGCGGATCCTGCGCACGTCTTGGTAGTCTGCGCCTCTACCTTTGGGAAAGACGGCTTCAAAGAGGTTGGACTTGCCCACGTTGACTTTGCCGACCATCCAGCCTGCGCCTCCTCTTTCCCATATCTCCTCTTTGACTTGCTTCGTCCACCATCCTCTTTTGGCGCTAACCAGCCTCACGTTTCCCAGACGCGCGTCTTTGTTTGTCCGCCCGAGTGCATCTCGCAGTACGTTCTGGACGTACGGCATGAGCGCATCGACATCTTCCTTCTTCCGCGCTAGAAGGTCCGATCGCGTGATTATAAAACTGACTTCCGCGATGCGATCATTCGCCACCCATCCTTTATGCTTTGCTCTGCGGTTCTTCGTTCGTAATTTAGGTATCCGCAGCGTTGACTGAAGCGTAGGTATGAGTGAGAGCGGGAAATCCGCGGCGTCAACAACATGATATATATGATTTCGGCGGTGCGGCGATTCGGCGATGGTCTGCTGTATGGCCTCGACTGAGGGGTGGTAAATGGGGGTTCCCACACGATGGTGGACTAGGTTGTGGCAGCGGTCGCATACGGGTGTTTCGGGGGGGCTTGCGTCGATCTCGTTCTTTTCTTCTAACACGTCGCGTTCTAAGCCTATTTCCTCTAGGACAGTTGGATCCATCTGTTTAAGGGCCTTGGTGTAAACATCTTCCTTTTTCCCCTCTGATTCCTTTGCTTCGGGATCAAATTCAAGATATTTTGCGACGGCGTTTCTGTTGAGGCTATAAAAGCCGGCCTCCTTCTTGTCGTAGATTTGAGTCGGCGCGCCACAGCCTGGGCAAGCGCGAGGGAGCGGTCGGCGAATACGAGTGGCAGGTAGGGACTTTTCAGAAGGAGCGGTTGGGGGTGCAGACTCTGAGAGGACAGTTACTGTAGTCTCCTGTGATGTTGCTCTGAAGGTCGAGAACATCTTCGCCGGTCGTACATTCTGCGCGCGTTGGTTTGCGTGGGCTATCGGAGCTCTGAGGAGAGCAGGACAGAGGAAGGTCGGTATCGAGGGGTGAAGCGCATGTTGGTCGTTCAAAAGCCTCCTAGTCTGCCGGAGGGCAGGGCGCATGTCGTTGGAAAGGCAGTTTGATTGTTCTTGTTAATCAAGAGTCTCGGTTCCGATACGGTATGTGGTACCAGCGCGTGTGCCCAGATGTTATGTGCAGACGGATGTTTTTGCAACATGCATGCATCTCCAAAAAGTTTCCGCAGACGCGCCTCGCGTTCCGACATCACGCTAGGATACTCGCAGTATAGCTGCGGATCGGCATACCGAAAAGAGTCCGAGGCACGGCGGGAGGAGCTTTGGCCTCCCACGCTTCACTAAAGCCATAACGTGGAGCGACATTTCTGGGGAACCTCAAGTCATCGCCTCCGACTCACCACACCTTCCTCCCTCTCATTCCTTCCTTCCTCATCAACAACACAACACACACCACACAAATCACAAACCATGCTCGCCTCATCGCGCACCGTGCTGCGTCAAGCTGCTTCCAAGCAGTTCACCGTCAAGGCCGGCGCCAGGTCGGTCTCAGCCTGGTCGCAAGTGCCACAGGGCCCTCCAGTGAGTCTAATGCCTAGTAATAAGACCAATTGATGGGATTACATGCTGATTGATGTCTAGGATGTAAGTCGCCGTCCTTCCACAGCTGTGTAGATGTTACTTACTCACCGCTCCCCTCGATCAGGCCATTCTTGGTGAGTCTGGCGGTCCAAGCGCAGCTTTCATCGCGTTGACTGTGTGCAGGTATCACCGAGGCTTTCAAGGCGGATAGCAACTCCGAGAAGATCAACCTGGGTACGTCTATACCTCGCACGCGAACCATGGCGCTGGTAGCTAACGTCCATAGGTGTCGGCGCCTACCGTGATGACAAGGGCAAGCCGTTTGTCCTTCCCTCCGTCAAGCAAGCCGAGAAGAAGATCGTCGAGTCCAACTTGGACAAGGAGTATGCTGGTATCACCGGTGTACCTGCCTTCACCAAGGCTGCTCTCCAGCTCGCCTACGGTCCTGACTCCGCCCCCATCAAGGAGGACCGCGTCGTTATCACCCAGTCCATCTCCGGTACTGGAGCTCTGCGCATCGGTGGTGCCTTCCTCGAGCGATTCTACCCAGGCGCGAAGACCATCTACATTCCCAACCCGTCCTGGGCGAACCACAACGCTGTGTTCAAGGACTCTGGCTTGAAGGTTGAGAAGTACCGATACTACAACAAAGACACCATCGGCCTTGACTTCGAAGGCATGCTCGCCGATTTGAAGTCCATCCCGAAGGGCAGCATTGTCCTGCTCCACGCTTGCGCCCATAATCCCACTGGCGTCGACCCCACGGAGGACCAATGGAGGCAGATCGCCAACGCAGTTAAGGAGGGCGAGCACTTCCCCTTCTTCGACATGGCTTACCAAGGCTTTGCCAGTGGAAACACTGACAAGGACGCCTTTGCTCTCCGTCACTTCATCAAGGAGGGACTTCGCCCTGTGCTCGCTCAGAGCTTCGCCAAAAACATGGTGTGTTCAAAAGATGTCGTAGTCGAAGCAATGACACTGATTAGCTCTAGGGTCTTTATGGCGAACGTGTTGGTGCCTTCTCCGTTGTTTGCGAGTCTGCTGAAGAGAAGAAGCGCGTTGATTCGCAGATCAAGATTCTTGTGCGGCCGCTTTACTCCAACCCCCCGGTCCACGGTGCTCGCATTGCCTCCGAGATCCTCAACGACCCCGCGCTGAACAAGCAGTGGCTAGGTGAGGTCAAGGACATGGCTGATCGCATCATTACCATGCGTGCTCTCCTCAAGGAGAACTTGGAGAAGCTCGGCAGCAAGCACGACTGGAGCCACATTACATCACAGATCGGCATGTTCGCATACACTGGTTTGAAGCCTGAACAGATGGAGGCTTTGGCTAAGGAGGTGAGCTTTTGTCCCGAAATGCGTCCTTACCCATTGCTAATCTTTTCTGCAGCACTCTGTCTACGCTACAAAGGATGGCAGAATCTCCGTCGCCGGCATCACCTCTGGAAACGTCAAGCGCCTTGCCGAGTCGATCTACAAGGTCACTGGATAGGGAGGAGCGGCAGTCGGACGTAAACATGACTGGTTGGGTGCGGCATATAGCACGGCGTAGCGTGCACTGTACTTTTCATGTTCGAGTACCACATACAACGGCTAGATTGTACATTGTCGGTGGCTAAAATGAAACTTCTACCACAACAAACCTGCTTTCCGCCGTGTAACAGTTGACATGAAGATGCAAGGGACCCACGACGATGAGCCTACGAACCTGATGTCCGCAAGCCTCGTGTTATCCCTCGGTCTGCGGCCCCACGCGATTGGTCAAGCGATATACCACAGTACATCGCTTAACAAGTTGATCATTGCTTCTTCGAGAAACCTGGTCCTGCGGGCAGGTCGCGTGTGCGCCTGTGCCCGACAACCACGACGCTAGAGTTTTGGCGAGAATCCTTCCCCGTAGAACCTGTACCGTGAGTCTTCGGTTGAAGTTCATGCGAATGCTTCTAGCGGCGTGCAGGGCGACCAGCACCCTTTCGTGTCCGACCGAGCCTCTGTGTAGTGAAAGCCGTTCAAACCCACCTGCCGCGGGGTTATCTGATTGCCGACTGCCGAAGGGTTCGTAATCCTGCGCTTCTCTTCGTGACGATGAACTCTGCCCCTCCCCAATCCGCACCCGATCCGCGGAGAGCTTTCTTCCCTGTCTTGATCCCGGCAGCCTGACGATTGCTCTTCCGAGCAAGCATCGTTTCGGGCAATGAAGCGCGCTCGGAGTAGGCCGGATGAACACCAACTCGACAGGGCCATTTCCTGCAGGTGGAGCCCTTGTAGCCTGCTTTGCAGCACGACCCGCGTGGAGATAACGGACACAGCAGACGGAGCAGTGTTGAGTTGCAACGCTCTGCACTAGGGAGTGCCAGGAAATTCGGCCAACTGTTGGTTCCAGAAACAGGACATGTTCGATTGTAGCGAGCCCTCGCCAATGGCGTGATGAGTCCCTGGCTGCGGCTTCGAAAACGCAGGGTGTACAAGCCAACCCGCACAACTGGTACCAATGCCGTCATATGCGAGGTGATGAAAATCAGCTGCGCCATGATGTAAGCGCGGATCCCTGCAGCCACGGTGCAAAGCACCCATTCAAAACCACCTTGGATCCAAAAAGAGGGTCACCGTGGACCGTGGTGTCTTGTTATGTACCTTCCCAACGTCCAGCAGCAGCTTCGAGCGCTTCCAGACCTTCTTGGCGTCGTCTTTGTCCACGCCCGTCACCAGGTTGAGCCTTCCCCCAGCACATTTCGTTCAGTGGGGACAAAGAGACGCTGCTGGCATGGTCAGCCGCGCACGAGGACCGTGGGACATGGCTCGCCATGCACGTTGGGACGAAATTGGGGGGTCGATAGGCGTTCTGCGGGCATTGGTCACTGTCGTCGCCATACAACGACGGGGTGGAAGGCTGGGACCCGGTTGACGTCGATGGCCCCCCGCTCAGAGCACCACCCCTCACCTCGTCGTCAGGATGGAGGTGGTGCCTAGCTGGGCGCGCGGTACATGAGCGGATCCCCGTGACAATCACTGCCCAGAATTACTTCGTCTGAGCCATGCTCACCGACAGAGCCAGGCTTGCCGCTTGCTAGACACTTTGCGGGACAGCCCAAAGCTTGTCCCGCCGGAGCACGGTGCCGAGTGCCAGCGTGAAGCCAGCCCAGCGGGGTCTTTTTTAAAATAGTCGTACCGGCACATTTTGACATTTTTCTCCCTGACTCCCACACAGAACTAGTCTCCTCTGCAACCTGTCTTTCCTCGACCGACCAACAGCACCTTGACTCGAGCTTCGGCAGCGGCCCTCACCCCAGAACCTCGACGTCGGCATCTCACGCGGCCCGAGCCTCCATTTCGTCATACGCCATTCCCAAAGTAGGCTGCAGGGTGAAGCGCGCACCAGTGAAGCTCGCTCGGGCCCGTCATTCGCAAGCGACAAATTTCGGCGGGGCCCGTCTTTGTGCGCTACGACACCTCTCCTCGACACTCGCACGCGGCGGCGGCAACAAGTGCAGCGCGAGACAGCTGTGTTGCGCGGCAAGCAACATCACTGAAGGCGTTTCTCAGCATAGCGTGGCACGGATAATATAATATGGCTAGAGCAGATTCGGCCAAAGACGATGCGGGCGACAGGGTTGGTTCACTTGCCCCTCCTTCTGACACCCACACTTGCACCTGCATACCGTGCAGCTCCCCTCGTGCTCGCACCACTCCAGCTGCTGCACGTGTTGCTGCACACCTGCCTTCTTTGCGCTCCTATTCCTAGTCTGCACGACTCCCTAAACAGCGGCTAACCCGACACAAGAGCGACGGCGACATCATGAAGATTCCGGGGGCCAAGGACAGCATCGATGAGGCTACCTTTGAGCAGATCCTCGAGATGGACGACGACGAGGACGAGAGGGAGTTCTCCAAGAGTATAGTCTACGACTTCTTCACCCAGGCCGAGAGCACCTTTGAAAAAATGGACTCCAACCTGTGAGTAGCCCTGCCACGTGAGCATCTCAAACGTACTGACAATGCGCAGTGAGAAAAAGGACCTCAAGACGCTATCCGAGCTCGGTCACTTCCTCAAAGGCTCGTCCGCGACGCTCGGCCTGAGCAAGGTCAAGGACTCCTGCGAGAAGATCCAGAACTACGGCCAGAAAAAGGACGAGAAGGGCGAGAAGGACATCACTGAGGACGAGGGCCTGAAGAAGCTGGAGACGACCATCAAGCAGGCGAAGCAGGAATTCCACGATGTGGAGAAGGTCCTCAGGAAGTTCTACAACGACGAGCAATGAGGGGACCCTACGACCGACACGACACTCTACGACGCTTAGACTTTTTCTTCGCACAGCGGGCGATGGAGACATTCCAACGCTGCAGCAGCGACGCATGCATCGAGGTCGGCGGACGCGCATTGCAGCTGTCGCACCCCGCCCTGGCTGTCCAGCAAAAGCATTTTCTTCACAGTTCACGCATTCCTGTTTCTTTGACTCTGCCGCGGATACCTGATATCGGGGGTTTGGATAACGCTCACGTCGCTCCCCCATGGCCGGGGCAGCCGTCTGTCTTCTGCATTGCTTGTGAGAAAGGAGGGGTATGCTGTAGCGAACACGTCCGCCCTCTTCGAATGCCATGCCATAGATTCCTTGCCCACCTTGTACTCTCGCTTCTTGAAACCTTCTAGAAGACAGAATAGTGAGAAGATCATCTCCAGTCCTAGTCCTAGCACGATCTATCCGTACAAAGCGCCAGCGTACCGGTGACACACTCCAGGGCTGCGGCGAGCTTCTGCTGACGTCATTGGTCCAACCCCTAAACCAGCATGCGCCGCAACACGCGAACACATGGCGTGATTGGACAACCTACGTGCAACACCATGTGCGCATTCGTGAAGCGCGTTCGAATTTCGCCAGGCTACCCAAGTCGATATACTGTGTACAAGGTGTCTCACTGCCTGCTGTGGTGTTGAGACGGGCATCGATCGATCGCGCCATCATCCAGGTTTTCATGCGAGCCGGACTCCGCGTGCCCTGCAGCCCTATGCTCATCGGCCCATCTACTTGTGGAGCAGCCGTCAAACGATTCTGCAGTACACCAGCTCCCGCAGCACCACAACCCAGTCGCTCCTTCGATTTTCGGAATCGATTGTCAAAGTCACGTACGGCATCGCAACCTTGGAGAAGGCGTTACTTTCCTATATCACCACTCAGCATGGGCAAGAGCAAGGGTAGAGGTGAATACAACGACTTCTTGGATGGCGAGAAGCTGCGCGACAATGCCGAAGTCCGCATCTCATTACAAGCATCGCCGTCCCTAAACCGCAATGTATCACCACCTCATACGCAGCGGCACAGCAAAGGCAGAGGGAAGAACGGGAAAGGCGGATCCAGGAAACCGCAGTTAACGCACTTTCTGTGCCTGCCCGTCGTCAACGAAAACAGCCGATATCAACTTCATACCCAATTGTCAAAGCTAAAACGAGAGCTCGGGGACACAGGATTCCTACCAGTCCAAGCCGTAAGACCACCTGAAACATTACACCTCACGCTGGGCGTTATGTCGCTCGACGACGAGCAGCTCCAAGCAGCGACACTGTATCTCAAAGAGCTAGATGTGAAGAAAATCCTCCAAAACGTCACAGCGCAGTGCATGGCCGAGCAAGCCGCGGAAAGCGGCACCGTCTCGGAAAACCTGAACGCGTATGCGATGCCAGATTGGGAGGCGCTGTCTGTTGATTTGAAGGGCTTGGTGCCTATGCAGGTGGCGCATAAGACAAGTATCTTGTATGCGGAACCGATGGACCAGAGTCATAGACTGCAGCCATTTGGAGAGAAGCTGAAGTATGAATTTACGAAGAACGGGTTCTTGATTGAGGACAAGAGGACGCTGAGACTGCACGCTACGGTTATTAACACTATATATGCTAAGTCGAGAGGGCGGGGTGGGAGAGCGAAAGCTCCCTCACCCAGAGGACAACAGGTCGACAGCGTTGTGGACGGAGTGAACGATGTAGAGCATGATGACGGTGCGTCAACAGCCGGGTCAACGATAGACGGCCAGGACGAAGTCACTACGGCGCCGCCTGATCCATCGACTACAGAGACGCAAGTACCGAAGCTGGACGGCTCGACTGGTCATGGGCCGGAGGCGAAGAGCTGGTTGCGTTTCGACGCGAGGGATCTGATTGAGCGGTTTAAAAATGTTGTCTGGGCGGACAATGTCAGAATCGATCGCGTGCAGATATGTAAGATGGGTGCGAAGAAAATTTGGAATGATGCAGGGGAGATCGTTGCGGAAGAGTATGAGGTCGTTGGAGAGAAGATCATCGGAGCGTGAGAGAAACATGGAAAGGGATGTTGCTTTCACGCATAAATAAAGCTTCCATCACGATGTTGTATCAGTACTTGACGGCAAGATGGGCTGGTTCTAGTAGTTACGTAACCTTGTCAAATTCGTTCGAAGCATGCCCTGGGTGTCTGGTGATTGCGAGATACATGCTTTGTTCATCTGTGATCGAATAACCACCCTGAGTGGCGGGGTGGACGGGTCGGCGTCGGTATAGGACGATAGTCGGTACACGTACTAGCACGCACTATCCCCGGGGCCTAAACCAATCGCGCTACCGACATTACGCGAGCAGATACATATTGCAGTGACACGGGCAAACGATGGCATCCGTAGACCGTCATTGTTGGAAGTTCGAGGGAGCCAAGCCGCTACCTTAGCGCTTCCAGAAATGGAATGGTCGATCTAACTACAACAACGTTCACCTCATTTGAACATTACAAACAAGACGCATTCAAGACGATCACGGATAGAGTAACAAGAGCCATGTTACCACCTGTGGATAATACGACGTTGGAGCGGAACCCCAACTTCGAGGTGCTATATAGAGATTTGTGCGCGAGGAAGCTGAATCCGGATGGCTCAACGCGCGATTCGAAGAAACAGAGGATGCATGGGGAGATACGGCAGGTAAGTTCTAGCAGTCACTAGTCCCGAAACTCTATGCAATACTCCTACGCGAACACTGGTTCCTTTTCACGGTGCAGAACTCATTCCCGCTTGATGCCTCTCAACCACCTCGAACGGTCTTCTATACACACACTACACAAAGCTCTACTTTCATGCGAGGAATGAGCGGCCATGTGTTAATATTTCTTGTAGGATCTAACGACACACCGCACAAATGTCCACACTTCACAAATTCTCTCTCAGACCCTCACCACTCTACCCTCCCGATCGGCTACACTTCCACAAGACTTACACTCCCCAATCGATCTCGTCACAGCACAACTTACTGGCCAAATCCCAGCCTCAGACCGCAACACTTTAGCTACCGACACACAGTTGTTTCTTTCAAACATTGACATCATCTCTTTCGCGCTATCCGATCAGCTCATCACTACCGCTAGTCTCCTGTGCAAGATTGCAGACCCAAAATCCCCTCCTGAGATCGAAGAATTGCGCTCAAAGGCCGAAGGACTTCGAAATGCTGCAACCTTGGACCTAACCAAAGACCTAGCAGACGAAAAAGTCCATCTCGCAAACTTGGCGCATACCGTCCTGACCCTCCACTTCGACCTACTCCAAACCAGCATCCTCATCCTCGAACGCACACAGCATGGCGCCATCGCCCGCGCCACATCCACCCACGCCGAGCACATCGCTGCACGCGCTGCCTTGCTTGGCCTCCAAGCTAAGATTCACACCCATACGCATCCGCCGCCAGCGGAGTTTGTGAAGGCTTTGAAGAATTTCAAGGCTGAGCAGGGTAGTAGCGAGGCCAAGTTGAGGGATAGGGAGGGCTTGGCGAGGAGGACGTTGGAGTTGTACGGGAGGGCGGGGGAGAGGGGGATGAGGGATTTGGCGGGGAGGAAGGAGGTATTGTTGAACGAAATTGGGAGGATAGAGGGGAAATTGAAGGTTTAGAGAGGGGGCCATAGGGGGTGGGCGAAATGGTAGGAGGTCATCAGGCTGCTTTGCGGTGGTTACGACAACGGCGAAAAGATGTATGGTTCCTCATACTACATAGACCTGGTCAAGGGGAACAGAGCCACATGTTAGTGCAATGCTCTCGCGGCCGCAGCTGCTCGTTACGTAGAGTGAAGCACATGATAATACGCACATGCCGACCATCGTTGTAAAAGGTTACTTTCGCGCTACCACCGAGCGTTTCGGAACAAGAACCCAACGCCGAGACCTTGAAAGCTAATACGGACTTTATGATCCAGCTTGCCAAGTGGTACGGGTCACCGTTGAGTGAAAGTGCATCTTCGTCACGACGTTCGCCACTGTGACCCCGATCAACCCTTCCAATCTATGGGGTAGCGGCAGCACCACACCGAGGTGAGCTATATCGATCAGGTCTATGCTGTGCATTACCTCATGGGGGCGTGAACGGGTACGCGCTGCTGCTGGCCAATCAATCTATAGTGGACGCTCTTTTACCCGATCTTAGACGACAGGGACCGACTAGGATCAATTTTCAATACTGGCCCCTAACCTTACCAGACGACGAAGAAGATGCGCTCACATGGAAAGTAGCTTAATATGGCTCCCAACTTTCTCCGCTCCTGCATCGTCCGCACCTTTTCCCTACCACTTTCTTTCACCTACTGTCAAAGTTCATCTCCACAATGCTCCTAACCACCATTTTCTTCGCGGTCACCACACATGGCCAATTCAACCAAGGCCTCAATCACTCCGCTTCGGCTGCTCGCAGCTCACCATCGAGCGGTTTGAACCCCTTGTAAACCCGGGCACGATTGGTACTCCGCAAATACTCCAAATCATCGGGGCAATATGACGATTGCGAGTACCGACGTGAATCGCTTAGCGAGTGCACGAAGTGCGGGCTGGCGGATGATAGGAGTAATTAGTATGTATCTTGAGTGCCTTGCCCGAAGTTTTGGTACCCGGTGTTACCCCAGGAGAAGCCAATTAGTACCGAAACTGCTTACATAGCACTGTAGAATGAAAGCGCGTTCGCTGATAGAGAGACTTAGCTAAGCTAGACGACGAATGTATGTTTCAAAGCTAAGAACGGCACATTCAAGCGCGTTCCCCAGATCCAACATAATGCAGCTCCTTGCTCGGATGTGAAGCTCGGCTTTGAGGGGTCTCCACCTCAGCCATGCCCGGGCGGTATTCGATCGAATATCTTGTACCCGAGTTGTTGGAACGGAAAGGATCTCGATAGCCCGAACCATCAGGTAGAGAAGGTGTCCAACTTCGACGTTGGCGACTGATCAAATATAGGATCACGCTGCATATCCAAGTAAGGCCCAGCGAACTGTTGGTCTCATCTAATTAAGATCCCGTTGCTCATGCTCAAGGTGGATCTGACAGTCAATTCGGGTAAATGGATGCTGATTCAGGTGACAAATTATCTGGGACACGACGGCTTTCAACAACAAGGCTTACTGGCCATCCGATGGTTCGTAGCCTCTCTACCTCTCGACTCGTAACAGACCGGCTATGGCCAGCACGGAGGTTGTACGTCCTCGGATGCTTCTAGTTGTTTTATGTTGATACATGACAGATGTATTCGGCTGGAACGGCGACGCGCTCCGGCGTGCTATGGACGATAACGGCTGCTTTAGCGCGACTTGCGAGAACCAGAAGAGTCAAGATATCTCAGCCGCGAAGCAGTGCAAGACCCCCAAGACCGTATAGGAGGATGTCGATGGCTGTGAGTGACTATTTTCGGATGTGGTATTCGTCTTGAGTTTGTGCTGACTGCATCGTAGGGCTCACGCAGTTACCCGGTAACCCGATGATGAGCTCGATGTAGGGGGTTTGGAATGGCTGGTCTCGATGTACGGAGGGTATTGTAGTAGAGTGTAGATCACGATGCAGCATCATTTTGCCCATTCATGCATGCTTTTGCCGCCTTTTGTTGTCTCCTCCGCTCTTTCCTCGAAGTACCGACCCACTCTCCTCGAAATCTTTGCCTTGTCTTCACCTTTTCCTCTTCGCTCAAGCGCTTCTTTGTACCGGGGTCGCGGCCATTGACGTGTGTCTGCGCTGCTGGTGGTGGATTTTGTGCAATCCACGTCCTGAGTTGATGTTTGACAACAGGTCCCCACACGTCTTCGCCAGCGTCAAGATCCGCGTACGTTACAGCCGGTAAGGTCTCTTCCGCACTAATCCTATCACGTATTGCGAAATTCGCTTGCCTCGTCCTGACCAACTCGTCCAATGTCGCCAGGCTCCCACATGTCGTTCCTAGATCGTACGCAAAGCTCCTCACGTAGAAGCCAGAACTCACGGTGAGCCGTACCTTGACAGCAGGTGCTGCCGTAGCAGTGCTCTCGCCCGGCCATCTAAAGTCATGCTTCGCGTCATTCCACCATTCCAGCACTTCACACTCATCGACACATACCTCCCTAGCTTCCAACTCTCTCGGTAACTCTTTTCCCGCCCTCACATAGTCGCAAGCTTTCACTCCATCGATCTTGAGCGCTGAGTACAGCGGCGGCACCTGGCGAAATTTCCCCCTGACCGCGGCCAATTTCTCCCTTACCAAGGCCTCATTCATATGTGCGCAGGTTTTCTCTGCAACGACTTCCCCGTCTACATCATACGTATCTGTGCTCTTCCCAAATAACACGACAGTCTCGTACGTCTTCGTGCAGCCAAGGTAGTTTTGCAATGCTCTCGTGCCTCTACCGATACCAATGATCAGGATGCCAGATGCAAGAGGGTCGAGGGTGCCGCCGTGACCCATGCGGAAGAAGCGGCCGTTGGCTTCTTCATCGTCGGCTTTATTCTTTTGGTTGGAAGGGAGGAAAGAGGCTTGGTCAATCCTTTTTTGACGTGTGGAGGCGAGGAGGGGGGCGAAGAGGGTGGACCTTGAGAAGACGTTTTGAAGGTGTAGCAGACATTGGCCGGAGGTTATGCCGGAGGGTTTGTGTATGGCTGGCACTGTGAATGAGCACGTGATCTCAGACCCCACCTGGGTATCATTGGCGTAAAACAATCACAGTTGTGGGCTTACCGAAAACACCCTCCAAGACTCCAGAGCCGTCCTCGCTCATCGTGACCGGGCTCAGACGCACTATGCGTATGACAAGAAAAACCGGTCAGGCTGGCAAGAGAATTTGGGCGGAGGGTCCGTGCACCGGGTGTAGTTGGTGGGCAGCCCGGCGCCGTTGAACGTCACGCTTGTTGCCAGCCTCGTCGGCATATCGGACGGAAGAGAGCGGCCCCTGCAACTGTCGCCAGCTTCGACATCAGCAACACGAGTCTTGGATCCTACGCGGCAGGAACTTGGACGCCATGCAGAATTGTCTGATCTTCCAGACCGCTCGCTCTCCTGGCAAGCTTCAGCTGGGCCCGACCGCAAGGCCACACCGCAATGTGTAGATGACGAGTCGATAGCGAGGCGGTCTCCAGCCTGATTCCGACACGAGCAGTTCTTCGCCTCTCGCCCAGCGTTACAAAGGACTGCCGGTGACATCATCCCGGTCCGTTGATGTCAACAGACAACAAAGCATTTCCTTTGAAGCTTACGTGAACGCCTCGCTCTTGAACAGGTGTCTGGCTAGGCAGGACACAGTTAGGCTTTACGAGCATGCTCGAGCGGCTCAAGCAATGAGCGGCATGAGGAATGCTTAGCCGGAGTCGCTCTCGGTCCATGTCAGCGCAGTGCATCTCATCGCGCCCGCCTGTCCGGCACGTAGGTCCGGAGGCGCAGATCCTCTATTGTACGCTCGATAGCGGGTGGTCACCCTTGTTGCATCACGGAGGATGGTATCAGCACTGTCAGCGTTGCGCGATACTTTAGGTCCCCCACACCCCGCCCATGATCTACCTTTGATGTTGTGGGTCCTTAGCTCGCATTTGGCAGCACATGTACCCATGCATGATATACAGGCAAGTGGCACTGTTCAAAGGTGACGACGATAACCTGGCTGACTTATTATAGAGCTAGCAGTCACCATGTCCATGCATTTGGGGGTGCCCGGCGAGAAGCCAGAATCGTTCAACGACTCGCATATTGAAGATGCGTCGGAACCGTGCGATGGCAGCCCATCAGCCCATCGCGCCTCGATCGCTGTATCTGCCGCACAAAGGGCACGCCGCCATCTAAATGCCCGACTTGCAAATCCACTTCAAGGCTATACATACAATGAGCTGCAAAAAATGGGCCGTGTATATGCGCACGACAATGCTCTCACCGATCCGGAAGATGTGCGGGCTCTTGAAATCGGCGCTTGTCTTGCGCGCGAACCGACGTATTTAGCGCACGCGACAAGACTTGGGGTTACAGATGAGGAACTCGTCGTATTGAAGCAAGAATTGTCCCATCGATGGTCGCAGCCGCGGCTTTTATATCTCGTCGTTATTCTGTGTTCGACTTGCGCCGCGGTGCAGGGCATGGGTATGATTCGGGTTCCTCAGATCGTACAAGATTTACTTACATAGACACAGACGAGACCGTCGTCAATGGAGCACAATTATTCTACGCCAAACAATTCGGTATCGGAGGCGACGAATATAGATCAACCTGGCTGGTCGGTCTCGTAAACAGCGCACCATATGTGTGCTGTGCATTCGTTAGTTGTTGGCTTACCACTCCGTTCAACAACTGGTTCGGTCGGAGAGGAACCATCTTCCTGACCTGTTTGATCAGTGCGATAACATGCTTTTGGCAAGGCTTCGTCGATGTGAGTGTCGAAAGCGTTGCTCTTATCTTTTTGGACTAAAAGGGATAGAATTGGTGGCACATGTTCATCGCGCGGTTCATGCTTGGTCTTGGAATCGGCCCAAAGTCGGCCACCGTCCCAATTTACGCGGCCGAATGCTCTCCGCCCGGTATCCGAGGCGCTCTCGTAATGCAATGGCAAATGTGGACAGCGTTTGGTATCATGCTTGGATATGCAGCGGACCTGGCGTTCTATGGCAAGTCTCCCGGGTATAAAGTAGATGCGTGTTTTCCGCCAAGGAAAGACGGACCCTCTTTATCTGTTTCTGACACAAGGAAAGAATCTTTCTTTCGCTTAGTTGAGACACGAGGCGATGTCCCATCCCCACTCCTATGAGACAAACACTGACTTTGTACCTTCGGGTTTGGCAGGCGTGAATGATAAACCCCACATTACCGGGTTAAACTGGCGGCTGATGATGGGATCCGCCATGCTGCCAGCTGTGATAGTTTGCTGCTTTGTTTTCCTCGCACCGGAATCCCCCCGCTGGTTCATGTCAAAAGGTCGACATGCGGAAGCTTATCAAGCTATGTGCAGGTTACGTTTCAACAGAATTCAAGCGGCCAGAGACATATTCTACATGGCTGAGCTGTTGAGAGCAGAGGAGAATATGAAGATCGGCCAAAGCAAAATCAAAGAGCTATGGACTGTTCCCCGAAACAGAAGGGCAATGCTTGCTAGCGAGATTGTAATGTTCATGCAACAGGCGCGCAAGTCCTTCCTCTTGTCAATAACCGTAGTCTAACATACACTAGTTCTGCGGAGTGAACGTAATTGCCTACTACTCGAGCAGCATCTTCTCGAACTCCGGTTTTTCAGACCAATCCGCGCTCGCCGCCTCTCTTGGCTTCGGCGTCATCAATTTTCTCTTCGCTATCCCGGCCATGTACACAATCGATACTTTCGGGCGGCGTAACCTCCTCCTGATCACCTTCCCGCTCATGGCCCTCTTCCTGCTCTTTACAGGTTTCTCATTCTGGATACCGCCCACAACCGATGCACGCGTATCCTGTATTGCCCTTGGCATCTACTTGTTCGGCGTGGTGTACAGTCCTGGAGAAGGCCCCGTGCCTTTCACCTACTCTGCCGAGGCGTACCCGTTGTATATGCGGACGCTTGGGATGAGTCTTGCGACAGCGACGACATGGTTCTTCAATGCGCTTCTGAGTATCACGTGGCCGAGTTTGCAGAGAGCATTCAAGCCCCAGGGTGCATTTGGCTGGTATGCTGCCTGGAATATCATCGGATGGATCTTAGTGCTATTGTTCATGCCTGTGAGTTGTCTCTGTACGTAGTTTTGATTCCGCAAGAGTTCGTTGCTGACATTATGCGACAGGAAACGAAAGGCAAAACGCTCGAAGAACTCGATCAGGTGTTCAGCGTACCGACCAGTGTCCATGCTGCTTACGGTCTCCGACAGATACCGTACTTTTTGAAGAAGTACATTTTCAGGCAGGATATCCAGCCTGAGCAGCTCTACGAAACAGAGGAACAAACTCCACACGATCTAGGCGAGACGAAAATTGTGTGATTGACAGCTATTTGTATCCTCGCGATGTATGAGAATGTGCAGAGTCTGTGTATATTGTGTTGCACGGAGTTTGGTCTTTCGCGCAAGATACCCTACCTATCATTTCGCTGGCCATTTTGGATTCCAGCACAAAGTGGTCAAGTGAGCCTGTACAGTCAGTCCTCCGCGTGATGTATCTTGCGTCCGTTATGAGACAATAGGGTGAATCCGCATCTGCAGATATCGACACCCCCGCGGCACTATGACAAAAAAGGCGGTGAACAACGTATCATACGCGATGCGCTGTATCATTTGGACTAATCGTATTCAGAAGCAATTGCATGAAAACCGGTGAACGGTAGTAGCGTCACTTTCTCTTAGGCAACAGCGCGTACCGGTCAACTGCCCACTTGGCTTGGCGCTCAGCCTTGTCGAACATCCGATCTATGTAACTGTCTTTATAAAGTCAATCAGAAGGTGCCTCACCAACCTTTATTATCAAGAAGAAGCCCGCCGGAAAACCTGTGTTTGTCCACTCGCAGCTGTGGCTTAAACGTCTCCCTTGTACGTCTGTCTATGTAAAACTATGTGGAAGAAATTTAACATACCAAAGGACTATCGAAATCATCATGATGGCACCAAAGCAGCAAGGTGGAGGAGAGCATCAAGATGGTGGCCGAGGACCAAATACCATATATCCGCATGATGCGTGAAAGGACTTGCAGGAAATGGTACGTACTGCATTGCCACTCGATTGTTGTCGTTCTCGATCATGCAACGAGCTAAGTTGCTATTCAGCAGACGTCGGAGTGAATACATGGTCATACATATGGGTTCGCTGGGCCTGTTGCGCTGTTACTTGATACGTTTATTTACCGACCAATTCAATCCTTGATAGTCATAGTAAATCACTTTAGAACATTTCACTGTGTGATCCTCTTTACACATTCAGAGCGGGCGTGTACCTAGCGGATCATCTCTTACTCTGTGCATACAGACTCGTGTCGATCTATGACTATGCACATACCTATACTAATTACTTGGCCACATTGGTTAATTCAACCGCCAATCCTATTCCGACACGACGTCAGTCTTGCTTGATGCGTGCCTTGCACGTACGGACCGACAGAACGTTAGTGTTGCGCGAGCGATGGGTTCGACAATGGCTTAAGGCCATGCTATAGTTCTTGAATAGCAGACATTGAATCCGTCTTAGACAAAAAAACCGACAAGCAGCATCGTCACGACTGGGAGAACAGATCGTGAACCGATACATGCATTTTCACCTGGTAAGTCTTCAACTTACTTCCCGACCAAGGAATCACTGATGACATCTAACTAACACAACGCAAAAGACGAGTGGGAGCGATGAGCCACAGTGTATCAAGAACAAAGGCGGGATGGTCTTCTAGTGGCTAGAAATGGTAGCACGGAATAAATACACAGATGTCGACAATTGGGACGATGGTTCAATATAATTAGCATTACACTATTAATAAACATTACAAGCAAGAAGCCACCCCTGCTCACAGCACGCTCGTCCTCTTAGAAAGCTTATGATAATCCCTCTGCGTCTTCGTAGCCGCATCTTCAAGCTCCACCCCTCGATCGGGCGTGTGAACGCTTATGGGGCTTAATTTTTGATGCCGAGAATGATGCTTCTTCGCTCCAGAGCCGAGGACCCGTTGCCGTAATTTCTGGAACGAGGTTGCCGCACCAGCCACAGCGCCAGCAAAGAAACCTCCAGTGCCTGGCTTCATATTCACTGGCGGTGGAGGTGGTGGCGGCGCGAGCATGTGTGGATGTGCATGCTCTATATGCTCGTGTGCAGCTTTTTGTCCAGGCTCCATGTAAAGATGATCTCCCTCTGAATTGACGAACCAGTTTACCACGTACTGCTTCCCTCCGGGACCGCCTCCACATGACCCGGCGAAAAGGTGCGAGGGAGGCGAATTCACGGCGAGCGCAAAGAGGTTGGGCGGTTCCGAGAAGTCGGTTACGAGGCCCTTGTGGAACAGGAAATACGCGAGGACGAAGATGTTCATGATGAAAACCAGGAAGAGAATGAGCATCCAGGCCTTAGAGACGTTGTCTACGCCACCGGAAGCGTATTGTTGGGCTTTCACGGAACCGTTGAAGTATTGCCTAGTGTAGTCGTCGAGCAGAGGAACGATGGTGGTGTAATTCCAGAACATGACATAGGGGGAGTCAATTGCACTCATCAGCAACGTACCTATGAAGGAGCATTAGAATGATTGACCCGGCGCAAGTGGGAGAATACTCACAACCAGACATCACAGCGAGTGCTTCCGCCGGACTAGGCAGCGAAGGGTTGACATCGAACTCGCCCTCGTCATTTTCCTTGAGCATCAACTGCATGAGCAATCTTGCATTAGAGGCCGCGCCGTCCGTGAGACCAGCATTGAGTGACATCGCATTCGACCAATCGAAGCCTATGTCTCTCCAGTCGGTCATGCTCACACTCTCTGCTTCGCTCGAGTTGCTGTTGATGTAGGCCATGTGTGGATCTTTGTCTTCGCAAAGGGCTTCCATACTACCCCCGGAACCCGTGGCGTTGTACTGCGTAGTGCATTTGGATGTCAAAGTTACATGGATCTTGCACACCATGTAAGTACCGTTCTGGGAAGTTCCGTCATCCATGTTCCCACCAGCACCCAAGAGGTAGATTGAGTCTCTTCCCCACGCATAGCTGGTATGGTTCATGATGGTGTTGAATGCCAATGGCAATTTGGCGAACACGGGCGGATAATCCACCATGCTCTTATCGTCTTTCTTCGTCCAGCCGAACAATTCGTCTACAACCGTATTGTTTTTGGTTGTAGCATTGCCTTTGATACCAACCGTAGGGTCGTCGTTCCAATTCGTTATAGTGACCTCTTCGCTATTGGGCCACATATTGTAAACGATGGGTGCCATTTCTGTTTCATTCAGGTTGGCACATAGAACATTCAGTACTGGACTAGGAACGCTGGCCCTCAGACTGTAGGTGCCTTCCGAATTTAACTCCTCAGGTTGCATGATATCGTTTTCGCCGTAGCGAGCTGCTGAGAAGACGCCTGCATGAGGCATTGCTAAACTGACGCGGTTGACAGCTCGTTTGTACTTCTGGGATTCTTTCGTGGTGTCAATTATGTCGATCCATTGGGCAGTGATGGTAGTATTCTCATGAAGAAGTCCAAAGCCTGGCGGGCGCAGATGCTGATCGGAAGTGCCGTTGCCGAATCGATTCCAGGATTTCCAGGCGGAAAGATATCGCTGATAGTTGTGATATCCCTGTCCAGCATGCTCAAGCTGTAGGCAGGTACTGCCCGAATTGTCTTTGTCCATTGTTCCTGTTATCGGCGTCTCGCAGATCGATTTCACGTAGTTGACGTTTGCGAAGCCAGTCTTCACACGGCCGGCGTAGACCATCGGGGTAAAGTGACCTCCGTCCTTGAGCATTGGTTGTACTGGCGAGGTGAGCGTTCGTCGGGTTTTGGTCAACATGTGGTACGTACCTAAAGCAGTAGCTGCGGTCGAGTAAAGCGTAGCCAGGATCGCGCTTAGCAGACTCAAGAAGCCGAGGATTGATAGGCCCGCATACTTTGCGGTTTCCCAATGCGTGATGAGAGTGCCGGGCTGCACTACCCATCGCCACATGCTCAACTCAGAGAGCGTGACGCCGCGACCGTGCTCCTTCATGAAAGCCCTTCTGCTGAGGACCTGGCCGAGGAATGCAACAAATGAAGTAACAAATGAAAGTTCGATCAGCTTAGCGAAAACAGTAGTAAGGAGAATAGCGTCCGATGGTTTGAAAGAACCCTGGCTTGAGATCGATCGTCCATATCGGGGAGCTCTTAATGCAAGACCAAGGAATATGCCGGAGAAGACAGTAGAGAATAAACATATTATCACGATGCTAACGGATACCCATGTGAATCTCGAGTGGTAGAATGGTCTTTCTGTCGCGCATTCATGGACTGGATGGAAGCTGTTTTGGTATGCGGAGTTGATAGACGGCGCGGCGCCCTTGCTGGCCTGCAAGAAATGTTGATAGTCGTTATTCAAACTTGTGCTGCTTCCTCCAGCATGCTTCAGTCCGCCTTGTCTATACGGCTCGTATCCTCCACCATCGAGCTTGGGACTGAATCTTTCTCGCCTCAGATCAGGTGTGCTTTCAGCTGATTGGTATGGGAATCCGCCAAGAAATGGATCACCTGTATCAGGAGGTGAGGTGAGGGCGGGGCTCTTAATCGAGGGACTGCGCACGCTTCCAACTGGCCGTCGTGGGATCGATTGTACCGATACTCGACGACTTGGCGTAGGTGGGTGTGAAGGTGTGTTTGCTATGCCTAGCCCACTCGTTGATCGGCAACTGAGACTGTCTGCAACATGCTCCTCTTCCTCTACCACCGTGGCAGGTGTACGCTCGACTGCGGTCGCACCGCTCCCTAAACGTGTATATCCAGGTCGCGAAAAGCGTGGGCTGAGAGGCGGCGAGACTGCGATTGGAGTAAATCCGAGAGAGCTCGAGGTATTGTTGAAGCCTAGCGACGGTAGCGCAGGCGTTGCATATGTGGTTTCAGGAGGGTCAGGCGTGGAGTCGTCGATGAGCGGTCGGCGGTCGGCCATTTTACACAGGGCTACGGACCTCCGTCTTCGTCGCCTGGGGTTTCAGACTTCCGGCCCCAACAGACACGGCTGTATTCGTACTCGTATGCGTCTTTGTACTACGAAAGCGGTCCAAGGCTCGGATGCGACTGCGCAGAACCCAAAAGCGAAGAGATGGTGTGCGTAGACGGTTCGATTTCGTATGCGATATAACGCGATCGAAGGGGGGGAAAAAGCCAAAGTAACCCGCGAGGCAGGATGCAGATATTGGCCCTAAGACCAAGGCTCACAGATGCGCCTGGGCGTTTGGCAGCATCTTCTGTGCCGCAGCCCATCTTCAGCTCTGGCCATCGTCTCGCGCGTGGCGTAGTTCAGCCCCCAAACTCCCCGCTGTCCAACACCACGCCTATTGCGCCGTACCTCCATAGACACCCGGCCGCGCCAAACTTGAGCACAATCCCGTCGTTTGCCTTTGATTGCTGCGCTTGACACGTTACGTGTCTTCTCGCTCGCCTGTCCGTTGTTCCACGATCTTGTGCTTTAGGCAGCTCGAATGCGCGAACGTACATATATCGGAGCAGTGCATTGTCGTGACTGCATGTTGTGCTCGACTGTGCCGCAAATGCGTGTCTGCGTTGCTTCCAGACCAACTCGGCGTAATGTTAGCTTGCGCTTACCTGTAGGACATGTCCAATTTCAGGGTCGTTAGGTATGGATTTGTGATTATCTGGAAGGAAAGAAGCAACCGTTGGGAGCACTGCACTAGAGAGTGATGAGCAAAGGCGAGGCGGCGCAATCGAACTATTGCGTTCTTCCCTACCATTTTCTCATGGCTGGCTACAGCCTCAACGGCTCCTTCGTTCAATAACTAACAGGGCGATATCTTACTGTTGCGCGCCTGGTCAAAGCCCCAACAGCTGCTTTAGTCTGACCTTGCCATCCGGCTTAAGCGTTAATCACAAGATTTCTGTTGCCGTTCTGTGGCTCTGCCTTGGTATGAGATGTGTCTGAAGATGGGATTGGTTGAGTTGCGTAGCTATTGTGGTGATCGTCTCCCGGTTCCTTATGGAACGTAGGTCGCCTATCTCGGCCACTCACATCAGCCTTCTGTACACCACCAGGCCAGTGCGATACATTGGCATTGCTTCCGGCAGTGGTAGCGTCGGAAGCCCAGGCCAAATGGACATGTGATGCCCACCCCCACAGTCGAATTGGCCCTTGTTTGCGCGCCTTTGTACACGCTCTCACTCACAACCTTCAAGGAGCCTGTACGAACGACCCAAAATACTATGTCGTCGCCGCAAAGCGCCGTGACCACAGATGCGGAGTCCGCACGCCGAACGGCAGAGGCTCGCGCGGCCGTGACAGCCTCGCTCGCCGCCGTTGGAAGCTCTGTCGACAACGACATGCGGACTCGAGCGGCAGATCTGCACAGGAATTCCGAGGGAATAACGAAGCAGGAGAAGGATCTGGCCAAGGCAACGACGGCGTTGGCAAAGGAAAGTGCGCAGTGGCAGAAGTTGGCAGACACCAGCACGAAGAAGCTCAACGAAATCGGAGATATTCAGAATTGGGCAGAGATGCTAGAAAGGGATATGTTGGTGCTGGAGGAAACGTTGCGCTTGGCTGATGGAAAAGCTGCGCCGGACTCTGCCAGCGGCACTGTGGGATAGGAAAGCTCGGAGATTTGTGACTGTATATCTCAAGCACACAATAGCGTACAGGGACCGGAGAGAAGCGCTCAGTCCGACGGCCCGATGGAACTCCAATGGCACCAAGGGTCGACTCATATCGTCAGCTTCAATGACGTGAATGTGCACGGTGAGTGCTGGCGATGTGTTGAGCTTTGACGCGTTTCGACGACCCATAAAGCGAAAAGGCTAGCTCTCGCGATACCAGAAATATAGACGTAGCCTTCACCTCTCGCATAGATGGCGTTCAGTGTTCCATGATCGTATAGAGGCAGCACTCCCACGTTTGCAGCACAGCGAGCTCTACCTTCAGTTACATAAGCACGTGCACTGACCACATACTGATCGCGCCTTCCGAAAGTACGCTGCCAGTTACGTCTCGCGGCGGAACATCTTGAGCTCTCTCACCGTCGACTCACGCATAACCAGGCACCACGCTCCATTAGAGTCCGTCAGCCTGCGTATTTGGCCTACGCACATTGCCAAAAAAAAACCTGCCAGCACAGCAAGACCCGCGTCTGCACCGTGGTTTCTTGCAGGGTTGCACGAATCTCTTGACGCCTCAACGAAGAAGCTCGAACGTGCCGCGTCCGTCGACCTTGGCCCCCGCCTTTACTCAACTGCACCAGTGTTTGCAGGCGTTTGCCCCAAGCTTGAAGTGCTATCTCCTCGCCAAAGTCTGCGCCGCGACCATAGCAATCAGTACACGCAGCGACTCCGCACGGCAGCAGAGCTTTAACCCCGCGGCCCAATCAACATCCTCGATTTAGTGTTCCTGCACACATTAGAGTCACGACACACTCGCCTGGACAGATCGTACATGTGGGAGGCTCGGCTTCCGAGCGCCCGGAGGAGCCATGAAGATCAAGAAGCAGGCTACGTCGCGGCATGAGTCCACTCTGGTAAGAGAATTGCTTCTTTCATGATCTTCGTAGGCTAACACTGGCAGTCACCGATGATAGCAGACTTTGTCAAAGCGACCGAATCGATACCCCTCTACCAGATACCCGCCCACCTTGCTTCATTTCCCAAGCTGTGGCCGTTTCCACGAGGTGACACGTACCACTGGATTCCGGTGTTGAACCGGTTCGACCGCATACTTGAGCTCTTCATTCGAATATACGGCCTGGAAAATGGCCCTCAGACGCAACCATTCCAGCGACTTCTCTTGCAACAAGGCGATGCGGAGGAAGGGAAGACCTCAGAGCCGGCGACAGCCGACATCTTGGACAAGCTGCACATCGCTTCGGATGGCGACCGTGAGCTCATCGAGCAGATACTTGGTTTCACGCGGCTGCTGCTCGAGAATTGCGGAAACCGAAGCCTCTACTCCAGCAGCGGTCACTTGGACAAGCTGTTGAACTCTACCTCCGTCACTCTCGTGAAGGCAACGCTTCGCTTGAGCCTCCGCCTTTCTCAGCGTTACTACTCCGCTCGCATGCGGCTCGCTCCGGCGACACTACACCCAACATTGCTGGCCAGCCACTATAACATCAACCTCGAGAAGATGCAAAAGTTGGCCGCACCCTTTCCTAAAGGACTGTCGACAGCACCGCTGCCGTTTGCAACTCCCGCGGGCAAGGGCAAGGATAAGGCACTTGGGGAACGTCGCAGCGAGAACGATAGGGTATATGCTGCGGACATGGTTGGTCTTTTCACACTGCCGGAGGGATCAGTTAAACAGGAATATGGCGGTGTATTGATCTCCTACTATGAGCCGTCCTCAACGTCTGAGGAAAACCAGCCACCGTCTGTGGAGGCACACGCAACAGCCGCGCCCGCAACGCCTACACCAGTACGTCGGACCTCCAACATGAATCCGCAGCAAACTCCTCGTCAATCGCGCGATGGGGTATTGACAGATCCTCCTCTCACGCCTGCCTTCACTCCTGGCGATGTTGGCACTAGCCGGCCGACTGGGGCTAAATCTTTCGAGAAGCCTTCAGAAATCGTGTCGAGCGCCGATATCCACGAGCTCCTGAAAGAGGGGCTTGAGGAACTGCCTGAGAACGTACACTACGAACTTCTTCACAAGGTCCGATCTGCAAAGACCTTGGTCAATGGTAAAAATGGTCGCGAAGACGGGGTCGGAATTCGCATGCTTGCCATCGCCAATTTGGCTTACGTATACGGCGAGAAGGATTTCCACGCAAAGCTCGGTCAACAAGACACGGACGAACCTCGTCGCCTGCAGTGGGCTTATCAGTTGTCCGAACTCGTGCATCCGCCGAGCAGCGGCGATGGTGCTGTGTCGCTTGAATTGCAAACTTACGCTCTCTGTGCTCTCGAGGCCTTGGCGAAGCATAAGTCGAAATCTTCAGATATCTGCACGGCTCTCAGTGTCAACGTTAATCATGGTGTCCTGTTCTACGTTGTTCGGAAGCTCGTCGCCGAGTTAGCTGTTGATGACGACTCTGTAGTCAACGCTCAACAAGAAGAATGGCGAGAAGCCTTGTTCTCGCTGCTGAACACGTTGCCAACCTCACAAGCACGAACCGGTGACGGCATGGTTTCTGCTGGTCTCATAGAGATCTTGGTCGATGTACTCAAGCTTCGAACGGCCAAGGCAGAACGCAATCACCCGAAGATCCTCAACTTCCTTGACACCTTTGTCCACAACCTCCGAGAGGCATTCCAAGCTCTGGTCGATGCTAAAGGACTTGATATCATTGCGGATCTTGTGTTCTACGAGGTGACGACCTCACGAATGCTCGCGGAGGCAGGCGAAGGGATACCTAAAGAGTACAAGACACAACTCACCGATTATCAGATTCCCTTCTACAATCAGCAAACCCTTCGCTGGCTTTTCAAGTTTATGAACCACATGATGTCCCATACAGGGGGTGGCAATTTTGATCGTCAAATGCGGAATCTGATTGATTCGACTCCTCTCCAGCAAGGACTCGAGGTTGTGTTATCCAACGCCAATGTTTTTGGGTCCACGGTGTGGAGTATGGGCGTGAATATTTTGACCACATTTATCCACAACGAACCTACAAGCTATGCAGTGATTAACGATGCCGGTCTTAGCACTGCACTGCTCGAGACCGTCTCTGGCGAGAAGATTCCTATGAATCCCACCAATGCGACGGATAAAGACGCAACTTCATCAGCTGATACAACATCTGCGGACCGGAGCGCCTCACCTCCACGACCTGCTCGCGTCTATCCACCACGTGACCCAAACATGTCACTTGCTTCCGGTATTCTACCTGTCGCCGAAGCAATCTCGACCATACCGCCCGCGTTTGGTGCCATCTGTCTCGCAGAAGCCGGTATGAAACTCTTCCAGTCGTCGGCAGCCCTTACACACTTCTTCGAAATTTTTGAGAGCCCAGCCCACGTCAAAGCTTTGGACATGGATCCTGAAATTCCCACCATCATTGGCAATGCCTTTGACGAGCTGGTTCGCCACCACCCACCACTAAAGAATCCGGTTTTAGCATCTTTGAGCGAAATGGTCGCCCGGGTTGTTCGTATATGCTTCGACAAGGCGGAGAAGGAGGGTGCTGGTACTAAGTTATACTATGAGGATCACAAAGACGAAAAGATCTATGTTTGTGGCGGACGTCCTGCACTCTCCGGTCCCGAGGGCTTTATTCATAAGCAACTCTCGCAACAAACCAGCTCTGAAGATGACGTTCTCATGGCAGATGCGCACGATACGTCTTCGAGCTCGTTGGAGCCTGTTGCCCTACTCGACGTTCTCGAGATTGAAGATCGCTCAGCAGGGCCCTCCACTAGCCAATACATCAGTGTCGTATGTCGGTTCCTCGGTGGCTTCTTTACGAACAACGCAATGTGCGCTGCCTACATAGAGGCAGATGGTGTCGAGACTATACTCGATCTTGCCACGCTGCCCTGTCTCGATGCTAGATTCAATGAGACGCAAACGACTAGCGAGGAGTTTGCACGGGTGGTTCAGGTTCTTGTGGAACAGAAACCTCACATTGCAGTACCCGCATTATTGAAACGTACCCAGCAAGCATTAGATCGTCTAGAGCCTTTGATGCAGCATGCGTACAACGAAGGCAAGGGCTTTTTTGCGTTGTTCACAGGCGCGGTTTCCGATCTTGATCCTGAACAGCAAAAGATTCGAGACCAAGGTACCCAATACGTCAAGTCTCTTCTTGCGGTGCACACACTCGTGTCAGCTCTGACAACGACTTTCCAAGGGCAGATGTTCAATACACGTTCCTCCCACAATGTGTCAAGCCAGGTCAATCTTTCTGATATGTACGCTCGACTAGTTGACAGCCTAGGCCGCCTTCATCGAAGCTGCGTCTGGGAAGAGATCCTACTACAGAAGAACATGCCTAAGGAATGGGAGAAAGAGACGCGCGTCAAGAGCTCCGGTTTTGGAGCAATTGAGGCTGATAGTGTTTTCAACCTGGGCAATAACGACAGGTCGACCGAACCACCAGCTGCATCGAGCAACGACGAGACCGCTGGCACTGCACCTGGCTCATCAAGCGATGCACCGACCCCAAGCCAGAACAGTGCTCGCTTCAAGAACACCCAAATCCTGCGATATCTCTTGAGCAAGATACCCCCTGGAATTGCCCCGTTTTTCCAGTCGCTGGGCAAACTTCTCCTCTTCCGTCGCACTTTGGAGTCATATCAGAAACAAGGCGCAATCATAGTTGGGGATCAGCTCGCGCAGGCGGCTATCGATCAGCTGCGCTTCGAAGCCCCAAAGGCCTCCGCGTCGGCTGAAGATCGATATGCGTACTGGATCGTTATATTAACATCGCTCTCGCAGCTAATGATCGACAATAACATGGATCGCGTCAGTCCGCAGGCCCTGACTCTTATCCTGGTATCGTTCAGGAACCTTGGTGGCTTGGCTGTGCTCGCAGATATCCTTAACACTTTCTTTGAGTCGGCCAAGGATGTCATCCAAACTCAAGGCGAACAGCCCTCCGAGGACTACCAGCGATTGCTCAATCTGTCGCTTGGCGGCGTCAAGATAGTTCTAGCATTTTATGCTCAGATCATCAATGCGAAGGTAATCAATGAAGCCACCCAAACTACTTCAATGCAGTCACGCCCCGATCGCGACCGAGAACGTCCAGATTTCTTCCTCGCTCCTCAATTCATCGTTGAGCTGCGCCATGCAGTCACGAAGCCGGTCCAGAAGATATGGAACTCTGATCTCATCGACAAGGCGACGACCTCCATTGTGAAGACTTCAATCAATATCTTGAAAACTGTACTAGATGGCGAAGGCGAACATGGGGCTTACAAAAGCGTTGACAAGATCCCGAAGCGGAGTAAGCCTGTTATTAGACCTTGGAAGCCGAGGAATAGCGAGCACATGCAGCGTCTGAAGGACGCTAGTCAGTATCCGGAGAGTCTGGCTGAGGAAGCTCTCTTCCGGTGCTGCGACAATTTCAACACTGCCCGAGAATATTGTCAGAACCAGGTCCGCGACGTTCGGGCTTCTCGAAACCCGATTCCCCCTTACGAGATAGATGCTCGTCGGGCTCCTAATGTATCCCCAAGTCGAGCAGAGGTGGTTGTTCCCGAGCCCGTAGAGAATGCTAGTACTTCCGCTAGTGAGGATGCCGACGGACCTGAAGGTTGGACGACCCAAGACTCGCAGTCGGTGGAGATGGAGGACGCCAATGTTTTGCAAGAGCCCCAGGAGCATCAATCTCACACACCTGTACCAGAACAATCGCTCGCAGCAGATACAACTGTGGCATTACAGGGCGGCCTTGCCTATCAGAAACGAATGTTGACAGGCAATTTGGCAGAGCCTGTTGCCGTTGACGACTTAGATAAAGAGCGCGCAAGCGTTCGGGAGAATCTCGTCGATCGGTCGCTCGACATCCTCAACTCGCACAACGATGTCACTTTTGAGCTGGCAGACTTGATCTCTGCTGCCGTTGCGAAGGCCATTGAGCCGGGTTCATTGCGTAGCGAGATAGGATCTACTCTGATCCAATCCCTCATCTCCTTGCAGATGGAAGATGACTTCCGCGACCAAGGAAAGAAAATTGCAGCTTCTGCTCACTTGCTGGCCCTCACTATCCAAGATAAAGACTTCTACGAAGCTGTGGTGGAAGAGCTCAAAGAGAACTTTTCGCTGTTCCTTCAATTCATCAAGATCTTCCCAAATCAGGTGCCTGAAGAATCTTCCCCATGGATTGGCCATGTTCTCGTCATCCTGGAACGTCTGCTTGCGGAAGATCAGCTTCCCCCTCAAATATCCTGGACACCGCCAACCAACGAGAACCCTGAGGAGGCGGCGGTCGAGGCACCACCGGAGCCTATTTTTGGTTTGGATGAAAAGAACCAGCTGTTCGATTCGTTGATAGAGGTCCTACCGCATATCGGCAAGGACGAGTCACTGGCCTTGTCGGTCATGCGCGTTCTAGTGATGCTTACACGCACTCGCAAGATTGCTCAGCGTTTAGCAGAGAAACGTAATATTCAACGACTCTTCCTCATGGTCAGACAGCTTGCAGGTATTACGAACGAGGGACTTCGCAGCGCCTTTATGATCGCCCTACGCCACATCATCGAAGATGATGCCATGATCCGGCAAATCATGCGAAGCGAAATACAGCAAATGTTCGACTCACGAGACCGAAGACAGACAGACACAACAGGCTACACACGTCAAATGTACTATTTGGCCATCCGCGCCCCGGAGATATTTGTCGACGTCACCCACGAGAAACTTCAGCTTGCACGCTTCGATCCTAATCAGCGTCCGCAAACTTTGATGCTTAAAAAGGACGAATCTGCCACAGAGGGCGAGGACTCAAATTCATCGGGCGCGTCAAACGAGATGCCAAAGAATGATCAACCCAAAGAGACCAGCGAGGCTAAGCAACCCGTTCTTGAGAGGACCAAAACTTCCGATCTGAAATTACCAGTTGTCGAGAACCCTGATGGCATCATTCACTACCTTTTGTGCGAACTGCTCGCCTACAAGGAGGTGGACGACAAGCCGGCACCTACTAAAGCACCCGAAAAGGATGAAGAACCACAGCAGCAGTCGAGTGCCAACGCAGCGGCATCGTCATCAGAAACGCCGGACGTCAGCACTGAGCAGACGAAGCCTGAGAAGGTAGACTTCAAAGCGGAGAACCATCCCATCTACGTCTACCGATGCTTTATCCTTAAATGTCTTGCAGAACTCCTCCAGAGCTACAATCGCACCAAGATTGAATTCATTAATTTCTCGAGGAAGGCAGATCCGTATGCTACCACCCCATCTAAGCCTCGGTCTGGCGTATTGAACTACCTTCTAAACGTGTTGGTGCCTGTCGGAAGTTTAAACCACGAGGGCGATCTTGCGTTCAAGAAGAAATTGGCCACGTCTAGTTGTGCTATCGATGTGATCGTTTCTTTGTGCGCCAAAACCGGAGAGCAAGGTGTTTCTAGGCCACGTCCAGATCAATCGCCTTATGCCGAGACGGAGCCCGAGCTCTTGTTTGTACGCAAGTTTGTCTTGGAACATTGTCTCAAAGCTTTCAAGGACGCCTGCGGTTCCGACGAAGTTCTCGATATGAAGTACTCCCGTCTACTTGGTGTAGCTGACATCTTCTCGAAATTAGTCTCTCAGCGCCCCAACGGAGAGATGCTCAACCAGAATGCTGATCTTACGCCGACCCTCAAGCAAATGGCCAAGATCATGTACGAGAAGAACTTCATTTCGATCTTGACGACCGCCATTGCGGACATTGACCTCAACTTCCCCAACGCAAAGCGGGTTGTCAAGTACATCCTCAAGCCGCTCAAGTGGTTGACTTACGTTGGCATGGACTTGAGCACTCGTTACGACACATCCTCCGCACCCGACTCAACTGACGAATACGAGATCTCTTCGGCATCAGATGATGACCTCATGGATACAACACGTGAAGAGACGCCGGATCTTTTCCGTAACTCGACGTTGGGTATGTTCGAACCGGGCAACGAGTCGGAGACAGATGAGGACGATGACGAAGATGAGGAGGACGAAGACATGTATGGTGAAGCATATGCCGATGACATGGAGTTCGATGAGGAGCTTGGCGACAACGACGAAGTCGTCTCTGAGGATGAGGAGATGGAAATGGACCTCGGCGACATCGGCCCCATTGAAGGTCTTCCTGGTGACGTAGATGTGGAAATCGAGCTTGATGACGATGGCGAAGGCATGGGCTCCCACGATGAATCCCAGAGTGATGATGAAGATGATAGCGAAGATGACGACGAAGACGACGAAGATGATGGGGATGAGGACGACGATATGGGTGACCTCGAAGAAATAGAGGACATGGAGGACATGGAGGAAATAACGGGCGATGATGAAAATGCAAGCCTTGCAGATGACCGGGAGGACAGTTGGAGCGATGATGGCGCCGAGGTCCATCCTGCTCTCAACTTTGTACTTGATCGACCACAGCTTCTTGATCAGATTCGACAGGGCGATCTGGATGACTTCATTGACGATGATATGCAAGAAGACGAAGGTAAGTTTGAGAACTGATGTTGACAATTATTGCTGATTTTCGAAGATGAGGAAGAAGAGGAAGATTTCGACGAAGAAGATATCGTGTACGATCCAGGTCTCGAAGACGATGATGAAGGCATGCATGAAATGGGTTGGGACTGGAACGAACCCGCTCCACCCTCGCGACACTTGCACCGCCTTAGCCCTTGGATGTTTCCTGGCGGGCCCGACAATAGAGTTCTCGTGCCTGCCTATCGGTCCCATCGACCTGGCGCAGGGCCACGCATGGCAGACGATGGAGTCAACCCACTTCTACAACGGTCTGGTCGCACAGCTGGTCGTCACGGTGACCCTTCCTCTGCAAACAATAGCGACTGGGTCCACGCTATCGAAGGCCGCGGACCAAGACTTCTCCCTTCAGACACTAGCCCTGTATCTTTCATCAGCAATCTGCTGAACGCAATGAGTCAAGGAACGTTGCATACCCAGAACGGCACGGTGCATCTGTCTTTCAACAATCTCCCCTTGGGACCTCATGGATTTTCCCCACCATTCGATCCGACTTTCCGCCGTGACGTCCGTACTAGAGATAATCCCTTAGGTCGCTCAGCACGCGAGGATCCACAGTCGTCTGTGGCTTTCCTCAAGGCCTACACTCATCAGCGTTGGCAAGAAGAGGCACGCATACTATATGGTCCAAGCGCAATCGAGAAGAGCCAGCGTGTCGTCAATTCAATCCTCAAACTCATGGTCCCGCCCGCCATGGAGGCTCAGAAGAAGCGGCAAGCGGATAAGGAAGCCGAGCTTGAGCGTCGGCGGAAAGAGGAACAAGAGCGTAAGGAGCAGAAGGAACGAGAAGATCGAGAAGAGAAAGAACGCCAGGAGCGCGAGCGTCTTGAAGCCGAACGGGAAGCTGCTGCGACGCAAGCTGGTCAAGCGGCCGTCGAAGGAGAGCAAGCAGAAAGTACGGCCGCTACTCAACCTGAATCTCAAGCCATGGAAGGTGTAGAAGCTGCCCAACCCTCTACACAACCCGAGCAACCGGCTGAACCTCAGCAACGCATTACGGTAAACCTTCGGGGCCATGAGTACGATATCACTGAACTTGGTATTGATTTGGAATACCTGGAGGCTCTTCCTGAAGATTTGCGCGAAGAAGTTCTGTTATCGCAGATTCAGGAACACCGTGCCCAACAACGCGCCGTCCGTCGAGAACAAGAGCAACGCGCAGCTATACAGCAACCACAAGGCGAAAGCCAAGATCAGCCAGCTGGCGACCAGCAAGCCGCCGGCATTGATGATGACTTCCTGGCTGCTTTGCCACCAGATATCCGTAATGAGTTACTCCAGCACGAGGCCCAAGAACGTCGACGACAAGAACGGGAAGAGCAACGACGACGGAGTCAAACAAACGCCCCAGCACAGGCTGAGGACATCGATCCAGCCAGCTTCTTGGCCTCACTAGACCCTGCTCTACGACAGGCCGTTTTGATGGACCAGGATGAGGACATGTTACGTCAACTGCCTCCCGAAATCTCTGCTGAAGCTCGCTCATACGGCGGCGATCGTCGCCTTAACCAATTCGACTATCTTCCTTCCGGTTTCCGCCGTACAGGGGACCGCGGCGCTGACCGCGACGTTCAGTCGCAGAAGCGTAAGGCTCGGCCATGTGCGCAGATGCTCGATAAGGCTGGTGTAGCAACGTTACTCCGCCTCATGTTCATCCCTCAACAAGGTAGTGCGAAGGCCAGCTTGACCCAGATCCTTCGCTACGTTTGTGAGAACCGTCAAAATCGCGCCGAAGTCATCAGCATCTTATTGTCGATTCTGCAGGATGGCAGTGCTGACGTGAACGCTGTCGAGCGTAGTTTCGCTCAGCTGTCGCTGCGTGCGAAGCAGACTCAGCAGCAGCCTAGCGACAAGACTCCGAAATTCTCGAGGAAGAACGGGGCATTCTCCATTAATTCTGATGTTTCACCGCTCATGGTCGTCCAGCAATGTCTGAACACACTTACACAACTTACTGAAAAGAATCCTGCAGTCTGGACGTTCTTCTTGACTGAGCATGAAACGGGCGTTGGCTTCAAGAACCGAACCAACCGCAAGGGGAAAGCGAAAGAGACCAAGGCGACCAAATACCCCGTCAACGCGCTATTAAGTTTGTTGGACCGGAAGTTGATCATCGACAGTTCCTCCATCATGGAACAACTTACCACATTGCTTCGCATCATCACCGTTCCTCTCCAACATATGAAGAAGGAAAAGGAAAAGGCTGAGACCGAAGCCGAGAAGAAAGACGACACGCCGGCTGCGGCAACCTCGACCGCCGCCGAAGTTGATCGGAACCGCGAGCAGCCTACAACTGTACAGCAACAAAGCGAGGATGTCGAGATGGCGACCGATTCCCAGAACGAGACTGCTATTGAGGTAGCTGTCGTGGGCGGGGCCAGCTCCTCTAAGCCTGAAGCATCAAAGGCTGAGGAAGACAAGAAGAAACATGGAAGCCTTACACCACCTGAGATACCCGAGAACAATTTGCGTCTTGTTGCAAAGATTTTGGCTGCTCGAGAGTGCAGTGCTAAGGTATTCCAGGAAACTTTGAGCGTTATCAGCAATCTTTCGCCAATCCCTGGGGCCAAGGAAATCTTTGGCCAGGAGTTACTCGGTATTGCCCAAGAGTTGGCGCGATCTATACTCCGAGACCTTAGCGATTTGACCGTCCAGGTCACGAATGCTGCGTCGCCTACTGATGTTCAGGGCTTGGCTCTCTCAAACTTCTCACCCGCAAGCTCTGATCAAACCAAGCTCCTCAGGGCTCTCACGGCATTGGATTACCTCTTCGATCCTACACGAGACAACAAGGAACAGAGTGGCGCGGTGGCGCTTGAGCCAGCACAGAAGGACGACATCCTTATATCCCTGTATGAGGACGCCGCATTTGCGCCACTGTGGAACAAGCTTAGCGAATGTTTGACCGTCATTCGCCAACGCGGTAACATGCTGAACATCGCCACCACCTTGCTACCCCTTATTGAGACTCTCATGGTGGTCTGTAAGAATACCACTCTTAAGGACGCGCCGCTTGGCAAGATGGTTAATAAGGACTTTGCGCTCTCGAGTCCGCCCCCAGAGAGCAAGATGGAGAATCTGTTCTTCAACTTCACCGAAGACCACCGCAAGATTCTGAATGACCTTGTACGGCAGAACCCGAAGCTCATGAGTGGTACTTTCTCGTTGCTCGTGAAGAACTCCAAGGTCCTAGAATTCGACAATAAGCGTAATTACTTCACCCGTAAGCTGCACGCTCGCACGCCTGATCGCCAGCAACACCCGCCGCTTCAGCTTGCTGTCCGTCGTGATCAAGTCTTCCTGGATAGTTTCAAGTCATTGTACTTCAAAACCGCGGACGAGATGAAGTACGGTAAGCTCAGCATTCGCTTCCACGGTGAAGAGGGTGTCGATGCCGGTGGTGTCACTCGAGAATGGTTCCAGGTCATTGCCCGGCAGATGTTCAACCCAGATTACGCGCTCTTCATTCCTGTGGCTTCGGATCGCACAACATTCCATCCCAATCGCCTGAGCAGTATCAATCCCGAACACTTGATGTTCTTCAAATTCATAGGACGCGTCATCGGAAAGGCCCTCTACGAAGGCCGTGTGCTTGACTGTCACTTCAGCCGAGCAGTCTACAAGCGGATCCTGAGTCGGCCGGTCAATGTCAAGGATATGGAGTCTCTGGACGAGGAATACTACAAATCTCTCGTGTGGATTCTCAACAACGACCCGACCGATGTCATTCCCGAGACCTTTTCCGTGGAGACCGAACGTTTTGGCGAAACCGAGGTCGTGGACCTCATCGAGAATGGACGCAACATCCCACTCACTGAGGAGAACAAGCACGATTATGTCCGCTTGGTCACTGAATACCGACTGACCGGTGCGGTTCAAGAACAACTAGAGCACTTCCTCAAGGGCTTCCATGATATCATACCGTCGGATTTGGTTTCTATCTTCAGTGAGCAGGAGCTCGAGCTGCTTATCTCTGGTCTGCCTGACATCAACATCGAGGACTGGAAGGCCAATACAGAATACTCGAACTACACCCAGAACTCACCTCAGATTCATTGGTTCTGGCGTGCAGTCCGAAGCTTTGACAAGGAGGAGCAAGCTAAGCTGCTTCAATTTGTCACCGGAACGAGCAAGGTGCCACTCAATGGTTTCAAGGAGCTCGAGGGTATGAATGGCTTCTCTAAGTTCAACATTCACCGCGATTATGGTAGCAAGGACCGCCTACCGTCCAGCCATACTTGCTTCAACCGTAAGTATACCTCCCACTAAGCCTCCAGCGCACACACTGACTTCATCATAGAACTCGATCTTCCCGAATACGACGATTACGAATCCCTCAAGAAGGCACTCTACACAGCCATGACGGCTGGCGGCGAGTACTTTGGCTTCGCATAGATGCCTTGATTACATATTCCCTTCAGACTGTACATCTCATTATCACCATGGATATAGCTATGCATTGCAGGGCGTCTTTTACACGGAGCGGGCATTGAAGATCATGATATGAGTACTCTGCATTGGGTGGGGCATGGTCTTGTCGGTCTTAGTCCGCTGTATGAGTATAGTTGGGGGCAGGGTTAGCTGCAGAGCGAAAAATGGGCGTTGGCGAGGGGATTCAGGAGGTTGGATGAGGTGCTTTGGCTCGACATATGCGCATGGAAATGGATGAAGGGAGTGCAGACCTGGATTCTGGTGAAGTGTGCAGATGCGCTGGGCTGAGGTGGGGGAATGGGGTGGAGGATGTTTCTCTTTTCTCATGCTTTTCTAGGTGGTGATAGTAGATAGCTACTCGAATGGGCTTTGCTTTGCTTACTTATGAGCTTGGTGCGATGTGATGTCCTAATCCAAGCTTTACAGCATTGGTGTCGTTCCGTGTACTTGGTCAATTCAAGGACCGAGTGCCCCTTATAAAGCTGTCTAGTAGCAGCACTTCTGATGATCCTCTTTCAGTCCTGCGTATTGTGGCGAGCCTTGCCCAAAGCTTCGCTTCCGATCTTTATTTGTGCTCCTCTTTCGCTAGACATGCCTTTGCTTCTTCAACCTGGCCGAACTCAAGGGAGAAGGTCCGCCGTCCTCGTGGCGACCCTTTCACAATACTCCGGATGGTTTTCCCTTTCGGCCGAGCAATCAAGACTTCGGAGTGGGCTTCATCGCGAGTGCGGTAAAAGTCATGACTACCAGGAAGTTCATGACCGCAATGAAGTTTCGAGTGATCGAATCTCTCTTCTAATCGCTATGGTAGTTTATAGATGCAGCTCTGGCTTCTTATGGGTCATTGTAGGCAACTGACTGTAGTAAATTACGATCTCGGAATCACTATCCGTAATGCCAACGCTGTCCCAGCTGCCAGCGATAACATCACCCCCTGCACCCGCGAATCGCTTTCCGCTTGATCTGTCTGTTGAAAATTGCTATAGAACCATTGCCGGATCCGGATTCATCGATTACAGCTAATGTGCTCCCTCCATAAGACGTGCCAATGTTCTCTTCGCCGTAAGCAGGATCATTGTAGATTGCTGCGTCATTCGAACTCGTTGTTTGCTATGATACAGTCCTCGACATTATCAAGAGCCACCAATACGTTTTCCTTTCGGGACTGTATGCTGATTGGGGAAGGGCTGATCAATGCACCATCTTCGTCCCTAGGGACAATTGGGGAGAATGTCTGATCAACGTCCAATTCGTCCAATTCGTCCAATGTGACTTCGGATGTAGATATATCAGTAACATGGGATGGAGAGCCTCAACTCTGCTTCATGACTTGTTGCTTGCCAAATATCGTGATGGAAACGGTTGTCTCACCTTTTCCTTTACACAAGTGGCTCTTGGGGCGGGGGTTGTACAGTCCACAGAGTGAAGTCAAGTCTTTGCTGTTGTATTCTTGTCTCCTTCCCCTTCCTGCTCATTTGTCGTATCAAGTAATTCCAAGGGACCTATAAGTGTCCTGACCGATCAGTTATCTGGCACCTGACTACATAAGTCAGGTGAGTCTGCTCTTGACTACTTTTGTGTCCTTCGCACTTAAGTGCTCGCGCCAATCTTTGTAGAATACCTGAGATCGGATGTTTTGAAACAGGCTCAAGATCGCATCAGAAAGGTATCTCGCCGCCTGTTGTATCTTCTTGGCAGAAAAGCATCTTGGTGGGATCCCTCGTGTGGCAGGCACTTGTCATGGACTTTCCAGATGGCTGCAACATTGTGCGCCTGGTCGAAGACGCGAACAATCGTGAGAGTGTTGCCTTCCTGACATTCTAATATGCAGTTTTGCGGGCTCTCATGTGATTGCAAACAGCATTTCCGCATCCATGCAACATTTTAAGCAAAGTTCCCCCGAGGTATCTGGCTTTCTACAGCGAGCTACTGTCCATAAGGAGCACAGGTCCCCTTATCTTGAGGACAATGTTGTCATAGAAGGTCCCACAAGTTCGTCACCCGAGACGCCCGAGACCATCCCAGATGGTTGAGATTACGTAAAGATGCTAAGCGATGGTTCTGTATTATTTGTGCAATTGATATGACTTTCCTGTCGATCTCCGTCATCTGTATAGTAGAAGGGCTTTTGTCTACTTTGTGCACGATACATAGTGCACATGTACTGCCAGACCTTTTTGGCAGCATCTCTAAAGCAAACCCCGTCCGGTAGGCGGTATTTGCAATATCCCCAGCGTCATCACAGAATTTCATGAGCAGTTCGTATGTAGTTAGTGTTTCGTGTTCCCTTGCTCACCCTGAGTCGTCGCCGCAGATTCCGAAAAGGTGCGGTTCCTTCGACAAGCATCGTAAGACCGGGCCTCATGAGACTTCACCAGCAGTTTGTGCTCACGAATATGTTTTTTTGTTCGCAGAAAGGGCCTGCTTCGAATTTAGGCCGTCATCAAGTAATAGTGTAATTGGTGCATTGCACGTTAGATAGAAAGGTAGAGGGAGGGTATACCCAACGCGCCTGTAAATGCTGCTGAAAAACACCACCGAAATAGAAGACTCCAAAAGTATGCAGCGATCCCACATGTCCTGAACGCAAGAACCGTATAGCCGAGGAGTTCTTTCAATTACACCATGTAGGTCCCGTCCATGTTCTTCATCTCTGCTTCTTTTTCTTCTTTCAGGATCTTGGGCATCATAAAACAGCTGGCTAATAAAGCGATACCTGCCAGAACTGCCATCAATGTCCACACACTCTTCAATGACTGGACATACATGTCTGCGATCTGAACTTTCGCTGAGCCCGGACCACCAGGTGTTGCTCGTATGCGGACGAGTAGGGATACAGATTCCACCGCGTACTCCTTCGCAAAGCCGTGGTATATCTCGCTCGTGTCCAGCTGTTGAAGGAGTCTGTTTTGGAAGATGCATGTCGCCATTCCAACACCAAAAGCCTTGCCGAGATAATGGAAGTAGGAGGAATTGGTGACTGCCCTCCGTTGTCGTTCATCGTCCCTCTCTCGGCTAGCAATCAGCTCAGAAGCGGTGTGAAGACTAGGAAATAGGATACCGATGCCAGTGCCTGAGACGATTGCAATGGAGATCCACTTCCCATCTGATGAAGTACGCGTGTAAAACGTGGTCATCGCAACACCGAACACTACAAGCAGCCATCCCAACCAAATGGCGTAGATCCAGGCATTCCATCTGCTAATGACAACAAAGGTAACGAGGATTACTATTGCAAGGGGAATGGTCCATGGGAACCAGCGTACTCCTGCAGGCACGTCTCTCATACCGGCATCGGCCACACCAAAGTAGAGTGGCTGAATTACTGTTAGTATTGGATCTCGCAGTCGTTTGGATCATTTTGATTTACCATGAAGAATACATAGGCACCGATGATGGCACCCTGTACGGTGGTGCCGAAATACATGCCCAGGCTTGTGGGATCCATGAACCCATCAATAGAGATCATGGACTGGAAAGGTGCAAACCACGACCAGACGCAATACAGTATAATGCCGATAAGCCCGAATTGAATAGGTATAAGGGTACGTGGGCTAGACCAAGCGTACGTAGTACCTCCCTGTTCTGCTTATTAGTAAATTGTCACCAGATCTCGAAATTCTCGCTTCACTCCGCTCCCCGGACCATGTCCGAACACTTCACCCGAAATGCCGAGGCCCAATGTACAAGGGGAATATTCTTTGCGCACTTACCCAGCTGATGCCCAAGAGCATGGCGACAAGTGAACCAGTCATGAGAATGAATCCTACCCAATCAATCTGCTTTAGCTCGTAGAGCTTCGAGCCGTACTTGGTGGACTTCAGCTTTGCGAAGAACGCGAGGATCAAAAGCGAAGAGATACAGAAGGGAAGATTAAGCCAGAAAATCCAGCGCCACTGGGACTGTTCCGCAAGAGCCTCGCCAACTGCAGGTCCAGTCAATGCGCCAATAGCCCAGCTGTGCCAACATCAGTCGGAATATGCAATGTGATTAGGTACGACTTACACCAGACCAAGAACAGCTGACCACCTTCGCTTGTCCAGAGGAGACACAAGGTCCGTTATTATCAAGTCCGACAGTACGAATACGCCGCCTGCGCCGAAGCCCTGTATTGAGCGACCAAATAGCGCGGTGCTCATATCTCCAGCAATGGCTGTTACAAGCGAACCAATGATGAAGAGCGTCAGTCCTGCAAGTAGCATCGCTTTGCGACCGAAGATCTCTGCAAAAGCCGAGAACAGTGGTATGACAGCGGTGGCCGCCACGAGGAATGAGATACCCAACCAGAAAGTGTTCACAGACGGTCCATGGAGTACGACCGCAATAGTCTGTTTGAATCAGTAAGAGCATATCATAGACCGTTGCGCTCGAACGTACTGGAAGAGCGATCGATATCGCAGTTGCATCCCAAGCCATTACGAGATTGACCAGGGCCAAACAAATGCCTGTTGCATAGAACCTCCAGTCCACCTCAAGCGCGACTCCTTTGAAGTGTCGAACCTCCTTCTTCAATCGAGGCCTGCTCTTTGGCATGCTCTCGAAGCTTACTCGTCTGCTAGTACTTGGCGTTCCGGGAGTCCTCCTTCCAGCACTGGCGCTCTCATCGCGTCCATGCAGGCTCCTAGAAGCGCTCCTGCTGCTCTTGCTGCTTCTATTGCTTTTACTTCCATTGCTTTTTGCGCTCTTGTAACTGTACGAACTCTTCTTCGTGTCGCCGCGACGAACCTTGGAATTAAGCTCCCTTCCACTTCGTGCCTCGGAGTCAAGAGCTTCAAAGGTGAAGCGATCGGGGACTGGTGTTTTTCGGGGCGGTTGTTCCAGAAAATGAGACAGGCGATCTGAGTCTGCTTTCGGTACTGCGAACTGCAAGTGTGCTCGTTGCTTTTCGGAGAGATTGGCTATGAACTGTGCGGCTCCAGTTGGTTCGGGTGTTGGTGTTCCATTTCGGGATGGCCCGAATCCAGGAGTGCCCGGAGCGGGGCTGCCATTTCGCGACGGTGGGAATGCGGAATAGGCGACAGTTTTGAGAGCTGATGATGGGTCTGGCGAGGGCGCTGATGCTTTCGATTGTGATATTGATGGGACTTTGTGCTCTGGCCTAGAGACTGCATGATGGGCAAGCTCCGGAAAGGCGATGGTGTGTTCCTGTTCGATGTTCTCATCCTTGGGTGGTGGTAATGGTGCTGCTGAATCGGAGTTCATCTTCAATGTCCCAGAGCTCTCTTTATCGCGACATGGTACCATTCACCTCAATCAACATCAACGCGCAGCCTGACGACCAAACAGTAGGAGTTCGGATGCAAGCCAGGCGGACGCATAACCATATAGCTCGGATCTGGTCTTGCTTCGCATCTGACTACTTTTTCTTCGGACTTGCAGGTGCTGAGTTCTCTAGCGCCGCCCGCTGCGTGGCAATACCCCTACCGTCCACCGAACTGGGGGCTGCGATCCCACGCTATGCCTGTACCACCAGTCCGTAGACCAGGATTGGGAATGTGTTTCACCATGGACATTTGTTTCAAGCTGGCTGATTGGTGCAATGTTTGCAAAGCGAAGGCCCGTGAGAGGACCACTGTTCCAACGTCCGGCACTTTGCTGGAAGAGCATAGGCAGGGCGCTCGATGATGGCATCTAGCACCTGTGTAGTATTAGCGAAAGTGAATCCGGAGTACACTTGGACGCCACGCTCACCTAACGAAAGGAGAGAGTTGCATTCCAACTGTTCGTCTCGTGCGTTCGGTCTTTTCATGTGCGACGCGCTCTCCACGCAGCCTCGGGAGGACCACAATGCACACCCTCACGCCGAAATAACTCTGAAATGGCCCTAGAAAACAGATGACTCGGGTACGCGACCGCGCCTTCGGGATCCCACACGAGCACAGCCCGGTAACGTGTACATGCCCGAAGCGATCGCACGACGTCTCCATCAGTGCAGACCACCGGCCAATGTCCGGCCTAGACCGAATCGCCGCTGAGCATGATCCGCCACCGCAACATCTTCTCAAATGCCTGTTCGAGGGCAGGACTTCCACGGGACGCTGACGCACCGAGGTGACGTTAAGATGCGCTAGGCTACTTTGGGAACTGGCCAACACAACGCCGATCGGACTCCATGGAATGAGGCTCTGCAGCATGGCCTGCTTACATGATTTGGGGAAAAGACCCGCTCTGTCCTCAAGTGCAGATGACAAGGTCAATAAACGAAGGAACGGAATCTCCGGTATACCCACTTCGCCTTCGGAGAGCTCCAGCGTGGTCCAGAACGTGATCAACGGCCTACCTAGATACCGAGGCAGTCGGTAGTCATCCCCCTCCCTCCGGTCATACTATAAGCCAGCCTTCTCTCATTCGCGCCTTGTGGACATGCACCCGTACTGCATACCTCAGCATTAATAATGGTTTTCTGCATCGTAACTCAGTCGTCCTCAGGCCGCTAATTGAATCTGGACAGTTGCATTGTACTAGCCACGGTGTAGCTGGTCTGCCGCCCTCTTCGAATGACACCGAAACCGTGAGTGATATCGAGCACTGCTCACACACTTTCAAGAAGCTTAACAGAGCCCTTCCTCTCCAAAGTAACCTGCAGCGCTTCGGTTCCACTAACCGCAGCATCCGCGCCATCGAACACAACAGCCATCTCCTCGAGAGTATGCCCTTTAGTCTCCGGATAATAGAGCCATATAGTCATAGTGATACCCAGTAGGATCACCGCGAAAACAACGTAGTATTTCCATCCAATGCCATCAAGCGCGATGGGGTTAACGAAAGTGTTAAAAAACAGCGCAACGTAGGTCGACATCTGTGTAAGCGCAATGCCACGGGCTCGCAAGTGATAAGGCCAGATCTCGGCCGGGTATGAGACCAAAAGAGGGGTGCTGTTGGAGAGATCAGTGTTTTCGTGTGCAAAGTTCAATGGATACTTACAAGGCAATATCGTAAAATCCATAATAGATATACAGGAAAGGTACAACGGCGAGGCCGACGGCAGATTTCCCGCCTGTGGCAAAGCCTCCTGACAATCCGGAGATGAGAATGAAGCTGACGAGCATACCCACGGAGGATATCAGGAACAATTTGCGGCGACCGAGGGTGTCGACACAGGTGGTGGCACCGACAGCAGCTATCAAATTCCAGATCTGAAGACAGCCGCTGATGAGAGTCTGGTCTGTCACGCTTGTGATACCGACTGACGTCAGGACTAAGGCAAGATAGTACGAGACGACACTATCAGAGATATTGGTCAGAGACAAAGAAAAATATATTACAGAAGCTGTACGTACCCAACACCGTTCCATTGTGCGAAGACTCCGAGTGTCGTTGAAATCAAGGCTCGATGACGATTTCCTTTACCACGGAATAAGTCCAACCAGGATGTACTGTCTGCATTGTGTACATCGGCTTTGATAGACTGCTCCATCTCGTTCATCTCAAAGTCGACAAGAAGCGACTGTTCGTCTCCACCAGCATGGAACCGGACCAGTATCGCGCGAGCTTCATCCATTCGATCTTTGGCAATGAGATAACGCGGAGATTCGGGTATGAGGAACGCGGCGGGTAATACAACAAGTGGAATAGCGATCTGAAGCAGTGAAGGGATGCGCCATGCCCACGAAGTGTCAATGTTCCTGGTGCCAAACACAGCCCAAGCCGATAGTATAGATCCAACGTAGTATCCGCAATTGTACAGTGTCGTAAGGAACGATCGATGGGTTGGATATGCGAGTTCTGTAATCAACAGAGGGGCAAGACAACCCCACCAAGCGCTGGGCTGACCGACAAACATGCGGCTAAGTATGAACGCGGTATCGTTGGGTGCGAACGTTTGCAAAAGTGCGCCTAGGAAGATGAAGAAATATCCGATGAAGATACCTTTCTTTCGGCCCCAGCGATTCGCGAAATAAGCCGTAATGGGATAAGCGACCGCGCTGGAGATGAATTGAATTGCGTTGATGAAACCAAGCCAAGCACCGGTTGGATGGTCCATATACTCAGTCCATTGTGGGAGTGCTTGAAGACCATTCATCATGGAGCCATCGTAACCAGTCGCTGCTGCTAATAGTCCCATGGAGATAGCAAGGTAGTTGAGGTAGAGTAGGTGAGGCTTCTGGTACCATGATGTATCGTCGTTTGGCAGCACGCGCACGAGATCCTCCCCAACACTGCAGTGTTGCTTAGCATTTGACTTCGACTTGCTCCTGAACATGGTAAATTGTGATGGAGCTCCTAAGGTGGGATGGCAAAGGAGATGAGTTTATCTTCCCGGCCAATGAAGGATGGAAGAAGCGTGAATAGAGACTGATGTTTGCTACCGACTTGATCTTATACTGGACGATCATGCCCTCAATTGAGGAGGCATTGATCGCGAGTTCGATTCGAATTTGACTTGGTCCACCATGCAAGAACCCCATGGGGAGGACCAGCCGAACCTTTCCCGATCTGTCTCGCGGAGTGCCGGACAAAGTGGACGCACCCCACATGGCCTAAGCGGCCACACCATCTGAAAAGCTAGATTGACCGCGAAATATGGTATGATCAATCACACTGAGTCAAGACGTTGAATCATCGTGTCCGGCGGTTCCCACATGCGTATGCAAAGCGTTCTCAAGAACCTCGATTGCGCGGGAGAGAAGTCCAGACCTTTCAGCTTCCCAGAAGCGCAACTGTTCGATCGCATTTCTGACAAGGTGTTTCCAGTCAGGCGGTAGAGTGACATTACTACTCGTGGCACTGGCGATGACTACAAGAGCAGAAGTCGTGTTAGATCTTGTCCAATTCCAGGTACCATGATGTCTGTGGCTGCCTTTAATGTTGCTAATCTGGCGAATGCATTTATTCACTGCCTGTTGTGCTAATGGTTGCACAATGCTCTGGCACGGTGCATTGGGTGGGCTGTGGATCGCATGATACAGAAATGGCAAGCCGATGATGGACTGCAGGTGCACGAATCGAATCTGAATCATGTACGGTAGCTCTTCACAGTGGAACTCTTCTTCATTGAATCGGATCTGGTCGGGTACACTGGTATACCTAAAATATGAACGATCAGTTGGTTGAAAAGCAAATTCGGAGCCAAGTCCATACCAGTTCAAGAGCTGTTCATTGAATTCTTCAGCAGCTTTCCGTTTAGAGCGTAATACCTGTTCGCTCCAATACACATAGCTATCGGCGTAGAGCATGTTCAGCACGTTGTTGGTGATCCTACGCAAAGTAATTTCAGTTAAGTAATAGAACCATGACTGTTGCTGCTGCTCCCGCAAATGATGCAAGCTGTCGTGATTGGTGGCTCGGTAATGACCATCTTCAAAGATCGTCATCTGTGGTGACGGCTCATCAACACTTTCGAGGTTGGGTGGAGATGGATGCATGTCTGGGTAGTTGAAGTCGGCTAAAGAACTGTTAGGCAGATCTAGCTCAACTCGCAGCTCGCATTCCGATTTGTAACAGCTCCAGTAAAGTCTTTGCTCTAATGCTCGTCGCTTGGCAAGGGCAGAATCTGCCGGCACATGAGGCGGCCGGCGGAGTTGACATTGAAGATATAGGTGGTAGGACCGGGACGCTTCCTGGAATTTAGTCCAGGCTAGTAATGGTCTCAAAGTGTACATGAGGTAGACGCCGGCCAGAAAGTGGCACTGTGAAACGAGAACGCCTGTATCGAGGAAACCAAAACGTTTCCGAGCCATATTATAATAGGCTTCAGCATTGTGGAGACGGCTTCCGTCACGTTCCAAAGAGTTTGTTGAAGATCCAGGCGGAATATCAAATGACTCGGCTACGCAACCAAGCGCACAAGCGACGAGCTTGCAGAAGTTAGTCGCAAGACGGAAGTTTCTCGGAATACTTACCACCAAACAAGATGGAGGATCCCAACCTAGACCAGATTCGGCGACATGGTTCGCATATGCCGATATAGTCTTCACATCCAAGATTGGATTCTTAATATGAACTAACTCTATGAATCGGCGCACCAGGTAAGGTATAGAATCTTCGTCAACACCGCCGATTCCCAACTTGGAGCGAGTTTGTTCCTGTGGTGGTGGAATATCAAGATCCGAGTCATATTCTGAGTTCTCCGCTTCGAAGATGGCATTAGTTAGGTAATTTGCTGGCCACCGATTCTGAAAGACAGGCCATTTGAGCACAGCGTCAGCTGTTGTTCGCCGTGACGGGATCTTAAGTTGATCAGACTGATCCTGCAATGTTAGAGCATTGGCCTGTAGGTCGGTGCTCTGTAAGCCTAATGTAGTACGAGTAGCCGCACTAGTGGATGGCGTGGTAGGGGTATCGATGTGGTCTAGTTTAGAGAGAACCTGATTCAGGCGGTCTAAGATGAGAATGCTGGCCGGGTCAAAACTACCATTGGGCTGATCAGTTGGCGAGATGTGCAAGTGTAGTGTCCGCAGACATACCTGGACTGGTCCTGCGGGTCGCCATAGACGCACATCGAAGAGGCAGCAACACAAGCAGAACATGAGGGGCGAGCGTTGTTGCACTTGATCTTCCGAGACCGGCACAAGTTACACGCTGCAGTGGCTCTTTTCCTAGCGTAGGCCACATCGGGCCTTGACTTGGTAGGACGAGGTCGTTTCCGGCTCGGTGCGTCCGTAAGATGGTTCGCGTAAGTACCAAGACGGTTGTGTACGATGTGCTGCTCAAACTCTGCGAGAGGTTGGGTCAAGGGTGGCTGACGGGTTGGAGCATGGGTGTCGCGTGCCTCTCCGGCGGACGTCGGAGAGATCTGATCAAGATAAGCATCGTCGTTCATTTGCGAGCCTGCGAACGTTCCGCGAAATGTCGTTAATGCAGTGGTGCATGTGCGACAAGGCGCCTTTAACAGACGCGGAAAGCCGGGTCACGATTTCCCTCGTCCGGCACTCCGCGAAGCTAGCCAGACAATGCTAGCACAAGCACTTTGGTGGGGAAAGCGGGGACGGATGCCAACCGACGCTGAACTCCCCACAGTAGCCCGTCTGCTGATAGCAACGTGATTTGTACGGGTGAGGATCGATAGCAAAGACGCGTCGCGTTGATGGCATGTCCGTAAATTGTTCTGTGGCATTGTGCTCTTAGTTTTCTTCGGACGACCAGCCCCTCTGCCGACGAGACAAACCAACACGGAAACATGTCTTTAGAGAAAAGAAAGATCGTAAACGTCGGGTTGATCGGCTGTGGCGAGATCGCGCAAGTCGTTCATATTCCAACACTCCTGTTCATGCGCGAATATTTCCGCATCACCTACCTGTGCGACGTCTCCCCGGCTGCCCTGGAGCACTGCTCCCGCAGCATTCCCAACAAACACCAGGCCACACGCAATGTCGAAGAACTGTGCGCCTCAAATGAAGTAGACGTTGTATTGGTGGCGAATTCGGACGAGTACCACGCAGCACACGCGGTCGTTGCGCTTCGACACGACAAACATGTGCTGGTAGAGAAGCCGCTCGCATTGACAAAACGAGATGCCGAGGCCGTCGCTGATGCCGAGAAGAAGAGCAAGGGCAGTGTCATGGTAGGGTATATGCGACGGTATGCAGCGCCGTTCGAGGATGCAGTGAAAGAGATTGGCGGTCTTGACAAGATTCTCTATGCAAGAGTAAGAGGTACGATACCTACTGCCGTACAGCCTGTGGGTTCGCTAATGATTTAGATATAATCGGGCCCAACTCTGCTTTCGTACATCAAAGCGGTACTTTTCCGAAGAAGTTTACAGATTTCACCCAAGCAGATTCGATGGACAAAGATGAGCGGGCAAAGGAAATGGTCAAAACAGCCCTCGAGAACGAAGCTGGAGGGGTTGATGTGACGCCAGAATCCACTCTCATGTGGCGGCTATTCGGCAGCCTTGGTTCGCACGACCTCTCTGTGATGAGAGAAGTTCTGGGTATGCCGGAGAAAGTTGTTGGGTCATCGCTCGGTTTTCCTTTCTGGAAGTGAGTAGAAAACTCTCTGCTGCACAGCTTGAAGCTAATGCATCGTTACAGTGTCCTCTTCAAGTACTCTACGTTTACAGTCTCTTACGAGTCGGGGATCGACAACGTTCCTCGATTCGATGCGCACATCGAAGTATACGGCGCCAACAAGACGGTAAAGGTGCAGTACGATACTCCCTATGTCAAGGGCCTACCTGTCACATTGCACATGGCTGAGAACGTCGACGGAGTCTACAAAGAGTCTATGATACGGAAATCGTACGAGGACCCGTACACGCAGGAGATGAAGAAGCTATGGGAGATGGTGGCTGAAGGAAAATCGGTGAAAACGACGGCGCAAGATGCTCTGCAGGACCTAGAAGTCTTCAACATGGCGATGAAGCATTTTTACGGCAGTCCTTGAGCTGCTCAACTATCCTGATAGCAATAAACCATCGGTACTGAATCCCTTGCTAAGTCGGTACATGGACACGACGTTCAGTGTCAGAATAACCGAATCCATGCCAGACCCGCATGGGCAAGGTAGACCTGTCAAGTGTAAGGTAGCCAAGACCGGTTTAAGCCGCAAGAGACCTGGTTTGCTCTTTACTGGCTCGCGGAATGCCGGGACTGTTGATGGAGGGCCGGCCTGGGTTTGGCCCGCGTGCACACGCGGCAGGGCAAGCGGGTCGTATACGCTCGGGTTGGACGGAAAACAACCCGAAATATTTGGAAGCGCAGCATGATAAGCCATGTAGAATCGCGTCAACGAGTGCGTTCGTCCTCGTTGTCATTGTTCGCGCTCTTTTGAAAGGGAGGAGGAAGCTTACATCATTCACCCATTTGCAAGCACCACAAAATGACTGCCAAGGAGCTGCCGAGCCTACGCTGGGGTGTGATCGGCTGTGGCCTCATCTCTACGTGGTTCGTCAGCGATCTGGTGTTGTCGCGCTCAGATGCTGCCGCAAACCACACAATTGCAGCTGTCGGTTCCTCTTCGCTCGGAAAAGGCAACAAGTTCGCCTCGGAAAATTGTCCTTCACAGTCGCCCGCGGTATACGACTCCTATGCTGGCGTCTATAACGATCCTAACGTCGACATTGTCTACATCGGGACCCCTCACCCTCTCCACCACAAGAATGTTCTGGACGCCGTCGCAGCGGGCAAGCATGTATTGTGCGAAAAGCCCATGGCGATGAATGCCCAACAAGGGCAGGAGATGGCCGAAGCCGCGCGGGAGAAGGGCGTATTTCTGATGGAAGCCATGTGGACGCGCTTCTTCCCAATCACCAAAGAGCTGCAACGTCTGGTCCACGAAGAAAAGACTATTGGCGACGTGGCAGCCGTGTGGGCGGACTTTGGCATCTATATGCCGACCAAAGGCCGCAACCCTGCCTCTAGGACAGTGTCGAAGAAGTTAGGCGCCGGAGCGCTTCTTGATGTCGGCATCTATTCGCTGACGTGGGCGTCGCTGTTGCTGGATACGGTTCCCGGCACGACTCCAGACATCAGCGCCAACATGATATTCTCCGACCACGAGCAGCCAGATGATCGAGTTGACGAACAGACCGCCATTGTACTGCGATACCCGGAGCAGAGGGCACAAGCGATCTGCACCGCGTCGCTGCTGTACAAGACGTCGGAAATATTTGCGCGCATCCAAGGTTCGAAAGGCACAATCTCGGTTGGAGGAGTCGCGGCATCGAAGCCCGGGTTTTTGGTCGTGACGGCTAAAGATGGTGTGGAAAGGAAGATGGAATTCCCGGTGGAAGGGAAGGGGTTCTACTACGAGGCTGACGCCGTGGCTCGGGATCTCCAAGCAGGAAGGCTGGAAAACGCCACGTGCCCTTTGCATACGACGCAGAATATGCTGTCTCGGATGGACAGCATCATGGCGTCGTGTGGACTATCATACCAGAGCTGAGATCCGAGCCAAGATATACCGTATAGTGACTCTAGAACATGAACATAGAGTAATGCATCGTGAGAGACCCCAGTGTCAGCTCCCCAGGTTCGAACCTCTTCAAGCCATCTTCGACATGACATGTTACTGTGCTTCGAGGTCAAGGATCCGGGATTCGAGCTTCGGAATCTGCAATGTATATTCGATGCTTTTCAGTGGTGGGAGCACGCGATCGTCCCTTCCGCTTCGGCACGGATATCTCTCACTTTGTTGCAAACGCACCTTCCCGTTGCCATGGCGCGTGGTCGCCCGAGTGATCGCTCAGCTTGAAGCTATTCCGACAAGCTGCAAATATTTCTGTTCTCTAGATTCCTTCATCTTGTTACCACAATGCCGTCAACGCGCCAGCCATCTCGAAAACGCGCACGACGACCGAGCACTTCCAAGTCGAACAACGATGCGAATAGTGTCAGCACCGGCGCGATTGCTTCTCACAAGCGCAGAGCAGTGGAAAGCTCAACATCAGGCCGACCAACATCTAGACGCGTCTCCGTTCGGACAGAGGGTAGCTCTATCATGATCTGTTGACTGTGTTGCAACTGACTGTTCGTAGTCTCCACTAGCCCTGGTTCTTCAAATGGCGCGCAAAACTCACTCCCAACGCCGACCCATGACGACCCTCCACCCCCCTCACACTTGCTATGTGTGTCGCAAGCGCGGCGGCAATTATGCCTTTACCTGCATCTTTGAGGAAGGAAGCGACAAGTGCACTAGGTGCGTCAAAGAGAGACACGGGTGTAGGGAGGCCACAGCTCAAGAGAAGGCCGTACTGGACGCCAGGTGCCCACAATGCAAGAGCAGGGGATATGCTCACTGTTATTATGAAGATGGACGGCCGTGGCAAAAAGGCGGCCAGGTCTCTTGTAAAGTATGCATAACGCGAGGAAAAGTGCGGCAAACCTGTGCGTCGTGCAGAGAATTCCAATACCGTGGCATTCCGACAAATTACATTTGTCGGATCCCAGCAGCAAGAGCAGATTGTGGTACCATCGGATACGTCGACTGTGTCCAAGTCGCGGAGCAGATCTGGAAGACACGGTGCTGTCGATGCGGGACGGCACAGGCAGTCTTCAGGCTCCGCGAACCCTACAGTCTCTGCGAAGCCGCGGAAGAAGTCTAGGAGAAGCTCTGCAACAAGCGCAGAATCACACGTTTTTGGAGCGGAATCGACACCTGAGGTCACAAAGCAACGATCCAACATTGGATCCCGACGAATTACGATGCCTGACTTCCAGGCGCTCGTCGAAGACGTGTCATCTCCAAAGAGTGCGACTGTGGACGAGGAAACTTCTCGCAAGATTATTTCATCCGAACAACATGCTGCTATGGTTATTGAAACACGGAACGGCAGGCCGACAGGGATTGAAATAGGCTCCGCTGTTAGCTCTGGGATGCCCAGACAGAGGCATAACATCCAGCAAGATCAGTTGACGCCAGAAGACTCCGCAGACAAAGAACCTGACAATGTTGAATTAGGTGATGCTTCGGATGATGCTGCACACCGACAATTGATCATGGAGGCGGGTGGAGCTACGCTTCCTTCCCCTCCTTCGGCCGAGTCGGACACAGAGATGACCTTGGACTTGGAGACGGCAGAAATAACGCACACAATCCACGCCCACGCAAATGCTTCAGGCAATGATACTGCAGCGGATCAACGACAGCATCGGCCAGCCACTTTCGACCGTTCTGCTTCACGCGTGCATCGTAGTACTGCAAACTACAGTGCGATCTATGCCCCGCTGCCCCTTAACCTTTCAGACCATGAGTCAGCAGAGGAGTTCAGTTCGTATGATTTGAGCGATGGCGACGAAGAGCCTGATTCTGATGACGCGGTTGAAGCTGAAGCCTCTTCCTCCGAGGAGATATCATCGGGCCAGGAAGACGACCTAGAGGACATCCATTCAGACAAGGACATTGTGCCTGAGCCTATCGCTAAACCAAAGGCTAAGCCAGCGGCGACGTCAAGATCCGCTCGCAAGGGCATCGATTATAGTCTTCCACCAATGCATGACAACAAGGCGATTTTCGCAGATTTGATATCCCGGGCACTCGAACTTGGGCTTAGGGATGCGCTGGAGTCCCTAGATCGGCCCATCAATGTTGCTACAATGTGTTCTGGGACCGAATCACCTTTGTTCGGTTTGATGGCAGCAGCAGAAGCGCTTGAGGCAAAGGGTCAACCCCCCTTCAGATTCAGGCATCTGTTTAGTGCTGAAATTGAGCAGTTCAAGCAGGCATTCATCGAGCGCAACTGGGCGCCGGAGCTTCTCTTTAGAGACATCCGAGAGTTCATCACCGAGGGAGCTACGACCGCAACTACAGCTTATGGCGCCGTGGAGACAATACCTCAAGGCGTGGACATCTTAGTGGCCGGATTCTCTTGTAAGAACCTGTCCAGGCAAAACAATTACCAAAAGAGCCTCAGAGAGAACGGCGAGTCAGGCGAGACGTGGATGGCTGTGTACGAGTACTCACGGCGGTTTCGACCTAGCGTCGTTCTTCTCGAGAATGTGAAAAGCAAAGCGTCGACCTGGGACGATGTTGTGTCCCAGTGGTCGGATATTGGCTATGAAGCTAGGTGGCTGTATTGCGACACGAAGCGGTATTACCTTCCACAAACACGCGAACGAATGTACATGATAGCCATCGAGCGAAAAGATTCTAGCGAAAAGTCTTCTCAAGGAGCCGAGAACTGGAAACAGACGATGCGGGACTTCGAGCGTCCATGCAGCAGCCCATACGAAGCGTTTCTGGCCCACTTTCCGCGGGGTTCTATTGATTACACCGCGCTTACGTCAGAGTGGGCATGGGAACTGTGCAAGTTAAGGTACGATCACATGCGATCCGAGTTGCGGTTGGGGACTAAGCGTCCATGCACTAAATGGAGTGAGAATGGTACAAAACAGTAAGTAGCTCGATCCAGGATGGGGCGAGAGGTTCGAGTGTTGCATTAGCTACCCCTGATAACGCACTCAATTCTCTAACGTTTCATCTACCTGCTTACACAAGTCCCTATAGGCCGTTCGATTTTGCTGATCACGACTGGTTTGACTCAAGGTCATCTCGAGAATGGGAGGCCATCGAAGTTGCCTACCTGAGGGCAGCAGTGGTTGATGGCACCGATGCTTCATACAAAGAGATGATATGGGATGTGAGCCAAAATGCCGACCGTTTCCACGATAACCCCGGCCTGGTGCCGTGTATCACTCCGAACGGCCAAGTATTCTCAACCAACAGGCAACAACCATTGAGTGGCATGGAATTGTTAGGACTCCAGGGGCTGCCTTTGGGAAACATACAATTGGCTCGTGAGTCCGGGGCGGAATTGCAGGACTTGGCGGGAAATGCAATGAGCACAACTGTCATTGCTGCTTCTCAGCTCTCTGCAATCATCTGCGCTTCGCGGTTGTTCAGATCTTCCTCACCTGTCCAACAAGAACGGATGGAAGAACTTTCGCCTTCTATCAATCAGCTCGTCAGACTCGGGAAGCTGACAACTTTTGCGCTGAATAGTGTGGAGCCCGACGCAGTGGATGTCAGGTCATTCGCCCATCACGCACGTCAGAGCTCACGACTTTGCAGTCGTGAGTGCGACAAGAGGATTTGCGAAGCAGTCATTCAGACCTGTTCCGCCTGCCGGTACGCAATGCCCGGGTACGAAGTCGATCTGTCTTAGACATGAACACTTCATACCATCTCCACTTTTATGACTTAGCTGACTTCGTACCTGCGCGTCTAGGCATACTGCCTGCGTACTGCACGCTGGCAATCCGAAGCATGTCTATGCAAACACAGTCGAGAGAACAATGAGCCAGCAGAGTCCCAACACGTTCATAAATGAGTGGAGACCAAAGCTACCTTCACGCATCATCTTCAAAAACTTTTCCGGTTTCAGCTTTTCCGAGTTCTTCCAAGCTCAAATTCCTCACGATAGTCTCACTAAAGCATTTGGAAAGCGATTGACCGAAGTAGATGTTGAGTCACGACACTTCTACATCGAAGAATTCACAAGGCATGTGGGCTTCTGGAAAGTATTGTACAAGTCAGAGCAAGCTAATCTGGAACTCTCCGTTGGCGAGGAACTTCAATGGCTGCTATATGTTCATTGCTCGCCCGAGGTAGCGGGTGACAGTGCTTTACGGAAATTTCTCAAAAACCCTGTCGCGAGAGGTTCAGTAAAGGATTCATTGCTGTCAGTCGAGTGGGAGATATTCGTTCCTTCTGTTCGCAGCATCCCATTGAGTATTCAGGGTTCCCCTAATACTTCCCAATCATTCAGGAGTTCCCTAGGGCTCCTTGACTTCCTAGCAGAGACCATACCTGCGAGTCTTCATATTCATCATGACGGGAAGAAACCGATCGACTTCCCCGACGACTGGGACAACATCACCGGAGACTACGACCACCTTCCACACTGTGGTACAGCAAGCAACTGTCTATACAAACGATCTTCAGAACCACCTCTTTACTTCTTTCTGAATCCAGATCCCCTCAGCCGTGGCAGTGATTCATTCCACTTCAGCTTTAACTGCGAGAGGTTACAACCAGGAGACCAGCGTGTATCTCTCGCTCATCTGAACTCGTCTTGGCGGCCCTGGAACTCCATCGATACAAACTATAAGTCTGTCGACGCAATATCCCCAGGAAAGTGGGAGCGTGCAGTCGTCGGTACCATAATGCTGGCCTCGGACGCACTCTCATTGAGCGCGAAAGTATTGGCGAAGACCAAGCCACTGAGCGAGCACAAACATCTCTGCACAACGGCTATCAGTGTGCTAGAAATTGTGACATCAGAAGCCCTTCCCATAAAGAACATAGATGACTACTTGTGGGCGCTGGATAATGTGACTTCAGCACCCTCCTTTCTAGAATGGCAATCGTTTGGCCCCAGCTCAGTAATTGAATGCGCATGTACACCAGCATATCCGCGTCTACGCTGGAACATTGACAAGGCTGGAGTTGCTACAGCGTCTGAGGATCCCAAAGAGGCCGCGACACGCGAGCGTGCCTTGAAAACTCGTTGCCCAATCTACCACATCGAAGCAGAGACCTTCGATAAGGCGACTCGCATCAGGTTCGGTGTCAATATCTCTTCTTTAGCGCACCGCGCTATTAGGAGTCTTGTTCGAACGAGGCAATCTACCCCCACAGAGCTGGTTGAGGTTACATGGAGGCTCTTGACCCACCAAAGAGGAACAGCGTCCGTACGGTTTCCGAAATTTTGGTTACAAAGCAATGCCAACGACAAACCGTTCTCCAAGCAATTAAAGATTGCTTATGAGCTACGTGGGGCTCAGCCTCGTGCTCTCGAATGGATGCGAGCCCAAGAGCGCGGCACGAACTTCACCTTCACTGACATCGAAGAAGCTATTCACGAAAAGCTAGGATGGAGGGTGGAGGCTCGCGCTCAAGCAAATACTCTTGTACGCGGTGGCGTGCTTGCCGATCGGCCTTCTTTTGGCAAGACCGTTATTACCATCGCTCTCATCCAGAGTGAGTTCGAGGAGTACAGAGAGGATAAATCTGTGATCGAACGCAATAACTCTACAACTAGACAGAAGTTGCACCTGATTGACACAGCGGCTACGCTTATTGTCTGTCCCCCACACCTCGTCGACCAATGGCAAGAAGAGTTCAAGAAGTTTTTAGGCACAAATCAGTATGATCACTATAGACTCGTCTTGATCAAGACCTTTGCTGAGCTTCGGAGCTTGGATTTCGAGCACGTTCAGACCAGCAGGGTCATTATTATTTCTTGGGCCGTTTTAGCAGACCGCGAATACGTTGCCTACCTCGCCGAGTTCGCCGCCATGCCTGAGCCGGCCACTGCTAGTAACGTCAAAGGCGCATCCAACTATCGTGCTTTCGATGCCTGGATGAACCGGGTATGCCAAGAGCTACCAGCACAACTCGCAAAGCAACAACAGATGAGTTCTGCCGACTTCAACACAAGTACAGACAGGCTGCTACACCAGCGTCTTAGTGAGACTGAGTTCAACATGAGCTTACCTCTGCAATTGCGACATGGAAGTCAATATCAGCCCTACAATTCTACCCAAGCTGCCAAGAAGAAATCTGAGACGAAGGTTAATAGTAAAAAGGGAAGGCCTCGCAGATCTTCTGTTCCTCTTCTGCATCTATTCCGCTTCAACAGGATAGTGGTTGACGAATACCACTATCTCAACGTGCACCAGAAGGACCAGAAGAAAACTCACGAGAACCTTCTCTCTTCCGTCGGCATCAAAACGATTGCGGCTCACAAGCGATGGGTGCTCTCGGGAACGCCTGCGTTAGAATCATTTAGTGACGTTGATAACATCGCCTCATTTCTCAATATCCGCCTTGGCAGGTACGCCGTCCTTGTTAACACCGGAAAACGAACGCAGGTCGAGGAAATGCAACGCGAGGCACAGACTAAAGTTGAAAAGTTCCTTTCGCACAAGGAGACCATGTCTCTTCAGTGGCATCAGACTCGCCATCAGTTTGCACAAGAGTTTCTGGACAAGTTCGTACGACAGAATGACCCTTCTCTGGAACATATCCGATGTTCCGAATCGCTACAGGTCATCGAGCTAGACGTCGCTCATCACGCCGTCTACCTGGAACTCTCGCAGTATTTGATAGCCCAGCGAATGGCTCTTAAACGTATGAAGAATGCAGAAGGCGCAGACCGAACGAACAGACTGAATGCTAGTCTGAATGGTTGCAATACTGGAGAAGACGCGCTACTCAAATGCGCTCTATTGTATGAGACATACCACGATGAGTCGGGCCTGAGAATGTTACTTCAAAAAAGGTCAGAGGAATATAACGAGACTGTACTCGAACTCCAGTGTCTCTTGCGAGGCTTCGAAGGTCACAGAAAAACAAGGTTCAAAGGTCTTCAGAAGAGCGAAAAGGAGGAGGCATCTATTTTTCAACTGTATACCTATTTTAGAAAGGACTTCTGTATCGACAACTGGCTGGGCGATAACGAAGCAACTGCAAAGATACGTGCTTTACTAAAGCACGCCGAATCTAATCCAGTTTGTAGTGGATTCATCAAGGGGAAAACCTTGGACGAGAAGATTAAGAACGCGAAGAAAGCATTGTCCAAGCTTCGCACATTCGCCAATCAGCTCGCGTTCCGCACCCGGTCAGAACGCTTCATTTCTAATGTTCAAAGTCTCATTCAGCCGTTATGTGAGAGTTCTAGCATAACCAGACGGTGCGATGCTCTAGAGTGTCGAGGCTACGCAACCATGTCCGATCTGTACATAACTTCAAGCTGTGGTCACCTGTCTTGTGAACGCTGCTTAGCAGCTCGAATCGACAGCGGGGTTTGTGTGGTACCCAGCTGCAACACTACTGTCCAAGCCATGAACCTCATCCAAGCCACACATATCGGATCACAGAAAGAGCAGATTTCAGGAAGAAGCTTCGGTCGCAAGCTAGACGCTGTCGCGAAGCTCATCAACGAACTCCCATTCAACGACCAAGGTCTTGTTTTTGCTCCAAATATCCAGACAATCAGCGACTTGAGAGAGCTTTGCGACCACCACGGCATCTCGTACCTGACGCCCACTGAGCGGAATCCCGCTAAAGCCATCCAGAATTTCAAGACAAGCTCGGACAAGAAGGTGCTCATCCTTGACTTGACCAGCGAGACAGCTGCAGGAGTGTGAGTCTTTTCGTCCATTATCCTGACTTCGCACTGACTTCTACCCAGGAATCTCCACAACGCCAACCACATCATGTTTGTCGCCCCAGTTCTCGTCAAGAGCCAGTACGAATACGACGCAGCCATGGAGCAAGCTATTGCCCGGTCTCGCCGCTACGGTCAAGAAAAGAAGGTACACATCTACCATTTTGCTGCGCTGCGCACTGTTGATGTCGATGTCCTTGAACATCGACACAAGCGTAAAACAGGAATCACTGATGCGATGGCGCCTATGCCATTGCCCTCTGCTCCGCTTGAGAAAAGGGAAAGGACGAGGCTGGTAAAAAATGACAAGGGCGAAATGGCGCTGGTGCCTGTGTCGTGGTTAAAAGATGAAAGCACGAGGAACAAGATGGGTATCGTTGAGAACCCGGAAACTTTCAGTTCTCTGATCAACTTCTCGGAGACGTTTGAGAATGAGGCGCAAGGTTGAGCAATGAACGTTTGCTTGCCGCGACAGCGTTGCATGAACGGCGTCTTGTACATGGGTACCGTGGAGGCGATTGTACCCTTCAATGATTGTGAAGTTCTTAGATATCTCGATATTGTAGCAGTAAGGTAATCCTAAAGTGTGAACCCTTGCTGGAAGGTACCGAGCGCTCTATCTCAACCATATCGAATACTGCAGCAGTCGGAGTCTTGTTTAACGTAACGTTACTGCACGGCAAGTACGTCTAGTCTCCAACTGAACAATACAGGCCCTTTCAGGTCAAACACTTATGTTACCCGTTCGTAAAAAAAACCTGTCCTCGGACTTTCCACCGACTCCGGTCTGAATCTTCCATGCAGCAGATAAGTCCCCGGCCGTCGGTCTCCAACCCTTCCCTCCGATGGGCTGACCAGAGCCGTTACAAGGCTCCTATCTACTCCCGATCGATACGAATCATGGTCCCCGAGTGAGACCTGCTCAAACCTCGGTCGTATCGTTGACGACGGCGTCTCCAGCTCTTGTGGTATTTCGTTCACACTCACACATGCCTTCTCACCGGGTGGGCCTGCGAGTTCTGAGCGCGGCGTACCGCCTAACTCTTGCGTGCCACCCGAAATTTTCTGGGGATGTGGCAAAACGATGGATGATTTGGAGACTGCGGTGCCACCCAGTTCCGAGGATTTCCCATGAGATCCCTTGGGATTTGGAGTGGAACGTCGGCGACGCCGGTGGTAGAACCAGAATGCCAATGAAGCAAGAAGGGTTAACATTACCATACCGACTGCTATGCCTGCTTTTCGCTAGTACGTAGACAGGCCTTGGGGTCCGACGAGGGGTACGTGAGTCCGAAGTCTGGTGGCAGTATGGTTTGAATATTGGCAGGAGACAAAGAATTCGGAAACGCGGCTTGCGCAACGGTGAAATTTGCGCGATCATAATCGACTATCAGGTATGCTTCTTGCAACAGTGTGCGTCCTGGCGTATATTGCGATTCATCAGCTGCCCGCCTTATTGGGAAGTAGTTTTTGCGTTTTCGTAGTAGGGATATGAGGCCTGCAAGTCGAAGGCAGAATAAGGTAGGACGATATATGTGAATTTGGTAGCTGCGCCTTCAAGCGAATCGATAAGTTTAATGGTTACCGAAGGGTTCTGCGCATACAATTCGTCGCGCATGGTAGAGTTCATGAGATATAGATCGGTTTTGGGGTCGTAGGTCAGGCCGAAAGATTGTTCGGAGGCGTCATAGATGTCGCGGGGCAGCCAGAGCATAGATGTGGTGCTGTCACATCAGCGTCCAGCGAGTTCCTTCGGCCGTCTCCAACGAAAACCACAACCAGAACTCAGGCTCAATCTACATGGACGTCGTGATCGCTGTTTCCACAGCGGGGGCTGGTTCTGTTGTCGTTGTCGACACGAACTCATACCAGGTCTTGCCCACCTGTCCGCCTATCTTCTCGATCGGAGATGCAACTTTAACAGCGAACTCTCAAGACCAATGCATGGTCGGGTCGCAAATACTTTCGCCTGGAGGATCCGCAATCATGGTGAATGGATATACTTTGAGTCTGGGATGTGATGGAAGCAAAGCAGTAGTCAACGGTGTTACCCAAACGTTGGAATGTAGCCCACTAATCACTGGACCACCGGTCTTGACGATTGGCGATCGGACACTTACTGCAAGCGTCTTCGACGGGACGACTGAATGCATTGTCGGCCCGGAACAAACTTTGTTTCCAGGCAATGCGCTCACAATTTCCGGAACCACTTACTTCATGCCCTTGGATGCGTCAGGAACGATCATTGTCATCAACGGAGCCACATTGACCCTCGTTTTGGAGCCACTTGCCGCTGCCCAGGATACTACGATCGCTGGTAGCATATACTCCGTAACCGTCCGGAATGGAACGACAGAGTATATGCTTGGTCCAGGCACAACGTTAGGACCAGGCGATGTAGTCACAATTACGGGGATGACTTACTCCCTGGACGCATTGAACACAGCTCTAGTAGTCAACGGGGTTTCCAGCAGCATGGCGAGAACTCCTGCGAGTGATTTCGCGACGCCATATTAGACCGCGCTAGATTTTATGAGAGGGCAGCCAGTACTTCTAGCAAAGGCAATACGGCCTCTACAAGAAAGACAGGTTTGTACGTCTTGGTCGAGAGCTTCATCATAGGGTGGGCGAGCTGGGTGGTAATGTTGTTGTGTGAGATCGCTCAGTTCCTGTGGTTTCAACAATTTTGCGTTTAGCGCAGCGTTTAGGATGGAAAAACTGAATTGCAGCTGGGAAGAATACCCAGACATACAACGGAAATTATTATTACTAGTACTTTGAAGAGATATACTGCTCCCATTATGCTTCACACGACCACTGGACAAATATTCATGTTTGCACGTACAGTGAGGCCAAGCATACCTAGTGACAGAATGTACGTGAAACATTCACTAGCTTTCAACGGCCTTTGCTCTATACCATAGAACCGGAGATTGACGTTCTGCCAGGAATCGATGTCGATTTGAATTTCGGTCCAGCATCAGTGATGTCACGTGATTTTGCGGGCCTCCGAGTCATGTGCATAGGCTCTTCTCGGCGGGACAAACATCCTGGAAGGAGCGACTTCGTGTTACACAACTGCATCAACACTGCACGCAAGTAGTGGCAGCATAGAACCCTACAGACCGCTTGCCATGCAGTGAAATAGTCACGCAACCGCCACACAAACCAATGCGCGTCAATGACGTATTTATAGACTAACAGCCAGCCGCCAAACGAGCTCTCCACCTCAGCCACTTCCCCGCTACTCCAAACACACCACGTCTCCGAACCTCTCGTCTACACAGTTCATAATACTCCTCATTTCAAGCTCCCAACATGTCGTCGACTATGGACAAGCTCAAAGACAAGCTGCACATCCGTCGCAAATCCCAGTCCGAGGACACCGGCTTGAGTGCTGGCCAATCCCACGCTGCCCATGGTACGTCATCCCGTGCTAGCATCCAGTTCTGTGTATCGCATCGGCGCAGTGCCCTTGCTTGGGTGTGACCCGACTGTTATCACAGGCCAATGCTGCCGATACACTATGTCGTTTTTACGCAGGTCGACTGATAGCTCACGTGTAGTTCAACGCGAGAGCTTCGACGAAGAGCTCGCGGCTGTACCTCCGGAAGAGCGAGAGGCATATTTGAAGGAGTTCGAGGACGCGGATCGGACCGGGGAGAGTAAGAAGGGAGGTTTGATTGACAAGCGTAAGTTTTGTTGCTGCACTACCTGTACGTTATGTGAAATACTCGCTAACATCAACGCACCCTGAAAGTGATTGCTAGAGGCAACAAGAGAACCGAAGACCAGCTTGCGCAGGAGCAGAATGAGAGGAGTGCTCTGGCGTCGGCGCCGAAGGACGGCGTCATTCGATAGACGCATCGCACTGTTCACAGTGAGTGCAGGGTGAACTCGAACTTCTCCACAGCAGGCAGGCGTTACTAAAACAGTCCGAGTCTTCCCTGCACTCACTGGAGCTAAACACATGATACATATGCTGTAACGTTATCACAGTTTGCATACACTTACTTGCTGCTCTGCATCGCTTGCGAGCTCAGACATCTTTAAGAAAAATATGCCATTTATATGCATGCTAAACGACTTGTCACCTCTTCGTGATGGCGAACTTTTCTAATAATATTGTCGTTTGCCCATGTCTCCCTCAACTGCTTCATATGTTGTGAATGTATGTGAGATCATAGGGATAGTGAATTCACGGTACCAATGAAGGCATGATACCTCGTCAAGATCGGCTCCTAATTTGTCCGTGTAGAATTTAGCCTGGCTCCATGGACAATGGGACACTGGGCGATGCTTATCCCCCGCTGTGCAAAATTACCAGTAACATAACGCACCATGATCTCTCCTCGAAACTCGTCATATTATTCGCTACCTGCTCCTACCCTCCCCCTTCTTGCCCTCCTTCTTATCTCTCTCTGTCGCGTCCCTAATAATCCTCTCCGCCACAGCCTCAACATCCCCTCCAACCCTCCAACTTCTCAACACAACGCCCTGCTCCCCAAGCACCTGCTCCGCCTTCGACCACCTCTGCCGCCACAATGCTTCCCTCTTGTCAACTACCCGGCCTGCCTCACCATACCCGTTCGCCCCCAGCGTCGACCCCGTATTCGTTCGGTGCGGAAGCTGTTGAGTTGCGGAAGTGGAAAACGGCTGGGTAACGGAAGCGTTGGGCCGCGTACTGGGGTGCGGTATAGGCGGCGCGTGTTGCCATGCGGCGTTAGCTTTGGTACTGACGTAGCCGGCCGCTGCGGCTGGGTAAGCTGTGATGGCGCGGCGGGGTGGAGGTGGTAGGGAAGGGGCTTTCTTAGTGGTTGCTAAATCCTGATTGAAAGAAGAGTCAGACTGTGCTGGGGGGTTGTAATGCAGATATGAAGATGCTGCTGGGAGGTTATTGTACACCGAATACAGCTTGTCGCGAGCCATTCCGGCATAGCTTTGCTGAGACTGTAGGTTTGGTTTTGGAGCAACTGGTCGCTTCTGAGGGCCGGCCGTAGTGCTGGTGGCTGCATTTGATGGTTGTTGCGATAGCGGACTTGACTGATGCACATTGGAGGACGGTTTACGTGGTTTGGGTGGAGGTGGTGCTTTCGAAGGTGGTGACTGTGATGGTGAATCGCCCGAAGAGCTGCGCAAACCCATTGGTTTTCTGGGAGGTATCGGGACCGATTTCGCACTTGCAACTGACGATATAGATGCGCGGTGAGCCCCGGTTAGTGCTTGTGTATCGGTGTTCACACGCCGCATGAATGGCGTTGAATTTGACTCATCATCCGAGGAAAGATCGATAAGGTTTTGCACAGGTGGTGGTGACGTAGCCTGAGGATCGGATCGTCGAGGTGGCAATTGAGGGCGCGATGCTGGATGGTCCTCCTGCAGTTGGGGAAACAGCGATCTTGACCTTCTTTCATCCTCTTTTTCGATTTCCCGCAGCGAAGCTGCGATAGCGGCTTTGTATTCCGGGTCATCGTCTTCTGAAGATGCCTGCAACCTACTCGATGGGTTCCCGTCGCCCTGCTGAGACGACCGTGTCGAACTGCCACCCCTATCCGTTGCGTGAATGGAATGATCGAAGAACCCTCCACCATCAGATGATGTCACATCTCGTATGAAGACCGCAACTACCCGACCGGGGTTCTCCAATACAAAGTCCGTGTACACTTCCAGATCAGCTTCTCCGCTATCGCCAATCAGAACGAACTTTCTCTCAGGAAAGTCACGCGCAATCTTATCAAGCGTGCCTTTCTTTCTTTCTGCAACCGGCTCAAAGATGCCTTGTAACATGCCACTGTACTGTTTCAAATGGAAAGACCCAGGTGGCAGACCGGCGAGCGAAAAGTACTTTGAGATGACAGGGTAGAGCTGCCAAGGTGAATTGGAGACGTAATGAAATTTCACTCCCATGTCTGCCATCTTGTTGTACCATTCTCGCACGCCCTCGATCGTAAGATCACCCAACTCTCGAATGAAAGCATTTCGAAAGATTTCGCGAGCACCACTACTGATTGCGGAGTGCTTAATCGTGTCATCGATGTCACTTATTACACTAACGCCTTGGGACTCGGTGATGGTGACTTTCTCTGTCGCAGATAGCTTGTCGGATGCAAGGATGCGGATATGGGTGGGTACAAAATCTAATGCTGCACTTATGCTGAAGTGGCCCGATGGATTCGTGTAGACGGTTCTTTGCTTCGAGATTTGGTCATTGTAGAAAAAGACACTGATCGGTGTGTTGGCCATGGGTATGGCGAGGAAGTGGCGGAGGCGTGCCATGAGGCGGGCATGTGCCTCCGCAAGTTCAGATTGACTCATGTCCGCGGGTTGGTTCCATGACGCCCTTTTTTGCAGTGGGGTGATCTTGTCCATGCTCTTCAGTGAGCTGTTTGACGGACTGTGTGAAAGGTCTCGTACTCTTGGGTGCCCTGGGCTCTCTGTGCGATAATCCCGTATGCTATCTGTATCATCGGTAGGTTTCTCGCTATAGGCTCCTTTGGCTGCGGCTTCGGCTTCTTGCTCGCCTTTGCGTAATATCTCTTCAGCCTCCTGTGCAGTGACCTGCTCGTCCCGTTGTGCTTGCCTAATTTGCGCTCGCTCGCGATGAGTAAGATGGCCTGGACTTGAATCTCTACTTGTATGTGGACTTTCGGATGCACTGGAAGGTTGAGTGCCAGCGGCCGGGGCTTGGATCCCTACAAGCTGGCGCGCCAATCCAATAAAGAGGCGCTGCTTCCTAGACATCTGGCCTTTATGTGGTGAATATATCCACCCTCTAACATCTACGTCCACTATAGCGTTGTCGTCTTCGTAGTTGTCCCATTGCTGTTTCCAGAATTCCGCATCGCCGGCGCCCGCCGAGTCCCGCACGTCGCGGCCGTCGCCGGAAGTTTCTTGTATCGTACCCGGTTCTGCTTCAGGCTTGTGAAAGTTAGCAGGATTCTCTATGAGGGCGCGACCATACCCACCTTCCGCTTGACGTGCTTCCGCGCATAGCTGGGAAACAGAATCATCTCCTCTTCGCCGCTGCGCACAATGGCAGCGTCGGGGAAGGCCCCCGGTGTATCGTCTTCATAGTCGTAGGTCGCCTCCGACCGGCTCCAATTCGGCGCATATTGCTGCTGATACGTCTGTCGTAGCTCGTTTGCCGCCTTCAGGTATCCTGCAAGCTTCCTCCTTCTCGCGCCAGGCTCCCTGGGCGCATAGCTGTCTTGGTAGCTCATCGCCTTGCCCTGAGGCTCTCTACTTGTCGCAGTCTTGGTCAGCTTCTGTCGCCGCAGCCTCGCTTCATGTTCGAGATGATTGCTGCCTGGGGGCTTCCTGAGGTGGCCGCGCAGTCGCTGCAGAAGGCCCGGTTTACTGAGCTTGCGTGCCTGCCTATAAACAATGTATTTGTGTATGCGAGCTTGCGTGTGGTGCTTGAAGGAGGGTAAGGTCTCGTGGCGGAACTTGGAAAGGTGTGCGCGTGCGCGCTGGCTCGCGTGCGGAAACAGATAGCGGAGGAAGGATGAGGATCCGTGGGCGGAGGGCTTGGGACGAAACGGCTTGGGCATCCAGCCGAATGCCTGGGGGCGAGGCCTACTATTATGGGGATATTACAAGTGGGAACACAGAGTGAAGATCTAATACATGCTCAGCTTGAAAGTTCGAGGTCGCATTAGCCCCAACGTCATAAGGCCCGCCCCGCTTACGCTTACCTCAACCGCAAATCATCTATTTCTGTAAATAGCATCAACATCAACCTGGTATATATCCCACTCTGTGTCGACGTGAAGAACGAGCATACTGTGCTAGGTTGCGAGTTTGGGTATATTTCATCGAACAAGTTACCATAGGCTTCTTTATTGGTATAGCCGACCTCCCTAATAAATTAAAACGACGAATTGAGGATCTCGCGTAAAAGAGTTTAATTCCTGGTGAACGTCCACTGTACAGGCTTTTGCGAAGACTTCAGCAATTGCTTGCAGGATTCCTTTACTTGGCAATCTCTCAGTCTCGAAAGCAATGAGGACCTCCCGCTGCCTGACCGAGAACTTGTTCGTAGCTTTGATGTCAGCCCAGAGTGCAGCCGGGGCAGCGAGTGAACGGAAAGCACGCCTCGTTTTACAACGGAGATACATCAAACAAAAGATTGGTCTTTGGCTTAGTTGCCAAATCATGGCTTCCTTGGACCTGCTTCTGCGGCCGGTATAGCTTTGAGTGAATCCTCCAAACGGACACCATCCTTCTCCAGAGCCTGCAACATCTCTTTCCAGACTCGTAATCTCAACTTCTTGTTATCCTCGCCCTTCAAAGTCGGTGCAACAGGCATGACGTTATCGTACTTCCAGAACCTGCCATGCAATGCCTCGCCTTGGGTCGTCCCGCTCAGTATCGAATTGGCGCCGATTGTGGATGTGTGAAAGAAAAGGTATCCTAGGATGAAGACCAAGATAGCCGAGATGGTCGGATATCGGGAGGAATAGTCTCGGCCGATATCAGTTGTGACCGGTCCTGGACAGACTGAAGTTATGATGGCATCTCCAGAAGACACCTGATCGGCCAGTAGAGTCATCGCATACATTTGGAAAAGCTTGGTGGCACCATACTGACGCCAGGCGTTAAACTGCTCGGGCTTGTTGTAAGACTCGAGGATGCTGGCCTGCCGTTGAGCCTCTTTACTTACGACCGCGAACTGGTGGGCCCCAGAATTGACGAACTCGAGGACTGGGATCTTCGTTGAGGAGCGGCGCGATGCTTTCAGCTTGGGCAAGAGTAGAACGGCGAGTAAGGTGGATGATAGCGAGTTGACCTGAAGATCCTCCTCCCAGCCATATCGGGTGGTTTCGAATTCGCCTCTATGAACACCAGCATTGAGTATGACGACGTCCAGATGATCCAGTTCGTTGGCTTTGCTGGTAAAGGCGATGATGCTCTCGTACGAATTCAGGTCCAGCTCCCACACGTCCAGCAGGTCCTGCTTCCCAATGCGAGCACAGATGTCGGCCTTGGCCGCCTCGCCCTTCTTCACATCTCGGGCAGCCAATATCACCTTGGAAGCCCCGAGAGCGGCGAATTTAGCGGCGGCTTCCCGCCCAATGCCTGACGATGCGCCAGTGACGATGACATTTCGACCTTCAAAAGATTCGGTGGTAGACTGTGGTGGCGCAATCCATCTGTGTCTGAAAGCTCGCACGAAGCCTGCCGTTCTGGTATTGTCATGAGGAGATGGATCGAGAATCCCCATGGCGTCGGCTGTCCAGACTAGAATTAGAATTGAACACGCGGAGAATGCGTCAAAAGACTGCCATCGGTATTTATAGGGGGAGTGTTGGTCGATAGTGCTCTGACAAAAGGTAGTCTAGGTGTCTAATTGCTCCTTCCAACCTGATAATAAGGTGCCTAGCAGTGACGTATGTAGAGCCAGGCTAGCATCATCTCGGGATCCATCCTCCGCGTGCAGACAATGATCAAGAAGAAGTCCTCTAATGGATCACAGAGCGCGAAATACCAGCTCAAAGTCGGCTTGAAGAATGATTTGATTATGCTAGCTAGGAAGAAGAGATGGACATGTTTAATCGACAAAGTGTTGGTTGAAATCGCTTAGTCATGATTTAGTCATTCGCACATGCGCGACCGGTCAGCGGCGTCAAGGAAACACCGGCCGTAAGGCAATATCTACCAGAAGTAAAGGCAGGCGATTTCTTGGACGTCTCGCCATGCTGGTTCCGTCTTCACCTGCTTTCCAACTCCGCTGACATCTCTCCGCCTACACGCTCGCCGCGATCACAAAGACTTACCCCACAATGTCCTACGACCCAAACCACCCACAGGGTGGCCCCGCAGGAGCCCAGCCAAACATGAACATGAGCTTCAACCAGATGCTACAGCGCTCGCAACAGGAGCAGAGAAAGCAGGAAGCTCCGGTCGAAGCTTCTGGCCATCCTCCACAAGCCATTGGTGCGCTCCGCCTTCTCCACGTCGTTTGCGACGCAGTACATTGACGCGTGCATCAGGTTACGGGGGGGTATACAACGCAACACCACCACCTCAGCAGCTTCCACCAAACGCCCTAGGCGGGACGCGAGCGCCGTCTGCCCAATCCATACTCCCCGTTGATCTCCCTCCACAAGCCTTCTTGACATCATCGATGCTCTTGGACATGGTCGACAGTACGGACGTCTACACAGATTGAAGCGCGGTGAAGTTGACATCAGGCAGAAAAGGTCGATGTACTACTTCGAGACGAGAAGGAATACATAGGAATTCTACGTTCATACGACCAATTCGGTGCGCCAATCATACGCATGATTCTACCTCTCGCTAACAGACGCAGCAAATCTTGTCCTCACTGAGTGCACCGAACGGATAGCAGCTCGCAATCCCGAAGCATCAACAGACTCCCCTGCCCCGAAATGGTTCATCTGCGACGTAAAACTCCCTGGTCTCATGACAATACGTGGTGAAAACGTCACCATTTGCGCGACCGTCGACCTCGACGGAGAAGACGAACCGGCAGGCGTAAAGTTTGCGCCCGAAGAACAAGTGAGGGAACTAGCAAACGCTCAAAGAAATGAAAAGAAGGCATCGGAAGCACGCAAAGCGAAGGCATACAAAACGGCAGGCATCGAGGCCGGATTTGGCATGGCGGCATAGGAGAGGTGATACGAATAATAGAGAAGCACGAATTGATGATATCGATATATCATGGCCGACTTGTACACGAATTCATGAGGGACAGGCTCTCGCGAGAACGTGAAGGTCGGCAAAAATGAGGTTAGATTGAGGCCATTGTTCGCCCTGGCTCAGCTCATGCTACAAGAAGTATCCAAATAAGCTGCTACTCCATAGCCCACGTGACATGCACACGAGCGCCCAGGAGTCTCTATCCATAACGACATGACATGGACGTTCACGACGTGTGCATATACTTGGTTTCGTTGGCGTGGAGTGAAGTAATCATGGTGTATCTTCTTGGAAAGTTACGTTCATTGCATCGAGGCGGACAGTAGGTTATTAGTGAATTCACGAGCAAGACGTGCCCTTCAAGCGACATATGAGTTGCCAGAACATGGCGGCCACTACATGATACCGGCTGCATTGCTACGCCGCAGGTGACTATCCGCATTTCCGGCCTCCTCCAGGGACTGCATAAGAAGAATCTCGTGCACTTGAAACTTTGTCCAGTGATACAGCTCTACGCCACGCTCTTTATCCTCCGGCTATACCAGCTGCGAATCCATGAATGAGCAGGTCCACCACGTGGCAGCAATGACTCGATGACTCGCGGCAGGGATGATGCGGGTCGTAAAGTCTGGTACCGGCGGTTAGTTCCTGCCATCATCCCAGAAACTAACCGCCTAGCTTCCGCGTATTGACTTGTCTTATCTTGACCTCTCTGCTGACGCTACCAGTCCGAAATCAAAACGACATTGCATCCGAACAGCCTGTAAAGGCCTCAAGATGACATGGCCACCGATGCTTCCAGCTTGAACGCAGCCTCGTCGTCTTGCTGCCGCCTTCCGTATCCAATATCGTGCCCCACAAATCGGTTGTAGGGTGTTTGCTCCGACTCTTGAACTTCCGCGCACTTGTATTGCGACGCACCGAGTCGGAAACCGGCAAGGAAATGCAAGGGACAACGACAGTCGGAAAGACGGGGCAGCAATGGCTCATGATGCGATTTCTTGCAAAACTCGGAAGATAGTGGAGTGAAATCGCATCCTCAAGGGTATCAACCTTCACGGCCGCGAACCTCGTACCCCAATTGGAAACCGTCCAAGAACAAGAAAGAGGGAAGAAGACAGTGAACTTGACGGAAGATGACAGGGTGAGAATTACAGGGTACCGAATATTGGATTCCAGCGACCGGACGCGTACCGGGGCCCTTTGTACAACAACCTTAACCAGCGGTACCGGTGTGACCAAGCCGTAACATCGCCTCCGGCTCTTGCTTTCTTCCACTTCACACCACCCTCAATGACACGGAATATGTCTTCCAACGCTCGTCCGTGACGATATCATAGCAGTGGTGCGAAAAGTTCGGTTTTCTCTTTCATTGTCGCATGACGCGCGTGTCTCCCCAGAGGTCGCATCAACTTCGCGTCTCTTGCCACACGGACACACGCGTACTTGATGCAAAGCTGGTACGTCGTGCTTTGCGCTGCGACGGCGAGCGGAAACGTGGCAGGTATCCTCCCGTGTCTCTTTCATTTCTTCTTCGATTAGACATCGCGAATGGGATCATAAGGTCTCGTTTCACTCGGTGAGGACTCGGATCGCGCTGGACTTTGCGATTGCTGCGTGCTACTCTCGGCTTGGGCCTGCGAACCAGATGTCGAACCTCCCATCCCGGAAATCATGCTACCTTCGGCTAAGCGTTCAACATAGTTAGCTACGTTCGGTTGCATGCGCATATGCAAGCGACAGCTCAGCACATATAAAGGCGGGGATACGCACGACGTACCATATTTTCGCTGGATGTCCCGCAAGAGCTGCGAAACCCTCCACTTCAATATAATCATCTCCACTGGGGGTATGCCCTCCGCTGTCAAACGACCGTTTATGCGCTGCAACATCAAGTCTTTTTCGTTGGCGGGAATGAGGATCCATCTTGTCCAGTCTGGATGCGCTTCGGAAAGTTGCTTAGCTTCATCCTTAGTTATGAACTTTCGCCGGTCAGCTCGCCATGCCACTTATTTGGCTGTGCTCGAGAACTCACATAAAATCGATCCCACTGCTCTTTGGAGTGTGCTGCAGCTGCACGAGCTTCGTTCACGGTTGCATTTATCCGAATACTCATCTTCAGTATGACGACGCGACGCTGACCTCCGCACCGGCTCTAGGGAAAGGGACGACCAGGCTCTGGAAATATGGGGCGCGTGAGGTTTTAGGGCACAGCGGTCCTCCCCACTTCCGCCTAATTCTTGGCAAAATCATTTGTTTTTGCTGAGGCTGAGGTGAGTGGAACACTGACGCTGCTCGGGCCTCGAAGGAATCGGAATCGGCGGTGGCTGAAGGGTGTTCGTGCGCTACAAGCTAAAGGCATCATTGGTAGGGAACGTGGAGGTAAGATCGTTGTTGCCCTGTCGTTTATTGATTGTCAAATTCCTCATGCAAACTGATATCTTCCTTGTCATGCTAAGTTGATAGTGAGTAATTCACCGAACTAGCCCAGCGTTCGGTACTAGGAAAAGACGCCGTGTCACCAGCTTAAGCCGCCAGCACGGACATCGGAAGGCCTCGGTGTTATCCTAGGAAACCTCAGAGATGCTTTTTCGATTCCCTTTCGATATACTCTCCGGTGTCACAAATAATCACTTAGTCGACCACCTTCCACTAGCCGGATCTTAGTTTAGCAAGAGAAAGTCTTCTCTGGTCTGGAGGACAGCTCCTCGTCCGCCTTCGGACACGAAACGGCATCCTCAATGCGGAGAGATTAGAAGCCCTTACCATGTCTTGAGTATAGCCATGGATCAACCTGCCTTGGCCTCGAAATCGCAAGGCGTCGATCAGCCGTCTTACGCGGTCTGGCGAACAGCAATCCTTTCCCTCATTTCCGCGTTCATCCGGCTACGGCCACGGGCCGACCCAACGCTCGCGGCACGCACAGTGTACCGATGTCGCGGGCTGGGGCTATCTGGGCACGATCTGACAGAAGGATGTCACACAAAGCTTTCTTTTCTTGGAGCTGTTTCAATGCAACTTCCCCTTCTGCTCACGGGCCTCCCATTCCAGCAGTCGAGAGTTCATTTACAGTCGGTGCTTGGATATATTGCCTACCTGATGGGTCCGGGTGTGCGTCTACGCAATTCGGCCCTTGTTTAACATCGCAACATGACCTCGAGCGTCAGGCACCAGCTGCTTTCTGACAGCGCCTAGAGAACATGCGTTCGTCACGAGTCAAGCACGAACGTTCTCAGTTGCTGATATATACTACCGAGTAAACGTCGTGCTCAGTGGATCACCATATTCAAGAGCACCAAAATCCAGGGCAGCAAAGGCGACCGTATAGCTATGAGGTCAACGCCGCATTGTACGCCAATCTCCGGTAAGCCACGCCGCGGCCGTCGGTGTGATGGGGGCAACAGCTAAGAATCCCGGGTGTCATCTCACATGGCGGGGCCCAAGCAAGACCACATGCGAGATGAAGGTTTCACAGCGTCAACGATGCGCGATTTGCGCAATAGGCGCATCACCGAAGCAGGTGTGGCGACTTGCGACCGATCGAAAAGCAGTTGCCTGCACCAGTATTGCTTCTGGAAGGTCTGGCGTTCTCATCTGGAGTCGCACCATACTAAGAAGACCGATGGCATTCTGCTTGCGACCTATATCTGGCAGTTGAAGCAGAGCGGCATGCACACCGGAAAGGGACAGGTGCGTTAGCTAAGTCGCCCCGCGCATGTTTGCCTCCCTTGCGTCGCATGCAGCACTGATGCTCGCACTTCCTCTGCTAACAATAGGTTTTGCACATGGCCACCTCGATAGTGCCTGGCATCCAACCAGGCAGCTGGAACCGTCGAAAAGTCTAGAAGGGCAGGTCTGCATCACGTCGACATGGGTTTGTGGGCTCAGGCATGCTGTCCATGGCTGGTGGTCAGAGCGCCAGCAGTTTGCACGCCGGCAGGCACGGGCGTCGCAGAATGGGGAAATATGTCGTAAGCACGCGGTTTGGGTGGGGTGGCACCATGCTGCCTTGGGATGTATGCGCATGATGGGATTATAGGGGAACGGACCTTGGTGTACTCCGTGATGTGCTGGGGAAGGGGGCGCTGCGGCGCGGTAAATCGGCGGGCGTGGGTGAATTGGGAGAGACTGCTTTGGGCGACCCCTTTATGCGTTCGTGACGATGTTTACAGGGTGCCTAGGGATGCCATGCGAGATTGAGGGGATGACATCATTCCATTGTTCACGCCGTGGGTATCGCTAGATGTGTGCGAGTCTCCGAAGAGAGAAACGTATCCCCAAGATCAGAGCTATTCTTTCGCTCTCGGAGAAGCGCGCCGTCTTCGCACGGCTTTGTTTTTCTCCCTTCCTTTCCCTCCTTTTCGTGATTTCAGGAAGCTTGCTCATTCGGTCACTCGCCTCACTCTGCAGGAAACCGGCATCTCTCCGCACAATCTGTCGAGGATGTTTCGCCACCTATCGATTCGCCGCCGTGTGGAGTTACAGTGGCACGACGAACCGTGAGGAAGTTACTTTCTCCGGAGGTATCTGCAGACGCTGCTGCCACCGAGTTCTTAAGCAGCTGTGCGTATGTCCGCTCTGAACAGCTAGCAATATACGGTTACGCTAAGTGTACAATGCGGTGATGACGTACATGTTGCGGTTGCGGTGTTGCTAGGGGTGCAGTTTGCGTACAGCCCGGGCAATATGCGGCACAGACGGTACAGGGCGCCCGACACCCACTCCCATCGTCATCATTATATTGGGCACAAATGCAGCTCATCGGTCTAGTTAGTAGGCTTGAATAGAAAGAAGTGTATCCTCGAGTAGGTATGTATCTACTTGTGCGATCATGTTGTCTCCTATCATAAACGAAGATGCTTGCGTTTCATCGTCTATGATTTCTCAGCGGCGAGTGCGTTCCTTCTACAGTCGACAGATGACATTCGCTGGCAATGAGACTGGGTATGACCAAATCACAATCAGATATATTGTCATAAATCGATCACTCAAACGGTAGAAATCGACACTTAGTTCGAAACGCCCTCTGCATCCTGACCACGGATTCTGGGTTCCTGCACAACGCTCATCCAATGAATCTAAGTACATGTCAGCTGAGTGAAGCGGAATATTGTTGTCTCAGAGATGTTGTTTTATACAGGTAGTTCTTCAAATGGCTCTTTGCTTGTATTGTAGCCCGTGAGCAACGGCCAGGCATTGTTCAGTCACGACATCATCACTTTCGAAGGATAACTTGCTCGAAACAGAAGAAATATGGTCTACTCCCTCGATCAATAGAACTTCACATCGCTAGCCTCGCAAGGCAATGGAAAAATTGATTTACTGTTGCCCTTGTCCAAAGAACGCGGCTAGAATCTATTACTCGCCAAGAACCCGTTCAAGTAACAGGATCCTATGGCCCTGTCCCTAGACTTAAAATGTTGGGCAAACTCTCCAAGATACTAGGCGAACCCAAGTATGAATCAATGAGACATGAAAGGATCCATTGACAAGCTGATGAAGCAGCAGGCGAACTGGCGGCTCAGCGTGCGGCAGAAGAGCAGCGCCGTCAAGAGCAAGCAGCCGTAGAATAGCATCGCTAGGCGCAAGCAACAGAGAAACATCGTCGTAGAATCCAGTCCGCTTCTGGCACCAACCAGATCGCTTCCAGTCGTCACTACTACCACTAGTAAACGATATGTTTCGATAGATGATAAGTTGAGGGAAGTTACAATAGACCATGCAGCAGGATCTCGGGTATATAGAAGAGACTAGCTAGTTCTTGTTAAAATCGTCTTTTTAAGCCTGGTAGAGCCTAAAATAGGGTACTAAACTGTCAAAATAAGTGTACTAGAGTAGATAGACCAATACTTAACTCCATATAGTAACTATATCAGTTGAAGATCTGGTTCCAGCGCCGCGGGATGCGGCACATTCTTTGCGTAAAGCACCGATAAGAGAATCCTGGGTTACAAGGCCGTGCAGTTGCGAACCAACATATCCTGCCAAAGTCCTATTTGCGCAAATGCCACTCGTTCGTTGTAGTACTCGAATGTTACTGTTGTCCTTGGTGTGGTTCTTAAGCAAAATATATATTTGGCACTGTAGTATGCCTCGTACTACAAGACTGGAACCAAATGATAATCGAGTGACGCGTCAGTACCCTGGGGCTGGAAGTTTTTCCTGGTTGGCGCTAGAATACAGCGTTTGAGTCGCGAGGCTATCGCGAAGCTGGGTACGATAGCTCGCTGATATCTGGCTGTCGAACATTAACTATTATACTGCTGTTGTGTCGTTTCCGGGCTATCTCAAGGATAAGAACTCGCGCTAGATGTGGTCTAACATCAGAGACTACTTCAAGCCTGTGAATAGCTGTGAATCAAGTATTGTATCGCCCCGAAGAGCACTCATCTGACACTGAGATTTGTTGGTCAGAAAACAAATTTTGCATTCCCAAGAATCTCCGCAAGCCCGCGATATAATCCACCGAACTTTTCAGTAGAGCAGAGCTATCCTCCGCAGGAGACTTCCCGCTCATACTCGGCTTCTCCGAAAACTACTCACGTATGTCACCATGTATCCTAAAAGAAACATCGTGACCTAACAGGATACCTAGTCCAACAGTATTGATTTTGAGATTCCAGATCATGCGAGCAAAATGCGCGACGTGATTTAATGGACTCGGGGTCTGTTAGGTACAATTAGATGTCACCAAATTGGCTCGGAAGACTGCGGATAAAGCCCGTTCGGACAACAATAGTCAAAGTAGACGGAGCAAGTTCCACCATTTCTAGTTCAATGACGGTAAAGCTAGCCTTCATATTACCAGAGGGTAGCCGGTACAATAACTGTTACTATCATATACCTCCAAAGAAGGCACAACCACCAGACATGATTCTAGGACACGGATATTGTAGGGAGAGTGACATCTTTCAGCAGTTCAACCTGAGTATCTTCTTCCAATTTTATCGTACGGCATCGCTAGACCAAGTCATTAAATCATAAAGGTGACGGTTCTATCAACAAATCGACAGTACGAAAGAGAAAAGAGCAGCTCGGCAAGCGGCCGAGGATCAGCTCCGCCGTGACCGAGCTGAATTGGAGCAGCGCCGTCAAGAATAATCTAGATATAGCAGTTGTCAAAACAGTTTAATGGATAGCCAAATTCCAACACTTCCTATTACCCGAACCCAGCTACCTCTGGTCACTCGTATTCCAACACCCACAGATACCCAAATCCGAGCACTTCTGGATACCTCAATTTGAACACTTCCAGCTCCCCAATTTCGGACAATTGCAGTCACCCAACAACCCGATCGACTCTAGGAGGTACTAGCACCCTACATGATCTTTAGGTACATCCTCAAAAGTGATCCCTTAGTCCCTGCATCATGATTCTTGAACCACGTCATGTAAAACAGAGCTAGAGCATGAACAGATACTAATCATAGACGAATCCAATATCAATTCATCCTTGAACCAAACCACTTGCTCCGTGGATGTTTTAGTACGTAAATAGAACACTGCAATGCAGTCTTTATCACATTTCATGCTTGCCGAACGTAATACATAAAGTAAAAGCTAGAACGTTGTGTTATTCTCCTGAGCTTTGGACCAACAAACAAGACCTGCACTGCGGAAACAAATCCGTTTGATCATTAGAAGGTCATTAGTCATTTAAATGGCTGTAGCAGCAAATTCCTCAATCCTTCTACTTGAGAGGATAGCCTGAGCTGCGGAGAACATGGGCGCCAAGAATGCCATCACTGCCGGACGCCTTGCCATGCTCTTTACCACGTTAATCACCAGCGCCGGTAACATCGAAGTGCAACCGAATCCAACAACATCTTTCGCTCTTTATAGTGTGCTGACAGCATAAGAGATATTGTTTTCATAGTTGTCACCCGCTAGAGGCTCCAAATTGTTAGCGAAAGCAATTAAACGTGTTTGACGTACGACCTACTTCTTTATTCTTTCGAAAAAGTTGGTTCCGCCAAAACACAACGAAATCTCCCACGATACATAAAGCCATCAGGCTCATGGCATGAAGACGTGCACGACTATCACAATTAGTGGTTGACGGTGTTGAGCAGAGATGACGAAACCTCTCAGTTATATTCTGCATGCGTTCAATGTTACATATGAGTTATTCTGGGCCTGTTCCTCCATAGATGCTTTTTCCCTCGGTATCATCCTCTGGATCTGCTTAATTCAGAAGACCACACAGCACATCAGGCCAGCTATAACGCGCCTCACAGATAAATCAGGTAATTATTCAATTCAAACCTTCAACATAGCCTCCTCAGCCCGCTCAGTCCTCAGTTCGTTTTCAATCCGGACTGAGACCTGTCAGCAACATCCATGTCTCCAGCCTCCACCACGCCAAGACTCATTGTTGGCTGCTAAACAAGTTATCCACTGGAAAGGTCTCCGCATCTTCAGGTCAATCAAACTTCTCAGCAACAGAAATAGTTCACTTAATCGTACATGTATCATCTCGCTTACGATCTATCATATGCCAACACATTCGACACACTTTCTATGTTTGGATTATCAACTACCTCGCCTATTACTCGTACACCAACACTACCCGCCGGCGAACCACTCCACGCCGTCCTCAACTACAGAAGTCTTACAAAAGAAGAAATGGCTAGAATTCCAAACAAATACCATAGGTGTATACGGAACAGCGGCAATTGCGTTAGACATTCCACTACAAGGCTATCAAAGAGATATGAGGTGGGCCGGGGATCATGCGCTGGTCGAAGCTGTGCGGAGCGAGGAGAAGTAAAATATACTGTATACGTTAGACCGTTATATATGCAGCCAAATCGGTCAAAATAACAGTGAGGAAAAGAAAAGGGAAGAAAATATCAAGACCAAGGATCGATCCCCCAACTGGGCCGCTATAGCGACTAAGGACAAGATTCTAAGATCACTAGCTTACACCATGAAGGGGACGTGAGTGCCACTGCGGCATAAGCCGTGACCTATTTGATGAGTCGATGAGAAGACGTTGAACAATTTGACCTCCAGTGGTAAAGAGCACGTGGTCTGTGTGAGCACGCATCGGCGTGCCTTCCTAAACGATTATCTTCCCTTCTTTCACTTCTGTCTACTACACACAAAACCCTCTTCCACTCATGAACCTCAGACACGCGCTACCTTCCAATTTCACATGATATATACAACATAATAATACCATTACAGCTTAACATACGAATAGCAAGGGCACGTAGTTCAGTGGTAGGTCGCATCCCTAGCAGTACTAGAGCCTTGTGGGCCTCGCGGAGGCCAAGTGAGAGGAAGTCATACTGGTAGATGAGACGTGGGTTCGATTCCTGGCGAGTCCTTTCTTGTTGCTTTGTGACGCACTTGAGGCGATAAATGAACTTGGAGCTTTCTGCTTTTGAAACGGTGCGAGGTGATGGAAGAGCACGGATTTGTGTATGAGGTGTCTTTATCATTCACGCCGTCTCTTTCTCAAAAGAGGGATCCTTAGCCCATGGATACTCGTTCATATCAATGATTGCTGGGAATGCTTGTCGAGACGCCGTTGAGATCTGACCACCTTTTTTCGCTTACAAAGCCTTTGGTTACTGTTGCTGGCTTTGAAGTAGCTGGTGCAGCGACACACTTACAAGTCTGCGCTATTGAATTGTACTTCATAGGATGTAGTGATAGCGAATGCCCTACGAATACAAAGGCTTGTGGCGGCTCGTAAATGAATCGGACATGACCGGAACGGGCAGAACCGCTCGTCGGTCGTCTGTCTTTTTAATGACTTCATGACTATGTTACCGTATGATGTACAGGCCAACTCACGAGCGAATGGTCCCACAGAATTATGGACGCCCTTCGCATCTTTTGCAACCACAGACAGCAGTCTGTCATCTGGGACGTCTCATCAGAGATGCATGGGCGATACGGTGCCCAATACCGAGCGTTGATAATACACCAGCCATACACGCCTCCTCACTTTCATACATCCATCACCCCTCAGCAAAGTCCAGACTCCCCTTCCCCACCGTCCCTGCCACGGCCTCCGGCCCCTTTTGCTGCTTCAACTTCTCTTCAAATTTGGCAAACTCCTTTAGGGCAATCTCCTCCTCCTCATCCATAATTTGTTGCACGCCCTGCACCTCCTCGATATAATGCATCAACATGCTCTCGATCCCATTCTTCAACGTCACAGTGCTGCTATCGCACGTGCGGCACGCGCCCCGCAGCTTCAGCAGCACCTGACCATCTTGAAATCCGCGGAACTCGATGTCCCCGCCGTCTTCCTGGATCGCGGGCCGGATCCGGGTTTCGAGGAGCTCTTTGATCATGCCGACGACTTCATCGTCATCCTCGTTGTACGCAAGCGAGTCTTGCTCTGTGCCTTGCTGGCCGGCTTCGCCCGCGCGGTCTTCGACTGTGTTGACCGTGGGCTGACCGCTGACCATGAACTCGTTGATAATGGCGAAGGCTTCGGGTTTGACGTGCGCCCAGGGGGTGCCGCTGTCCTTTGTGACGGTGATGTAGTCTGCTCCGAAGAAGACAGAGGTTACGCCGTCGATGTTAAGGAGCTGGGCAGCGAGCGGAGACGGATGGGGAGGTGCGAGGGTGGAGCGCGGAGATAGGTACTCAAGGAAGGAGGAGGAGATGGAGTCGGGAAGTACGCGTTGATTGGGATTAAACTTGAGGGCCTTGCGAAGGTTAGTGATGTGAACATGAAATCTTACAAGGATGAACTTACATCTGGGTTGGGCGTAGACTCAGTCTGGATGAACATCGTTCGTTTTTCTTGCCGGGTGCAAGCAACAGATGCGCTGGGGCTCCATTGCTGTACTCTTGGTCTCTGTTGCAGCGGCGAAGATGTGATGGGTGTTGTTCGTTGGTGCAGGCAACGGGCTGCAGCTCTTGGAGTCTGTGACCGGAATGAAGAGGTTGCGCGGACTACTGCACGCAGGGCAGACCGCGTGATTGTAGGTGTTGCCATTGTGGTGTGATGTTATGATTCAGGCGAGGGTTGGTTGTAGGTGACGGCGCTGAGGTTTTGGCCTCGGGCGAATGACGACGTCGGAGACATTACTCAGCCGGGGAAAGCGGTCATCCCGGCAAGCGCCTGTTCGCCTACCGACCAATCGTGTATCAGATTCTCGACGTCGCCTTCACTTGCACTCGTATACCTGATTAGTGTTGCGATTTGAATCTAAAGAGTATCGTCCTCTCTAGGCGGATGATCATCCTTCCTTCATTTTATCTATCCAAACCTGTATATTCGTGACACATAAACCCACTGAAGGTAATTTAAACACCTCTTCGTCCTCCAACCTTGCCTATGCCCTCCTTCATACTCTCTGTCAACCTTGCCTTAGGCAAGTCTAACAACCCCTTGCCCTCCGGTTTTGGCATGAATCCAAGCTCAATGAGGTAGCTCACGTATACACCGATTGTGTCCTCCGTCACCGCACCGCCGGCACTCCAGTCCTGGCTTGTCCACTCCACGTCCTTCTTCAAAGCCTGCGCTGCGTTGCGGTCGTCGAGCTCCGGCGCCTTAGTATCTGCTGGCAAGTCACCGGTGACGAAATGGTAGAGAGGCAAAAGGGCGTGCTCCTCCTTTCTGCCGCTTTGATCGGCGCAGTATGCTTCCATGTTCTTCTTCCATTGTGCGTATGATACTCGAGGAACATCGTAGCCGTATTTCTCAAGCATGCCGACGAACGTGTTGATCGTGATGCGCGGGTGTGATGTGATCTGCGCAACGCCAATTGGTGACACGGGTGGGTTCAGAGTCGATGCGACGACTACTCGGGCAACGTGCGTCACTGGTACCATGTTGATGGTGTTGTCGATATCTGGGCGTGACTGGAGCTGGATACAGCCCTTTAACAAGCGAACCAGAAAATCGTCGGTGACGGTGGTCCCTGTTTCAGGGTCTCCTAGCACATATCCAGGACGGATGACGGTTCCAACTAACCCCCTATTGCCTGCTTGCCTGGTCAAGTATTCCGCAGCCCACTTGCTCTGACCGTAGCCGGTTCCAAGGCCCTTTCGCGAGCCTTCCATGTCGTCAGCTTCGGGCACGCCGGTACCGCCATCAGTAAGACTCTTCTCCGAGAGCTTGACATAGTAGTCTGAGTCTAAGACGGAGGTAGAGCTGACGAGACCAAAGTTCTTGGCTTTGCCAATCGCACAGAGAGATAGCGCAGTCATTGTGCTCTCGACATTAGGCGCACGCAACCTGGAGTAAGGAAGTACCCAGTGCACGAGCGCACCGTTATGAATGACGACGTCAACTGAATCAGCAAGCTGGTTCCATACATCTGGTGCGAGACCAAAGTTTGATGACTCAAGGTTGCCGACTAGAGCCGTGATGCGTGATTGCCACGAAGCGTCCCAGATGCCGTATGCTTGACATGTTTGATGTACACGAGCTATCGCAGCATCTACATCCTTCGCTCGCACAAGAACTGTGACTTTGCCGGGGCGCGATAGAAGGTCCCGAAGAACGTAGGCACCCAAGAAACCGGTAGCGCCTGTCAGGAAGGTATGAATAGCTTGACCCGGCTTCAAGGGCTCCTTGGTCTTAAACTCGCTCAATTGCTTGGCTAGATCCCTAGCGTCCGCGGAGTAATCTTCATCTTCAGGGTCATCTTCAATAGCCTCTGCCGTGTCGAGACGAAGACCGATCGGATCTTGCGCTTGGTCAATGCTTGCCGAGAAGCCTCGAAGCGTTGGGTACTGGAAGATGGTCGTCATAGGAACGTCGATATCCTTCCACTGCTGTCTGATCCTGAAGAAAAGTTGTTGCGCGACAATGCTGTGGCCTCCGAGATCGAAGAAGGAATCACTGCCACTGATGGTGTCGGCAGTAACACCGCGGTCGCCAAGGAGGTCAGCCCAGATACCTCCCATGATCTTCTCGGTCGGGGTCAGAGCAGTGCCGAGTTGAGAAGGTCTTCTGGCGCCGGCAGCAGCGAGCTGTGCTGGTTCTGGAAACGGGAGTGCTGGTCGATCAATCTTGCCGTTGGGGTTGAGCGGGAATCGAATGAGAGGGACAACAGTGGACGGAACGGCATATGCAGGAAGCTTCTTCTTAAGATGCTCTCGCACGTCATCCCGAAGGTATTTGAACCGCTTGAGCATTCCCACCATATCCGTTTCTTCGGTCGAGTTTTCGGTGACGCCTCGCTCCTCAAGCCAGTCATACCACCGCTTCATTTCTGGTACAATGTAGCCTAAATATGTCAGTGAAGATTTGTTACGCTTGAAGGTCGATACTTACTGACGAGAGTTGGTTCTTCATAAGCGTCACGCTTCAGCAACGTGACATTTTCGCGTACCAATGGATGTGCGGCAAGGTGAGAATCAATCTCTCCCAGCTCTATACGAAAACCTCGAATCTTGACTTGGTTGTCGACCCGTCCGGTGCAGTGAACGTTCCCATCGGGTCCATAGTGGCCTAGATCGCCGGACCGGTACAGCCTGTCTCGTGGTCCCTTGTAGAACTCACGCCAGGGCTCTGCAGCGCCCTGCGCTTCCACTTTCTTCTTGTCCTCCTCGGCCCATTTCTTAGGGTCAACGAACCAATTCTCCACGAACTTGGAAGCAGTTTGGTCAGGTAGACCCAGATACTCCTCTGCCAGTCCGGCCGCTCGTACGTAGATCTCGCCGCTTTTTCCGGGCTCACAGATCCTGTTCCTATTTTCTCGATCTACGACCAGTAGTTGGACGTTGTTCATTCCGCGTCCCGCTGGAATAACCTCGCCAAGAGTGTCCAGAAATTCGGGTGCCTCGCTTGCACTGGGCAGTTCGTAGTAGCTCACAGCTCTCTGCGTCTCAGTAGTTCCATACATGTTCACAATGCGGACGTTGGGAGCGAGATTCTGCAGTCTTCTGCAATCTCTCCTGATCAACAGATCGCCCACGAAGAAGGAATGGTGCAGACTCGGGAATACAGCCGAAGCACCTCCGACTAGAATCTGTCCCATAGCTGGAGTAAGATGGCTCACTGTGGCGCCGTACTTGCGCATCCACTCTGCAAGTTTCTCGTGCTGGATGTCTTCCTTGCTAGGGACCAGCAACTGTGCGCCCAAAAAGAGAGGCGTGAAGATGTCACGCTGGATTGGGTCGTGCGCAATACCAGACAACATGGTGAACTTGTCGTCCTCGGATAATCCGAATGTCTCGGCCATCCAGGGGAAGTAGTGCGTCAGAGAGAAATGACGCCCCTTCACACCCTTCGGCTTGCCCTCAGATCCGGATGTGAAAGACAGCGTAGGCGTCGAGTCAGGGCCGACCAACACACCCGGCAATTCGGCCTTGAGTTGTTGCTGGCCGTCTAGCACATCCTTGCCGTCTTTTTGACCACCGACCAGCGTTCCGCCATCACGAAGCTCCAGCGCCGGAATTTCGGTTCGTAAATCCAAGTTCTCTGCGATGTAGCTGCGCACCTGATGTGAGAGAGGTCCGGCCTCGTGGGTAGCTTTGTCGATTACAACGAGCGCGCGGGGCTGGGAAACTTCGAGGTAGATGCATTGACGGTCCGGGGGGTATCTGGTCGTGCATTAGTGCTCAGCGTATGGACTTGGATATGTTGGCTTACAAAGGGTCCAGGACAGAGAAAGTAGCCCCCGCGGCAAGAACAGCCATGATAGCAACAACCAGGTCGACGCCGCGGTGGGCGAAGATCATGACCACCTCGCCTCGCTGTATGCCATTCTGCACAAAATGGTGTGCTAATATAGCGGTGGCCTCGGCGATGTGCTTGTATGTGAAGTTGCGCTCAGGTGTCTTGGTGGTAGCTGTCTCAACGACGCATGGCCGTTCGGGATGCCGGCGCGCATTCGCAGCGAATATCTCGTGGATCGGTCCCTTGAAGTCAGACCAATGCAGGTCCGCGGCGGGATCGGGAATGTCGGCCTTGGTCACCGAGCCCATGGTTGCGCGCAATCGCGGCGTGAAGCTTCAGTGAGTGGTGGTGGGATGGAGGGTCGCGTGGGCCCGCGGGAGCTCCAGTGGTCGAAGTATCAAAAGTAAGAGCGGCCGATGCGATGTGAATGATTGAACGATAGAGAAGCAAAGGGTACACGACGGTCACAGTGTGTTGAGTCTGCGGTATGACTCCGAGTTCGCGTGGACCCGAGGAGCCTTGGGCACGAGAATGACGCGGTGCGGGACATGTCAAGAAATTTAGCGACTCATGCGACATCGGAATGGATCCCGCCAGAAACCTGGGGTCGGCAGGGACAGTGTTTCGCCGGCCCGCCTCAGCCCTACGCAGACATGCACGTAAGAGGGACGCGTTTTTGGTTTCTGCTCGCGTCTGCTCATCCATTGCTGTCGACACCGCAACGCTGGCCTCGCCGACCGCTCCTTCGCGCTAAAAGGCACGGCGCGCCGTTATCCGCACGCGTATCTTAGGGGCTTCGCAACCACCTCCGAGCAGACCAAGCAGCCTCGTACAGACAGCACACGTCCACGGTACTGCAGCCCCGATGTCGCGGTAGTTGCTGGTCTGTTGTCTGTCCTTTTCTGTACGATACCCTGACTTCAGTCACCATGCCCGTTCAACGAACAATGTTCGGCCAGCCTCTTGCGCTGCGTCTGCCTCCACGCCGCTTCCAGTTGCTCTTTGTTTTTCTTCTCCTTTTCATAGCCACCATATACGCCTTTGGAGCGCCTTCGCCCGCCAGCATACCCACTTACGAACAAGTAAAAGGCGCCGTCAAAGACCCCCATCTGCCTGATCTGTCAGACATAAAGGACCACATTCCAAAGATCCCCACCCAGCTGCCGGACCTACCCAAGCTAGATGTCTTCAGCCCGCCTGCTCATACACCCCCAGAGCAAGCCAACAGCACCGCGTCCAGCTCCTATGGCGCCATCAAGTGGCTCACCGACTTCAAGTGGCGCAATCCCTTCTCGAACAAGATTACCCTCGACGAAAACCGCGCCGTGCTTCCACCGCTTGCGAACCGTCCGCCGATATACACATACTACGAGCCAAAACCGAAGCAAGATAAGAAGGTCACAGAGGCGGAAAACAGGCTGATCTTGGCATGGCGCAGGGCCTGGTGGGCGCAGGGCTTCCAGCCCACTGTGCTGTCTCACAAAGACGCTATGGGACCGCAATTCGAGATGGTGCAGCGCATGAAGCTGGAATCGAGCGTGGAGCTGGACATCTTTCGATGGCTTGCCTGGGGAAACATGGGCGGGGGTATACTCGCTGATTGGTTGACACTTCCAATGGCGCAGTACGACAACTCCATGATCAGCTTCCTAAGACGCGCTGAGTATCCCAAGCTGTCAAGGGTCGAGTCCCTACAGAATGGCATATTCTTTGGCGAGTCCACCCTCGTGAAGGATGCGATCAACGAGGCCATCAACAATAAAATCCTCCAGGACGTCCCGGCGAACAAGGACAACATTGCGAAGCTGGCCCTGCAAGATGGAGGCATTGTGGTCAATTTACTTTCAGCAGACATTGCGATTGACAAGAAGGCCAATGGTTTGGCGTACTACAACATGGATGTGGTCAAACTCACAAACACTACTCAGGTTCAAGGCCTCGACCTTCTCGCCGATCTAATCAACTCACACTTGCACTTGACCTTCCAGGAAACACACCCCGATGGCATTGCTATCGTCAAACCACTACCGGAGCACACCACTGCCCTGACGTACAATGCTATTGAGATCGGGCGTAACCTCACGCAGTGTCCAAGCTCCCCAATGCCCAAATCTTGCCCGCCAAACCGTCAGAAATGCAAGCCTTGCGATCCGAACAAGCCCTTCCCTTTCAAGCTTGTCCCTACCTTTATGAACGCCACGAAACAATACTCCATCGGCACTGTACCCCACCCATATACCCTAACCACTCTCCACTATATGCGTGAAGACATCGACGCCAACTTCCTACGCAAAGAAACAGGCCGCAACCCCTGGCTTACAGCCTTGACCAAGGAGCTCCTCGGCCCAGACCACAGTGAACTCTACCGCGTCCTCTTCTTCAAAGAAGAAGTCGCTGCCCTCCGCAAAGCCTCGCACTCCCTCTGGCTAACCGCCGAGCGCACTACACAGGCAGACCTCGAATGGATCTTTGGCTTTAACCTTCCGCAGTCCGCATCCTTCAAAGAGCCAAACTCCCCTTCAAAGGACTCCGAACTCATCATATTCCCACGACCCGGGGAGCCGAAAGCCATTGAGGGTGTCCAAATTCAGGAAGAAAGATGGATCAGGAATGAAGAGCACAGATTAAAGAAAGCGCGGGAGGCACTTTCCAAGTCACGCAAAGCGAAAGAGGAGGATCCCGTACACCTCAAAGTGAAGGAAGTAGAGGACTGGAATCTAGCTGATACGGAGGCGTGGCGATTCGCGCGGGCTTTCTCTGCGCGGAGGCGAAACGAGAGGAAAGACTGGGAGGAGAAGGAGAAAAATTACTCGGGTTCGGAGAGAAAGGCGGGCGTCAAAAGTAGGGGTGGAGGAAGGTGGAGTGACAGATTCAGGTAATGTGTATAAGATGGTAATATAGATGGTGAATATTTTGGACGCATGGCGCTGGGCGTAAATTGGCGTTCAAGGCGTTGAAGTACAAACTTCGATATTCATGAGGTTGTTCATATGCCTTGTACACAACCTATCTTGTCATCATGGAGCGAAGAGCATCTTCAAGTCCAATGGTAAAGTATGTTTCGCCAATGCTACTCACGGCAAAGCGAATGCGCACAATGGCAGGCAACAAAGTCCTGTAAGCTCTCCCTTTAAACCAATCACCAAAGTTTTTCTTCTGTCGAGAAGATGAACATTCTGCAGCGTTTCCATCTCCGCTGCCTCTGCCAACGTCTCGGACACCCCTGAAGGGTGCGGACTGATTTCTCCATTCACGCACGTCACGCCTTCCGAGATATAACATCCCAAACATGACCAACACACTGCGTAGGAAAGCCTTAAAGTGCTCTCGAGGCTTCAAACCATCCATTTCAGACAAAACAGTTCGGTGTAGATTGGATGTAGATGGTGTGGGTCGCGAACATGTGTTTCCAGATCATGTTTAGAATCACATTGACCGTTTCGTGACGGGATCCTCCAGCCATCTGGAAATTCAAGATACCTGCCTGAAGCTTAACTACGTGGTCTGGGGCTCGGACGAACATTTCGATGCCGATGTCGACAATCACCTGGACTTTACTCCGTGGCACTGCTATGCGAATTTTCGATGCGCGTATCTGACAAAGATCAATGATGTTGTGCGAACCAACGAGCGCGGAGCGATATCCTGTGAGTAAGCCCATCACAACGCCTATACACGCTTCAGCGTATAGCCACCAGTACGGAAGTGGGGGATCAAAAGCTATGTACGAGAGCTTAGTTACGGCACATCTGATGATGGTGCAAGGTAACATGCAGACCGGGAGATGGAGGAAGCATCCTAGCCTAAGCTTGGTGACGGAGTGTAAGCTTGTTTTCTGGAAGAAGACGATTGGCATGCCTATGACAGCTGTTGATGATAACACATTAGTGTCTACAAAGGTGAAGGTACCCAACTATTAGACCTGTGATTCAGTCTAGCGTTGTGCAAACTCAATTTAGTGCTGCCATCTTACTGGGAATTGTCGGATCTGACTTTCTGCTTAGCCAGTAGTGGCACAGAGTTTAGGTCGACCTTCTGAATACAGATGCACGAGTAGAATGCTCACTTGTGACTGAGGCTGCTTTGGGTAAGAAGTTACTGCGTGCTACAGTAGCCTCGCGTGAATATTTAAAACTGACCGGACTAGCTGTTTATTATCGCACCCATGAAGAGCAGTGTGCAGGTACAAGAGTCGTGGCGCGAGGCACCTCGCTCGCCCCACTCAGCCATATCCGTACTAGCTCCAGCTGGGCGCATCACCCACCGATGCCATAACCACGACTCTCAGCCTTACACAATTCACAACATCTATCTATCTTTGTTATGCAAATCAAGGAACATGGCAGTTCAACCCCTTCAACGAGCCTCAATCCACTTCCCACCTACCTACCCCGTTCTGACCAAACCCTCTCTCATCCTCTTCGGCACAATAGAGAGATCACCAACGGACAACTGGGCCAGCAATCTCAGCGCCACACTCCTAGACCTCCCCATCCAAATTCTCAACCCGCGCCGCGATGACTGGGACTCGACCTGGCGCGAAGAAGTGTCATTCTCACCTTTCAAACAAAACGTCGAGTGGGAGATGTATCATCCAGAAAAAGCTGGCCTGATAGTGATTTGTTTCAAGGCAGAGAGTTTGTGCCCGGTTTCTTTGTTGGAGTTGGGTATGTATGCGGCGCTGTATGGGAGAAAGACGGTGGTTTGCTGTGAAGAGGGATTTTATAAAATGGGAAATGTAGAGCTCGTGTGTGGGAAGTTTGATGTAGTGTGCGTAAAGACATTGGAGGAGCTTGGGGGTATAGTAAGGGGAAGGATGGAGGCTTTGTGTGGTGGAAATGATCATGTAATGTGACAGGAGATGGTGGGTCTGCGTGTTGTGCGCATGCGAACATGGATGTATACGACCATGTTATCGTGCTTCGATGTCCGTATCATGATGGGGCAAGGCCTGTAGGATGGAAGCATGGGGACAAATCAGCCAATAACACAGTTAGACCGAGAGTGAGAGCTCACGCCTAATGACGAGTGTCGCTTACACTTGCAGTAGGAATATGCCATGACGCAATACCTGACTATGCGCTTGTTGAGGCTTCATGTAAGATGTTCCAGGCAATACGAAACGAAAGCAACGATGCAAATGCAAGCTGTGTGAGCTCTTGTAATACAAGCAAGTCCTCGCAAGAAAAGGCATAAAGTAAGCCGTACCGATATGGGAACGTCCTTTATGCATACCAAACAAACCCGACCAAATCACTTTCCATGATACACTTACCTTCTTCCAAAATACTCCAGGAGGTCACTGCCTCAACGACGGCCACCGATGACCCCATAGTCGCGGCTCTCTTTCCTCACCACCCGCGTCTGATCCCGAATAGCCTGCGGGCTAATCCGGTACAGACACAAGTACTCGCCCTCATGCAACCACAACTGTGCTGCCGTCAGCTCCTGTCCCTTGAGCAAATTCGCCGCCCAGAAGACAGGACCACGCGACAAATGATTTGTATCAATAGTGACGACCCAGGTGTCTTCATCATACAGCCTAGCAAAGTAGCGTGCAACCTCCTCGGCGTGAGCCTGGCTCCTGTAAACGCTGATAAACGGCGAAGAGATATTCGTCTGCTGGTGAAGGTGGGCCAGACCAAAGCGATCGAGATGGAAGAGCTGGTTGATAATGGTGGTTTGATTCTTGGCGCGGAAGCCAGTGCTGAAGTCGTACTGGGTTTGGGACCGATTGCGGTGGACTCGGTAGACGAAGGAGGGAATTGATTCGGGGCTCACTTCGGGGTTTGAGGGGGTGCCCATGCCGTACCCACTAGTCGGGGCAAACGACTGTGAAGCATGATGAGAGGATATTGCTGGATAGTTTTAGCATGAAAGTGGAGGAATGGTGAGGTCCAGCTTACTTGACATAATGACTGATAGACGAGGGAACACGAAAGGAAACGGAAAAGCTGTCGTGACACGGACGCTCGCGGTACGAGCAAGATACGGAAGCTAAGACAGAGATATTGTTATCAGAGTCTGCAAGGGAATTGTTGTTATATGCTGATGGTGGAGAGATACAAGCACTCGAAGACTTGATTGGAAGTCTCAGAGCAAGACTTAAGTACATGGACAGTCTTCAGTACATGGACCGGAGACTGGCGGTGAATGATGTTGTTCAAAGGGTAGCTTGTGGCTCGGTTCAAAACGTTCGGCATGTCGTTTCCCTCTTGCCAATATGGGAAGACATGCCTGCATCCATATGGTAGTTCCACAAGCCGTCGGCATGTAAACGAGCCAAACGCGCGCTTCCGAGGTGAGAATGGAGCATAAAAGGGAGACCTGAATATAACATGCATCGAGGCGACAGCATGCAACAGGTTTCAAAAGTGACAGCTGTTTGGTTTAGAGAAAAGTTTTGGGAGCCGGAGCAACCAAAGCTGGCATTTTGAGGGGTGTACGTTGTAGCTGGTTGGAGTAGGGACTGTTGCTATTCGTTTGACGTGTGGTGAAACATACAAGGGCACCCTAGTTCATCCGTCTCGCAGTCTGCCACGAGCATAGCTCTCACATTTAGCTACATGCAAAGGTGCTGACGTATGTAGGCCCAGGCCATGGGCTTAAAACAGAGGCAAGTACCGTGTTATCCTTCGTAGAATTTGGAGGGGGCAGAAGGAGGTCGATGGCATCAGCCACACAGTATTTCGAAACGGGCCGCATCTATTGGCAGTGACTGGCGCGTGGGCTGCGGGCTCCCGTACGTTGCTGTCGAAGGGAAATGAGGATAAGAAAGTGGATACGAGAAGAGGTTTGAATAAAGGTAAGTCATGGCCAGGCTCTGAGGTTTCTGAGAAGACGAAAAGATGAACCTGAAATTTGGGATGAGGCCTCGTTGCTGCCATTGACTCTTTGCTACGGTCACGACTAATACTGATTGGCGTAAACTTTCGCATGGAGATTCGAATTGTCGGCATGATGAGAATGACCGAAGATTTCGATGTTACCACTATTCCAAAGGTTGAATGCATATGTATTGTTTGCAGGGACGAGGCGTGTCGTACAAGCCGGCTCCTCGCGTCTCACCCACGAACAACAACCGGATCGCCCGTGTCTCCTACTTCTCACACCCAGACTGTCTTCTGAGTTGACACGAAAAAGCCATAGATCCGGGACAAGGATGGGTGCAGCTGTCAATATGGGGCACGGAAGGTTACCGACGTAGACGCCCAGCAAGATAGTCACTCACCGCCACTTTCCCCCGATGTCTGGGCAGTTGGCTGCCCGTACTCCGCGCAGGAGATCATTATTGTGGGGTTGAGAAGAGGAGATGCGGGTGAAAGTTGCGGCACGTGACATCGGACGCGGCTTCTTCTCCGCGGAGCGCGCTTGCCGAGTTGGGGTAGCCCGCCTCCGCCTCGTTCGACGTCCGAAAAGTTAATGACAAGAGCATCTCAAGGCTGCGCACACACCTGCGCGCCAGCACTGCAATCTTCGGACGTACGTATCCCTACAATATTTCGCGTCATACTCGATTGACCTCTGCGCAGGTGTTCCTTGCGACCGCACGCCTACCTGTCGCGCCCGCCTCAGCGCAAGCTATACCCTTCATACCGCCCATAGCTCCTCCACCCACCGAACCAACGTACAATGGCCTACTTCCGCATAACGCTGATGCGATCGGGCATCGGTATGCCCAAGAAGGTCCAAGGCGTTCTCCACGCCCTTGGCCTGAAAAAGCGCATGACCACCGTCTACTACCCAGTCAGCCAATCCATCGCGGGTCAGATAATGCGCATCAAAGAGTTAGTAGATGTGAAAGAAGTGGAACACATGAGGACAAAAGAGGAGATGCGCGCTGCGAGACGGCCGGACAAGGGTTACTATATTGAGAAGAGGTCGGAACAGATGGAGTTGTAAGCACAGGCGGTCATCAGAAGGATGCGGATAGAAGGGTTCACTTATGCCTCCGGAGAAAAAGCCACGTAGAATATGGAATATTCAAGAGGTGGGCGCATTTACTGGCGTTAGTCGCATTCGTGTTTGAAATGGATTTGATCGATGGAGCTGCGGCCTAAGCGTGGATCTCGCAAGGCAAAAGATGATCCAGGCCGCGAAGGGACGCCTGTAGATTCTGCGTATTGTTCTCAAGAGCGTTGAAGAAGTGGATGTACAATATATATGTATCCAATACATCGAATGGCAAGTTGCAGAATGCACTAGCAGGCATATCTTAAAAGTACCCTGGTGTCGCCAAACACATCCATCTCTTCATATCATGTGCGCTGCAGGATCTAGCCCAACAAGACTAGGCTCAAATGCGTGCAATGTGGAGGCAGTCGCTGCCTCCTCCCCCTCTTGGACACCACTTCCTATTGCCTTCTTCCCTATATCCTTCATGATGGCGAAACGCGCATGGCCATTTCAGAGGACGGGGTTCCCGAATTTACCAAATAATACGCATATCAGCCATTGTAGGCGACCAGACATATACACCCTCGTACAACGTGTCTGCAGGGACGTTTTCACCAACCATGAGGTGTTCAAGGTTGTTATCCCTTTCCGAGTCCGAGCCGTGACAGCTCGTGGATCCATAGCGATTCACAGCGATCCAGACCCCAGGCTGCGTGTTTTGTCGGCTATCGGATCATATGGGAAATCGTATTGAACGCTGATAGCTATCTGCTTTATGGACAACATCAACTATTCTGATCTCGCTTAACGGCAACCCTACAGCTTATCACCCTTCAAGCTTCCACGGAAACTCTATCACAATAACTTGGCCCTACAATGAGGGTGTCCGATATGTGGCGTACCTGGCCCTTCATTTCAGTGCGCACCGACTTGCAGCGCCGCTATAAAGCTTCCGAAGATGAAGAATGCTTGCTACCCTATCTACTCACGATCGATGAGTGCATGTGTTCCGATCAAAGAAATACAATACGCTTGGAGCGCGCTGCCGGAGATTTCCTACAGGAACGGTAAACTTAGAGATACCCTTAGAGGACATTCCGTTCGCAGTTCGACTAGTCTTAGAGCGTAGCACATTGCTGTACGTCCTTTTCTGCTTCAGTAACCTCCCAGTGTTATGTTCATCGAATACTGAAGCAAGCCTGCGTACGCAATTACAAAACTAATGGTATCGAGACCCGCAACTGGGCACCAAATTGGCATATACTCCTTCGGGATGTCTATTATCCGAATCTCGGTCCTAGAGTCGCTGCTGGGGAGGTCAGCGGTCACGCACTAATGGCAGAAGTTAAGATATTGCCGCTCAATTTCACTATTAGACACATTAACCCTCCGAACAATAAGACACCTATGTAAGTATCCGAAGTCAGCCTCTCTTGCCCTAACGAAAAGATCAGAATGCAACAAATGGGATCTTTAAGGAGTTTTCACTACATATCTTGTTGCTGCTTATCAATAAGTCACCGCGTGTATAGATTTCTCTGTTCTATTTGAACCCTACCCCCTCACGTCAAACAAACTTAATTACCAGCACGGCATAAAAGCCTACGAAATAATCATCAATTCATGACATCCAAAGGTATCAGAAAAATGAGTTCTGTCTGTAGATTGGGTATTTAAGGCACGCCTGAACCCCGCATAGGGGGAAGATCGATCCGCCACATCATAAGGTTGAATAAATAGCGTTTCTGATAAACGTCCTCGTCACTCTGACAGGTCGACTTTGACCCGGACCGGCAAGAATTGAACCCTTGTGTCGATCGAGATTCGATATCTAGGTTGGGGAGCGTGCAGAGCTGAGCCGGAAGATCACATCATCGTCATGAAACCTCAGGCAACCTTGTCACTTCGCTAATACTTCGGTTGACTAGCAAACTCACGGAAGAGAAGGGCCTTGCCGAGAGTACATGCTTGTGGGCGTGTTTATCGCCAATTCACTGGGAGACAGTAGTAAGCGGGTGGATGAGCGAAGAAGTTGGGCCATGAAACCGGGCACTCAAGGATAAACTACAACTGGTGTAATGACGACAGTGGAGAAAATTGCCAAAGTGGTAAATGAACACCATTCTTCAACCTACAGCCGACACCCCGTTTCTCAAGCAAAGTCATCAACCGACATAGCCGCACCGATGATTTATATCTATTGCCAGTGACGAGGGCATGATCGCTGTTCTGGAACAAGTCGACGGCTATGACACGCTGAAGACAAAGGACTGAAGAGCATTAGTGCTGGCTCCCAGAGACGTGAGCAGTTAGCAAACAGGAATCCCACATTCTGTCTTTAACTCACAACATCGTGCTGCAAGCCCGATTACGTACTATTTAGAATGTGTACCTTACAGGTAGACGGAAATCAAATATTCAGCGCCTGTATCACACACATATACATAGCCCGCACGTATATACCTACCCAAGGCACCACAGCGGCCTTCGGGCAGAGGCTCTCCACGAATTGCCCGTTTCCCTGATATAGCCCATCTGCATGTATCACATATTACACTCCCCTCGCCTCAATCTCATTATACGAATACTACTGTTGAATATCACAAGCACGGCGGCTTCAACACACAAGCAGCAACATCAGAATCCAGAAGAATATTGATTACATTGCGAACGTGACAGCAAGCTTGTGCTATGCCACCCAGGGGTATCGAACTACAAGAATACTCCACGCTATGCTTGAATAACACAGAGACAAAAGAAAAGCTACCGCATTGTGTCAAATGTCAATACCAAACCATATCGTCCCTACAACAGCCAAAGCTCATTGCAAGTAGCACGCGCTAGTCTATGGGCCACCTCCTGAGTGTACAAGTGTTAGCAGTCTGGAAACTCGAACAAGAACTCCTCAGCCACCGGCGACAGATCCACAAAGCTCAGATCGTCAATATACGCAAGTGGATCTGTACCCGTCGCAAGCGTGAGAGGGAACGCTGGACTACCCTTGCGCTGCCTATCCTGGGGAACCGCAAATTTCTCGCCTTTCGCACTCTCAGTCAACTCATCGCTCCATATCTCCAGAGGACGCGTCACTGATCCTTGGACACCCATGAGATGTGAGGTAAAAGCCATGTCCAGCATCTCAGCAGCCAGAGCTTGCTTGTTGCGGGCATCTGCTTTGACACGTGCCGCCCGGTCGGTGCGCGTCTTTGTGAAGACAGCCTCGAGATTGAACGATAGCATGTCTGAACTCTCCCGCTGGCGGAGCCATTGGTTCTCGTTTGTGAGGGCCTTGACAAGTGTGATGAAAGAGCTGGATGTATTGGCTTGCGGAGCCTCCACAACCTCGGATCGCTCGCGGGTAGGCTGCGGCGTAGCTGGAATTGTTTGAGAGTCATCGTCTTGACGAGGAACTCCTTCACGTTCAAGACGAGTAATCTCAGACCGAAGAGTCTCGGCCTCGGATCGGTAGATTTCGCGCTCGGAGCGAGCTTTATCTAGTTCGGTCTGCAGCGTTTCAATCGTGCCGGCCTTCACAGCAGCCTCCTGGTTCCTAGCCCTCAGGTGCTCGATCTCAAGTTCCTTGGTGTCGATGGTCTCCTGTCGTTCGCGCACCTGCAGCAACGCGGACTGAAGCTCGGTGGTCATGAGCTGTAGCTTCTTCTCAGATTCGATTGATTGCTTTTTCTCTGCCTCAATCTGCTGAGCTTTAACAAACCAAGGGGCGGGTTGTAGCTGGACTTCGACGCAGTTGTTCAAGATTGAAGCGTGTTCGTGCCATTGTCCGATGCGTGACTTAACACCATTCACAGATGCGTGCAGTTCGCCCAGGAGATCTTTCTTAAACAGAGTCTCGAGCTGAGCGGACATCATAGTGGCGTCAAACCCTTCGGGTTCTTTCCCGAGTTTGCCCAACACCAGGCGGATGAACGTTACTGCGGTTTCTTGCGCCTTGTTCGCGAATCGGTCTAAAGATTCGCTGATATCGATGAGGCCTTCAATGCCATCGGGCAGGCTGGGATACAGGCCATCCTTCTGCAGTGCCTGCAAAGCAGAACTAAACTTGGTAACTATGTTGAGCGCTTCGGTGGCCGTTTGTGCTGGTTCCGCGAATGCATCGAGATCTACATGGTCTTCAACATTCTCATAGATGGGTTCCACGCGCGATACAAAGGTCTTGACAGCATCGAAGACTGATCGAATGCGTTCCAGACTGGCTCGAATTACAGACACATGCAAGATGATAGTGCTATCCGGTCGAGCATGGGAGAGGTAGCTATTGGAGCGGTATATTGCCCCCAAGACGTTGTATGACCCGCGCGCAGACTCCAGAGAATCTTTCAGATTCAGTTCGTCGCGCTTTAGACTGCCCATGCAACCTTCTACAGTGCGTAGCACGCTCTCAAACTCTTGGAATAATTGGCCGGCTTTCTCAAATTCATCCAGCGAGCAAGACGCCATAGCTATCCAGATCTGCTCGGCGTATGTGTGAATGTAGTCAAAATGGCCGACAACGTCATGACGAACAAGCACGTCTAGGGTTTGTTCAGGGCCTTGCTCGGCGCCAAACTGGTCGGTGGTAATCGTGCGGATGACAGATGCAGTCAACTCAGCTTTGAAGCTAATCGATTTAGCCCTAAAGTAGGCCTTAACCGATGAGCTGTGGAAGTCGGCGTATGAAGACTCCGTAAGATAGTGCTTGATCATATCGCGCTCTTCCTGTGCGTCTCTCGCCGCCAAATGTTGCAGCGATGCATCGATGTGACGATTCGTATCTTTGACACCCGCGGTACGAAGTCGACGTTGTAGTTCCATGACTTCATTGAAACGTCCAGTAACATCCTTGACCTCCTCTTCTGTTGTCGCCTTGTCTGCTCGTAGATCCCGAACCTGGGATTGCAATTCCATGGCGACCGTCTGATACTTGGACAAACGGTCTTGCAGTTCGGCATTATCGATTTCAGCCGCATCGCGCTGACGGGAGACATCGGCGAGCTGGGAATCCCTAGTCTCGAGCTCGGCTTCCAAATCATCCGCATGTTCCGCATAGTCGTTAATGGTTTCGTTGCTGACTTCGATCATGGTGGAGAGCTCCCTACGCTCAAGTCGAAGGCGCGAGATTGAGTCCTCTAGGGTCGCAATCTTGTCTATGAGTTCTTCGTTCATCTCCTCCATCTCGTTGTTTGTGTCGACCCTTTCACGCAAATCCGAGATATAACCTTCGAGCTTGACGACTTCGTCTTTCGCTGCGGCAAGGTCGGCTTCGACGATTTCCGTGTGAGCGACTTGAGCCTCCAGCTCGCGATTGCGGGTCTCGAGCCCTTTGATTTGCTCTCTTGTCATGTCTCGGAGCCTGACAATACCCTCACGGTATCGATCCCTCTCGTTCTGGGCTTGACGCAGCATAGCAGCTTGCTTCTCGTCCTCCGGCATATCGTCATCGATGAAGGATGCTTCTTCCTGTTTGATTTCCAATTCGAGTCGGAGTTCCTCGACAATGGCACGCTCGTTCTCAAGTTCAGCTTCGAGCTGTTCCCTTTGCTCTTCTGCCATTTCTTTATCAATAGTAGCTAGCTCAACCATTGTATCGCGTTCTTGTAAGGCCTTTTCCAACTTGTCATTCTCCCCCTTGAGGTGAGCGATCTCCTCTTTGAAACTGGAATTTTCGGTGCCATACTTCTGGACCTTCTCATTCAGCTTAGGGAAAATGGTCTCCTTGTATCTTTCATTTTCAGTACGCAGCTTCAGCACATCAGCTTCCAGCTGTGAGGTATCCTCCTGTTGTTTCTGCAGACGTCGGTATTCAGCCTCTGGAATCTGTCGAGTGCGCTCTGCAGGCGCTTTTGTGGCAGAAGTAGCGGTGGTGGACGGCGCTACAGAGCGTGTCTCGAGAGAAGCGGCGGAGGAGAATGAAGGTTTGCGAGAGGGCCGAGTTGTAGCAGAGGGTTGTGATGAGCCGGCGACCGATACACGTCTTGACTGTGCCGATGGAGTTACGGATGCTCTCGAAGTGGCAGAAGGTGGTCGGGTAGTAGACGGCGGACGTGCGGTAGCTGCCGACTTCACGGGTGAAGACGGCTTCACAGCCGCGGCGAGTCGGGCCTGTAACGTCGTCGGTTTGGAACCACCCACGGAAGAAAGCCTGGCAGGCCGTGTTGTGGTCTGGGAGGCGCCAACGCTGGAAGGGCGAGGTCTTGCGCTGGATGCCGATGGCTTCGGGGGTGCAGCTTTGGGTGCGACGGGCCGCGGTTGTGCAATTATCTTGGTGACTTTGTCGCGCGCTGCAAATAACCCATGCATTGGAGGGCATTGGAAGTAACGTTCGCCCTGAACCGAGCCATCGTTCTTTCCCGTTGCACCTGGAAGCTCGATGCCAACAAATTCGATCCCCTCCTGGCCAGGCACAGCTACCTCGCCAATGTATCTGATTGTGCCGCGGTGGATGGTGGGTTTCGGCTTTTCGAGTCGGACCTCCACGGTCTGGCCAGCTTTCAGATCCAAAGCGGGAGCCATAATTGCAGGTGGAGTTGGGGAGATGGGACATGGGAGGGTCCCAGGCTCAAACAACGCGTCCAAGCTCGCGCCGATGCGCCAAGCTGTTTCGGAAGAGGTCGTTCACGTGATTGCGCGTCGCGGTGAGAGTTAGTAGTATTATGTCAAGACGAATAGAAGAAGAATCGACAGAATTGATAGCACCCAGAAATCAGTGTCGGAAACTGCGGGCAGCCGCGTGCCTTCCACCCTTGCCAATCATGCGGCAACTAGCCAAAACAGCCTCTCGTCAAGTCATCGAGAGCACTGATAGGGTGAATTTTCACAATTATTCTATGCCAGTGGAAGCGACGTTGCAAATCGCACGCAGCAAGTCCGTACACCTACATGAAATCATACACATCGTACCCAAACGCTAATCCCAGTACAATCATGCGCCACAGCGCCGCGTTTCCACTGGCGCCTCATTGCGACGTCAATTCCAGCTCCTTGATCCTCTCTTCGATGTTTGGGACAGCGCGGAGCTGCAACTCGATTTCATCTTTTTCGCTGTGGAGGCATATCAGTACGACATGCAAGCCAGAGGAGTGCAGCCATCACTTACTCTTCCAACTCTAATCTCCTCTCGGCGTCCAACTTTGTGAAGACGAAGCCACCCTGTCCATCAAACTGCAGTATCTTCTCGTGATATTTCCACAGACTTCTCCTGTGGCTGACGGTCATAAGTGTGATGCCCAGTCTACCCTCGTCAGCACTTCTTCAGATCGTGTAGTCGACAATGGGAGCTTACCTCTTCGCCTCTTCATACATCACCCTTTCGATCTCCAGGGTAACGCTACTCGTACATTCATCCAAAATCGCGTACCGGGGGCGATGATAGAACAACCTCGCCATTGCAACCCTCTGCTGCAGCCCTCCGCTCAACACATCGGTCCACTCCTGCTCAGCGTCCCAGCCGCCAGGTCGATCAACGATACCCGCAATTTCAACAACTTCCAATATAGAAAGAAGATCCGCGTCCGTGATATTCTTGTCACGCATTTCGCGGAGACTGTCAGGGTAGATGATCTGCTGGCGGAGCGTGCCGCGAGACAAATAGGGCCGTTGCGGAATGTAGAAGATAGCTTCGAACGGCGGTTTTCTTACAATGCCGCCGTAAACAGGCCATAGGCCGCCTAAGATGCGGAACAAGCTAGACTTGCCGCAGCCGTTAGGACCCACGATTAATAAATGGTCGCCGGGTTTTACGGCAAAGCTGAGTTTGCGGACGAGGACGTCGCCGTTGGGGCTTACGATGGGGACGTCCTTGAACATAATATCTTCGCCCTCAGTGACGACTCCACGACCACGCAAAACAGAGGCGTTTTCTTCGGTGTCTGCAGACGAAACGAGTTTCTTCTCGAAGTGACCGGCTTGAATGTCGTCGATGACATCGAGCAGGGTAGATACGCGCGAGGTGTAGCCGGCGAGCTCAGTGATTTCTTTGTAGGAGAACATAACGCGGCCAAAGGCGTCCGAGGACATGAGAAGCATGCGGCGGTTGGTTACAAAGCCTATCATATATGATCAGTGGTCCATGCTTGTGCAGCTCATAAAGACTCACTCTCTGTCCGATCGCCCATGGTTTTCATTCCGGCTCCGGGAACCTTGAAGAAGACGGGTACACTGCATAGCAACAATCCCAGTGCTCCCCAGAAATATTTGATCACGAAGTCCTCCATGACACCATGATAAAATCTCCTCCTTAATATCCGGTTCACATGCTTGATCAATGTGAAGTATCCTTTGTCTAGCGTGTCTTTTTCTGCTTCGTGTCCATGATACAATGCCACCTCTTCGCTATAGTCAATCAACCGAGAGTGCTGGAAGCGGAACTCGCCTTCCAGGCGCGCCTCGTCAGCGACATACTTGCCGAAGGGTGGAGTCAGCGCACGCATTACGTTTGCCGAGAGCTGTACGAGCAGTGACATGAAGAAAAGTCCTTCGCCGCCAACGCTCCGGGACAGTGAGTAGTTGTAGACGACCATGTCCAATACAGGTTTCGCAAGGTTGGAGTATAGTTCTGCTAAGCTATTTGCGAACTTGGCGACATCCACGGTAATGAGCTGGTCCGCGTTCTTGATCCGGTCGTCGAGAGCAGAGAGCGTGTAGAAAGTCATGTGCGAAAGGTACTTGTTGTGGACGTAGTTGGTGAGTCGCGTGCGGTACTGCAATGACAGCTTGCATTGGTGATATGAAAGCTGTTTACGTTAACCGTCGTCCATGCAATGCCTCTTTCTTCCCAGACTACACATACCATAGAGTTTGTAAACGTTGCAGGTACAGCCACCGTCATCCACCATACCAAGCCCCACAGAAAATCTTTGCCCTTTCCTCTGACCAGACTACTGACCAGCCTACCATCCAGCTCGGCCACATACAGGCTGATCATAGTCCGCAGCACCAAAAACACACTGTGGCTAATCAACAGCCGGAACTCTTTGCTCCGCCAACCTGGTATGCATATTTTCAGCAACCGGAGCAGATTCTTGAAGAACTCACGATTGAGCTCGACCTTCTTTCTTCCCGTTGCCTCGCCCTCGGTGCGTGATGTGGATGTTTTGCGGAGGGCTTTGGCGCGTAGAGCCGCCGCTTTCTGCTCGGCGATGGCATTCCGGATGCGGTTTATGAGCGCGACGAAGAGTGTGAGGTATACGGCGCGTGATATTTTCGTTCGATGCTGCAAGTAGATTCTTGTGAAGTCATTGACTAGCGATTTGAGGGAGGAAGCGCTGAGGTTGGTTCGCGCGTGGGCGAACTTAGAGAGTACGGCCATGGCTATCGTGAGGGCGTCATTCGGGGTAGATGCGGCTGCGGGATATCACGATGGATGCAATCAATTGCGAAACAGATGATAGACGGAGCAGTCAGGCTGTGGTACGGCTGCTCAGCCGTTGGTAGCTTGGTACATCGTCGGTCGAGGTTCAGTCAGTGATGCGCATATGAGCCGCATGTGATGACCGCTGTCCCCCAGCTCAAAGCCTCGGCCCGTTCATATCCCCACAAAACGCCTAACTTAATTTAGATAGCTTAAGCTCCGTGTGTTGGCTTGTGATGAAGTGATGCACGCGAACAGAACGCGACCGAACATACTTTGTAATTACACTGACTTGTGACCTATAAATATTGGGTGTACAACATAGCGAGAGTGGAACTACTCGAGTGTAACAAAGGAATCGAGTGAGTACGAGGTTCCAGGCTATCGCCCGCATTTAAAGCTTTCGCCATGGACTACTTCGAAGAGGTAGACGAATAATCAATAATCCAATTTTCACCTTCACCTCTATCTATAAAAAGGTTTTACGCTCTGTCAGATTCCTCAGATGGGTTCGAAGCCAGCTGGTAATGGCCTGCTCCCGATCCAGCACGTCGCAGCGTCAGCAAATAATCTAGGATCTTGCCTACTCTACGCATGTCGCATCTTTCTATTCTGCACTGCGCTTGTCTCGCCGTTTCCCTTCCTTCCTAGCTCGGCCAAGTACTGCGCATCTTTGACACTATCATTCGTCGGAATCCACCACCTTTGGTCGCAGCCACCATCAACGTCCTCGCGCTCCAAGACTTCTCTTTCACATCCCCATCAATAACCATCTCCCAGATCATCTTGAAGTTTGCGAAAGTGTGGGATGTGGTGGTTTGGTCAGTGTGCTACTCGATGTTCTCCATCCACCTCTTCGGGATGAGAAAAGCAAAGTGTCCTATACTGTAGATGATGAGGCGGGGCAAACAGTTCCTTAGGGCTAATGACATCCAGTCGAAGACCAACCGCGCATGTTTAGACAATAAGCAACTTCTCACGACTTCTGAATGTTGAATTGCGAGTCTCCTCCCTACATGCGCTTCAAGACTCAAACCCACTACACGCACCTGGCCACCTTTGCTCTCGCCTGTTACAAGTCGAGCAAGGAGATTGGCGGTATCTTTTGCAGTACCTCTAAGCACTACATTCTTAGAATCATTGTGGAGAGGCAGATCTAGGACGAGAAGGTGGTAATTTTGAGAAAATTGCGGGATCACAAGGTCCTATTCTAGGGCACCGGTTCCGGCGCCAGTAAGGAAACTTACGGACTCTCTTCCTGAGGGGTTGAATGTGATATGCTAGGCTATCCTCCGAGCCGCCAAGCCGGGAGGGTGAGCTGAACTGGGCTTTTAATTGTGACATAGTTGCTGATATACCCGATAGGGTGCTCCAGCACGGCCTGTGATAAGTCTTATGTGATATGGTTGTACATGTCCGAGATGATAGGTGCCGCACTCGAGTGTATCATAGGAATCGTGAATGTTCGTAGAAAGAACGATTGAGGACCGTGGCGGCTAAGTTGAACGACTATCCCACGTAATCAGCGCTAATTCCATGTATCAACGTCACGTGTGTCTACCTTTCCCCCGATCTCATCCCGACCTTTTCCACAGCTTTGTGTACTATTGCTCCTTTGTATCGCAACTCTACCCCCAGGAAAGCTCCAGCTTAATACGAAAATGCCCTCGCCTTGAACACCTCATTCTCTTCCGGCTTTGGCGCAACAGGCTTCTGCAGGAAGTCCTTGTAAAGATACCACGCCAAGTCCTTCCCATTAACCTCATTGACACTCCACCCGTTACCCAACCACTTAAGCTGATTCACCCTCTTCCGCTTCGTACCCTTCTTCACGCCCTGCCTCCCATCCGCAACAGCCATACTATCAATCCTCCTCCTCTTACCCTCCGCATCGCCAATCTCTCCATCCGCAACCGCAGTATCATCAGTACTTGCCTCGGGTTGATCGCTTTGGACGGGAAGCTCATCTCTATACACGTACACGTAATCCTCCCATCTCGGACTCCTCATCGCCTCCACACAATGCAGCGTACTTCCCGGCCACAGCCCCACTATGCTTCCATCCTGCTTGCTCTTATACCAACTATTACACTCTTCGCTAAATACTGTTCCCTTGAAATACTCATCCACATACTCCGTGAAATCTTCTTCGCGCTCGGGCTTCACAGTCATGCTGGCGATGTCTTCCTTCTGGATTTTGCGTATGGCTTTAATGACGTAGTCGCCGACGTTTTCGATCATGGTGGTCAGGCTGCCGGAGCCGATGGCGGAGTTGGCGCCCAGCATGGTGAAGAGGTTGGGGAAGGAGGAGATGGAGTGGGAGAGGTAGTTTGTTGGGCGGGAGGACCATTTATCCTTCAACGTCAAATTTTTTGAACCGGTCAGGGGGAAGGGGGGAAACGTATTGGCGTGGAAGCCGGTAGCGCAGACGAGGGCGTCGATTTCATGGGTACCGCCATCAGCGGTATGTATAGCGTTTTCGGAGATCTTAGATATGGGCGACGTGACAAATGCGACGTTTGGTTGCGTGAGAGCCTCGAGGTAGCCTGGGCCGGGTGTTAAGCGTCTACAGCCGGGGGAGAAGGAGGGTAAGAGTGCGTCGAATATTTGTGGTGTGCTTTCGAGGCGCTTCTTCATGTGTTCTTCGAACATCTGCCTTCCACCTAATTGAAGTGGTGTGCCTTTCATTGTCACGGCGTGTATGCCATTGCCGTCTGCCTCGACCGCGAGCCGGAATTGTGCGTAATACTCTGGATCTTCCGCAAATCGCTTGCGAAGGTCTGGTGGGATCTTGAAGCCGTCGAAGCCGTGTTTGTCCCAAAGGGCTTGCCCAAAGGAAGGCGAAATCCAGGTTTTGCTTCGGACGAACGTGGAGACGTGTGTCCCGGAGATACGTTGGAGGGAGGGAACAATCTGAATGGAGGAAGAGCCTGCGCCGATAACTGCGATGCGTTTATTTGTGAAGTCGTACCTGTCCCTTGTCAGTTTATCGAACCAGAATGAAACTACAGCAATCGGTATCCTACTCTTCGTTCCACTTTGCAGAATGCATCACCTCACCCTTGAATGTGTCAAAGCCGTCGATATTCGGCCATGCAGGATTGTTCAAATTTCCTCGTGCGCTAATCAAGACATCCGACTGGTCGTTTATGATCTCGCCGGTGGTGAGATTCTTGACTGACACGTTCCACTTGGCGATTGTGTCATCCCATCGGCATTCGATGACTTCATGCGATAACTTGATGAATCGGTCAGCGGAGTATTTCTTCGCGGTCCGTTCGAGGTAGGCTTGGGATTTCGCGCGCCGGAGCATATAACGCCGACCAATCGTGGTTTGGTTCAAACTGAGTGGTAAGTCAGATGAAGGTGCTTGCCGCGATTGTGGAGATGACATACAGTGTACTGGTACGAATGCGCTGAAAGCCGTGTTAGATAGAATCTCTGAACGCGACCGTGGGAATATACATACATGGAATGTCGCATGCGCAGCCCAAATATCTTTTGGGTGTCAGCTCGTCTGCTGGGTTCGGTCGTCGCACAGACTCGCTACAAATTATCGAACACATACCTGTTCTCGTACCAGGTGCCTCCTACTCCCGCGTTCTTCTCATACACGACCAATTCAACGTTGCGAAGCCGCTCCGGTATTCGTATTGAATGATAGATGCCTGAATATCCAGCCCCGATCACGATGACTTTCATAGGCCTCAAGTTCTCGATTGGTGCATCGTGAAGTTTGAACCCCGCGGCGGCGTTCTGCGTGGTCTCGCTGTTGACGCTGTTTCCCGCGATCAAGGGTGTGTCCTCAGGAAGGGAAGGCACAGCGGACATGGTCAAGGAAAAGTGAGCAACGAGGCACAGAACGTTTTATGCTAGTAGAACCAGATGTTGAAGCGACGGCAACGCCGAAAGTGTTAGATACAATACATGTACAGGCACGCACAAGACGCCGTGTCTACAAACTAGCAAGATTGGGTATTGAAGGGTTCTGGATTGTAGACAAAACGCCGCGGAGCCGAAAGCCGCTCATACTTCCCGTCCTCATTGGGGTACCTTTCTCCGCGTCATGCTTCCACGACTTGCAAGTGCCGAAGTGCTTTAGCAAAGCGCAGTCCACCTGTCGGCTTGGCGGGGACAAACATCGCCGCACGCTGCACGAGCCTATCAGAGGCCGAGCTCGCTTTCCCCACATCCTACCCCAAACGCCACACGCCCCGCTGCACGTCGCACATCATGTCGCCTCCACGGTGGGCGGCACAGTTCCGAGGAGTGCTCTTCACAGTATCCACTCGATGAACATCTCGGCGCTACCGCAGCAGGCCGACCTTTGTATCGTCCAACCTGGGGGGCCATGTAGCCCCAGCTCACGCATTGGGCGAATTGCAGCTGGTGGCCACTGGTACGCTGGACCGATACGGGTAGGATCGATGGTTCAAACTTTGAAGCGTCGTCAGATCCTTCTTCTCGTAGGGCTTGATTCCATTATCCGTGACCGAATGCTACCTGGTCACTGGGATAATCGCAATCTGTAATGGTCAGCTGAATGCGCAGACGCTCGATTTGGCAGCTATTGGAAGCGTATCCTGCGGTAAGACGGTCCTCAAAATGGCTTACCTGGTTACCGAGAGCGACAGACAACCTCGAACCATCCGGATCCCATCCCAGACTGAATTCGCCATCCACGCCAGGATTCCACTTGTCGCTGCCCCATTCGCGAGCGCGACAACTTGCGATGGGAATGTCTCTCCTGTCGACGTCCCATATCGTCACTGCGTCAGGCCCTGCCGCTGCTAGCAAGACACCGTCAGGGGAAAATGCAACCTTGAATGCTTCCCTCTTCTCAGTGGTCGAGAGAGTCTTGAGGCACCTGAACGGCACATTAGCGTCCCATGCGCGCACGACTCCCGACATCGAACACGTCGTTAAAAGCACTGATGATTCTGAGCCCGCGCCAGCTGAGGGGAGGTCCATACTGCCGCTATCTATGCGTTTCCGGAATTCGAGATCTGTCAGAGACTCGTCCGAGAAATGTTGTGTTTGTAAGTTGAAAGGGCTGTTCGGATTCACAATGCCCAACACACTGGAATTTCCGTCTATACCAAGCGCGGCAATGGTACCAGAGGAAGGATCAAATTTCAGTGTTTCCCACTGGACTCTGGTGTCGAGACTATGCCGAACTTTCAAAGTATCGTCTATCTCGAATACCTTGAAGAGTTCAATACCACAGACTACAAAGGCCGAGGCGCTAATCCAGAGAGCATCGAATATGACGGTGTCGGTAAATTCGGCCCAGGCAGGGATAGAGTCATTATGGTTATTCCAGATCTTGATGGACCCACGCTCTCCATCGGTCGATATGCTCAGAAGCATTTCTTTTTCTTTGTTCCATCTCAAGGTATTGACGAGTCCTGCGGTCGAGGAAAGTACTTGGTAGTCTTCTCCTGCATCTGTGATTTTGATAAGCTTGTCTATCATCATCTTCTCACCCGTCTCATTGACAATCTCTTCGCGAGCGGACACCGCAATATCTTCACCCGAGATCCAGCATAATGCGGTCACGGTGTACTTATTCATAGGGAACTTCAGAGCGAGAGGGTTGGCGGCGGGTGCAGTAGCGTTGTTCATGTCTTTAGGAATGACCTGAATGTTGAGAAGCGATTTGCCAGCGGTCAGCAGAACGGGAGCATCTGGTGGACCCCACGAGGTGTGTTCTACAACTCTTTCCGAGTCTTTGAGGCTTGGTATGAATGTGGTGTTGGGCGCAAGATCTGCAATCACTTCCGTCTGCACGTCAGTGCTCTGGCCGATGCTGAGAGTCGAGATGGGGATTTCGGCTACAGTCGGAGATTCGGCTTCGGAAGCTATAGCTTCAGATTCAGCTCGCACGCTGTTCACGCTCGGGGCGACATGGTTGGTGCCGTTGGTGTCAACGTCCATGGCGTCGCCATTGACTTGTTCGGCAACGCGCGGTTCTGCCACGACACCGTTTGGCTTTCCTTTCCTCTTTTTCACGCCCTTCTTGGGCGGTGGTTCTTGCACGGTGCCATTCGCCTGCTCGGCGAGCTCGTGGGCGGGGATGCCTTGGTCCAGAGTGAGCAAGGCGCCGTTGCGCACCGAATACGGCTGTCCATGATCGCGGCCAAAGTGATAGCGTTGCTCAACCTGATGTCGTCAGTGTCGTCGCAAGCAAGGTAGCAGCGCACGTACGTTGGCAGCCTCGGCCTGCAGCTTGTCGAACCAAAGCCCGTCTTGCAGAAGGTTTACGAGCGTGTGCGGCTGCACGTCGCGCGCGAAAGGGAGCGTCTGGGGGTCGCGGATCCAGCAGCGCGAGAGATGCAGCGCGGCATTACCGTAGCCGGCCTCTTGAAGATATCGCCAGACGAGATAGTTGACTACATTGGATGAGAGCGGCTCGACCGTCATGGCGCATGTCGCAGCGCCGCGCGCAGAGAGGCCTGGATGTATGGCGCGTTCGGCCAAATGGGCAGCGAAGGAATACGCCGGGCGGATTGACGATTGTGAGCGTGCCGTTGTGCGTCTCGGGTTGGCTGTGGAGGACGTGTGGTGTTTAGCGGATGCGGTGGATCAAACGGAGCAAGGATGCGTTAGCTCGACGTTGAGCTTGTGCGCCCCCGGTCGTACACTTTAGCCCGCTGGACGACACCCTGAGTGAAACCCTGACTTCGCTCGCTGGCAGGTCGCGGCTCCCGTCATCGTCAAGATAACAGCCTTCGCCCGCCCGATATCACGTCGCGCGCGCTCGCAGCGCATATCCATCCACAACGCACTTCGGCCATGGCCCGCATCAACCTGCCGCCCTTGACCCGCGGCCTGCTCGGATCGCTTGTCGTCTTCACGCTGCTCAACTTCGCCCTCCGACCTGCCTCGAGCTGGACCGACCGCGCTGCGAAGCCCGTCACCGCCGTGGGCAATGGCGTGCCCTACCTCTCCATCGTCCCCGGCGTCTCGGTCGTCTATCCGTGGGTGTTCCTGCTTGCGACAACAGTAGAGCAGAACGTGCTGGGTCTGGTGACAACGGGCCTTACCGTCTTCTACGGGGGCCGGTACTTGGAGCGCGCATGGGGCTCGACCGAGTTCGCCAAGTTCATTCTCTTCGTGTCCATGGTGCCGAACCTGCTGAGCTTTTTGCTCTATGCTGTTGGCTATGCTCTCTCCAGGAACGAGCGGACGCTGTAAGTGAGGCCACGCGAGCTTACATGTTGATATTGACATGGATGCAGCACTACCACAATCTCGGGCGGTATTGCCATCCAGGCCGGCTTCCTCGTCTCCTTCAAGCAGCTTGTCCCTGAACACACCGTTGCGATTGCAAAGGGCATCATACGTATGCGTGTGAAACATTTCCCCGCCATATTCCTCCTCGCCAACACCGTATCCGGCATAGCCCTCGGCACAGAGACGGCCATGTTCCTGGCCTGGTTCGGCTTCCTGACCGCTTGGGTCTACCTTCGCTTCTACCGCATCAGCCCGTCGCTGTCCTCTGCTGCCACCGGCGACGGGTCCGTGATCAAAGGCGACGCCTCTGACACGTTTGCCTTTGCTCACTTCTTCCCCGAACCTGTACAGACACCCGTCGGCACGGTGGCAGATCAGGTGTACAATACCATGGTGTCGCTGAAAGTATGCACGCCCTTCTCCGCCGAAGACATTGACGCAGGGAACGAGCAGGCAAGCGCGCGAGTAGAAGGCGGCTTGCCCAGCATCATGAACCCCAACAGCCGTGGCGGAAAAGGGGGCCAAACGCGCGCCGAAGCAGAACGGAGACGCGCATTGGCTCTCAAGGCATTAGACCAACGGCTACACGTTGCCACCAGTCGCCCTGCACCGGCCCCTGCTCAACCGGCGCCAGCTGTACTAAGCGTACCTGCACAGTCGAGTTCCGAGCCAGCGACATAGCACCTCCTGTGGTCTCGGGCATCCTTTCCTCGTGACTTGTTTTTGGTCTTTGGACACTCATAGCGCACGGCGTTGCTCCATGTTACTGCTTGTTTTGGGTTGGATTAGGGATAGGACGCGGATATACCATTGTAGAAACGCGCTGTACGTCTGTTGTACTTGCAATTGTTTCATGAATCCACTCTAGGACCTCAGCAAGGGATCCGCATCTTCAGCTAGCCTCATCGCTCTGTTGCTTTCCTCCGTTTGATCCATGCGTGGCCTTGTGTCGACAGACTATGGCCGCGCTTGTCACCACATTTGGCACGGCAACGAGCTTGTTGTCGTATCACAAGACGACTGGGCGCGGCAGAAGACGATCCGTGTCGATAGCTCAACACCAGAATGTCTTGTGTATTGACGCTCAAAACAGTCACAGACGCAGAAACATGCGCACAGCATTAGCCGTGCATCGCCCCGTGTGACTCGCGACTTCCCTACCACATCCCGACTAGTCCCACGAACCAAACATCCTGGTCCATAACCTGCAATCAACACAACGCACCTTTGAATCTTACTTCTTGTAGTCTCGCCTTACGCCCGGCTTACATTGGTCAGCAGATTTCCTTGGGTATAAAGAGGAGGCGAGGGTGTGTCATTCTTCGCCAGCCTCCGGCTCTTAATTCGTCGTAGGCAATACCAATTTTCACTTGACGTATGCAGTCATATCTACTCCTTGTTCCCGATTTCCCTTTCACCATCCCCACGCCGCAGTCATACGCTGCTTTACTCTTCACCACTTTTGAAGACCCCCAACGTCATCCAACATGTCCCTCCTGACCCTCTTCACACTCCTCTGCCTCCTCATCACCACGATCCTCGCACGGCCCTCAAGCTTCCACCTCACCTGGGACACAGTATCAGCCGCACCATCGGCAGCATACGCTACCTCTACCGCGACCACATCAGACACAGTAAACGTACGTTCCTGTCTTCCATCTCCCAGTCCCTCATACCCTCCGTGCACTAGCTGAAGGGTGCATGAACAGGTATACATCTGCGAACACATAAACTGGGGCGGGAATTGCGTCAACGTGCTGTATAACATCGGCTCGGGAGACTGCGTGAACCTGGATGGGACGGCAAGCTCGATAAGGCCGGATAAGGGGTTTAGCTGCACATTTTACAAGTACGTTTTCTTCGCCTCTCTGCTCTCTTCTCCCATCCACTCTAGAAGAGTCCTTCCTTTGGAGGCTTCTCTGATCCATGGGAGGCTTTCCTTCTAGAAGAGAATCTCGTGGCACAAAGGGGTGTCTGCGGTGCGGAAAGGAACTTTCCTAACGGAGATAGGAACGGCTCGTGTCGCACATTCGATGGTAGCGAGTCGATCAAGCTGCAAGACCCTGGGAGTTCTGATTTGACCAAGGAGGCGGGAAGTTGGAACGATGCTGCGAGGGGGTTTCAGTGCTTTATGGTGTGAGGAGATAGTATGAATATGGTGGAGGGGTGATGTAATGTTTCTTACAGTGAGGGAAGGCAGTATGGGAGCAGGGCGGTGGGAAGTGAGGCCCGGCTACCTACATAGCTTTTCATCGAAAAGTCATGTATCAATTTGTCCCCAGCTAAGACTGTAACTTCATCACCATAATTCCTTCCATCTAGCACTCCAATTAATCGTCGTAAATCGTCATTGTATATCTACGTATATACATATTTAGGCCGTAAAAGGATCCCGCTAATATGCACCAAACACACACTCAGCAACCGCTCAATCCACCGTTCCCCACTCAAGCTGCTTCCTACCATTCAGCCCAGCATGCAATTTCGCACTCTCATCAACGCGATCCTGGATCTGCATCTGTATTGCCAGATTCTTACTTATATGCTCGTCCTTCTCTTTCAACGCTCTTCTCTCCAGTCCAGCTCGATGCTGCTCGCAGTTAGCAAATCGCTCAAACAACGCTAGAAGAATTTGACTTACCTCCACCTCCCCCTTCCTCGAATCAATCAGACGATTCTCAGCAGCGTACGCCGCGCTAGATTTGCGCTCCTCAATCTGCGCCCGCTGAGTGGCGGACTCATGCTCCTGCTGCGTAAGCAATGCATGCCACGCCACCCTCTCCGCACGCTTCATTCTCTCTGCCTCCCTCACTCTTTGTACATTCGCCTCATGCTGTCTCTGCTCGATCCCTAGGCTAAGTCTAGCCGCAGCCTCCGCCGCAGCCATCTCGGCATCTTGCTGTTCCTTTTTGCGGCGGAGGAGGTCCAGGTGCGCGGTTTGTTCGAGCATTCGGGCGTGCTCCGAGGCTTCTTTGGCTAATTTGAGGGAAAGTTGATGCTCCTTTTGCCGGGCGGCGAGACGGGCGACGGCGGCAGGCATGCCGATGGCGCCAAGAGGTTGATCTTCACTCTCGGAGTAGAACTTTGGAGCGCAGCCTTTGTCGCGGAGGAGGTCTGGGATGGGTGAGCCTTGTTGTAGGTAGCCTGCATTCTACAAGGAAGGAGAATCAGGGAATTGGCAGTAGGTCGAATTCTGCTTCTAACAGCGGGATGACAAATGATTTGAGGAGTACTTACCAAGTAGATCCTGTTTTTGGGCGGTACGTGTAGGTGATGGTATACGCTCCACGTACGAATAGGGTGAGTACCAAAGACCTTTATCATCACGAAACATGTGTTTCTCGTCGTTGAGCTGCTCCCAGACCTCAGTCTCGAGCAGCGTTTCTGCGACTTTTAGAGGATCGTGGGCATTGTCGAGCGCAAAATGGACAGTGGACCTCTCGTTTCGGGCTTTGAAGGTGGGATTGGCTCCGTTGTCAAGGAGTAGCCGAAGCACTTGACGAGTCCTCGAGCGCTGGCTGCTGTTGTTGATCTCGACGTTCAAGCACAGCTCGCCTAGGGCATTTCGTCCGCCATGGTGTCGGGATGGAAAGTTAGGATCGTGAGAGGCCTTTATGAGCAATGCAACGGCTTCAAGCTGTAAGCTCCGTGCAGCTTCATGGACACTGCCGTCGTTCTTGAGAGCGTGCGGCGCGAGTGTCTCTACCACTGACGTGGCCGAGGAACTACTTGCGTACAAGAGAGCGGAGCGGTCCTGTTTGTCGCGGATCGAGGCATCAGCACCATACTCTAACAAGACTTTAACGACGTCTGCACGGCCCTCGCGTGCAGCAAGAGCTATAGGTGCGATATCTGATACTGGAGCTATGCGGGTGGACGAAGCTCCGGCCTGCAGCAGAGTGATGATCACCGAGCTCGAGACCCGTTTCTGTGGTTGCGCCAGAGCCCATAAGAGAGCGGGGATGGCCTCTTCGCCTACTGCAGTGTCGACTACACCAGATAATGAAGCTTCGGGGTTGCAGCCATGATTGAGCAATTTCTGAACAAGTACTTCGCTTCTGGGATACTGCTGCACTGCTATAATCAAAGATGTTGGGTGGCTCAAATCTAAGTCATCGGCAGTACATCCATGACTGAAACAGGCTTGGATCAACTCCAGCAGTGCCTCCTCGTCTAAACCGGAGCTAATCAGGGACGGTAAGAGAGCGGCAAATCTTGGTCGAAATTCAAGGAGTTTCGCAAAGAGCGTTGAGCTCCGCCTCGCGGCGAAAACGAAGCATACACCGTTGGCGGCATTGACATCTGCGCGGTGGTCCAAGAGACGGACCACTATCGAGTCGATCTCATGAAGACCATTCCCCGGGTCTAGAACTGCTCTTAGTGCCATGTCGATCGCGTTCTGGTCTACTCCCAGGTCAAGAAGCTGATCTGCAACCTCAACATAACCGCCAGACACACGTTCTTTGTCGGTGGAACAGGTGTGAGACGCCTCCTGGCGTAAAGCTACAACCATCTCATCAACGGACATTCGATTCGGTGCTGCGTGATTCAGTCGTCGCAGGTTAGTGGGGTCGAAAAGCGATTGAAAAGCTGAGGTGACTGTAGGCTGCCAAGGACTGTCCCTGCCACTGAGCAACAGTCTCACAAGCGAGCTATTGCCTGTTGCTGCAGATGCTACAAGTGCATCGCCACCGTTATAATTGATCGATGCACCGTGCTGAAGGAGCAACTGTGCAATTGTTGACTCGGCCGTACCCTTCAATTGGCGAATCTCGGCAACGAGAGCTCGGTCAAGCGTTTCCTGTGAAATGCCTTTTCCGAGCAAAGACCTGAGGATAGCTTCTTTGTGCGGTACACTGCTGAGCGAAGTAGCAAATTGGAACGCTTGTGAAAGCAGTCTTGCGTCGGCAGCTATCAACCGTTCGATTACATCCAGGTTGGTGGAGCCACCTCTGACAGCGACCTCGAGGGCTTGTGCAGCTGGGCCCTCTTCGACACCACCCGCTACTAATAGCTCCAGCATCGCAAGAGTTGCAGACCGTCTAGATCCTTGTGTATCGAAAAGGAGGGGTAGAGATGCAGATTTACTTTGCGAAGTAACGTTCGCCCTACAGAGCAAGCGTAAGATTGGCAGGTCAGCCTGGGAAACAGCGAGTTTGAGTGCTTTGCCGTGGTCATGGTCTACAAGTGCGCCATGACAGACCAAGTCCGTTATCAAAGCAACGTCTCTCGTGCTGGATGTGTCCGCGACCGCATCCACGAGAGCTTGATCCACTTCAGGCCCACAAGCACCGTTCTCCAACAGTAAGCGTACGGTTTCGAGTCGTTCAGATGCCGTGTATCCAGACCGGATAAGAGGGAACACCTGCGCGAGTGACTGCGGTGATGGCCGAGAAGCTAGTAGCAAGCGGAGACTACGAACATCCTTCCGTGCTACTGCAGCCTGTATAGCCCTGTTGTTACCTGTTCCGAGGGGTTGGCCAGCGTTCAGAAGTAGATCCATGAGTCCTGAATCACCCTCTTCAACTGCGCGAACAAGCCATCGTTCGAGTGAACCACCGCTGCCACCCTTGGCCACCAAAGTGCTGATGACGTGTAGTCTCTCAGATCTTGGTGCATCATCAGGTACAACGTCCAGCGCCATGGATGCATGAGCGGGCGAAATCGAGGTTTTTATGATAATGTCTGCCAGTTGCCAATGAGACCTAGCAACGGCTATCTTTAAACACTCTGCTTGATTGACAGTTGTTGGCACCCCATAATTGATCAGCATCTCCGCCATGCGGAGATCATTGCGCTGGGATGCAGCTGCGAGCAAGCCAGTCAATCTAGGGCTTGCTGGAGACAAACCACAACAGAATAAAAGCTCCAAGAACTGACAAAGGTCCTGCACACTTGATATCCTCATCACAGTCTCAAAAGCGGCCTGGAGGGACGTGGAATTCAGGGGAGTTGGACCAGCGACAAGTGCGACGCAGGTGCGATATCCGCATCGTGCAATAGAAGTAGTGAGAGCACTAGCGTTGTCGAAGTTCGGATCAGCACCGTGGGTTATCAGCAGCGAGATGATGGGCTCGGATTTTTGCTGAACAGCCGCTGGAAGACATGAAGAGATGATGTCAGGGCGGAGGGCTTTTGGTGCCCTTAAAAGCAAGCGTACAAAGTTCTGATCGTTTGACCTGACAGCGTCTGCTAACGCGTTTGGGCTCTTGTTCAGGTCTGCACCATGTCGCAACAATTCCTGAACACAGGGGTGGTCGTATGCGGCAAGAGCAGCTTTGAGCCCTTCGTCGAGAGTGGTCTGGTCCGCGCCAGAAGCCGCCAATAAACTGAGCGAGTCGGCTCGTCGCACAGTCGCAGCTCTTTGTAGAACCGTGCTTCGTCTCCGGTCAGTAATGACTGCCTTCTTATTCGCCTTGCTCTTTTGATCCGCAACTTCCACGAAGTTGACTTTTGCTCCTAGGTCGAGAAAGGCTTGGATAAGACCAGGGCGTGTTGCAGGTTTGTCGATAGCTGCCGATAGCGCGCGGTCAAGTTCATCCTGCGAAAAGTCCCATTGAGTCGTGTCTTGAAGCCTTTCTTTCTCTTTCGAGCTCCTGAAGATGAGCTTCAACTTTTTGCCGGGATCTCGGTAGTCTGGGCCGCTCACTCTCTGTTCGACTAACAGTTGGCGAGCTAACGTGTGATCCTCCTCGCTGGCGAAGATTGCAGGCTGAGTTGGCGCGGGAAGGGGAGGCTGACGATCAGAAACCGGATGAATGCCGACATCTCGAATGACGTCTTGAAGGCTTCTTCTAACGTTCATGGTGCCTGATGAGACTTGAGCAGAGAAGGCTGGGCGACATTGTCACCAGGACGCTTTCGTTCCTTGACGACAACAACGTCACAGTTGCAGTGAAGGTCGTGGTAGAGCACGCGTTCTTGGTGGCTGAGTTACCATTCTGGTCATAGCGCGACTCGGTTCCCCAGCCACTACCGCCACTTTCACTGTTCCTGTCTCTGTCTCACATGCTCCCAACGCTGACCTGCTTTCCGTGTCGTCTCATTATCCAGATCATCCAACATCCATCTGAGACGTACACAATATGCAGGACGGTTTCCCCTTGATAAGCGAGGGACGAGATGCGTAGCATGCGCTAGCCGGATGAACGCAGGGGCATCCTCCACACAGCACACGGACTTCAACATGCCCAGACAGCTGGCATGTCGTTGCCACTTGCTTCCGCTGTTTCACTACGGCCCGAACTATCTGCAAGGTAATCTTTACGAGAAGCGCATCGTGTGCCAGACACACGGCACAGCACATCGGCCGCTGATCCGCCGCCAGGTCACATGCTGTCCATGTCGCGACAATAGCTGCGAAAAAGCAGCGGTATTGATCCAAGGATCGCATTCTACGACCCAGGCAATCTGGCGTGAACAGCGGCTGTTTCGCCAATGTGGCGCTCGCTTGCTTATTGGACGAGCAGCCGTGTTTGATCCTCCAACGCGAAATCTGCAGGTACCGTTTCACACCTCAACCACCATTTTCGCTCTGCATATCGCAACATGTTGTGGAGGTATAGTTCGTGCATGAGTCGTGACAAGCACGCCCGTCACTGACGGTCCAAGGGGCATTCATGAGACCCGTGCCACCTTTACAGTTGCGCTAACAGCAACATCTGTCGAAGATTCCCAAGGTTCTGGATCCCGCGTTTCAATGAAAGACCCAGGCATTTCCCTTTTCAGCCCTAGAAGGCGGGACGCTCGCTGACCTTTCCCCTACGTGCGAATGCTAGCGTGTATCTACCTCCTGTCAGCATACGGGAAGCACAATAGACGGGCTGTCTCCTACTTACTATGTAGTCTACCGGACGCTACTACCAGGCATGGATGTATGTGATGTTTGAGATTTGCAGCCCCCAGGTACGTTTTCGGTTCCAACTACATACCGAACTGTCTACGTCGGGTTGAACGAGTGTTCATCGAATCTATATATTGACCTGCCCGCTTCGCACTGTTCTCAAACCACACTCTCACTGCAATCAATAGATCCCAGCTCACTATCTTTCTCTTTCCCTACTCATTCGCTTCTTCGGGCTCTGGTAGCTCTTTACTTTCGCTGTACACAAGTACCTTTTACGAATCCGGCATTTAACAAAAGTCTAATCATTTAACATGCATCCCTCACTATTCGTCGCGGCGTTTGCCCTCCCCCTCGCTTTGGCTGCTCCCGCCCCATATCGCCTACCCGGGAACTCGTTCCGTCGTCAACTCAACGACACGTGTAACCTCGCCAATACTCAGCAGCCCTCGAGCACGCTTACGCCTCCAGGCGACAACAACCAGCTGGTGCTCATCGCGCTAGGCCAAGGCACGCAGAACTACACCTGCGCCAACGAGACTGCCACACCCGCATCCATCGGCGCTGTGGCCGACTTGTTCAACGCCTCATGCGCCGTTGCTCAAAAAGCTTCTCTTGGATCCGTGGCAGAGGATGCAAACGCCGTCGGCCAGCACTTCTTCGTCGATAACACGACACCTGAATTCGACATCATTGGGCTTGGTAACACACAGCTCAAGAAGGCCGAAGCTGTTCCAGCCCCTAACGCCGCTGCTGACGTCCCGTGGCTCAAGCTTGATGCTGCGAACACAAACACTGCCGTCAGAAGCATCTATCGTCTCAACACTAGCGGCGGGCTAGCACCCTCTACTTGCGCCGGACAAGCTGCAGGTGCTGTTGTCCAGGTCGCGTATGAGGCTCAATACTGGATATATATTAGCCCAGACGCCATGGCTGCTCGGAGGCGGAGGAGAAGTCTCGGTCTGCCCCTCAACTAGCTGCGTAACAGAATCTGGTACCCCGGTCAACAACGACGCTGTGCCAAAGTGGACTGTGGTTGGCATTGGAGTGGAATGTTGTTCTTTTCGCTATCGATGCAATGTTTCTGGATGGGTGTCTGTGTCAGCTATGGGTGTTTGATACTTTTGTACTAGGATCACATGTAGCAAGACATCAAAAGCGTGGTTTATCAGTAACGATCTCAGCCCGATCCAAGTCCGGAGCATCTCCCGAGGTGCACTCGTTATCCGCAGTGTACGTAGACATCGATAATGCCATCAGTGTTCCCTTCAATAGCCGGCGGAAAAGCAGTGGCGACTACGTTTGTGGTGGAGCGATGGAGGTGCTCACCAGAACTCCAGCGCAGCTTCCGTCGCTTTCCGCCACCATCCTGCAACAGCCCACGACGTTGTAGGCATTGCGATAATCGCTTGCCACTTCCACTGCGATTGCACCCGTTTCACAGCTCGAATAGCAAGATTTGTGGAATCGCGGTGTTGATTTGAGGTGACGGCGTGGTGCCGCCCCGCATCCGGAGACGGCTTGGCGGACAGCGATCACAAGCTCGCCGCTGGGCCGCGACCATCTTCCACTCACAGCACGCGGCCGGGCATGCTAGGACAAAGACCCTCGGTCCATGTCAAGATGCGTGACGTCTTGCGTCCGAAATATATGTGCCGCGCCTCTGCCGCTCACGTCTCCGCACGCATACATCGTTGCCCCATACCTTTCTCCTTGCTACCATTCGCCTTGAACAACAGACCAACCCCACCACACAGCATACGACGTCAATCGAGTTACAATGGCCAGCCCTGAAAGCTTGCTGCGCGAGGTCAATATCCTCGGCGCATTGAACGACCAAAACAAACACATCTTGAGCAAAGATGTGGCTGTCTTCCTGGCTCTGCTCCACCGCACGTTCAACGAGCGCAGGAAAGAGCTCCTTCAGCGACGGGTGATCCGACAGTCGGAGCTGGACAAGGGCAATCTACTCGACTTCCTCCCAGAAACCAGGCATATCCGTGAAAACGATGCCTGGAAGGGAGCACCCCCAGCTCCCGGACTGGTCGACAGACGCCTAGAGATCACAGGACCTACAGATCGCAAGATGGTCGTCAACGCCTTGAACTCGGACGTATGGACCTATATGGCGGATTTCGAGGGCAAGTATTGGCAAACGCGACGGTTATCGATGCAAGCTTATACAGCACAGACTCAAGCGCGCCGACATGGGACAACATGATCAATGGCCAGCTCAATCTGTATGACGCCATCCGCAGGCAGGTCGACTTCAAGCAGGGCGAGAAGGAATACAAGCTCCGCACCGACCGCAAGCTTCCCACACTCATCGCTCGCGCACGAGGATGGCACCTGGAGGAGAAGCATTTCACAGTGGACGGCGAGCCCATCTCGGGCAGCTTGTTTGACTTTGGCATTTACTTCTACCTTAACGCACACGAGCTCGTGAAGCGAGGGTCCGGACCTTACTTCTACCTTCCGAAGATGGAGTCGCACTTGGAGGCGAGACTCTGGAACGATGTCTTCAACCTAGCACAGGACTACATTGGGATGCGACGAGGCACGATCCGAGGCACCGTGTTGATTGAAACAATCACAGCTGCCTTCGAGATGGACGAGGTGGGTCGATACTCGATACATTTCACAAGTACATGCTGACCTCCCCAGATTATCTACGAACTTCGTGATCACTCCTCCGGTCTTAATTGCGGACGATGGGACTACATCTTCAACACCATCAAGCGTTTCCGCCAGAATCCAAACTTTGTGCTTCCAGACCGCGATTCAGTGACCATGACTGTTCCTTTCATGGACGCATATGTTAAGCTTCTCATCAAGACCTGCCACAGGCGAGGCGTCCACGCCATGGGTGGAATGGCCGCCCAGATTCCCATCAAGAACGATCCCGCTGCTAACGAGGCTGCCATGGAGAAGGTCCGTGCCGACAAGCTTCGCGAAGTCCGCGCTGGACACGACGGCACCTGGGTCGCTCATCCGGCGCTTGCAGCCATTGCTGGCGAGGTCTTCAACAAGCATATGCCTACACCCAACCAGATGCACGTCCGCCGCGACGATGTAAATATTACTGCCAACGATCTGCTCAACATGAACGTGCCCGGTAAGGTCACCGAAGCGGGTATCCGCAAGAACCTCGACATCGGTCTCAGCTACATGGAGGCGTGGCTGCGCGGTCTCGGCTGCGTGCCCATCAATTACCTCATGGAAGATGCGGCTACCGCCGAGGTGTCGAGGAGTCAGTTGTGGCAGTGGAGCAAGCACCAGATCACCACGGCCGAGGGCCAGAAGGTTACTAAAGACTACGCGCTCAAGCTGCTCCACGAGCAGACGCAGAAGCTGAGCGAGAAAGCACCCAAGGGTAATAAGTTCAACCTAGCCGCAAAGTACTTCGAGAGCCAGGTGACGGGCGAGCAGTACGACGAATTCCTTACATCGTATGTCACACGCACATCACCGAGTACGCAAGGCCAAAGCTAACATCATCCAGTCTTCTCTACAACGAAATCACAAATGTAGGTCCCCCACGGGGCGCTTCCAAGCTCTAGTTTTCTTCTTTCCCTTGTAACGTTACGATGACTCGAAGCTGTTTCTTATGGGCTTGTCAACAAATAAAACAAAAGCGTGCCAATTAAGCAATGTGCCACATGCGAATTAAGCTGATGTTTCTTTTTCCTCATAGGCTCAGTCTCCTACCCCTGCTGCGAAGCTATGATCGGCCCGAGGTCACGATACGCGAAGCACGATCGACGTGTGCCGAGGTCATCCAAACTGTCGGACGGTAGGATGAGGAAAGAATTGAACAACAGCACGTGGCAAGAAACTGCCAGGCATGTGAAAAGAGTTACACGAGAAGCATGAAATTGCTCATGGCGAATTTCCATCGGCGCTGGGTTTGGGGCCTTGTATATATTATTTCTGTGCATATGGTGCATACTCTCGTGAGAACATCGTTCGTGATTACTCTGTCAATATTGTAAACGAAGACGTGTCGGTCTGCTATTGTTTAGATTGGAACCGCAACTCTATCGTATTGCTTGACTCGAACAATATTGAGAAAGCAAACTAAGTAATGCGTTTGAACTTTTCCGTCTGCGCGCAAACCGCGTATGCGTTCCACAGGCAGAAGTTCATCTCAGTGTCGTTTCCAGCTATTGTTCGGTTCATTGTTGTCTAAGACTTTCGGATGCAGGAACCAACCGAAAACCCCTAGACCTCGGCAGGGTTGGTGCACGTGATCTACCTTTTGAGGGTGCCGGTCCCCAGGTTGGTAGCGAAGTATGTCATCGGCCGAACCTTCTGACCCGGTACCTCAGACTACTCAACGTCCTCATCCGTGTCCCTTTTGCAACATTATCAAGACACTATGAGCCGATGCATCCACTCTTGATGTCAAGTGTCAACGTCGACAGAGAACGCCTTCTCCGTAAGTACATGACAGACATTCGCCGAGGCTTGAAAGGATAGGACGTCTCGTAGCAACCAAGCGTTCTGCTTCTAGGAACTGACAAGGCAGTCTGTCTCTTTGCCTATCGGAAATCGCAAGCGTATCGCTACATTCATGCGAGTATCTTGGCGATGGGATCAAGCTTCCGAGACAATCTACAGGGAAGAAAGTTCAGACATCCCTGCCCCATTTATTCTGAGTGATATGTCCTCTTTGCGAATGGAAGAATATTACTACAAGCGGGCGGGACTTTGATAGGAAGTAAGCGGCGGAATCAGGTCTCATGAGACAGCACCGCTGCCTTCTCTTCGCAGACCTAACTTGAGTTAACTTTCAAGATGAGCTTTGCGTTACTGAATAGAAAGATTTTCGAGTGCCCCACAAAAGGCCGAGTATGTTGACCTAGCTTCTTAAAGGATGTTAAAGATCGCTTCTCTATTAGATGGATAACAGAGCTGGTCTGCCACGTGCACAGACTATCACGACTGGTTCGAGGCCTCATCAAGTTTGTGGTCTCCATATGTGACTGCGAAGCTCTTTGACAGGATTGAGATCAATCTTTCTCCTTTATGCACCCCCAATTCTTGGAGTGCTTTCGCCCCAGCTCATCTATCTTCGTGGCAACGCTGTTGGAAGACATCCTGGCCCCTGTTTCTTCGGTCGCGTCTTCTCTTTCAATAATGAGCATCTTTTGGCGTATTAGCTCCAAGAAATCATTGAAGAAACATGAGTATGATGCGTTCAATTTGCGCGACGCAAGGTCCTTTGGATCGTCAAATGTCTGAGATAGGAAGTTAGTGCGTAGTGTATGCGGTTGGGACCTGTTAATGTGCCTTTGTCACTTCTACCTTTACCTCGGGGCGGAACGCGCCCGAATCGTCTTTCGGAATGACGAAGAATGTATCACTGTTCAGACCTTCTGAGTTCCATGGCAAAGTGCAAGACATGTCTTTCTTACGACGCTTCTCACCGTAAGAAAATCGCGCTCGTCAGCTGAGTAGAGCTTTTTAATAGCAAATTTCTGGGCAGTCAGCCGGTACTCCAATATGTGTCTCTAAAATTAAGAACTGCAGCAACGTATGCACGTACCTTGTACGTTTTAAAATCATGATAGAACGAGTGGATCCTAACTTCAAACACTTATCCGCAGCCTCCTACTGCGTGGCTTTTCCAGCGCATAAAAGGCATCACTGTGTTTTTGTGCAATTCCTGCGGCAACATAAATTTGTTGCCTGATTTAGTGAAGACAGGTGCCAGGACCAGCCACTGGTTCTTTATGAATTCCAGTACATCACGCTCCTCCCAACCTTGAAGCATCCCAAATAAGCCAAATTCGCTACCTGACCGATCCTTTCGTCGTTCAATTGGAAACAAGCACTTTCAGTTATTGGTAGTCTTGAGTCGTCGAAGCCTGAATCGATGAATGACCCAATCGTCGTTGATTTGCGTACGAGGACCAGAATCGCAAATGTCTTGATATAACATCTGGCCATGGAATGAGATGAATTTTGTGACGATCTCGTTTTTGGTACTTCTTTGCTGCGAGCTTCCAGAAACACATATTTGAGCTTCCAATTTCTTCTCTTCAGAATTGGTTTTGCGCCTTGGCAAACGTTGAGTCCCTGGACATTTGTGGCGTTCAAGCTCGGTGATGACTGTTCTTCCGCACAAACGCCAGATGGTATCGAAGCGGAGAACCATAGGTGAATCAATGCCTCCGCCGTTTCTGATGGAGCCCGTTGGCTTATTCGTGGTAGTGCTGGCTTGCTGGGAAACGGCCAGCAGCAGCAAGATCATGTTTCGTGCCATCACATCGAATTCTCGATCGTTCACAGTGCCATTTATTCGGCGGCTACTGTCTTCAGGGATGGTTGCAATTGTCTTTACGTCATGGGGTATGTCTCCCGATGCTGTGCGTATTAGCAGTTGATATTCTAGGTGCTCTGATACTGACCAATGAATAGCAGCGTGAGACTGTCTCAATACTCAAGACCCTCGTTCTGGTCCAATTTAAGAATGTCGGAAGCTGGTGTATTTCCCCGCAAGTACTTGCTGCCGCCGAATGAGTTATGCCAATTTTGTAATGCTTCCCTAGTAGCCCATGGTGGACGCGAACTCGCTTTACTCATAGGGGATTTACAGGCTTTTTTGTACTCAAGCCAATGCACCTTTTGGCACTCAGCTCCATAATACTTGTAATTATTAGATGTTTTATCCCAGCTCATAACGGGGGATTATCCTATGACGACCAACCGGTAGTTTCCACATGCTTTAGTCCCTTTCATATCATAAGTTGAAAGTTTTGTATTCTAATGTACGTAAGCGGGTCCGAGAACTAATAACGGCGGGTTTATTATATGGACTAATCGATGCTCCGGAAATTTTACTACATCTTCATCATGTCCGCCAAAGATGCCATTAGCATAGGGATGACGGTGCATGTAGTGTTGTACAGCTTAGAAGTCTCCGGGGTTCTGTAAACATATGGTCTTGAATCTGAGTATGTCGTTAAATAATCGCTTCCATTGGGGTGTGTAATGTATGGATTAATGTACTACAGATTCGAGTTTTCCTTGTCGCCAATTACCCACTCGACCGTTGTCGACTAAGGTTCGGATTGCGTTCCGTGGTCTCCCATTCTGTTGTCTGTGTGGGGTTATGTTCCCCATGAAGCGTTCGATCCAGTACAGCTGGATATTCGGCCGTATATTGCTTGTTCACAGCTGCCATGCCATTCCAATCTTGCACGTCAAGAGAAACAGAACCACCACAAAGGTACAAATCATTGTGATAGGTTCGTAGCGCCGGATCCTGCTCCTCGAGTCCAGGCCATTGCGCAGGAACATTGTAATCTAGCAATGTCGAGTTGAACTCAGAATGAAGCGAAAATGAAGTAGAGTCGTACATATTCCAATTTTCATGCGTGCCAATGTTCGCATTGGGATCAGAACACTGTAAGCTATGAAGTGTATCTGTGAGAGAAATGTTGTCCGTACTTGTAGAGCGGGAAGCCGTTGCTATCTCCTCGCTTCCTGTACTACTTCCAGAAGGCGTCAATCCATGTATTGGAAATCTTCGTGATTGCTGTCTTCCCTTCTCGCTGTCGGCCATGGCTGCTTGTGCTGGTAGCTCATAGCCACCGTTCACACATGGGGACAAGGGACTCGATATATTCTTCAAGTGCAACTGTTCTGGTTTGCTTATTACTTCTGGGGTTGCCTTTGATTGAGTGGGAAATATTTCAATGTTAGCCTCTTCCCTTGTAGCAGTAGCTCGTTGAGCCAAGTTTGCTCGACAACGTTCAATGATCGCGGGTATGCGCGCCTTGATCCGGGTTACGACAGGCTCCAAATATTGCGCGAGTTCTTGGTTGAGCTCCTCTTCCAATGCTTCAGTAAGGGCCCGGGCCAGGTTTGGGGACACGGTATTCCGATCATCTGGCGTTAACGTTAGCCGTGAACTTTGAAGTGTTAGTGTTGTCACCCTGGGAACTGACATGGTGATGGAACGTCTGCCTCAGAATCCGCAGGAAAGAGCATCTTGTACATTATCTTCCACTTCTCCTCCGTACTCCTGGCATTCACGAACGGCGCCTTCTTGAAATCTAACCTCCAGAGTTTCTGAGGCGCTATGCGGTCATCCTGCGGTGCTGGTAATCTTGCACATATATCGTCACGATCCAAGTGATCTTCGAGCTCCTCCTCTGACATCTCAACGTGACATCTCAAACAACGCAATGGATGCATGTGCACACGCTTTAAATGATCTTTGAGCTTCCCCATTCCCGCGAATCCTTCACCTCGGCAGGCCGCTTTGGTGTATCTCTCTGGTTGACGTTGATGGAAAGGGCATTTTAACCTCTGCTGTGGGAAGCGGTCAGATGAGGCTTTCTTCTTGGGTCGATCGTCATTGCCATCGTCTGAGTCGTCGCCCCCTCCATCGCCAGGATCCTTCCCATCTTTTCGAGCTCGCTTGCCGGCCATATTTCTTATGCCGTTCTTAGACGAGGACAACGATGATACCACGGTCGTAGTGCAGGTATTGGGGCCCCCGCTTGAAGCATAAAACTCCCCTGTCGCGTCCCTAACCTCGGGCAGGGCATGATCGAGTAGTCTACTGAGTAGGATACCTTTCACCACTTTCTCTACTAAGTTGAGGGCGTCCTGAGTGTTGACTTCGCAGTAAGAAGAGTATTCAGTCTTGCCTCGCCTGCTCAATAAGCTCTCTTGATTGTCGCTAAACTTCCTTGCGTCGCCATCTCCGACACGAGACCGAGTATCTTCGTCACCAACAGTGGTCAGATTATCCGATTCGCTGCTATCGTTGGCGGTGATAGTTCCTGCCAAAGAAAGCGCTACTTGTCTCTTATGATTGTCGGGCGCATATGGAACGTTCTCTACGACATTTGATAAGTCTACCATACTTGATCCCTCTAATGAGTATGGGAAGGGCTTACTTGCAATAGAAAACTTCTGATCCTGTCCAGCCGTGAGCTGTGGAACCTCGGAAGGCTGGTTTCTGTAGGGGTCTCCAGATTTTGGAGGCGTCAGCAAAGAGGGTGGAGCTGGCCAACATGGATTGGCGTTCTGCTTCACAGGGAATTGCGAGATCACTGTATGATCTATATCATTCTCGGCTAAGCTTTTGACCTGTAGCTGATGGGTTTTCCGTATGTGTCGGCGTAAGTAGTCCATTTGTGTCGCTTCAAAGCCACAGCCGACTACTGAGCAAGAGAATTTCTGCTGTCCTGCACAACGAATTGATGCTTGATGGCGAACAAGGTCTCTTCGAAGCGCAAATCTCCTATGGCATCGACTGCATTGGAAGGGCTTCAAGTGTGTCTGCATGTGTTCACTTTGATTTATCAGTAACGGCAGCTTTTTCCAGGTGATACTTACTCGTAACGTCTTCGGTCGCAAAACATCTTCGAACAAGACTGACATTGGAAGACGTCAGTACCCATAACATCGTGAGACGCAATAGCAGGTTCATATTCAGCTGGATTTTGTTGGCTCAGTGTGCACGGTGCGCGAGGCATCAAGGGCATAGTTACCATCTTCCTCTATGGCGTATTCGTCCTCGCTCTTTGAGAGGTTACCCTTATTGTGGAAACTAAGAGCTAATCGTTGCTCTTCTGGAACATCGGAGGCTGTGTCGAAGTCGATCTTAGAATCTGTGTATTTGGGAAGCTTCAAAAGCTTTCCTCTCGTATGTCCAGACTCGTGTTCTTCAGGGTTCTCGAGTAGAGCGCCAATGCCACGCTGATTGTACTTCTCTGTGACTGAGCACTTGGTCTTCTCTAACTTGCCACCGATGAACTTGCTGAAAGAAGACGACTGTTTCTCTTTGTCAGGTGATGTAGACGTTTGTTGGCGGCCTTTGTGGAGGTCGGTTTGTTCCACGTGCATGCTTAGAGGAGGATCTCCCTCTTGCGTAGATGTTTGCACCACAGCTGCGCTCGCATGCGAGAGCTGATATGCGAGAGCTGCTCGAGCAGTTTGCTGGTCGTTCTTGCCCAGCTCGATCGACTCATTTCTTCTTTGAAGGCCTCGAAGGCCTAGTTCCGGCGATCGTCTTCGCAGGTTGGGTATGGGTGCTGGAAGTGCCGAACGGCTACGTTCAAAGAGTGGTCGACTAGGAAGTTCACGATTGTACTTAGACCCACACTGATCCATCTCAATGCTGTCATACGAGTCTTTGGAGGAGATTGGATGGCAATCTGGATTAGAGGATTGCCTAGCTAGTCGTGCCTCCCCGATCAGAGAGTTGGTGGACTTGAGATTGGAGAGGGAATCTGCTGCAACGAATTGCAATTCTCCTGCTGCCTCCAATCTGGATAGGCGCAGTTTCTCGAGGATCTTCTCTGTCACGGTACGCTCTGTGGAGAGGGCACGAGAGCTTCCGCGAGAACGCCTTCGTTCTTCCTGTGCCTTCCCATCCTCCTCAGCCTCGCGCCTCGCTTCTCGCTGTCGACGATCGTTCATGATCATTGTGGGTGTCGAGATGTTGGGGCGTTCCAACTGGATGACAGGTACAAGGTCTTTCATGATAACGGATTTCAATTTCCCTGCCGTAATTGATTTCGTTGATCGGACATTGTTCAGAGTCTTCTCTATCTCTATATTGGGAAGACGAGATCTTCCGCGAGAACGAAGTCGGCGCGTGTGTTGGAATAGAACCTCGGTCTCGTGGGGCTCCATTTCGCGCACAATGATGATGTAGTTGGGGTCGGCTCTGTCGACCTCATATGGAATATCGTAATATAGCAGAGTGTCAATAGCAAGATGCTCCTTGCTCACCTTGACGTACGTTGGAAAGCGTAACGGATTCGCAGCCGGTATATATGTTGGGAATTTTGCGTTTTCTGCTCGCGTGAAGCTCTTCGTCACGGACACAGTACGCTCGCTATCGTCATGACGTTCGTTCGCGGGGTGAGCGGCTGGCCGCTCAGCCGTTCCTTCTCGTTCAACATACATCGCGGATCGTGGTGGCCATGGCTCTTGATCGTAGCGCTCTCGCACCTCGAGAATTATGGGGGATGTGGCGGAAGGCCTGTAGAAGAGCAGAGCGGGACCACAGCATTTTGCAGAGGAGGGAGCAGCATAGGGCGTTTTGCCTGCACAAGGCTGAGCTGCACACGAATACTCAACAGCACAAATGTGCGGTGGTGTGGCGGTGCTGCGTTGCATCTCGCATACATCCGCCCTGGTCTTCGCGAATCGGTAAATCGTAGACTTATTCACTATGCCAGTTACGATGCCGGCGTGGACGGTTGTTCCCCGTTAAAGACAGGTCAGTAAACAAGCGTATGTTGCAACTTCCGCAGTTTAGATTTAAGTGGAGCGTACGCAAGGTTCGATCGCACGCGCCGTACCCTTGCACAATGTAGGCCATTCAGCATCTTATCCTCTGGCGATCTAACCGGTAGTAGACGCCAGCCCCCAAATCAAGCTGTTGCGCATGCGCTTTGTTGTTGGAGAAGAAGTGTCGTCGTCAGGTCAGGGTGTTATCGAAGGCCTGTTGTTGTCGGAGGCACCTTTGCTGGACGGGAAGCACAATTGTGCGATTCAAAGTTATTCTAGAATCGCAAACTCTTGATTGCGCAAATGTAGAGATATGTAAATGTGAGGATTTCCTCACCCACACATGAGTATAAATTCGGGGATGGCAGCCACCAAGATGGACACGCAGAAAATTCCTAGGGAGAAAGTCGATACTTATCATCGAGTGCACATGTGACAGAAAGCCGCCGAGAACATACCAGCAAGTTGCACTTGGCCTCCAGGGACCCCACCAGCAGAAACCTACTTTTGACCGACATCAATTTGGAGGTGAATATACAGCCTTGCAACTTGAAGGCGACATGATGTCTCCCGAGGGACCGCAGCCAAGAGATGGGGGTAGAAAACCATGATACTTTCGTACATGTACTCAATGCAACACGAAACGATCGGTACGCTCTCTTCCTTCTGGGAGCTTTGTATTCCTGTACGCTGATTCTACGCCTGATAGATCTACCATCTTCGATGCTCTTCACCAAGCGTCATTTCGATACGCCGATCGTCAAGTCTACATTTCGCAATTAGATCAATGTGGACCCGGACTCCGCTCAGAATCGTGAGCAAAGCCTTGGGACCTTCGAAAAGGAAAATGAAATCCTGTTCGAGAAGCTGTTAGGCGATAAATGGGGAGTTTGATGAGCACGTCGTAGTTGGGAATTCAGGAGGCTATTCAAGAGCCTTATGCAGAGGAGAAGAAAGTAGAAAAAAACTAGACGCTACTATCGTAAGATTAGAAATCGCATGTATGCTATCGAGTACGGGGCTACCTGGCTGCCAATAATGGCCTACTATATGTCCATGCCAATTTTTTTGGGTCGACTGACTGCTTCCACTGGTGGGCGGCAGTGATGAACAATAAGCCTGCTGCGTTAACACGATCTGGTTGCTCTCAGTATGTGATCTTGTATATCAACCACGTATCCTTGCCTCTCCTGACTGCTGCGCATTCTGCCAAGTCGAGCACCTCAGCGCAGTATAGAAGAATAGTAGCATACAGACACCATGTTCGAGATATCACTTTTCTTTGATGGACTTGGCGACTTACTCCTCACCGCTCATCCCTCACCCCCTTTGCGTCCTCCACCACCACCCTCGCAACCCTCTTCAATACCCCCTTCCAGTCCGCCTCCCTGTACCACTCCCACCTCTCCAGCCCCTCCCCCGCCTCAATACTCAGGGTCTCGTAGCCCTGCTTAATAGCACTGCTCACCTCCTTGGGACTTAAATTCTTCCTCCTCAGTCCACCCTTTTCCTTCCCTTCCAACAAGCTGTGATAATGCGCCGACACATTCACAAGCGTTTGCATCGATGTCGCAGACTTGAGGTCGAAAGCGTCCCGGAATTTGGTCAGGATGTCGCCCGTCTCAACAAGCTTGTAAAAGAGGTCGTCGTAGGCGGTGGGGTCGGGGAGGAAGTTTTCGCCGCTGGAAAGGGCGAAGGCGAGGAGGTTGGTGAGGAGGGAGACCATTTCAGTGGAACGGTGCAAGGACCGGACGTCGGAGACGTAGGTGGTGAGGAAGCGGAAGAACGAAAGGAGGGAGCGCCAGAGCTCGGACCAGTGGTAGGATATGCGGACTTTGGCTCTGCTGAGGTAGGTGAGGAGGCGGAGGAGGATGCCAAGGGAGAGGCTGGTGGGATGTAAGTTAGGTTTGTGCTGAGAGGGAATGGAGGGCTTACGTGTAGAAATTGACGTCTAGTTTTCGTCGGAGATTGTGGTTGATGCCGTCTATGATGAGGTCTATTATGATGGATGCTGCTGTCCGATCGCCCCGTACGAGAGGTAGATAGGGTTGCCGCTGTCGGCAGAGTCGGACCGAAAGCTTGCTTTCGTCACTGCACAAGCGCTTCACCAGCGACTGGTCCTCGACAAGTATCTGCAGGATGAAAAGGCTAAGATAGGTGTATAACGCTGCTCGTTGGGAGCGATGTGCATGCTGGAACAGATAAGAGGTGAGCGAGAGAAAAGCACTCATAGGCGAAGTGTCGCCTTTGTTCTGCGGGTCTGTGGACACAAGGTTGAAGCAAAAGACCTTGTTGGCATTGGCGAAATCGTACGTTGACAAGAGTACGCCGATTTCAGGCCCAGGGCTGAGAAAGCAGTGAGCGAGCATGTTTCATTGTGTGCGAATTCTACATACAGTGTTGCAAATAAGGACTTGCTCTCCTCAGCTGTTGGGGTCGGCGTTGACGGCCGTGATGCGGGCGCCAGCAACCCCAGTCCAAAGTAATTCAATGTCGAGCCTAATGACCAGCCCTCGGGCATGTCGTCTTGCACAGCAACATAGGCGTCTCTTAATTCGACGCATGTCTCTCCAAAGGTTGTAATGATCTTTTGTATTATGGCGTCGTTTACGAAGTCGTCGAGCCGTAGCCTATACGGGTTCTGGAATTCGAATTTGTTGTAGTTGACGAGCAGGCCTAGCAAGTAGAAGGCTGGCAGCACTTGCGTACTGTTCTCGCAGTCCTGGATGTACTTCATGAGCGACGGGAAGAGGTCTCGATGTGTAAAGTACGAGGGAAGCACCGTAAGAAAGCCGGCGGCGGTAATGGAGAGCGTCGTTCGTACGGCCTTCAATCGCAAAGGGACTGCCTGCATCAGCATCACGTCGTGGTAAGTCCTCGACCAAACGTACTATTCCTCCCATTCCGTATGACCATATCCAGCGCGCCCACAAACTCCGCCATAACCACGTCCGCATCGTGTAGACCTGCCAGCACCGAGATGATATCCGAGCTTGGGTTGGTGTACTTCTTGCTCAGGGCAGCGTCTAGGAACACCGTCAAGGTCTGGCCTGTAAGCCAGCGCATACACCGTAGGCAATCGATCTCATACCTCGAGCGCGATCTCATCTGAAGGTGCGGAGCCCGCCTTTATCCGTGCGATGGCGCGTCGAAAGAGCTCCTGCGAATGCTCCTGCATATGTAGCATCTCGTCGGGCGAGATCCCGCCCAAGACGCGCTTGAATCCCGCATGGTCTGGTCTGTGGAGGAAGAACTCTTCCCAGAAGCCTTCGGAAAGCTCGACGTCCTCGTCTTCTTCCTGTCTTAGCTTTCAGTACAGCTCGCGAGCATCAGTGGAGAGGATGCGCACGCGAAAAAGAGTTTCGTAGAGGTGGATGATTTTGGGTTGGAAGGACTGCTGTGAGACCTGCGTGAGTGGCGACGGCTCCATTGTGAATTTGTGGAGGGCGACCGTTCGTAATCGTAGGTGTGCGACGGAGCGCTGGAGCTGCGCTGTTGTGTTGTCGGCCGTTGGTGTTGTGACATATGCGCCAAAATAAGTGGCGGCTAGGGCCAGATCGCGACCAGGGCAGCCATGACATAACAACCACTTTCATTCATAGGCCCGATTCAGCAATACTACTGGTCCATATCAATGAAAGCGTGGTAGCACAGTTTCGCATTGGCTCTGTTCACAGCTGTCGGTTGGAGCGGGAAGAACGACAGCATATTATTATCAAATAGCGGGGCATCTTGAGCACTCAGAACCTTTTGTCGAACTTCAAGAAAGCCTCAATCTAGAGTTTGGTACGCACGAGGACTAACGACGGTTCACCATGACCGAACCCATCCTCCTCCTTGGGATATCCGGCCCCTCCTCCTCAGGCAAAACGACTCTCTCCCGCCTCCTGCGCGATGTATTTCCACCCGACCAACTCACCATCCTGCACCTAGACGATTTCTACTTGACCGACGCCGAGATTCCCTTCCAAAACGGTATTCAGGACTGGGACTGCATAGAATCGCTCAACCTTCCCCACTTACAACAGACCCTCGCCTACATCAAAGAGCACGGCAACTCACCACCGGATTTCGTGTCCAAGGAAGACCGGAATAGCGTTGGCGAGCACGGTGTCAGTCAAGACTCGGTGGAGAAGGCGAGGCAGAGGATACGCAAGGTGATGGAGGAGATGGGCTGGAAGAGGAGGATTTGCGTCGTGGATGGGTTTTTGCTGTTTAGTGAGGAGATGAAGGAGGTGAGGGAGCTATTTGATGTGAAGATGTTTATGAGGACGAGCTATGCGACTGCAAAGAGGAGGAGGGAGGCGAGAAGTGGATATGTGACGCTGGAGGGGTTTTGGGAAGATCCGCCGGGGTATGTGGATAAGGTTGTATGGCCGAACTATGTGCATGATCACAAGTTCTTGTTCGTTGACGAGGATGTAGAAGGCGAATTGCATGAAGCAGTGTGTAGGAGAGTCGGCGTTGAGGTGATGCCACGGGATGCCGAAGAGAACATGGAGAAATGCTTAGAGTGGGCAGTGGGCGTACTGGAGAAAGTCATTAGAGGCGCGCCGGACGAGAGTCTCAAGTTATGATGTTGTTTAAGGAGATGTGCAAAATGCATAGTGTTGGGAAAATAGGATACTTCGAATTCTGTTCTGCAATCCAGCCGCAATTGCTTCGCAGCTTGTAATATCATGAACTTCTCGAGCTAAACAAACCGAACCTTGACCGCCGAGACGCCTTGAACCCAAGGAATAATGATACAAGGTGTTCCACGAAGTTGGGGAAACCTATAGCAGCACATGAGCGGTAGGTCGCACGGGCTAGAGAGTCATTGGGATATTCTCTAGGCCTCAAAGGAAAGAGCAATGAAATGTCCCGATGAGCCGAGACGCAGGAGCAAGGTCTAGGTACTAGTCTTGACCTTTTCGATGTAGGCCGATCCAGGGCTTTCATAGACTGATTGGAAGAAGTTGGTAACCTGTGGCTCCTTCTGAAGCCAATGCGTCATGGCTCCGAGTTCCTCTCGCAGTCTGTTCACAGCCTGGACGTCCATGTTGGTTTGCGCAATGAGTTCTGGCATCGAAACTTAGTCCCGTTAGTATCGGAGTGTTTAAGGTGGACGAGGTGCAGAATTGCGGCTTACCGAACAGACGAAGCAGATGCTCGCCGCCGTAGATGTCCGCTACCTGCTTCCCAGCTAGGTCGCCAGTGGGGAGGCTGATGGCCGAGTAGATGTCGAAGAATTGCTCCCGCTCGAACCGATAGAGAAGAAGGCGGCCAAGTGCCTTGTTGAAGTACTCCTTCAGGCCGTGCACAACCTCCTGGAGGATTTCGGACTCGGCGTTGCTGCGCATACCTGGTGCTGTCGCATAGGCGAAATACTCGTCGAGAATGACGCCAGCAGGATACTTTGCAGGTAGCGACACGAGCTGCAGTGACTTCGTCACGTTTTCCCAGTCGTCGACCAGGATGCTCTTCAGCCTGTCAGGCATGAGGATCCTGACGGCGCGACGGGAGGTGAAGGCCTCCTCCTCCAAGAGGTCAGCCAATGTCACATGGTCTAATTAAGGCCACATCATAGTTTTCTGGCACGTAAGATCGAACACTCACCTTTTCAAGATCTTGATCTCGCATCCTCTTCTGGCCTCGAGGTGGGGCAGCTTGAACTGGTGTCTGGCGCTCTTCGCTTCCGCGCGTTGAAGTCTGCGTCTTCTTTTTCACAGGCTGAGCTTGAGCTCTCTGGGCACGTTGTTGCTCGAGCACCGCGTGTCGAAGCGAGTTGGCCAACTCCCGATTCTCTTGAGTAAGTTTGCGGAGCCGGTCCTCCTCCACCCAGTCGTCCCAGCTGCGGAAGGTTAATTGAGTCAGCTTTTGATCGAGAGCAAGTTCGTGATGAGAGATGAAGACAAAGGTGACGAGTGTTGGGTGGATATTAGGTGCGCACTGCTGCTGCAGTGGTCGCAAGATCGAGGCAGGTGTGAGGGGCAAACGAGACGCGGGCAGAGAGTCCACACAGGTCCGGCAGAAGTAGTCTCAGAGAGGTAAAGGTGACTTACGTGTTCTTCCATCCCTTGTAGTGGACTTTATACTGGTAGCCATTCTTCTTTTCAGCCTCCTCTTTCGACGATACCTCAATGATCTTAGCCTCGTACATCAGTTCATGATGAAAACAGAGAGCCTTCTCGTCCTTCTTGAATTGTGCCTCTACTGCAGGTGCTGGGGCCATGACTGCGGAGAATTGTTGTTATTGAGAAAAGTACAAGTGAAGGGAAGTCGAGGCAATCAAGTCGAGTCTAGGGGGCCGTTGGTCCTCGCTACCACGTAACACGTATTTGCCTGCCAAATGGATGCGTAACCACTTGTTCAGACGTGTCAGTCAGTCTGTATAGACTTAGGAAGCCGATTTTCGGGGATGGACCTGGCCAACGATAGTCAAAAACGTGATGGTGGTGGTAACAAAGGCGTTTTGAGTGCTCTAGTCTTTGAGCACGGACCTTTTCGCGACGCGACTGCAGGCATTCATCAGCCCTAGGCTCATCTCTCCCCCACCGAAGAAGGCGTCACCAATGTGTACACTTTGTGGGAGCTTCATGGCTCGCATATCCTCCCACTTGACATAGATCAGTCCCAAAGGACCTTACGAAATGCCGTCCACAGAGGCCAAATTACTCTCCGACTTCCTCGTCGCGCCCGCGTCGTTGCGCGACTTCATGACACTGCGCCAGTTCACCGACATCTTCCCCAAAGGCCACCGCTCAAACCCCGCCGTCAAAGAACTATATCACGAGCTGTATACGCTTCGAGAACGAGACATTGAAGCCGTGCGACAGGACATCGCGCTAGAAGTCAAACGATCAAAGCAATTGAGGCGCGAGTACGCCCGGGAGCGTCGTCAGGTCGACGAGGCCAATGTAGCCGGACTGGACTCCATTGCGCTTCAGATGGAAGGAGAGGTGTGTTAGGTCTTCAGCATTTATATCGTTCTCTGACATTGGCTAGTTCTCTGGTGCCCACGGTAGGAAACCGCACACGCTCCAGACCGTTCACGCCAGTATTGAAAAAGCCTGCGCAAGTCTCGAATCACAGATTGCCCGAATCGAGCTGGAGAATCATGCTGCCTTGGTTGAGGTCCAGGACACTATCAGCGCGCTTAGTGACCTACGAAAAGGGACCTTCCCGCAGACGGCGGGTGGAGAAGACATCGGCGAGGAAGTGCTCGCTACGCTGAAGAGGCTTGAGGCTGTGTGTGCAAGATCAGCAGGATGAGGGGTCGCCGATGGTTCCAATATACACTCTTGTGCAGATTAGGCGCCTTGGGGCCTGCTTGAAAGTATTCACGAGCGACCTGGGGCGCATGGCTAAGGTCCCACAGCAGTCGCCTACAAAAGCAGCTACATGGTCCGTTATCTCCTGAGTAAGGAGGCCTCAAGAAGTCCCATCCTGTGTACCGCGAGCGAAGGTTCATTCGAAGCTTCAACGGGCCTGGCTCGCACCAACCTTCTCCACAAGCTTGGGTGGATGTCAGTCAAAAACATCACGAGCAGCAACATCCGAATCACGTTTCGAATTATTCCAGAATCCGGATGGAATCCAGCAAGGAGCCGGCTCTATCCAGCCCTTATAGTAATTTTGTGAACAAGTCGGGGTGCATTCTATGTCGAATGAGTACATTACATAGCAAAGCTGAGTCGTGTTTCGGTTCCAAACGGGTTATACAGCAACTGTTCCGCCAATGAGAATCATCCGGTCCGCACCAACCGCGATTCTAGCTAGCATCTCTTGGCGAACCGTGAATCTTCATCCCATTGAAACGTTTCAAATGTATCTGCCACAAGAGATCACAATTGTTTCTCTATTTCATCGCATGGAGTTACCTACTCGGAGGCCACCGTACCGTTCCGCTTTTTACGTCAACCTCGATCATCATCCTGAACCTCTCATCGACGGCTATTGGCCAATGGCGGTATCCAATTAATCTATATGAACAGCCTCAATCTACGATGCATAGCGATCAGACCTTAACGCCTGCCAGGAACATGTGGCTATAGGGTACCATCTATACGTGGCCAGAAGAGATCGGCATACGTTATAACAACATGGCTTTCTGGAAGATGTGTGGAAGGCATCCGTCGTCTTCGCACTTCAGATCGGCATAATGTACCTCACAAAGTTTATAGGGTCGCTGGTTCCGATTGCTGCGCTGATGAATGTCGCGCTTGCTGACCTGAGAGTTACGGCGGACAACCATTCTTTCGGTGGCGTAAATTTCCCACAGCTTCAATTTTTGGAACCCACGTATCGCGAAGAGGTCATTCGAGCCATCGTTAAGACCAATGCCAGGGTGATTCGTCTTTTCAGTAAGCTATCGCACTACGTTCCCTTCTAAGTAATGGGCTGATTGTATTCAGTCCGAGGAGACGAGCATCATGCAGATGTTAGTAGAGCCTTTGAAATTATTATGCTTTGCGTACTAAATGCATTCAGCCTGAACCGGAAGTAGGCGAGTTTGATCGAGCTCTGCTGAATCAATTTGATGATACTTTAGCTGCCATTCATCGTATCTCTTACGGTTGGTCCAGATATTCTAGCTCTGATGTTCCTGCTCACGTGGCCAAGGCAAAATCAAGGTCATCATCGCACCGCATGATGCACATGCTCTTCGAGGTTCCAATAATGTGCCATGCGATGGCTATTGCAAGCAGCTCAACGGTGCTTTTTTAGACTTTTACAGCCAGGAAGAATGTACGCCAATTTATTGCCGATCAGGAGTCTCACTGCTGACCTCTTACAGACCGAACGTACTACAAAACTCGCTTGGAAGTTTTTTTTAGGCATTATGCGTCCAAGAACTTTGGCGGCAGACCGTGGAGCGAGTTGAGCGAAGTTATCCTGGTACGTCAACTAGATCACGACTATTGAACGGTTCGTAAGCTAAACTCAGATATAGGGAGTTGACGTTCAGAACGAGCCCTGGTCTGGTATTTGGCCTATTCCTGCCGGAGAATCGTGGCTTTGCGTGATTGCTACGCATCTCAGAGATGGTTTAGGTCTCGGTGAAAACAACATCGCTGTCATAACGGGCGGCATTTCTGGACCACAAACGGTAGATGGCATTCAAAATTTTCCCGATTCTGCCTGGAACTGCCCGGCTGTCGATGTGATCGGTATCCATGGTTACTTTGGGCAAGGCGAAGAAGGAACTGCAGGCACTCCTTGGGCGAAGCTATTCCTTCCTGGCGATACCCTCACTGGTCGCGCTATCGATAACAAATTGCTCCTTGTTGAGGAGTGGTCGTATCAGAACACCAATCTCGGCCTCAATTACAAGAAGCAGGCCATCTTTGATCAAGGAAACGCTCTCAATTACCGCGGCATTCCCTGGGTAAGCTTCAAAGCCACAAAATCTTGACTATACGAGTTCTGATCAAGGACAGATATACTCACATCTCACGTTCAAAGACGAAGGCACCACGCCCAAAGTCAGCATCTTGAGGGATTCCAACTCTGCCATTGGTGCACTGAGCGACGTTCTCAGCCGTGCCTTCAGATCACGTTCCAACTTCAACTGGTCAAAATACCTAGCAGCGCCGTCCGGAGGCCTTTCCAACCTGACTACACTCCCTCTAAACACATACATCCCCGAGCAAAGCTCCTGCACTTTCGGCTGTGAAGGCCACTTGTGCGACGCCGCGGATGGCTGTCGCCCCGATTTCCTCTGCAAGAACAGCATCTGTCAACGGCCCTCTGAATCGCAACCAGGTAAAGTAGGAGACGCCTGCAACAGCAAGAAACCTTGCCTAGAACATCTAAAATGCGCAGCTGGATCCTGCCAACCATGCAAAGAACGAGCAACAATACAACCCTGGGATCGGCGGAAAGATAGCACATACAACTCGCACAATCCCTTTCGTCGAGACCCTATAGCAGCCAACTCTATCGACTCCCAATGCCACCCCGACACTGCAAACGCTTTCCTCAATCCACCCCGACCTCTTTGCGCTCTGCCCTCCTCTCATAGCCCCCGAGGGAATCCTTGTACCAATGCACAAAACTGCGACGCAGATCAGTACTGCGACTGGGGCCTTTGCAAGCTCTGCACCGAAGGCTGCCTCGGCATGAAATGCCGCAGCAACAACAAATGCAAGACTGGCTTCTGTAACATGCACGGGCGCTGCGATTATTCTGGAAAACCGAAAATGTCAGGGGACCGGGTGGGCAGGGAGAGGGACGACGAGGGACAGGAAGGGACCGGGGTACAATTTGAATGCGCCAAGGGGGAAGGGAGGGGGCCGAACAAGGTTAGGGACGAGGCGATGAGGATAAATATTCCTAAAGAGGAGGTTCTTGCCACGGGTGCGGCTGTAGCGACGCCGTAAGAGTGAGGGTGGACTGAGCGAGATACATGGGTTGGGCAACTGAACCACCACTTCTCTTTGGGTCTTTTGGAATACCAGTAATCGATCATAGCCGTTGCTTGGATAGCGCAACACAATCATTGAAAATAGCGCACCGAGATGTAACTACTTTCTTTCCCATTCAGGATAATACAATCCGCGGGAGGCACAGCTGCCTTGTCATGTACCGGGCCTCCACACGTTTCTATCGTTACCGTGCTTGCCGTCTGTAATACTGTGATGGAGTAACCCTCATCTATAGCCCTCACCCAGCAAGCGTGTACCCGCCATATCAGGCGCACGTTCAACCGCGCGCTGGCCATCACAATCTTACAGTTTCGGTTGTCGCAGCCCCTTCCGTAGCTCATCGAGTTTTCCTAACCCTCCGCTCACTTCTCCACCGCGGCCTCGCTATAGATGAAACCTTTCGCATCACTCAACGCTGAGAGCTATGGCATATTTTCCATCCTTCCTCGCCCTCAATTGCTTCTCCCTTGTCGTCGTTTCTACCTTCGCCTGCAAATGCGTCGGCGCCAACCCGAACGAGGCCAATGACAATCTTACAAGTTTCTGCTGTCACCTTATCACGAAAGATGAACTGCTCAAATATATAAGTAGCGCGGCTGAGTGTGTAGTGTCGGACCAAGAGAACATCTTCGAGGCCTGTTGCAAGTGGAATCCTAGGGCTGGGGCGGTGGGAATCATGCGGTCTGATTGTTAGAGGGTTGCAGTTGCGTGAGGATGGGCGAGGTAGAAGACTGAGGCAAGTAAGGGAAAGTACGATCAAGAGGCGCATTGTCGCGAGAAGCACAGAAACGCTTACAACCGGGAAAGGCCAGCCCTTTGCGGAAAGTGCTAATAATGTTCAGTGTGGCTTATGGAGTCTAGAGAAAAAAGAAGCCGCATATATGGCACATTCATCCAATAGGGACTTTCCTGCTAACACATCGCCATCATTAAATACTTGCAAATTGCTTGTCCTGCATTTGAGACAACTCAGGTAGCTAGTGTGAGTAGCTTTGCGACGCCACTACGAAATGAGCTATATGAGAGGACTGGCCAGCAATATCCACAAAAGTCAATATTACCTACCAGTCAGCGGTGGGACGAACACGTTGGCCGACCAATGCCAGATCATGAGTATCAATGTGTTAAGGTAACCCATGTTCGCTCACAGTACACCATATACGTCAAGTGTACCGTGGTCACGCTGTCCATGAGAACGTACTATTTTCATCAGCGAAGGCTCGCTTTGCTTCTTCGCTCGCACACTCCCTACACTCTAAAGAGTTCACATCGTCACGGTTCACCCATATGTATGCGGATAGAATCTTCTTCTTTGCCTTCCTGGTGGGTACGCTGGGTTCTGCCGTGTCGGATGCACGAGCAGACTTATTACCAGAGTCATTGGTCATATTCAATCACACGCTGGGTATCTTCAACCTTACCTTGAAAAAGTTCAGGGGGTGGCGCAAGCCTCATCGACCCACTACTCATATCCAACCCGGGTGGTGACTGGCCCAAAGGTACCTGCGGTCCCAACGATGCCTACGGGGCTCTTGACGGCGTCAGGGAGTGCGCTGCTAAACTGAACACCATATCAGCCTCCGAGTCTTGCAACAGCGTGGATCATCTCGACGGTCCAGGCAGATTGCACTGCGCAGCGTGGCGGGATGGTGGAGGTATAACAGCTGCAATACATAGCTGGAGCCGTACCAACGTTTCTCAGATCAATACGTGGTGAGTATATATCTACGTCGGTCACATGCTTATATCAGTGCACTGATATTGGAATGGTAGCGGAGAAGTGGCACAAGCCGTCATTTGGGTCCTTGATAATTGCAGTCGAAACGAAAAACAGGACACGGCTGGTAAGTACGGAAGATCTTCATATACAAGGAGGCTAATCTTTAGCAGGGTGGCAGACGGTGCCTGGCAATGAGAATCACGTTGTCGGAGTGACAAACTGGCGTTAGGCGTCAGCGACTGTATGCGAGTACCGAGAACCTTATCGCCTCTTATCCGGGCTTATATGCGCGATACTTGTGTGTCATGGAAATCGGGGGGCATTTGAACCAGTATTGGTAAATTTCTAGATTGCGTTGAAAGCTATCATAGGTATTGCTTGCGTTGAGTGCTGGTATACTGTAGACATATCATCCAAAGTGAATTACAAACACAGTAGAATTGAGACGCAGACAAGCTTAAAAACTCAACAACCTACGCAAAGCCAAGCTTCTCATTGGCGAGTTGTCGAACCTCTCTCTGAACATCAGCCAATGCATCCTCCTTCACATCAAACGGCTTCAAGCCTATCGCTCTCAGACCTGCGTCGCTCAAGATGTTCACGCGTCTAGCCGCATGATCATCATGCTCCTGCTCGTGCCCATTGAATGACTGTGATCTAGCAAAGTCACGAGGAACATCGCAATTACTAAACGCATCACGTACGTGGACTAGACTATCGATGTTGTAAGACGTCAGAGGAACGCAAGGATGATACACAGCGATTAAATTCCTTAGGCCCGGGTGGTGGGACTTGTCAACTTCGTGGACGAGATCGTAATGCCAGAACGCGTAATCTTCTGGTCGGACCGGCGGTATCCCCACAACCGACTTCTCCATGAATAAATGTGGATGGAGGTCAGTAGTAGGTTTAGATTGAGTCAGTCCAGACGTAGCTCCAGGAAACGTCGATTGGCTATCGTCGAACACATCGTTCACAAATACCGAGCGCAGCATAATGTATGCGACAGATGCTTTGAGGCTCGGAAGCAAGCGCAATGTGCCCTCCCTGGTATTGCAATGTGACAGCAAGATGCAAGCCTACAATCGAGCGCCAGCACGAGCAGGGACTGCCTTTGGGGTACAAGTCACTTAAGGATCAATGCGCTTGTCAGCGACCCAACCATCCCATGCCTGCTGATTTCCTTCAAAGATGGCGGCATAGTTGGACCGATTGGCTTCGTCCTCCCAACGCTCGATCGCACCGCTGTCTAAGTGAGTTGATAGGACATACTTAGCTGCCTTCCGAAGGTAGCGGGATGCGGAGTTGATCGGAGTAGGCAATTTGGCTTGCCAAGTCGATGGGTATTGAAGGACATGTTACCGTCCACAGCTGGCTCATGCATTTCATAGCTTCCATGACTCTGGGGTGGCTGCGGATTTGCACTTGCGGAGGCGTCCAGTACAGACTCCAGAACTTTGGAGTGCCACTAATCTTGTGGCGGTTTGTGTAGTCGGCTAATTTTTCCTCCCATTGTGTAGCTTGCTCTTCTGTTACGACGTTGCGTAGAACGACACAGCCAGAACTCCTGTTATCCCGAATAGATTGAGCTAGAGTATGTTCAAGTTCTAACCACACATGCCTGAATTTTCAGGCTCATCTGCTAAGAACAAGCCGCCAAACCAAAAACCTCCCATCCACAGTAGACCCCAGGCAGGCTGCGCGAGACTTCTCAAAACCGCGGGTCCGGGACAAGTACCTGAGAGTCCCCAGCCAATACCAAAAGCCGCTGCTCCTAGGACCAACTTCCAGTCGGTATCAGCGATGGTCTTGTTTCCCAACTCATACTTTTTGGTAAATCGTGGCGGGTTGTTGAAGCCTTTTGAGAGGTTCTCAAATAGACTCGGAAGGATACCAAAAGCTATAACGAGCATCATGGAAGGGTCCCACACCTCAAGCCGAGGAAAAGATAGGAAGGCCGCTACCTTTGCAGGATTTGACATTTGTGTTATGTGTAGTCCAAGACCGAATTCTAGGCCCGCGAGGAGTTCGGTTGCATGGCGCGCTAAGGAGGTATCGTCGCTTTTGTCCTCCGCCTTCTTTGCGTCCTCGCTCAGTCTCGCGACAATTCGAGGGATCAACCGACCAGCCGCGATGGTAATGGCAGCGAGCGTAACTAGCAAAGTCGTGGTGACCTGTGTGGGATATGTCGCCGTGTAGCAAGGGCGGTCGCCCGTGCAGACTGTGGTCATGAGGGTTGGATGCACGAGGTGGTGCGTTACAATAGCCAGCGGGAAGAATGTTGCTACAGCAAGTGCCGAGCGAGCGTTCAGTCTCGAGAGTCCGCAAAGCATATGACCAGAAGTACATCCGTGTGCCGCCTATACCAGTCAGTATGTCTTCTTCCGCATGCGCAGCTCTTGAATACTAACCTTTGTTCCCCATCCGACGAGCAAGCCCATCGCAACAGTTACCAGAGCTTGTCCTGACGTCGATGGTGGAGGAGGATATTTGGTGAGCAGCTCAGGGAGAACGACACGTAGCAGTGGGAAACTTGCGACCATGCCAGCGAAGAAAGCTGCGACTCCAACCGTAGGCCTCGATGCCAGCCTTCGCATGTACTCGGATGCTCCCAGAATGGTGCCATTGTTGTAGAGGAGTATGCTGGTAGCCTGGTGGAGCAAGATGGCTCCTATGCTCGTTTCGACGGGTGTGAACATGGCGTCAGCTCAATCCCGAGGTCTCAAAGACACGATGGGAAGCACATGCTCAGTTCGTTATTGCAGTCTTTCTTTGGCAAGTCACTGTAGGTGAAGTGTGTGGAAAGACGATACGATGCAGAGACATTGTGGAAAGCGCCATGACAACCAAGTCGTTGACAAGTCCGGGCCTACAGGTTCCTGCTCGCCGAACAGACGCAAAACCCTATGCGTTAGCCGGGGTAGGCCTATGGAGCTCACGGAGCTTGAGCTGAACTTGTGGCGTCCGAGATCTCCACCATTGGAGCCCTAATGAATATACCCCAATCCAGGCTAGCACGAACGTGGTCCCCACGCGATAGCTTCCCGAGACCCTGGCGGCTGGCTTCTGCGAATGTTTTTGCATGCTTTTTTTGCGCCTGACATCTGCGGTTATCGTCGAAAAGCGCGTCTAGAGAGAACGCGACAGCTTGTGTATGCGTGCATATTGTGCTATTTGCGAGTGATTCGTGTTTCAGAGCGGTGTGGGACACGCTACAGAATCGCGTGTCTTCGCCGTCTTGTTGTCGCAAAGTTCGCCGACATGCACTGCTCAGGATTACAGCAGGATCATCTCGGACGTAATGCGACTCGGCTTTGTCCACACGGTCTGCATGAGTCTTGCTCATAGGTAGCATTGCGATTGCGGCTTAGTCTCGTACACGCCGAAGCCATATGCACTTTCGCAGGAACCGGTCAATGATGTTCAAATCCAACATGAAGACAATCGAATTCAATTCATCGCTTAACACAGATCACATTTAGCCTTTCTGGAACATTGCCCTGCGCGCGCAATAACAACGAACGGGCAGTCGTTACCTGTTGCAGCTAGGTAACTCGGTTTCGGTTGCTCGCGTTCATTGTGGTCGCCGACTTCGAGCATCCCGCGGGCCCAACATCAAATCAGGATACGACGCCAGAGGGGAAAAAGATTTGCATCTGCAAGAAGAGGCGGATGGCGTTCGCTCGGGCTTGCCGACGGCATATGCATCGTGTTCTGTGTCGCTTTCGGTTATTGTGATTTTATAGGGGAGATTTAGACCTTAATCGTCGCGATATTCGCAGCGTACCTATATGTAGCCTATATCGCGAACGTCAGGAAGAGCTTTGCAAACATGAGATCCTGAAGCGGAAGTCGTGCTTACAAAGAACGTGGGTAACGGTAGGCACTTCGCTGAAAAGAAATGTTGGCTTGAGGGAGCCTCTTGAAGCCAGTTCCGTGGTAGCCGCGTCCTAGAGGCTATTGTGCAGGTGCCCAGGTGGGAGTGTTCTCACGTGATTCGCTCCTCAGGTGCAGCCATTCTAGGGTAGGCCTAATCAGGCCTAGCACAATGAACGACATCGCCATACGATTGCATTCTAAATGACTCGAAAGATACTCCGGCCAACGTTGTTTTGCACTATGTCTTTGTTACAACCGAATGGGGTAAATACCATATTGTTCAAGACGTGCAAATACAGCCAGTATATCGGGCTCGCCACAGGCCCGGCGATTCGCATTCTACCACATGAACCATGCCTGAGGTGTCCGCCGATGTGCTGTTAGCAAAGCGCAGTCTCGTTCGATACTTCTCATTGCTTATGATTGGCGGTCCCACTCCCCGAGCATAGTCTTCATCCATCGCCATAACTTCAGCTCCTGATCCAACAAGCCCTCCTTGCCGAATGCCATTGACGAGCTCGGAGAATCGTGGTGCCGAGTTACCTAGATATAAGACGTGATGATTGAGCATACCTTGCACAATTCTCTTATTGATGCGAGAGATGTGCTTGGAGAAGGTCTTGGTAGCCTTGAGGAAGGGATCGCTAGTATGACATCATGCACACATTCCGGGGGCAGATGAAGATACATGGTCGGCTTTCGCGCTCGCCGGAAAACCGATAGGAGGTTTCGATAGGTCCCGTCATTGTGACCACCTTGTCGCTTCCAACTTCGACCTTTATCCCAGTGCTCCGAATCAGGATTATCCTGAGCGTTTTGCAGAACACCCTCTCATGAAGTTACACTTGGACTTCTTACAGGCACAGATCCCCAACTTCAGAGAACTTGACTAGAATTTTCTCACGACGTTTCGCGACTACTTCGAGGGCTGGGCATACGCGCACGACGTCCCTATGCGTCTCAACAGTGGTCGTGCCAATCAAGTTCTAGACGACAAAGCAGAATTGATAGCCTTGGGAAAAGGTGAGGAAGAAGTCAAACTTTCGAGAACATTACAACAGCACTGGATGTTCCAACACCAGAAGACCGACGATCTTTTCGAATGAATAGCGATCTATAAGAACCATCATATGGTACACGGTAGCCGCGGTTAATAGGGCACTCGCGACGATCCTGCTTATCGTGGCTATCATCAGTCTGTATAGGGTGGGAACTCCGTAGCAAAATTATGCTTGATCGCGGAGTACACTTTGCTTTTCGCCGTCAGCATGGCTTTGTTTAAAAACACAAGAAGGGCTGCATCATTTGCCGTTACCGGTGCATATGCTACCATGCTGGTCGTATTCGTGAGTGAGGATATAGGATGTGCAAGAGATCAGCATTTTTTGTTCAATTGAAGATCTTCAAGATGATCGGTGTCCGGTGTGACAAGTCGATAGACGGCTCCATGGGATACGATCAAAAAGTACGTCGGTACGTAAATGTACCGTGATCGCTTGGAAACCTTGCAATTAGGTAGCTGTGTTGCGCAGTAGTGGCCCCAGAGGAACAACGAGCGTGTACGAGAGATCAAGAAGGGGGCTCACCCCCGTCGCACTACAGACGAACGCCTCAGCCATTGCCTCATCGCGGATATTTCGGGAACACGATGGCAGACGTACTAAAGACAAGGAGCTTGACGGTCGCAGCGAGTGCATCTCTGCATCTCTGTGGGGAGATTTGGCAGTGGGAGACGGAAGGTGCGGCTAAAGCTCCCTCAAACCCTCCTTCCGTCCTTTATTCTTTCGATTAATCTGGTATTTAATGGTCCCTCCGAGCCAATCAGTGCAACCAACGGTGAACCTATTTTCTGCCCCCGACAAGTGCAGCGACACCTCATAATGGCCGAATTCGACTTCCATGAACCGCTAAACAAAGTTCATTTTATATATTGGTATCAAATCAAGTCATTTCATCGTCCTCAACCCGTTCCCCACCGTTTTCCACCGTTCATCTACGGCTGCCACATCTTCGCCGTCTTAGGCCACATTCTCTTATACAAACTAACCGCCACCGCATCCATTGGATTGATTTTCCCGTCGAACGTAGCCTTGAAGTAACCATGCGTACCCAGGCTCTCCTTGATGAACCCGCTGCGGCCCCTCCTCGTCCATAACGGCAAGCTCTTGAACCACTTGACGTCTTTGTCGTTGAATAACATATAGCGCACGGTGACGATGCGCTTATTAATCTTGTAGGGGTGGCCGGTGAGAATGATGCGTTTAGCGATGACGCGGTTGAGGGATGGTGGGAGGGAGGTGCCGGTGGCGATGAGTCTGAGGGAGGGATTGGGAGTGGGGATCGAGGCGGGCTGCACGTTGGAGTCAAAATCAGAAGCTGGGGAGGAGGTGCGCTGGAAGTAGAGAACGGGGACATTGCCCCAAGTAATGGGCCCAACGAAGCAGGCGATTGCCGATCGACCGGGGTGGAGGTATCGATCGAACTTGTGAACGTCATTGGGCGTGTTGCCCGCTTGGGAGAATAGCTACAATGTGTCAATCGATGTCGAAAATCAATATTGTTAGTATAGCGAAGCTTACCGGGTTGATGATCATCCGTCGTGGCCCGCACTGTGCAATGATTTCCGTCTTGGACTTGATCGGACCCTCATACTCTGAGCTGAGCAGCATGCTGTAGTTGCATGCTGTCCGCTTGTGCTCGTGACGTAGGAGAGAAAACAGCGCCATCGGTCTTGAGCCTTGCCATGAGAGCGGCACCCCACGCAGGTGAACGTTGACTCTTGTTCCAGGCTTGACACCACCAGCCCAAGCTTCTCGCATGAACTTCGTGGCTGTCCTTTTGTAGTCGGAAATTTCTAGTAATCGAGGCCACTCTGAGGGTTCGTATGGCTTGTCCTCGTCCTTCTCCCAGACGCTTTCTCTGAGACTCTTCAAACCTCGGTATCGGATCAGCCGTTCTCGAGCATCGACGTTGGGGTGGAGCTCGATCTCATCTGGAAATTCGAGGTCTTCTTCCGCTTCATTCTTCCGCGACTTCCTGTACGCTTCAATCTGAGCCGCTTCGTCCTCCGGAGCTGGATCTAGGAACATCTCGGATTGGGGATATTCTGAAGGACCAGCTTCAGTCATTGCCCTGCCGTCTACGTCCATGCCCTCGATTCCGTCGGCGGGATGAGCGTGCGCGCCTCCACTAGTCTCATCAACATCCTCCATGTCGAAATCTTCGAGATCTGAACCAGAGTCAGAACAATCGTCAAGATACCATGCGGCCTGGTAATTGCTGGTGCCCTTTGGCAGTCGTCTCGGACGCTTTGGCGCGTCTTCCTCCTCTTCATCTGAGAAGTAATGATGATCGTCCAAAAGCACACCTTTTCGTTCGGTGGCTGCTACCGACGGGGCATAGTTGGTTACATCGTCCATGATCGTCTCCTCCGGGGCAAGGTCGGCCAAATCATCCCGATCCTCACCAGCGCGGTCTAATACGTCCTCTCCGTCATCGGAATCGACTGCCATGGCATCATCCTTCGCCTTCTTGCGGTTTTCTAACGGAGCAGCAACGACCTTGTCAATCTGGAAATCCCCCCAATCGCCAATCTGGAGCAACCTGTCTGCCTTCAAGCCCTGTCCCCTAACTACGCCGGTCAAGACAACCTCGCCGGTGCCATCCTCACTGGCAGCAGACTTACCCCCTGGCCACGCAACATCTTCCACAAACATGTAGCTTCTCTGATCGCGCCACTTCACACCCTTTGTAGTGGTTGTGCATAACGATCGGACTAAGTTTGAAGACTCCTGGCGGTTGTCGAGCGAGAATACACGTTCGGTCGTCGGTAACCAGTGGGTGATGTACGATTTGAGTGAGGCGACGACCTGCGGCCTGCGCTTCGCGGGCTCAATCTTGTCGAGAGCTTGCACTACAGTGAAGGTGTTCGATATGCCTTGGCTTTCAATTGCTTTGAGTATAATCTCACCCTCCTTGTCAACCTCCTCTTGCCCCGAAAGTATGAATACCACAAAGTCAGCGATTCGGCAAGCATCGAGTGATGCCAACAGATCGCGCTGGACGACCAAATATTGTACTTTTTGCTTGAATCGATCGACATTCACTCGTGTCCAGCCAGCGTCGGGCACTTCCTCGTTGATGTCCAAGCTTGCGTTCAAGCTCTGGACTGCAGCGGCAGCAGACACGTCCGAGCATAGTGGAATGACAGCCACAATTCTCGGTGCACCATCTTGCCCGTTGAAGACGTTGGTAACCTTCGCATGTTCGTGGTCCTTGTTTATGCGCATCTGCTTCGCTCGGTTCCGACGGTCGAATTTGGACACGACTTGCTGATGGGGCGTTCTGCGGCTGCCTTTCTCGAGGCTTTCTACTTTACCTTAAAAGCAAAAGAAGTGAGCACTCGATCAACATGGCAGTGACAGTTTCCTACCTTTGGACAGTTCCTTCAGCGCCCCCCTTCGAAGCATGGCGGGATTTGAATGTCTTTTGCGGCTGCTTTGTAGTGCTCCGGTGGTGGTGCTGAGTCGTTATAGGCGCCATGTTTCCGCTTCCACCGGCTTTGAATCTGTACGGGAGAGCCACCTTGAACGAGTGTCGGAAGTTCACCTACCTCAGATGATGCACTTTTTGCCCCGCCTATATTTTTTTGTGGCAGTGCGTTATCGATAGTCCGGAATCTTGGCGTTTATGGATGGCTCGTGCACTGCCCACGTGGCTCATCACGTGCTCGTGTAACCCGTGGACGTTCGGTGGTATCAACGTCGTTCTTCGACAAATGATGCTTTTTAATTACACAGTACTTTTCCAAGGAAATGATCCGGTTTGGCTGGTGCGATCTGACCCCATCTGTGACCAGCGGAGTGAGTGCTGAACCTCAGAACCTGTGAACTGCTCCGGCTTCTCGTTGACCAATAGGGTGCTCGGCGATTACTTTGCCGCGCTCCTACTCTGCCGGAACAACCCGTACGGATGACATAGCAGCCACGCGAGATCAAAGACCTCCAACACCAGCAACCTTGACAGCGCACTTCACCCTACGTCCCTCCTTCCTCCTCCCTCGCGCAGTTAATCAGGCAACGCCGCCTGTGCGACCATGTCTCTTCAGGGGACATCTCGAGCGCTCGCCCGCTCGTCGGCCGCCGCTTTCGCAAAATTCGCCCCTCAGTCATCAGCTCCGCGCCGATGCCCTCAATGCTATCGCCCATTCTCCATCGCAGCGCCGTACCGGACATCATCAAAGCGGCAATTGCAAACCGCTAGTGCATACCATCCGTCAAGTTTGCAGCCCGAGCTGCCGCCCCGCAACTTTGGAGTTCCAGATACTTCAATAGCCGGCGGAAAGCCAGAACTGGACAACTCTTACCCACCACGAACCGCACAAGAACAACGGAAAACCGCTACCACGCAGGAGCGACCGAGCGTGAGCCTACCCGAGAGCGAGGCACAGAAGAGCCAGGCTGCACCAAGCAGACCTCTTAGACCTCGGAAGTACAATTTCGGCAAGCGCAAAGCTGTCATGAAGCTGTCTCCGTCGGCAGTGTCACATTTGAGAGCGCTTCTCGAACAGCCCGAACCGAAGCTCATACGTATCGGTACCAAGGCAAAGGGTTGCTCCGGGCTGGCATATCATTTGGAGTATGTGGATAAGCCTTCGCCGCTTGACGAACAGGTTGAACAGGATGGCGTCAAGGTCTTGATCGATAACAAGGCATTGTTGAACATCATTGGGAGCGAAATGGACTGGCTGGAGGATAAGCTTAATGAGCGCTTCGTTTTCAAGAACCCAAATATCAGTAAGTCGGGTGCCACAAGAAGCCTTTGAAATTCGCTAACATACAGCTAGCTGAACAATGCGGATGTGGCGAGTCATTCAGCGTGGGATAGAAATCGATCTTTCTGACCACTGTATTATTACATATTCTGGCATTAGCATCACCAGGCCTTGCATCGTATACCCGGCGTTATGTACTGGCATGTCATCCAACATAGAATTGGCTGAAGTACTATTCTAAAACACCCCTGGCTCAAAGTCTACCACTTTCACACTCGCTAGATGCGGTCCGACAAAACTCTTAAAATCAGTATGCGCAGGATCTTTGTCGACGTAGTAATCTCTATCTTCGGCGCCCTCGAACTCGACCACAAAACCGTGTGTGTAGGGATCCTGCATTAACGTCAAGGTCAGCCAAGGTAGAGTATAGCATATGGGCAGGGTTGACAATACCGAAACGCCTTCCGGGGAGTTATTACTGCCGGCTTTGAGCGACTTAATGTACGGCTTCTTGGAGGTCGGATGGATACAGTCCTGCTCTAGAGCTTGCAAACGCGTTAGAACCTGTAGATGTTAGATATCACACGGTCAGAGCATCCATGCTACAATGAAAAAGATAACACGTACTTCATAAACCTGCTCCTTGGAGACATCCGGTTTCCATGCAAAGAACACCAAGTGAATGATAGCCATTGTTAAGTCAGTTTCTACGTTTCAACGGAGGTGTAGTGGGCTGGTTACAAATCGATCTGTAGCGACATGGAATGTTACTGATGACGAGTAGACGCCAAGGCTCGACCGAATAGACCATCCAGATACGGCAAGATTCCCAACTCCACCTAAAGCCCGGCTCTCGCTTTTATGCTGGATTGAGTAGAGCCTCTGGGTAATATTGCGACTCTCTGACTGAATCCTCGTGTATAGAGACTTTTGTACAAAGCCTTTGTACGTTATCCATACTTTACGCTTCGGACTTAGCGCGGAAGTCATCACGCTACCTCGGAAGGCTTCCGCGTGTCGCGACTACACTCCAGAAGCTCTCATATAGCTTTCCCACAGAACCGCTTCGCTTTATGGAGCAACATGCGAGCCACTAATTTGGGGCATACCAAAAGTACGGCTGCATTTCGATGACCGCCTATCCGTTCGATTCCACCGGAACCATTCACCGCATGACTACTGCAATGGATCTCCCCGAGCAGATCGTTTACCTGATCATACGTTTTGCATCATCGATACCTGACCTCCCTCTCGCTGTTAATTCACCGAGGACCACGACGACCCTTTCTCTAAAACAGCTCATCAGACCTCATCTACCCTTCAGCAATGCTGCCTCGCGCCTGCGCCTCATCTATGCAGGAAAGGTGCTCGCAGACACCACGCCGCTCTCTAGCTCGCTACGAATACCAGCGCCTCCGCCGCCACCTCCACGAAGGGACGAGGCGCAATCTGAGAATGGCCCACATAGCAAGGGCAAGGGAAAGCAGCCGGTTCGGGATGTCTCCCCTATGCCAGACAGCGCCGACATCCCACCCGACGTGAAGCGCTACTACATCCACTGCTCCCTAGGCGACGCGCTCAGCGCCTCCGAACTCGCCGCCGAAGCCACCCTCGCCGAAAACACTGAAGCCTCACTGAAGTCACAATACCAGTCCCACTCCTCCGGACACCGCGCCAGCCGTGCCTCGATAGGCAGCGACCATGGCCCCCGCCGACGCTCCAGCACCGCAAATGCGCCTGCGGCACCACAAGGCTTCGATCGGCTCCTCTCGTCGGGCTTCACGCCCCAGGAAGTCGCCACCCTGCGGTCGCAATTCCAGACCAACCTGTCTTATACGCACACGCCGGACACAATGCCCTCGGCGGCCGAGATGCGCGCGCTGGAGGACCGATGGCTGGACTCGACGGCAACGGATCCGTCTGCTGCGTTGACCGGAGAGGGGGCCGAGACTGGGTGGGGCGCGGGGTTTGCCGTTGAGGAGGGCGGGCTGGACGATATGCTTTGGGGGTATTTGACGGGGTTCTTTTGGCCGCTTGGGGCGTTTCATTGGGGTTTAGAGAGGAGGGGGTGTGGGCGAGGAGGAGGCAGGTTGCGGTAGTCATGGGGGTCGTGCTGAATGCTGCATTTGGCTTTATGAGGTGGAGTCAGTGAGTTTGTGGAGACAGGATGTTGATTGCATAATACCACTGGAGTTCGGAGTACTACTTGAAGACTACAGAGTACCTTTCGAAGATATCATGGATCTCAAATACACTAGTGCACGAACCGAAAAGCCTCGTCCTAGCCTCGCCCTGCCTTCAGGTTTGACACCCCACCGTTGTTGAGATTTTCTTTCAACTTCCCATACTGCTCTTCCACCGTCTCTGTCATCTTTTTGTTCCGTGCTTCCTCTTCCGTCTCAAGTTTAGCGATCCTATCCTCCTTGAGCCCGAAGACAGGCAACACAGTAACGTCTTGGAGTCATACCCTACGGCTCTGTGCGACTTGGGTGTCTTCCGTGTCGCTATCGGTCTCGTCCGGTGCTACCTCCTTCAATGAGCGCCTGAGCGACCTGCGAATTCTGCTATGCTTTTGAATAAGTTTAGCAACATTCGTTTCTTTTGCTGTGGCTTCCTGCTTCAGATTGGTGATCGTAGTGACCATCTGAGCCGCATCCTCCTTTAGCTGGGTAATCGTAACCTCCGCTTGAGCCACCATCTTTCCCGATGATGCTTGCAAGTCCGTGTATTCCTGCTCGCGCGCAATAACCTCTTGCCCTAGATCGGAAATACTATTCTTGTTTGCTGCGGCGGTATCCTCTAGCTTAGATACCGCTTGGCTCAACGCTGTCACAGTCTCGTCTTTCGTTGCGATATCCTGCTCCAGATCAGTAATCGTGTTGTCCCTTTGAGCCACCATCTCATCCCGCATCTGCTGCACGCTCGCTATTGTCTGTTTCAGCCTCAAGGTGTCCGCCTCATAGTCCGATATCCCTTTCTCCTTCGCTTTTGCCACCTTTCCCATGTCCTTGATCGTCTTTTTCCTTGCTGCAGCTTCCTCCTGCAAGTCCTGGATATTCTCGTCTCTCCTCTCGATCATGCGCCACGCTCGGTCGCACAGAAGGTCTCCGTTCTGCAGCTTCTTGTTTTCCTCTGCCAATTGCCTGTTATTTGATGCGAGTTGTTCAAACTCTTTTCGATTGTGTGTGGCCGTGTTTACAAGCTTCCCGCGCTCAATCGCGAGTCGCTCATTCTCTTCTTGATCTCGTCTTGCTGCTAATTCAAGCATATTGATTTTGGTTGCGAGGCGGTTCTTCTCATCCCTCTAGCGCTGCTTCTACCTCGAGACCTTCTTTCTCGGCCGCCAGGCGGTTCTTCGCTTCTTTCTGCAGCGTTGCGTCTGCTTTCCAGTTTTCCATTTCAGTTACGAGGCGGCGCTTTTCGTCTTTCCCCGTCGCTGCTTCTAACTGAAGTTCGCCGTTTTTGGCTCTAAGGCGCTGCTTCTCATCCTTCTCCGCCTTTGCCATCGATTCGAGATAGTCATTCCTTAGGGTAAGTCACTCCTTGTCCCTCTCATTCGCCTTGGCTAAATCGACAAGGTCTGCGACCCGCTTGGTGTTGTACGTTTCCTGTACAAGGTCAGCAAATGTGTCTACACGATAACTATGGTACTCTACAGCCCGTATATGGAAATGTAAGTACAATGGACCTAAGTATATCAGGGCTACGTTAGGGTGACTCAAGCACTCAAACGTTTGCCCAGCTCTGCAGGTGGATCTTACCATATTACTTAGCCTCTGAGCAAAATCAAGAAGATAGGGAATGTCGTCTTGGAGGTTCATTGGCCCCCGATGGTCTGTTTTGCGCTTCTTGCTCTGATCTGCGATCTCGTCTTGGCCTTCGTCCAGCTTACCGCCATCAGTTTCAATTTTGTTGGTCCCATTCTGGGAATATGCAGAACCTCGCTTGCGCTTCCTGCTCTGTTCGACTGCCAATGAGAGGGCACGTGGAAAACCGGAGAGTTTGGCGGCACTCAGCTTCAGGATAATGACCAGCGACTTGTCGGGGCCGATGTCCATGATACACTTGTCATGGGGTGGTGGGGTAGTAGAGTCGCGTGGTGAGAGGCGCCTATGCACGTGTTGTTTGTTTCGTTGACTGCGCGTTTGCGTCGCGGCGGCGAGGCAGGCACGGTCTAGAAGGTAATTGCTTAGGTGATGTGAGGTGGGCAAATGCAATTTTTTGGAGAAGGGGCCTCAGGAAGTTCACGGCGTGTGCTCGCCGCGATGAGTTCTCATCTTTTCCCCTGTGCACTGTGCGAGGAGTTATGTAACCTTGAACATCCTTCGGGTGGGGCTACATACATGGAGGGGGCTTTACGAAAATGACAATCCGATCTTGAGCATACCATGAAATATATATCGATGAGTAAACCTGTCATCGATGGAGAAATTATAAGTCCAACTCAATCTGTCAAATGTTGTAGCTGGTGATCGCGGGCAGAAAAAGCAAAAATGCGCAGACCTCCATGTATGCGAGTACGGGTAGCCGCATTCCTGTGATGACCGCTTGCTAATATTCTGTTCCACCAAGAATAGAGATTCTTTACTACGATTTAGCTTCGTCCGAGCCCTACGCGACTTTGGCCATGTCCTTGTAAACTTACTTCATCTTGTCATAGGCGCTGAGCTTGCTCTTGAGGTCTGGCGATTGTCTCAATTCCTTCTCCAAAATCTCGGTTTGAAGCTAGAACCTTTTTGGCCCCAGTCGAAGAATCTAGGCCCTTCCAAGGTTTGTTGTAAGCCTATTGTACGCAGACGCGCTCCTTACGAGTGGCTCACGATTTCAGCATCACCAGCTATACACCTTTTCATAGTGATCAGGCAGAAAATTGGAAATAGCCCCTCTACCTTACATCATTCATGTGAGTCAGCCGGAATTCTGCCAGCATTCTCTCAGCGTCTCATCGGCAACGTAACAAAGGTGACTGTCTATCAACGCGCCAGCGTAAAACAGGCAGCACGAGTAGACGGAAGCGAGACAGTACGCACAGCAGGTATGGACGGTGCAGCTTTCTCTTTTGGCCTCACCATGAACTTCGAGCCCTCTGCCATGAACTTGCCGACGAAGGCTTCCAAAAGTTCCAAAGTCGATATTCTTTCGCTTTTTCCCTTCAACCGTGACTCCATGACCTCCAGATCCTGTTCTGCGTTTCGGAGCGAGACGCTCAGAGCTGCATCATCCTTTTCTTTCTGCTTCCCTTCTGTTTCAGTCGCCGCCAAAGTCTGCTTGTAAATGGCGTCTTCAAGAGTGCCAATCTTGCCCCAAATCTCCTTCATCTCCCTGTCTTGTCTCTCGCACTTTTGGTTTGCTAGACCTAGATCCGATCTTGTCGACGCCAGCTCTTGGTTTCTGTACATAATCACTGCGTCCCTGCTCTTCATATCACCTTGTAGCTGCGCCTTCTCCTGCTGCAGAGTCGTGTTGTGGTTTTTGAGTCTGATATTGTCTCCGCAAATGCAATCAAAAATCTCCTTCGCAGCAATCATCACCATGCAGTCTTCTGTATAGCGCTCTTCCCATTTGGCACTATCTTCTGTGTAACGCTCGTCGTGCTATCAACGGTCAATTATCGCTGCAGCATGGGTCAAGGCTGTGACACGAACCTTTTTCTTTATCTTGTTCAATTCGCTCTCCAGAATATCGGTTGCGGGCCTCTTCGTGTGTGGCGGCGGTGATAACTCTGTGGCCACTTCCGTTGGAACTTGGGTGCGAGGCTCCTCAAGCATTGTATTTAGTTTAGCCACTGAAAGTTTGACGATGCGAGCTCGTAGTGTTGCTTGAGAACAGGGCTTGTCGTTCGCATTATCAGGTGACATCTAGAGTAGATTCGCTGTTATCTTCCAGTTTCTGTTCAAAGTGGTCGGTTGGTGACCGAAGGCAAAGGTCAATGTACTGTGGTGATGCATGGAATTGACAAGGATCATATACCCGTTGAAAGTGTCTGCTTGACATCGTTTGATGGTGGTTGCGACACGCAAGCTGGGCGAGTCAAATTTGCTTGTGTCAATGGCAATAGCTGCATAGGGCAGTTTCTCGCAGATGGCATCTTGAAGACATACTCGGCAGGAAGTCATGTTTGTAAACTACGTGATGACATTTAGCAATACACAAACGTCATACTACTCGTCGGAAGTTGTTCAAGTACTTCGTTGCTGATGGTTTACTGACTGAATCCATCGTTTTCGTCCTTTTCAAACAGCAAGTCACGTTACCCCTAGACTATATCAATCAAGGATTCAAAGGCTCTCTTGCCGAAACCCAATAAATCCGAAGAAGCCTCTATTGCCTTTCCAGATCTTGCTGTTATCTTTGAGAGGACGATAGGAAAGCCTGACCTAGATCATTGTGAACCCAGTATCTGCTCGAGCAAACAGAGACTTCAGTCAACGTTTTGCTTGGAGGTTATAGGTGCGATGAATGATTCCGTGAATAAAATCATTGCTAGTAACTCTGACATGTTGCCAGGAAAGTACTACTGTAAGATGATAAGAGACAGTGGACATTTACAGGCCCTTATGCCCGATTCCACCAACCAAAACAAGTCTCATTCAAAGGAGCATATCAGAAAACCGTGCCCTGTTTGACTACACCTTCTGAGCCCGAAGGCCAATCTCCTTATCAAGGTCAATGTCAACAATGTCAGTCTTAGCATGCATCTCGGCCATTTGTGGTGTCGAAGTCGAGGTGAGCATTTCATTCCGCGGAACGAGGTTGTCATGTGGATCCGTCGTGACCGATGCAAGTCGTCCGGCAGAGTGCGCCACTCAAGGTTGCACACGTCTTTTGAGACTGTGTGATGCATTGATGGACGCGCTTTGTCGCGTTTGCGAGGCTCTCAAAAGCTTCTCTGGCGGACGCGAAAACAATCGAGCATGCCGAGAACAATGACACGACGTTGGTGGTGTCGCTCGTATCCCATGACTCACTCATCGAAGGGAGATGTTCTGTACTAATCCATTGCCATGAGCGCCCTCCGAATATCGGCGGCCGCTCAGCCCATTGTAGGCTTGTTGACATGACGACAGACACCAGTGGCTTCGATTAGGGCCTGTGTAGAGATCCTAAGTCGGAGTTGTGTTGTTTGTAAGTTAAGCAGGCGGCAGAGTGTCTCGATTAGGCTAAGCTAATGACGCGTCTTGGGGTTTCTCCTCAGACCTGAGGTTGGGCTAACATGGTATTGCTTTGGATTGGACTCTACATATTGTACTTATTCTCGATAGATATAAGAGCATGGCGTCGGACTGATGCTCGCTGTGTCGTGGTCAACCGTCCTGTCTGCGTGTCGCACCTTCGGAGAAACTTCAACCAGCTCTTGCCTCGCCCATCGCCCCTACTTGACAGCATCGGAGCGCTCCCACGCATGTGCTCACCCATCTATGTCTCCAATCTGTCGCCCTCGAGACGGCCGCCACGAAATAGGACCGCACCACGCCGTGCAGCACGCTGCTTCGCATTCCGCGTCATCATGCTCACCCTTTACTCTCTCGCGACTCTTCGCACCTTCCGCAGTTCGCAAGCACCTCCGAACCTCGTCCAAGGACGCCGTCGACGCCTCCATGTTTCAATCTAGTCCTTCCCCATGAGAACAGCGACACGCCCGTACAGCTACCCTGTTGACGATAAGGACGCGCCTTCCTTTCGCGGCTTGCAGCAAGCTAACGCACAACCTCGGTCCTTCGCTCGTATTCCTCTCACACGTAGTAAATGAAGTCACAACCTTATCCCCAGGGAGGATGCCGAAGAGAGGGAATTTGAAGTCGGGCCGACCAGGATGACCGGGATAGCTTGACATTTGACATTGACGGCCTTCACAGATGTTTTTGCACGCGGCGTCCTGTCAACAATGACAACATTTGGACTTGAAAGTGCGCGAGGAAATTGCGACTATGACTAACAGACACGAGGCGCGATCCACAAACAGAGCCCTTCACCGCTCCTGCATGTTGGGCGGCCTAGCCTGGCGCATTATCTCGCGTCGTTCCGTCACTTGCGGGGAACAGCCAACAGCCACTACATTGTGCTGGGCTTGCGGCAAGTTTCGAAGTCAGTCTGCGAGGAAGACGCCGGATCAAACCTCGATAGGGGACCAGCTGCGCGCGACTATCGAATACACGATTGCGAAAGACAGAGGGTCGTGGTGGAATCAGTGGTTACCGAGTTGCTGTATAGTGCGCTCCCATGAGTTATTCCGGTGCAGAGTCTTTTTCGAGATGCCGGACCCGTTCGCTTAGATACGCTGCAGGAGGTCGAGCGTACAGCGTCTAGAAAAGAAGCCGGTCAACAGCCAGGCAGGAGCAAGTGGCTGACGTGCTAGCTAGCAGACGCATCTTAGACATTTCAATAGCACAAACCGCAGCGTGGGAAACTTCAGGCCAGCAGGACGCTTTTGCTATCAGGGACTAGGAACCGGTGCCCTTGGACTACTAGTAGAGAGAGGCGACGGGATGCACATGGTCCCCCGCGTTGTTGGCTCTGATAACGAGTCAGGCCGGACCAGCAAGGCTACGGTAGGCACACAACGTCGAGGCAGAGAGTCGAGGCAGCTCTCGTATTGCAAGGACCAGCAGCCCTGTCGGCGTCCAGAGGCATTAGATTACCCCGCAAGGTACGAGAGGAAGGGTGCAGGTACAACGGCCATGTTCGACGTGATGTCCAGAGCTAGAGCTGACGGGCGATGTGCGCTGCCCCACCGCGCCCGGCTGTCCCAAACGGGCGCCGTGGCCGACGTGGTCTCACTCGTGCTCACGTGCACGTTCGGCTGACGTCTGGAGGCGGAAGGGCTCCTCGGGCGGCTGTTTGCTCGTCGGCGGGCGGGCGGGCGTGGTTGGAGTAAGCCGTCCGTCGCATTGCGCGCTGTCGTCCAGCAGCGGCGACGCCGTGCACGGCGGGCAGTGGCAGCGAGCGTCCGGTCATTGCGTCTTCGCACGCAGCACGCAGCACCCAGCACCCAGCACCCAGCAGCGTCCACGGGCGTGGGGGTCCGACGGAGACGGTCATATCGCACACTCATCGTTATCCTCGCTCTCGTTCCGAGCGGTTGGACGGTGCCAAGCCCCGCGCTGCGCCCTCGACGACATGTCTCGCGCTGCATGCCAGCCCATGCGCACCATGGCACGGCTCGCCTGCCGCCGACGGCTGCTGCACACCACGACACGACACAACACGACAGACGATGTCATCACCGGGCCCTCGCGCTGTTCGCATGGCCTCGTCCTCGTCCTCCACGACCGGTCGCCGTCCGCGGACTGGCAGGCACCGCGCGCCTGATGCTGGTGCGGGGTCCTCTTCCCTGGCCACAGTCCGCCGACCGCCGCTTGGCACAGGGTCGAGCGTGCAGGCGGCTCTTGCACACTCCGATGCTTGTAGGTTTGGCTGCTTCGCTGGCGCACAGCTAGAATGTGGGAACCGTTTCCACACAGATTCGATGCAGCCTCCCTGCAACGGCTGCCCGGCCAGTAGAGGCTCGCGCTACCCCCAGCTCCATCTCCAAAGCGGTCGGTCCCGATGCCCAAAACCTGCGCCATTCGTTCCCTGCACCGCGCCATCAGGAGCTGGCTTTGCGCTGGCTGCAGCTGTAGACACCGCCAAACCTATGGGCACCCCGGTCGACGGAAGTCAGAACAGGCCGTTTCTATGGCTTGGTCCACCAGCACCCTCTGAGCTAGCCTCCGCAAGATCGCCCTGCCCCATGCCCATTGGTGGATTGTGCCACTTCTCCGTCGTGCATCTTCAAGGGTTGCCAAACGATGTAACATCATGCCAAAAATCGATCATTCGCCGCCATGTGTGGGGTGTGGCGAGCGAGCAGGCCCTTGAAGCTGCAGCATGCCCCTACCAGAGTCCAAGCTTCGCCAGGTTCAAGCTCAAGCACTCCTTCGACCCCCCCAGCTCCTCCATAGACCGCGGCAAAGGATGCACGCTAGCACACAGCGGTCATCTTGAACATGCAACCACTTGGCGGCCTGCCCTGTCTCCCGTCCTGATCTTCTTATCAAATCTGGGACCAAGCGCCCCTCAGACTAAATAGTACCCACGGGACGCGCCTTCTTGCCTCTATTGAGCATTCACCCTCGTCGTTTGTTTATTCTTCTTGCACCTACTTTGCACTGTCCAACCATCTTGCAGCTCTACAGTGTAGACATTTGCACCTTGTACCTTTACCATGGCTATGTCGACCAACGCCATCCAGGCCCAAGAGGCCCAGAAACCAGAGAACACGGCCAACACTACCAACACTACCGCCGCCGCGCCCAGGAAGCGCAGAAGAAGAGCGCCTGCCACCGGTGCCAGTGAAGATTGCTTTGCCTGCAGAAAACGTGGAGCAAAGTGCGATCGTCGACGGCCATATTGCGGGCAATGCATCGAGCTCGGCAAAGAATGCTCAGGATACCGAACCACCTTGACCTGGGGAGTAGGAGTCGCCAGCCGCGGAAAGCTTCGAGGCATGTCTTTACCCGTAGCCAAATCATCTACGCAGAACGCTAGCACCACACGCGACTCCAAAACGCAGACTACCACCGCCACTGTTGCCAATGCAACTGCGACCGCCGCAAAGCAAAGTCCAACCAGACTAGAGACCCGGGGAAGCATCGACTATGGCGTTCATTCTCCAAGGAGCCCCACAAGCCCACATGCTTTCTCCGGCCCCCAAGAGTATCATTATTTCGGTCCTACAAGCCCCATTCCAATACCGTCTCCCACCACGCCAATGGGTTTCGCCGTTCCCGGTTATGGGGAGCACGTGGATCCATTTCATCCGCATTCATCCAAATTGCGTCGACCTCATCTGAGCCAGGGTCCTCTGCAAAGACTCCACACATCCCTTGCTGTTCCTTACGAGGATAATGGCCTTTCAGCGTCGTCAGCTTCCCTTGGTAGCTACGGCGAGAGCGATTTCCCTTCCCCTGGCGAATATCCTCGTACCCCTGCCGATGAGTATCCATTCATGGACTCCTCTTCTGTTCCTCGATTTTCGAACGTCTCGTATCACGACCAACATTCCATGCATGCCATGGATCATATCCGATATCATCACTCGAATCAACATGCGCTACCCATCGCCGACGATGTTAGCTCCAGTATCAGCTCTGATCAGAGCGTGCAAGATTTCAACGAGGTCAGCTCTGCTCAGCAGAGCATGGGCCCACCAGCTTTTCCAGACATCTTTATTGAGGGAGAAATGAGTTCAAGTCTGGGCGGATTGTCTCATCCTGGTTTCTCCTATCTCCCCACGGAGGGTACGTCTTCTTATGGTTCTGGCCCCTTGTCATTTGACGAACTCGCGCTCACCACTTTCATTCCTCAGAGTCTTACCACCGTTTCCCACCTTTCCCCGCGGATGCTATACCTGCTGGACTACTACGACAAGTTTATATCCCGGGTTCTCGTGGCTGGTGATGGCCCGACCAACCCGTACCGGACGCACGTAATGCCCCTTGCGATGAGAAGCGACGGCCTCCGGAACGCCATTGCAGCGCTAGCCACCAACAACCTGCGCATGCGTGGTGGTATTGAAGGACGGCGGCTAAGCTATGCTCAAGACTACGGACTACTGCCGGAGCACGCGTTTTCCCAGATGACGACGTGGGAACTGCGTGAGATGCACGGCGAGCCGTCAGACGAGGAAAAGCATTACAAGGCCGAGTCTATCAGCCTACTCAACCAGAAGCTGGTCGACCCGCAGGGCGCGCAAGACGACAGTGTTCTTGCAACTCTCCTCATCCTCTGCCTCTTCCACGTCTGCGACTCGGGCTTCACCAAGTTCAGAACGCAATTGGCAGGCGTACAAAAGCTATTGAGCATGCGCGGCAGGACAGTGCGCTCAGATTTCATTGATTGGATTGAATTTTTCTTTACTTGGTTTGACGTCCTTACGAGCGCGGTTAATGATCGGGAAATGGAGGTTCAGGGCGATTCCCTAGATATGATGAATCTTACAGCAAACTTGGGAGCATCGGAGCATCTTTCAGGGTGCGAGGGGCGTCTGTTCAAACTCATTGCTAGACTTGGTAGACTGAATCTGCTGAGTCAAAATCGTCCAGTTCGAGAAAATGACACTACACCACGGGCTTCACCGCGGCTGAAACAGAGAGACACGTATTCGTTCACGTTCAACAACATCGACGGCAACGGATGGCGGCCTACCGTTCGCGAAACAGGGAGTTCCATGAGCTCCGATACCGAGGATCAGCGCTTGGAGTTCTGGGAGGAATGGCACGACGTCCGCGTCCGACTCCAGGAGTGGGAGTTTGAGCATTCCATCGGACATGCTCAATCGGGCGTGCCTGGGCTAGCTCTCTCCCCTGCAGACACGGCAATGCTTCACATGAGCGAAAGCTTCCGATATGCGGCACTTTTGTATACCGAACGCCTAGCGCATCCTACGCTGTCCTCCTGTGCGCTCAATTTCCAGAGCCTCGTTTCGCAGGGCCTCTTCCACATCTCGCAGATCGGAGTCACCAGCTGCGTCAACAAGTTCTTGCTCTGGCCTTTGTTCCTCATTGGCACCGAGTGCGTGGAAAGCGAACACCGCGCTATCGTGCGACAGCGGTGTGTTGAGATCCAGCGCGAGAGCGGCTTCTTCAACAACTTGAGTGGCCTTGAGGTGCTTGAGAAGGTCTGGCAAGAGGACACGGAGCGCGACGATGCAGACACTCAGCCTCACTGGCAGGGGCCCATTGGCGCACCGCAGCAGGCGTTCAAGTGGAGGAAAGCTATGGACCGCGTTGACGGGGAGTACATTGTGATCTGAGGCAGTTCGCACGCGCCGTCGGGCGTACCGCATGGTGGCAACGGTTCGATTGGACGACAAGCGCATCAAAGGGCCCGCGCGCCCACGGTTGTTGTGCTGGTTGGTTGGCTGGCAAAAGGGTAATGGCTAATGAGGCTCTTTGCATTTTTGGTTGACCACTTGGATCCGCCAGCTAGCGATGGTGCAGGGCGGTGTTTCCAAGGTTCTCATGTTCATTTGATTGTATCTATATCTCAGCTGCGTTATTTGCATCGGTTCCCAGCGTGTTGGGAAGACCGAAGCGTCATGTTTGTACGACCTGCAGCTCATGTTTACGACGGCATGGCGTCCACGCGCCCTTTACGATTTCGAATGCTCACCATACTCTGCCACCTTGCTTTCTTGCTTTTGGGTCGCTGAGCTCCTGATCTCATGCGTCTTGTCCTCCATCATGTGGCCCGATCCATCTCACTTGAACAAATGAAGAGCAAATTAGGCGGTATCTCACGAGGGCAGCTCCTTTCGATGGAGTGTGGGAACACAAACTGTGCTGCTGATATCTGTCAAGCTATGCCTGTGCGCGCCGGTGAGCTGCGTGAGATGCAGCGCCGCGGCTGTCGTGATGACCTTTGGTGATGATCGCAACACAATATGCCTAATCGGTGAACGGCTCTACATGCTCCATGGAGAGAATGGCCTACGTATGGAAGCGTTGGCTTTCACATGGGAATGTAGTGTTATCGTGGGTGGTCTGTTCCCGTGTCTCACCATTCAATGGGGAATACAGTCACGGCAGTGTAGGAAAAGTGGGTGAAGGAATCGGCCCCCAAGCAGAGCCCCTCCCGCCCACTCCTCGCTGACGCCTGCTGATCTTCCCGCGCGCGCCGAGCGGCGAGCGTTCGGGAACAAGCTTCGCGAGGAAACGGATCCACGGCTGTTGCAGGCGCCGAGGCCTGCTTCTCTCGCATGACTGGCTGTTGGCACGTTATGGTGCTGACGCGGGGTGTTGCTGGCTCCATGTCCTGTTTCGGCCACGCCGCTCCGCTGAGGATGCTCCTGAGGCTCGTATCGTCGTTCGTCGAGAGGGCCACCTTAGCTAGCCGCTTTGCTGGACGCCTGGAGAGTAGCAGCGCTCGAACTCGGTGATGGTCGAATTGCTTTTGGGCGTAGTGTTGGTGGTGCGAGTGCGCGATACGCTTGGACTGGACTACGAGCAAAGCAAAGCAAGTCGAGACTAAAACTACCACCAAGAAGGCGCACGGGTACAGAATGCAGCTATTGATAACGGGAAGCAGTATGGATCAGCGTGATGCTCGCCGGGTTCATCCTGCCCCTGTGGTGGAGTTTGGCTCTAGAGTGACATGCTGAGTAGGTTGACGCGACGGACGAGAGCTTGAGTCGCGTTTGCGAAATACGCCTACCAGGCACGAGTGCGGGGACGGCTAAGGCTTTCTCCTTGGTTGCGACAAGGTACGGTATGTACGAGGGTTTTAGGCTGCGGGCCCGTCAGATGGCCTGTGGAGACCATCTCTCGATACGAGACGACAGGGCTAAGGAGACATGATTGTCGACGTTGTACAGAGTCGTGTACCCCACGCTGTCCGCACGAGCATCTGACATGACGGTCGCATGATGCTTTTCAGAACCAAAAGGACTGTCTACAGGCGCCATTGTGTAGGATGGCGAGCTCATCTCCGTGCTTGCATGCTCTGTAGGGAGCTACTACTGGACCATCTTGTCGCAGACTGCTACCCAATGACCGACAAGGTTTGGTTGTCCAGCTCTACGGAACCAATGGCACAGCTGATGTTCAGGCGCGAGAGAAATAGCATTCTGGACGGACTAGAAGCGGCGAGATAGGGGGCCCTTCAGCGGTGATGCGTATAGAGTACTAGCAGTGTGTCTATGGGCGGTTCCGACGTCCCTGGGCTGCATCTGCACGGCGCGTGCATATGTAGGTACCGCCGACAAGAGACACCGGTCGTGTTGTATCGTAGTCTTCGCGATGCGTGTGATGCAGTAGAACAGTTGCTCGTACGTAACAGCGAATGGAGGAGGGGGTGGCTTGCGAAGAAGAAGCGGCAGTGGCTTGGACGCGTTCCTGGCCGGCACTTGGGTCATGTCCGCGAGTGGCTGGTCACGTCTGCCCGCCAGCGAGCGAGCGATGCAACGTGCCGGCGTGCGTGCCGGCTGGGCGTGCTGGAGATGCCGAAGGGTGATTGACGAGCGGGGCGCCTGGACGGCTGGATGCCTCAGGCACCGCATCGTGGCAGCGCAAGGCTGGCCCCGGCGCCAGATCCGCCAATCTCCACCGCGATGGCGCTACGGCCGATCGGTGCGGCGCCTCTCAACACCACCAGCACAGGCGCGTCCACCATCGATTTATCGTGACGTCGTCGCGTCGCGCAGTCTGATTTTCGCGTTAGTCATCCACCATGACGATGGCACAGCTGCAACCATTGCTCATTGCTCTCGCAAGCTTTGAGCGTGTCACCAGCACTACCAGCGCTTTGCGATACGCAGCACTCGACGCCGGACATTTATGAGACGCTTTGTTCTCCCCATCAGCCACGCAGTTGCACTCCGAGCCTCGTCCGCGCCACGCCTCGCGCAAAGGGGGACTCACACCTGTTCACTCACAATGGCCAGGCGTAGGCAGGCGTCAGGACTAACCGCGGCCACCGAATCCTCCCGTCAGCAGACCAGAGTCCCATTGCCCGCAAGTGTCGCTCATCTCCAGGACGCAGCAGAGCCTCATCCTCCACCGGCCCCGACGCGGCGACAGTCATCACGCAATATCTCATCCCACGCAAGCACGAACCCCAATGCCAATCCTGATGTCGTCGATGGCATCACTGCGCTGCGGGCTTCACCGGACAGCGTGGAGCTCGCCAATGTTGGAGACAATGGCCTGACCCCCGGAAGGGAAAAATCTAGCGGAGGGCCAGTGGACACTGCACCAATTGACGCCACATCTGCAGCACCTGATGCATTCACGGAGCATGGCTCCATTGATGTACCTGCAGAAGCGCACGGACTGTCACAAGGTGCGAGCTCCAAGCGGTCGAGGAGGCCTAAAAACGGGAGTGCGAGCGAGGCGCCTGCACCTGCATCTGAGACAGCTGCGGCTGGTGTCCCTGAACAGCCCCCCAGCAAGTACAAACGAAAGAGGGGTGCGAATGAGCATGTGAAGGTGGTGGACAGTGCGGCTGTCAATGGCACCATCAATGCTGGATCCACAACTGCCATAGCCTCCTCCGGGCCTGCCGTTGAGAAAGACGTGGGGGTAACTGGCGACCCTGAAGCCGAACAAGATGCTGTCGAGGGTGAGGATGAAGTCAAGGAAGCTTTGTCCAGGCCGCCGCCCGTCAACTCTGACTATCTGCCTCTGCCGTGGAAGGGTCGGATTGGATACGTATGAGCCTCGCCATGTTACCTTAGCTTTGGACCGTACGCTAACACTGCATCGATAGGCCTGTCTGAACACATACCTACGCAACGCTAATCCGCCCGTCTTCAGTTCGCGGACGTGCCGGATAGCCAGCATCCTCGAGCATCGACACCCTCTCAAGGACACCTCGCAACCCGAGCATGCCACTAAGAATCGCCCTGACCGAGATCAGCCCGCGGATGTTGCACGAGGACAGCGCTACGTGGAGGAGCTCGGCCTTGCTAACGCCCGCGATGTGGTCAAGATGGTCCGCTGGAATGACAAGTACGGGATAAGGTTCATGCGTCTGAGTAGTGAAATGTTCCCCTTTGCCAGCCATGATGAGTATGGCTACAAGCTCGCTCCTTTCGCGGCAGGTACTCTCGCCGAGGCAGGTAAGATTATTGCTGAGCTTGGCCACCGAGTGACTACGCATCCGGGCCAGTTCACGCAGCTTGGTTCGCCGCGTAAACAGGTCATTGACAACGCAATCCGTGATCTCGACTATCATGATGAAATGCTGTCGCTTCTCAAGCTGCCGCCTCAGCAAAACCGCGACGCCGTCATGATCTTGCATCTGGGGGGTGCTTTTGGTGACAAGCCTGCCGCTATTGAGCGCTTCAAGGAGAACTATTCCAAGCTTTCTCAAAGTGTCAAGAATCGTCTTGTTCTTGAAAATGATGATGTAGTCTGGTCGGTGCATGAGATCTTGCCTCTCTGTGAAGAGCTCAACATCCCCATGGTTCTTGATTTCCATCATCACAACATCCTCTTTGATTCCACTCAAGTCCGCGAGGGCACCAAGGATATTATCGAGCTGTTCCCTCGCATCCTTGAGACATGGAGAAGGAAAAGTATCACGCCGAAGATGCACTACTCTGAGCCTTGTCCAGAGGCAGTCACTGCACGGTCTAGGAGAAAGCACTCCCCGCGTGTGATGACGTTCCCGCCATGTCCAGACACCATGGATCTCATGATCGAGGCAAAGGACAAGGAGCAGGCTGTCTTCGAGCTCATGCGGACGTTCAAGGTTCCGGGTTTCGAACTCTTCAACGATGTCATTCCTCACGTACGACAAGACGAAAATAAGCCATGGAAACCAAAGCCGAAAAAAAAGACAAAGAAGAGCAAGAAGAACAAGACGGACGATCTTGCGGAGCTGGACGTCAAGCTAGAAGAGGAGGAAGAAGAAGAGAAGCCTCCGCCTATCGTGCCAGAGGAAGAGGTTGGTATGGGCGGACCAGAGCGTAGAGTCTACTGGCCGCCCGGTATGGAAGACTGGCTACGGCCACCGAAACGCATAGTCAAGAAAAAGGACGAGGCAGATGGTGCTACTACGCCTGCGAAAAAGAAGAGGAAGACGGCTGCCGCCGCTGCCCACACCGATGACATGCCGTCCAACAATGGCGACACGCCCGCGCAGAAGCCCGCTCCAAAACGTGCAGCTACTAAAACGAAGGCGGCCGGAAAAGCAGTCCCGCCGCTTTCGCCATCAGATGAGGATAGCGACCGGCTCAGCAGCTTAGGCAAGGACGGGGACGGCGATGAGGGTGGAGAAGCGCTGCCGAGCAAGCGTGGGGCGCCCGCTCCGCCAAGTAGGAAGAGATCGGGGCGAGTGTCTCAGCGGGTGAGCTACAAGGAGGAAGAGGCCGATGACACGAGCGTGTGAATGTCACTATAGTGTTGTGATGTGTGTTGTCGGCATTGCCATCGGTTCCTGCGCTTGGCCCAGGATCACCTCGACCCGAATTCGGAGCGCGGAGATGTACATGGGCGTTGGGTGCATGCTTCGCCGTTTCGTGGACTTGTATGGAAGTGTCTGTATGATAAGAGTATTCTATGAGCACGCTTGCGTTGATGTGCTCGAGCTTGAGCTGCGGAAGATTTAGGGTTGTGTAAATGTACACAGTCGTCAGTGGGACGGCGCTGGTCAGTGTGATTCGGCTCGCTAAACCAGCACGACACATACAATGTGCCCCGCAGCTGATGCTGTTGGACACTTGACGAAGGAATCGCTTGGATGCACGATTGGGATGCTGTACAGGCCAAGCTAGCCCAAGCTCCGGCTCGGCCTCTTGTGCTCGCTCACCGCTCCACTGCCAGCTGTCGTGGTGGAGGAACGTGCGTGAGCTACATGCTGCTATCCAGTAGAGCAAAGCTAAGCGCAACGGTGCTGGTCGCGAGGTTGTGTACCGTAGGCCTGCTAGAACCGAACAAGGAACATGTCCGGGAAACGGAATGTTCGATGCGTTCGATGCAGGACGGCGCTGGGATCGAGGTTTGCGACGATGGGCCTTGTCGTTGGTGTGCAGGTGATTGAAGATGGGCCAAGTCGAGGCCTCGCTGATGGCGGCTTGAGCGCGTGCTTCTGGTATCGTGAGCGAAGATCAGGGCGCTGCCGGCATGTGTGCGGCGCGTGCATGTGCATGTTGAAGATTCTAGCGCCGTTCTAGAGCTTGCGTTGTGGTGTTGTGCTGCTGGACGATTGCGCCATGGCATGTGAGCTGGCCCTCCCTCGACAGCAACACGCAGGCACGCACACACGGCCGCCATCTTGGAGCAACCAAGTGCAAGCCGTGTCTCGTCCTCGTGGGGCGTCGTGCGCTGCACTAGCGAACGCCCGAAACCTCACGATAGCGCCCTCGACGGCTCGTTGCATGCACGACGGGCGCCCGTTGTCACGCTCGACGGCCTGCACCTCCGCTCACATCTGGACGCCATCGGCGCATCGTGGGGTAGAGCCATGCACGCGAACGTCCGTGGAAGGTTCGCTGCGGGAGCACACGGCTGCGCGCGGGTCTGCGGCTGGCTGTCCTGTCGTGCTTATCGGCGTAGAACCAGCTCATCCACGTCCATGTCGTGGTCATGCAACGGAACGAGGCAGATAAGGCGTCAGATATTGGACGCTTGTTGAACAATGGGCCATGTGGGGGTTCGAGAGTGGAGCGGAGCGTTGCTCTGGTGGTTGGAAGCGACGTGCATGCAGAGTGGCTAGGTACGGCTGATCGGCCAGGAACGCATCTTCACGGCGCAGCTCCAATGCATCCCTCATGTCGGCAACTATGCGTGAGCGGCTATGCGTCTCGTTGAAGAAGATGTTGACGACCATGGCCAGGCGTGTCAAGGGAAACCCGGGCGACATGGTGGCTTCGGAGCTCTCAACCTTATACAGGCTGCAAGGAAATGCCAGGGTGCTACTTTATGAGTCGCTATGCGAGGTACGAGCCACATGTGCTGAGCAGCAGCATGTCAGTCTTGCGCAAGGACGGAACCGAGACGCGAACGGGCAGGTAGGCATGTGCGCAAGCATGCAAACAACCATACCAGATGAGGTCCCTGTTGTTATGCACGAGGACCGCAGAAAATGAGGTACGTTTCACAGTCGGTACTTTTTCAACCAGGGCACTTGGAGCGACATGGCAGTGGCATCGGAGCTGCCCGTCGATGGGAGATGCAACTATGTCAAGAACTTGGCACGGCATGATGGCACCGGAGCAGTCGAGCTTCTACAAGAAGGTGAAGCAGACCAAACGCGCCGAGTGGTTGTATTCGGCCATGTCAACGATACATGGCAAGGAAGTCTTGCAGGAATTCACATACCCGCAAGGATACAAGCAAACAGTAGGCGTGACAATATCAAAACCCCTAGAATCCCTCCACGGGGCAGTACTGCAATTTGCCAAGGATAAGGCTTGATGCATCAAGAAAGAATATGCTTGCATCCGGCGACGTCAAGAACATTGGCGAAGACCTCTTGCAGGAAGACACGTACGCGTAAGGGCAAAAGAGTACGCGCCGCAAATTGATCCTTCCCCAGAGTTTGCAGGTCAGCATTTGAACACAGCAAGCACACAAGCATGCAATTAATTCGCGAAACCAAGTGCCCTCCACGGTGGGTGCAGAGCCAGCTCGCACTCCTTGTAGCACATATTATCAAAAGAGTTCAGTTTTACCTCGTATCCACCAAATACAGATTCACTCTAGCAAGCTCTAGGCTGACATCTCATGACGCACTATTTCCGTTAAAGCTTTGTTGCAAACTCGGTCATTTGGGAATCAAAGTTCACAATCATACCTGGGAAGACTTGTGTGAACTCAGTGACTTGATCAATTGCACGATTACAGCTCAAGACTTTACTCTCACAGGGAAGGATAGAAATGCTGCAACTAGCTTCCTAAGTTTACTTCAACTTACCCGGCGGTCATCGTATATACTCAAGAGACCTTGATAAAACTTTGATGCACTATCTCTATGATGATGAATACACGCGTATAGCATCAGACCGTGCGAGACTGTGGCCACAATCTCTCCGACTCCTCGTCAACCGGTTGAGAAACATTCGAAGAGCTCATCTCGGATTGACTGCCATCTAGAAGACACAAGGCATGTATTGTTTGGCTTGCAGTTCATTCGCTAACTGTCCCATATGTGACCCTAGATCGTGTCTCCTTCACTCCTGTCCATTCGGCACGTCGAAGCTCCGTAGCATTGTAAGCTAACGAGACTCACCTTTCGTCCTCGATGTGTCCTAAAAATCAATTGGCGAACGAGTTGCCACAAAATACCAACGACAACGCAAATATCAAAAAGCAGCTTGAGTGAAAGAGCACGCAGTTGATGGCCGCTCGGACCCAAGCACAAAAAATGAAGATCGAGAGTGAGAACCATCAGACCGAGATCGAGACAATCAAGCGCAACTTGGCAACCAGTGAGGATGTTACCACTGTATACAGGAATGCAAACACAGGGCTTGAGCGCCTGAACCAGGCGCTCGAGAAGAATCTTGAACATTTAGAAAAGAAATGGAAGGCGTTCCGGACCTTGTATTACCCTCTAGGCATGGTTTACGGCACATTGCATGATATAACAGGAAGGCTGAGCCGGGTGTTAAGTTAACATAGACTTTTAACCTAGGTCATAATACGTCACTCAACAACATCTCACTTTCACTTTCACTATCAACTCTTAAGTTCAGTCAGGCTAACGGAAAATGTTCAAATATATCTATACTGCGCCTCGATGTGCCTTATAGCTCACTGTCACTTCCGCTTGAGCAGATTAACGTGCTCGTTCCTCACCTAATGTTTGCTTTGCTGTGCTCCAGCCACAGCCCTCACATCCTCTCTGGCAACGACTTGAAACTTCCAAACAGCCCAAGACAACACTACAATAGCGAGGTTCCTTCACGACGTACCTCCAGCTCCGTCCAACCCCTTTTGGAAGAAGGCGGGGAAAAATGATGCAAGCAACAAAGCAGCAACTCTTCCAGGCTTGCTTTCTAGGAGCAATATCCTAGTACCTAAGAAGACTTCCGGTGCCACTCGACCACAACTCGGCTCATCGGGTCTCTTCAAGCCGCTTTTCTCGGTTCAACCTGTCCCAAAAGGACAGGAAACCATGCTGAAGAGGGAGGCTGACAGCCAGAATGAGACTCCTGCTAACAAATTGCGCGCTATTGTACGTGTGTTATCTTAATCTGGAATGTCAACGCCACTGATTGATCGACAGGCCACTAATTTCGACGCAATGGTGGCTAGGAACGCTACTCTTAAGTTGGATCACGAGCTCAAATACACCAGGCTTGTCGCATTGCGAGGTACGCACAGCCACCCGAGATTGCCGTAATTTCAACATATCGAACATAAAATCAGACCAAGTGAAGCAGCTTGAGTAAGATCAGCAGAAGACTGAGTTGCAGTCTCGGGAGCACAAGGCCAAGAATTCTTCGCTCCAGGCAGAGAACAAGGCTCTCAAGGAGAAGGTCCGAAAGGCGAAGCAGGTCTGGGACGTGTTCCATGGCCTTGGCAACATTCTCGACGAAAATGAAGATTGAATCATAACCGCTGAAATCCTAATGACTTCTGAAGCTTTTGATATCGAAAATGAGCGAAGGGGGCCATGGTTATTGGAGCGGACTTTAGCAGATCGTGGGAAATGGCTGTTCGCCTTATCTGATCTTCAAATCTGATATAGTAGTTGGCTCTATGAGAGACTCTGGAACCCTTTGATGGCTAGAAAGGCATCCAATTTCTTGTCTAAACTTGGTACACCGCTCACATTACCGCATACCGCTCATGTTACCGCACAGAGTATTTCATGCTGGAATCACTCCTTTCGTGCTTGATAAAAAGAAACGCCGCTATTCCTGGCTAGTAGGTTCAGAAACCGCCCACATTATAGTGCTTTATTTGTGAAATCGCGCAGTTTCTGAGAACTTCAGGTGTTCATTGGTCATGTTGGACATTCCTCGGCTCGGGCCCGTAAGACAGATTGCAAGTCTCTACTACGCATCAACTTCCTAATCTGAAGCAGGCCCTTCAACGCCGGCAACGCCTTCACCCCTTCTACCGCCCTCAAGTACTTTACTTTCTCCTGCTACCCATTAATATCATTCCCTTTCTGCTAATCTAACAAACCCCTATAATTAGCGCACTTCCTCCGTTTCACAACGCCCGCAAAGGGATTCTTCTGCGTCACCACCTAGTCAAACATTAAGATATTAATATTTGCCTAGCAAGTTAGCGTCTGTAGCATCACATAGAGGCGATGGTGGCGATGTACGGCCTGCACACGCGACAGAGATTCTGACCGGGAAGAGTAGTTCGCGAGATATTATTCGTGGTGTACAAATTTGCACAGGATATTGAGGCAATGGAGGTGTTGGTTATCTAATTCGGCGAAGTGCGCGTCTGTGCCATATCTTGACCTTAAACATCAAAGAAATGTAAGAAACAGCGAAGAATTGCATAACCCAATTTCCTGTATGCGTACGGTTGTGTTGAATCCTTGCCGAGGCGTAGCACTCGTTCGGAGCTGTTGCCGAATGGTCACACTTCTGAGATAGCTTCCTATGCTGCGTCGACTTCTTCGGAAGGCGCTGCGTAATAGATTGAAATTGGTTCCTGGAAGATCACGCCGTTGATTGCAACATCGTCAGATACAATCTCATGATGGCTGGGAAGAGGAGCTGTGATGACTAGTGGGTGATGTAGTATGGGGGAATGCAATACGTACTATAGGTGTTGTGTTGCATCGCCCTTTCATTCACTGCTGATATGTATCGATACTAGTATGCCGTTGACACCGGCCAGATACTGGTGCCGATGAAGGAAATAACACAATTTGTAAGACATTGACATCGAGGCAAGTCTACGACCATAGTCGACAGCGACTATCGTATGGGGGCAACCACTTGCACCGGGCGATATCAAACATATCGCATCCTCTGATTGCACTCAGGATATCCAATATCCGCGTCAGTAATTTACTTCTGGTTCGCTCACGGTTTGTCTCGAGCGTGCTGTCGCCCCACGAGAACTTTCGTCAACGTATCTCGGTACGGTTGGAGTGTTGAAGAATCGAGTACGCTGTTCCGTGGGTCATTATCTGTAGTCTAGTTCAACATACTCCATATCTAAGCCACATTGCTAAGCCAGTGACATAGTTAGCCTCTCGCATCACCGTCATTCTCCCTCTGCTCCATCTCTTCTTCCTTATCCCAAACCTTGTGCCCAGCTACCCAAGTCTGCAAGACTTCACCCGCCTCATTCAATACACAGAGATCAGCTCTCCTTCCTTCCCTAAGCACCCCTCTTCCACCAACGCCATCAATTCCCATGAAAGCAGCCACGTTCTCCGTGACAGAGCACACGGCCTCCGCGATACCGCATCCCGACCACGACATCAAATTGCGGACCCCCCTCTTGCAAAGGTATGCAACCGCCAATCAGCGTGTCAGTGCCCGCGATGGTGGCCCGCGTTCCGGCCTTTGTTTGCTCAAAGGGGATCTGAGCATGACCGGGATAGGTGCCGTCTGACAGAGAGGCAAGTTCGATGGAATCAGTTATGAGGATTGATCGTTTGGGGTTGTTTTTATGGAGGAGGGATACCGTCGCTGGGTGGAGGTGTTCGCCGTCTGGGATGATGGTGTACCATGGGGTGATTGGTTTGTGCTTAGAGGGGAGCGATATCAATCCTGCTAGACCTGGGATGCGGGAGGCGAACGGTGGCATGGCGTTGAGAGTGTGGGTCAGGCAGGTTGCGCCGGCGTGCAGGCCTGCGAGGCCATCTGAATAAGAGGCGGTGGAGTGGCCCATAGACACTCTGATGCCGCTGGATGTGAGGGTCTTGATGAGGTTTGCGGAATCAGGGATCTCGGGTGCCACTGTCACGAGCTTGACGGAGGAAGAGAGGTTGGAGGCTCCGTAGATGGTAGATGGCGAAGTGTCACATGTCTGGAAGAGCGAGGAATTGTGTGCGCCCTTCTTTTGTGGGTGGAGGTACGGGCCTTCGGTGTGTGCACCGAGAAGAGATGCCGAGTTTGGAATATCGCGCGCTGCGAGGGCGGGCAGGATCTGGCGAGAGTCAGATGTCATCCCTCTCAAGACAAACCAAGGGGAGACTGATGGACCTTCTGGAACTCATGTGCCTCGACGGTAGGTATGGTTGCCCAAAATCCCGTCACGCCTTGGGTAGCATAGTACCGTGCAATCTTGTCTATTTGCTGTGCATAGCTCTTGCCGTCTCCGAAGTGCGTGAAATGAAACCCATTGGCGCCGTTTGTATGCAACTCGAGAAACCCAGGTGCCACGATGTTGTCGTCCAGATCCACGACGTCGCCGCCGATGTACCCGTCTCTCCTCAGGATCATGCCCGTGTCGCCGGAAATGACGAGGTGGTCGGCGACAAATGCGCCATCGAGGACGTACCGCGCGTTGGTGAACAGGGTGAAGCAGCCCGACATGGCAGTGCTCGTCGTGCGGGCGCAATGGTCGTGAGCCTGAGTCGTGCGGGGCCATGGTTCATGGGATCGGAGCAGGGCTAGGCGATGATCCGATGGCGCCCCACTGTTCCGCGCGCGTCGATTGGCTGTCGCCGGCCCCCGCCTTCGTCACAGACATGGGCACGATGCGAATCAGAATCCTAATGCGAGGCGATTGTGGGCGAGCCCAGCCACGAACACACTGTTGCGGCGGCTGTCAAGGGCGATGGAGCCATGGTGGACGCGGCAGCTAGCTGTGGCCGCACGCCCGCGCGGCTGCTGTGGCTTGTGATGACATCACTGTCGACGGGATGCTGCTATAGCCACTTCTTTGACGCGCCGTCGCGCCTGCTGCCCTGCTTTTGGGTGCCACTGACCCGGAGAGCTCCAGTTCTTTAATCAATCCGATCTACCTCCGTCCCTTCCTCCTGCCCCTCCTCATAGCTATACTAATATACCCGCTGCTCACTCCCAGAGCAGGGCTTGTTCTCTTTGTCCGCCAGTCGAGTCCCAGGGCACTGCGGCGTCATGGCAGAGCAGCAGCAGCAGCACGCGCCAGGCGGCCACTATTCGGGCGCCAATCCGGTCCCGACTGTGAAGAAGTTTATCCAGAACCTTGACAAGGACAAGGCCGAGCGGGATCGCAAGCTGGACGAGCAGGACAGGGAGAGAAAGAAGCAGGCCGCAGCGACCGGAGAAGCCCTCCCCCACAAACCACAAAAGGCGGGGCTTGAGGGCACCCAGAAAGTTGTCACGGATCCCACCACGGGCAGGGAGGTCACTATCGAGGATGTTAGCAAGTCGATGATGGATCAGGTCGAGAATCCTCAGCTTTCAGTGCCCAATGCCAACCTCCAAAAGCCCACAGTATGTTCTCATTTCGACAGCTGGGCATCCTGATCTGCTTACACAGTCCAGCCCATAAAGACCGATCCCAGCCAACCGTTAGCGGAATACAAGCACAATCAAGATGTCACCGCCCCTCCTGATCCAGTCGCCGAAGGCACAACTTCCGACGTGCCCATTCATGGCGAGAAGACCAACATCTTGTTCCATCCCACGCCGTCTGTTAGCTATGAGCCCACATTCGCCGCTCTGGAGAAGCGAGCCACGGTCCTATGTGTTGGCATACTAGTAGCCACTGTTGTCGTCGGCAAGATGTTCGGTGGCAGATTGTTGGGTCTCGTGCCTCTCGGCATGTGTCTGTCGTCAGGAGTATTCTTGTGGGTCAAGGAGGTTATCCGTAGTGGAAGGGAAGTTGAGTGGGACAGCGAGAAGACGCGGGGGCAGATGGTACGTCTCCTGCGCCACTGTGTTGGCTGTCGCTAACATACACAGGCCACCGCAAACCTGCTCCCTGAGTCTGTCGAATGGATGAACACAATGCTCGGCATTGTGTGGGGACTGATCAACCCCGATATGTTCCAAGGTGTAGCTGACATGCTCGAAGATGTCATGCAGGCCTCCGTCCCCGGTGTTATCGAGAATGTCCGAGTTGCCGAAATCAACCAGGGAAGCAACCCATTGCGGATTCTTAGCTTGAGGGCTCTCCCGGACTCTCACATGTCAGAGATGAAGCAATCCATCCACGAAGAAAATAAGAAGACGAAAGACCCCCAAGAAGCTGCCGCAGACGAAGAAGGAGGTGATTACTATAACCTGGAAGTGTCATTCGCATACCACGCTCAGCCGAGCGGCAAGCGAGCATCCGACCGGGCGCGCAACATGCACATGCAATTGATATTCTACTTGGGGATCAAGGGTCTCTTTGGTGTTCCGTTGCCAATCTTCGTCGAGCTTCAAGGACTTGTTGGCACAGTGCGATTACGATTGGCTATGACTCCCGAACCTCCGTTCTTGAAGACATTGACTTTCACGCTGATGGGCACCCCTCAAGTCGAGGCAGGCTGCATCCCCATGGTCGAGAAAGGTGTTAATATTCTCAACCTGCCCCTGATCAGCAACTTCGTCAACTATGCTATCAAAGCAGCAGCGAGCAGTAAGTTTTTACGATTTACACCATTGGTTACCAGCCTGTTAACAATCAACAGTGTATGTTGCTCCGAAATCAATGTCACTTGATATGCGCGCCATCCTCCAGGGCGACTCTATCCAGAAGGACACTGAGGCTCTCGGTGTTATGTGGATCCGGATCCACCGCGCGGTTGGCCTCAGCAAGCAAGACCGACGCGGTTCAAAACACGGTGGAAGCGACCCGTATATCACACTGGCGTTCAGCAAGTACGGAAAGCCTATGTATTGTACGCGCGTTATCACCGATGATCTCAATCCTATCTGGGAAGAGACCACGGCACTCCTCGTCACTCCGGAACTCATCAAAGCGAACGAAAACCTTAGTGTCGAACTGTGGGATTCAGACAGGCACACCGCCGATGACATTGTCGGAAAGGTTGAGCTTTCGATGCAAAAGATGATCCAGCACCCAGGAAAGATGTACCCTCAAACTTCCAAGCTTGCGGGTATGGATGCAGACAGCGAAATGCCGGGCGAACTTCATTGGGAAGTCGGTTACTTCGGCAAACCAAAATATCGTCCGGCTCTGAGGACCGACGGTAAGAACCGCGCTCTTCCAGACGAACTGAAAGACGATCCTGCTCTGCAAGACGAGAAGGGTGTCATCAATAACGAACAGGACGACGCAGTTATGCACACACCTCCGGATCCGCTTTGGCCAAGCGGTATCTGCAGCGTTATCGTCCATCAAATCGTAAACCTCGAACTTGATAATATCCAGGGTACGAGTGGCTCCCGCAAGGGCCGCGAGTTTGAGCCGGCGAAGCCTTACGGAGAAGCCACCGAAGAGACAGGTGGCGATCTACCCACTAGCTACTGCACCATACTGTACAACGATGAATTGGTCTACAAGACACGTTCCAAGGCCGTATCCTCGCAGCCTATCTTCAACGCCGGTACCGAACGATTCATCCGTGACTGGCGATCTGGAATCGTCACTGTCACTGTTCGCGACCAGCGCAACCGTGAACACGACCCGATCCTTGGTGTTGTCCCACTGAAGCTTTCCGATGTCCTCGAGACGTCGTCGCAGGTCACACGATGGTACCCGCTCGATGGAGGTATTGGATTTGGCCGTGTCCGCATTTCCTTGCTCTTCCGCAGCATCGAGACGCGTCTACCTCCTCATATGCTCGGCTGGGATGTCGGCAGCTTCGAGTTCTCATCTGATCGTATCCTTGCAGTTGGCTATGGTCACGCCGCGAAGCTCAAGTTGCGAACAGGCGGCAGCACCGGTAAGATCGGTCGGTCCGGAGCTCAGAAGCTCGATGAAGGCGATGGGTACTACTGGGACCTCAAAGCGGACAATGGTAAGCACAATGTTCGCATGCCGGTCAAGCACCGTTACAGATCGCCCATCGTTTTCGAATTCCATGTTGCGAACAAGCGCAAGGCAGCCGCGTACGCTATTATCTGGCTGCAGCATTTCATCGACAATGAGGATGCCGACATCAACATTCCTATCTGGACGACGTCTAACCCCGCACGACTCACTCAGAACTATATCACCGAGGACAACTGCCATAACGAGCCTGGACTCGAGGATCTCCAAGAGCTCGGACGTCTGCAATTCCGCGCACGGTTCAAAGCCGGCATGGACGAGTCGCACGAGCAATTCATCGTGGACAATGCATCTCGCGAGACGTACGAGACCTGGGAGGCCTGCCTCACCGAAGGCGTGCGCACCCGCAAGGTTGAGAAGGAGCTCCCAGAGCGCATCCAACAGCTGCACAACGAATCGCTCACCGAAGGCCGCGATATCCTCAAGAACGCCGACCCAGAGGAGAAGAGGAAGTGGCTCGCGAAAGACGGTATCGATTGGTCCGGCGCTTTCGGCCAGGACCCTAAGGCCTATCTTGATACAAAGGGGAAGAAGAGGAGAGAGCCTGGTAGAGACGAGCCGCTTCACGACCCCTACCATCCCTCTGATGACGAGGATCATGATGATTCGGGGTTGGATTCAGAGTCTTCGTCTGATATTGGAGTAGAAGATGCGGATACCGCTGGCCACGCCGGTAACATGTCCGGCGGGCCCGGCGGTGGCAAACAAGCTCGCAAAGGCAACACGGATGGCAAAGATCAAAGCACCGGTCAGAACGGGAACCAGAACAGCAACGGAAATGGGCCGAATGGACACCTCAAACATCAGGAAACCGACCTGTCGCCTACTTCGCCGACTTCGACTCGCGGTCCGCGCATGTCACAGTCCACGGCGCGCACCGACACCACGGCCGATTCTAGTGGTGGTAATCTGTCGCCACAGAGCAGCAAGAGCATTAACAAGCAGAATAAGCGTACAGAGGAGCGCAAGCAGCGCGGCATGATGCAGTGGAAACCCGCGCGCAATGCGAAGTTTGCAAAGGACCAGGCGAAGCTTGGTATGGCAAAGCTGAAGAAAAAAGTCACGGGCGACCTGGACGGCAGACAGCCAGGTGTTGAGACTGGTAAGTACTTTTCATATATACTCTGCACACATGTGAATCTGTAACTAACCATGCGCAGAAACTGGGACTTAATCGCTTAATGAGTGGGTGAATGGCATCCCCCTGGTCTCACGTTAGGGCTGCCGTTAGCCTGTTGGCGCTTTACGTTCGATTCACGATGTTCAAGTGTTATGGATACGTCTTTTGCATACATGCGGAGAGCTTACGAATGGGATGTTTGTAACAGTAATTTACACTTCCATACTTATTGTACTCTCACTGTGTCATCACTCTTACCGTATGCACCTTGTCCTCATAGCCGCAACGCCCCGTGACGGAACCTGCATCAGCGGCATCCTTCTTGACGTGCACATCCCATTGTGGCTAAGAAGGTAGCGAAGGCGTTCGGCCCGTATACCAGCCGCCGTGGCGCCGTTGAGGATGTTGGTGAATGTGACGGTGAAGTCACACTAGAACCTGAGAGCCCTGTATATCGAAGGCGGCCCGACATGGACGACGCGACGGCTCGTAGCGTACGTGAGCTTTTAGCGAAATGCAGCCTGTACACTTTGACGGTGTGATATAGCCGCGGTGCCGCCGTTGGCGCCTATGGGAAATTTTCTTAGAGCATGCTTTGTTGTTGGATCGCCCCCCAACGTCGATAACGGTGCGTTTTCTTGTAAAGATGTAGCTCCATTCGACATGGTGCGCTCCGTAGTATATTGCGGCGAGACAGCGGCAGGTGCGGGCTTCAAGGTCCCGTGCGGGAAGTTCGTCACGATGGCTTTACATGTGCGGCACATTAGTCTGCATTACTGTTACGTCTATAGGCGTCAAGGATGTCTGTCTGCCTGGTGGAAGTGCTGGAGAGGCCCACTGTCTTCATGGATCAACTGAGTATTGTAGTCGTTTAGTGGGCTTTGTCTGAGTAAGACAGTGTCCGACGATCCCACGCACAGCGCGAACGTAGTGAGCACGAGAGTATTGGGTTCAGGCAGCATTGCTGCACCCCGGCCCGCTACTGTAGTCGGGTAAGCCAAACCCATGTCACCCCTCTCTTCTGCACGAAGTGTAGGTGACTCTAGACTGATAGAGCAAGACCAGGAAGGCTTATCCTAGCTTGCCTGGACAGTAACTCGGCTGAGTCCATCATGCGACGTAGCTTTCGGCATTCAAATCTTACTAAGGTATCTCGTCCATGACCTTGATGTCTCATAGTCGCTAACGCCTCGAGGTGCAGGGCTCATGGTTTAGAATCAATGGAAAGGATGGAGAATTATCTTCAGCGTCAAGATTTCGGTACTACATTGCGTGGGTAGGGACAGCATGGGCCGCCCTGTGTCTTAAGCCTTCTGACGTCGTTCCGTAGATTTCAAATACCACGCACAAGCATGATGTTAGATGCCTTTACTTTCATTTGAAAGCCCTGATGATTCGGCTGTGATATTTGTGACCCTTACTTCTCTGGTTGACAGCTTCTAGCAACTCTTCAGATGTTCGTGTCGCATCCAAGGTGCGGTCCGCTGTGCACCTATGCCACAAGCTGAGCGTGGCGCATCGCCTGCGCACAGTCACAGGTCGAGGCAGATAGGGCTGCCCTGCATAGCGCCGTCCTCTGGGGTTGGAAAGCAGTTGCTGTGCCGCAAAGATAGACCACTGGTCAACGGAACGGCAAAACCACCTTCGCCTTGTGCTGCGGCACGGCCTGTGTGGCTTGAGTGTAGCCGAGACAACGACGTCTCTCAAGAGGGAGATTGGCCTAGATACATATTAGTAGATCAGCAGGTAGGCACCGAAAGGTGGTTCAGCTCTCAATTCAGACCGCGCGTCCGGCACTGTTCAAAATCGATGTCGTAGGCAGCACAAGACTGGGCTGCTTCAGCCCTGGATTAGGACGTCTTGCGGCCTAAACAATGGTCAGTACGATGGGCGAATCGTGAAGAGATATAACGCATCGCATGCCTTGCGCCTAATTCGATGGTTGCAGCAAAAGTATTGGATGGACCGCGTGTTAACAAGAGCGAACGTTGGATTAACGCACGCGGCGCGCAAGCCTGGACCGGGTTCAGGCCAAGGCACTCGCATGATCTCGGTTGGACGCAGCTGTTCTCGGTCATGTGACTGTGCATCTGCAAGGCTTGGGATCGCCCTTCATGCAGGGCAGCGATCGCTATGGGTGGTCGAACTGCATGCCACTATGCAGCGTTATGCAGCCTTGTGGCATCGAGGAACGTTGCTGGCACTTGCGCACTACCTCCCCAAGGGTATTCCAAAAGTCATCTCGCGGGCGTGGGCCGATATCAATTTCTCGATGCAAGCAAGATACGGGGAGTAAGTAGTCTTGGGAAACTTTCGGCCTTGCTCGAGGCGTTTTGGTAGACAGCACCGCCGTGGCGGCGAAAGCCGTGCGGGCGCTTAACAATTGGTCTCCCGGGGTGATCGTCGCGATATTATGCGCTTGTCTGAAAGGCCACAACCCTATTCCGGGTTTTTGGAAGATGGTTAGATCCTTACGAGAGTTATAGGGTGGTCACAGATAATATCAGGCTGCACCTTGTGCCATACGATGCATGCGGCCAATGTGCACTGCAATGCTTCAGAGGTCCAGCTGGCATCCAGCCAAGTGGAGGCTTTCGGTGTGCCACGATCACTAGGGCTTCTGGCTCGCACGAGGTCCATCGCTGCGTCAGGATTTGACAACCTGGTGTTGACCGCGAGGTAATGCATCGGCCGACTATACATGAGTGTCTTTCCAAAAGCCGTTGCAATCTTCTTTAAGCGGCAAATTTCGGCTGGATGGTTAATTCCAAAGCTGCTGCGAGACCGTCGCACACGGGAGCGGCCGGCCGGCGCTGGAGTGATCGTAGTTACGAGTAGTACTATCGTACGTTTCGACCTGGGCTAGCGGTGGCTCGAGGCAAACCTGCTTACGCCTAGTAACAGTCGCCAATTGAAACCAGGGCGCCAATTTCCTCTGAGTGTCGGCCTAATTGTTGATGTCCTTCCCCACAGGCTGACGCCCGACGAACTTGTCCGCAAGGGTGGACTTCGCAATGATGTCTCGAGCGATTGTAGAGCAATCGGCTGTCTCGACGCTAGGAACGATGTCGAATCTTGACGATCGCTCTGCGGAGACTACTTGGGCGCCTAAAAGCCAGTCGCCTAGCGTTGGGTCGCAAGGCTCACTGTTGTTGACGCATGGTCAAAGCATCAGATACATCCCGACCTTCTTTGAGAGCGTCCTCCCCTGATTGCACTTCGGGATGCGCATCTCAAGATGGACCCATGCTGCAAGAGGTGGTGTGTGCTGCCTCAAGTATTGGTCTAACAAGACGCCCTCGCGTAGGTAGACAGCGGAACGATCAGGTCATTCGGTCGTATCATTCCCAGATTATTGTCTCGGATAGTCTCATTAGACTGAACTAAATCTCAAAGAGAGCGAGCGAGAAGTTCAAGATTGCGCTCGGAAAATGGGGCTCGGTCGCTCAGTCGAATGGCCAATCCTCACTGTACAAATCGATACCGAAGTCCCTCAGCTCTGACCTGCCAATATTGAGACACGTGGACAGTTGTCGAGCTGCAAAGTCTCCTGCTGCACAAAGGAAAAGGTTCATTAATGGTAATACTGGCCATGGTCCTCCCTACGTCAGCGCAACATCCGCCCTTGATGCCTTGTTCGTAGATGGTGCGACCCTTGTTCTTGTCTTCCTAGCTTTGTTGTGCCACCGGAGCAATGAGCCGCCTTTTGTGACATCGGCGAGACCTCATGTTGGCAAATGTTCTGGGTGGGATCGAACTTGATGTGCGGAGCCAAAAGAGTAGCCATGCATAAATAGAGGAAGTTCTCCTATACCGGACGCACGCGGGTTGCGTGGGAGACGCACCAATGCGGCGTTCAAGTAATATCGATGCAACGGAAAATGTTGTCCTCAAAGCCGCTTGCAAATTCCACCAAGCGTCATGGTCCTTGCCCCGAACACGTCCATGTGCGAACGGAGTGGAACGCGTGCATCGTAACGACCGTCGCGTGACTGATGTGCATCGTAGACGAGGCCAGATTAGCGCGGGATTTCCTCTGCGCGTACAACGAGAGCGTGCCGCCAGGCAGGCTGATTCAGAGGAACCTCCGAAGGCTTCTGTCGACGGCTGCAGCAAGTAACGTCTTGCAGCGAGAGAGCAGTGCTTTGAATGTAAGGATGGTTTGAGCGCGAGACCCGTGCGGTTGTGATGAGAAGCTACGAGAGGAAATAAGTGTAGAGTGATGGTTGAGTGCGGGTCGTCACGTCATGCCTGCCATTTTCGCGGGCGCCGAACGCTCTTTCCGGCACTTCAACGCTGCGCTAATCAATCTCAGGCGTTGTGAATGTGCTCAGTGCCGACGACGATTTCTCAAGCGGCCCAGATCAGATATAAAAGTCTTTCACTGATTGGACGGTTTACATATGGAAGCAAGAGTGGTCCTTCGATATAAGAGATCTAAAAGTGGACTGCAGATAACAAGTAACACCCCCCAACAAATACCGTCCGTCGCTGAGTTGAAAATTTGGTTGCCGCCGTTGTATGGAAATTAAGTGGCCAAATGAATGCCGTTTGCCGCAGTGCTCTCTCGGTACGTGTGTGGACTGGACTACACACGCTCGAAGCGCAAATGACGATATAGTTCGGATGCAAAACATCTATGTACGGCCTGCGAGCTGTCGAATGGTTAGCTGTATGTTGACAAGAAAGATATCGTAAACTTACACGGCACGCCTGGCATACTTCATTGGGGGAATAGAACATGAAATCGCGAGTATGGCCGTCCACTACAAGGGCATACTTGCATTGGTATCTGTAGTAGTCCCCTCCTGAGGCACCGGTTCCGGACATGTTGGTAGAGTAGACTAGGTCGACCTTAATGATGAGGTTCGAAGATGTCACGGGGTATGAAGACTGTGAAGTAGATGAAGGATGTGGTGAAGAGAGTCGTTGGTAAACACGCTCAGATTTATATGTTATGAGTCTACCATCTCATTGTTCATCACAGTGCATCGCTGTGCCGCGAGGCTTCCATTCATCTCGAGGCAGGTACAGTTGGGCAGATTCTATGTAGGTGAGAGACATGGCCATCACACTGCAAAATGAAGCTTCTAAGCTGCCTATGGTACCCTTCGGGAACGATGGGCGTTTCCCGCAATTCTCGGCAGTGTAGGGATCTCCTACGCCGCAAGAAGTACCGCGGGCGAAAGCCGCGCCACTCCCGACATCGCGGTGCACCACGAGGCAGCAAGACAATTCGAGACATCGGGCGCAAGGCCAAGCTTACGTCCGAAAGTGCTGACGAGAGGCACCGTTCGTTTTTCGGTGTTGTGACGCTGAAGCCTGCCTTCGTAAATAACCATGATCGGTGCAGTAGATAAGCGGCCGAGGCGTCGACCACCTGACCAAAAGTTAGGCCAAGAAAAGGAGACTGTAAAATAGACCTGAAATTGGAAAGTTTGAGTCTGTACGAAGCGCTATTCGAACAAGGACCGGAGTCGTGATGTTTTTTCCTGGTCGAGTCATGTGTAAGGATCTACTCAGACTCTACACTTGAGCTACGAACCGTTCTAGGAGACTATGCATCGTCTTGTAATCGAACGGGAAGAAGACGAACCCATCTAGTGTTTTAAACATCTCGAAGCTGCTTCGGAATCTACTATCCATTGTTTCCGAGCATGACAAACCTTATGAAGAACCTGCGGCACTTTGCGTCAAATTTCCGCGTTCTCCACACCGCGGATCAGGAACATCCTTCCGAAAAAGCGAGATGCATAAAGTTCGTGGTATACGGCGAATGTTCGCGTGATTTTCATGTGCTCCACAAGCGCTAGACAAGAAAGGGTGCGACAGGAGAGCGATATGGACAAAGCCATGGATAAAAGGGGTCCGGGGTTCGCAAGGAAGGTCCTTGTAAACAGCTTCCTTCATCGGGAAAATTGCCAGAAATTGCCTACGTTCGCATTCCTAAACCTAACACTTGCTGCTGATCGACGATGTGCAACGTGATGGCTAAAGTTACCTGAATCTTAGCCGCTAGACATAGATACCACAGCTTTCTTGTTCACCACCCACTTGTTCTTGAGTAATCGATACTTCCATCACCGTACAGCAGTGTTCATGTTCCCATCGACAGTGTCGCGATTCAGGTCATCTGGCGATCTTGTCGTTTGAGCTGTCTGAAAGCGCCTGGTCGCTTAGGTTCTTGAATTCGTATATCTAACGACCACATCAGATCTGACTAGATAGATCTGCGAAGAGATGTAGCTCACCAAAGGACTAGAAGAGCATCACGACATTAACATATGCAAGTCGTTATCATTAAACATAGCACCATTCACACCAGGGGTATACAATCTTAGCCAAAAGCAATCCACCACATCCACCCTACTCCACACTCGGCACCTGATCCTCTACCCTCCGTAAAAGCGGCACCCGCTCCGCATCCACCACCTCGTCACCCTCCGGGTCCGGATACTTGAATACAGCATACTCGCCGCCCGCCACTTTCTTCACCCTCCAGGTCCCCGCCTCCTTCGCCTCCGCAAAGAACGATTGGTTTTCTTCGAACGTCCGGCCTCCCGTTTCCGGCAGATATAACCACGTCCACAGCCCCGCGAGTGCGTTAGACACGGCGAAGATGCCGAATATGAAGTACGACAGGTTGTTGAACATAACGGGCGTCAGAAACGTGATAGCAAAGTTGGCCAGACCCCATACGATCACCGATATCGCGGTGCCCTGGGAGCGAGCAGTAGTAGGATAGATCTCCGTAGGAATAAGCCAAACAGTTGTGAGCCAGCCGATGCCGAAAGCCCCCGTCGCAATAAACAGCACTATTGTGCCGAGGAGGCCGGGGACGAAGGTGGGGATGTCGAGTTTGGAGGAATTCTTGGCGAGGCCGCCGAAGAGAGCGAGCAAGAGGAAGGAGATGCTGAGGAGGAAGGAACCTTGGAGGAGGAGTTTGCGGCGGCCGAGGGCGTCAATCAGCAGCCAGGCGACGGTCATGAGGAGGAAGTAGGATGTATAGTTCGCGAGGGTGAGGTACTCGGCGTCTCGGACGGGGAAGCCTAGGAGCTGCCATGTATTAGCTTACACAATCAGGATCTCATTGCGATAAACGCACCTCGAAAATTTGAGGCCCATAAACGGATACTGCTCCGTAGCCTGTCAAAGCCTGGTTAATTTGACCCATGACAGTGATCACGGTCGGATGGAACTGCGGATGTGAAGGAGTGATCATGTCCAGATATCCAACATGCTGGTCCTTCTCTTTCTCGTGAGCGTCCAGTAATTCATCAAGCTTGCTGTCACCCTCGTTCCCATATATCTCGTTCAGCGCTACTTGAGCATCCGTCTCTCGGCCGTTGTAGATAAACCATCTTGGAGACTCTGGGAGCTGCTCGACGAAAGCCATCAAAAGTATTGGGTATACCTGCATGACGATTATCGGTAGTCTCCAAGCCCATTGGTTCCACTTTCCCAGTGCTACGGTAATACCCAAGTTGATGCTGCATATATGTCAATTGCAGTCTAATCTCCAAGCCCTCTAGATACTTACCCAAAAGCCATAAGCAGCCCGAAGATATTGCTCTGGAACTCCTGAGCCAATGCCTTCCCGCGGGCTTCATCGTTAGATAATTCCGAGCTATAGGTAGGAATGACAGAGTCAATCCCACCGACACCGATGCCCATAACGACTCTTCCCGTCAACATGACTGCCAGAGCACCTTGTGTATTCCTCAATCCGGCAAGGAACATGAGAAGATTGCCCAGAGAGGCAGCTGCGAGGCTGAGGAATATCGAGCGCTTTCGTCCGAACTTGTCAGCCAGCTTCGAGAATATGACGGCACCGACGGCGCATCCGAGATAGTATATTGCGACGATAACGCCGACAATGGGCGAAGATTCGAAGATACCCATTGTGTGGAGATAGTCATAGTTCGTGTTGACTGTAGTGTGAATACACAGTCAGCATAGAATGTTCGTGATGGGAAGGTATAGCTACACTGTGCTCTGGGCGTTGCGTCTCTCATTTCATGCTAATGCACTTCGCTTTGTAAAAGAGCCTTACGTACTCAAAGACATCATGCCCTGGTCGTATCCATAGAGGGCAATGGCGGTGGAAGAGAAGAGCACGACGTGCGTTTGCTTGTTGTGATACGCATCACGCGCATGGTCAACGAGGAAGCTCATGGTGATGGGTGGTCAATTGGGCCAGCGCGGGGCAAAGGATGACAGAATTCATGATCGCGGCATGGGAGATTGAGTTGGAGTCTATCGCGGGTCAGGTGGGCCGGATGTGGGATCGCCCTAGCGAGAGTGGTGAGGATCTGAGACGGAATGACGCTGTCGCGCAGCCGAGGCAGATCTAGCAAAGCGCCGTGGCGCTTATCCAAGCCCCACCAACACCCGTCACTCCTACGTCGATATAGTCTATAAATGTTTCAGCCATTAAATCGTACGTCGTTGGTAGCTCTCACTGCTATGAAGAGTTGCCGCTGATGCCTGGCCTCATGATAGAAGAAGACTCATCTTTACACTCCCCAATGTCTACATTACCTCGATAGGCTGAATACAGAGTGTCCCCATTTCTTGTCAAGTGGTCACACTGCACTGTATGAACCGGTGACTCGTTGAAATCAGGTGTGCCCTGCTATCGGTCGTTGTACTGTACCCTGTAGAAGTGTCATCACACTGGGACTTATCGGAACGCATGCGTTGTATTTATGAGGTTTGACCCGCATTATGGGAAATTCATGCGCTTGTGTCGACGATCACATTGACAAGGATTGTAGCTTTTGAGAAGATTGATCTAGATGTAGGTCTTGGCTAAGTCAACGAAGTATGTTGTTCCAAGCCGATACTAGCCAAGAAGCTGTACATGTCTTAACCATCTCCAACAGACTCTGTTATCTATCATCGAAGACCAGAGAATGCGTTTCTGCGGATCGAAGATCGAATGAATGACCATCCGAGCGTGTTCATCTTCAACTTTCCTGAGCTCATCACTTTCCATTGATGTTAGCGTCTCAAGCCGCCCATAGCCTCACGGAAAGTCTCGAGGCCCTTCTCTAACATAGCCATACGAGACTCCAGATGAGCACGCTTCTGTGTGATCTCAGGCGGCTCCGCAGCAACAAAGGAAATCTCTTTCTCGGACATTGCGGTGACCACGAGAGGGGACAGAATTATGTTGGGAAGGGGCTCGACGAGGTGACGCTCGATGCACTCCTTGCAAACGGAGGCGACGAAGTACTTTAGCTCGTCCTATAGTCTGTATCAGTAATTATTGATGTATGGTATGTAATTTAAGAAAATATACCTTGTAGTAAGCGCGTTCGTAGTCCAGTGCCTCCCCAGCACTGAATCTATCCATGTCCTGCTCAATTGCCGTTGACATAGCCTCTCCAAGATCATCCGGCTTGATCAGGGTTTGGAAACTGCCATCAAACATGAGTTTGTTTTCCGTAATAGCCTCTGCTGCTTTCTTTCCAATCTTCTGGTGCTTCCGCTGACGCTGCTTTTGAAGCGTAGTCGTGAAGTAGTCTATCGCGATCAACGCAATGCCTTGGAGGACGAATTATGTGCTAGACTTACGGTTGTACGTCATAGGATGGCGCGCCTTATCCTTGATGAGCTTGGCCAACTCATCCTTGGCTGCAGCTAGAGACGACTTGAGAGCAGCATCGACGCTCAGAGCAGTGATACGCGGAAGAAACTCACCTGGCGCAGCGTACTGGAGAACTTTATAAACGAATCCCTCACAGATATCAGCTACGCCATTGATATGTTCTACAGCAATCTTCTCCCACGGCTGTGACTGCTCCCAGAATAGCTGACTGATCAGCATGGGCTGGAAAGTACCAGGCAATTCGTAGCCACGCGAACGTTCAAGCGTCTTTTTCACCCATTCAATAGCTTGTTCACGTGTGAACATCTTTGGCTTCGGAAGGTCCAACAGGAGATCCTTGGAAATGCGCCCGAGCTCTTTCTCATCTTTCAGGATCTCGGCCCGCTCGTTGGGATCATCGCCAGGGCCTATGCCAACAGAATATGTGTGACCATGAAGCCGCATGTTCTCAGCGAAGGTAAGATTTCGATGCTGAATCACTGCTCGAAATCGGGAGATGTTCACCTTAGCATCGACTTTGGCGTTCATATCGATGGCTCCAAAGAAGTTGCTCTCATAAAAGCCTGTGTAGGGACAATCAGCGATACGCCAGTATGGAAGAAAATGCGAAATGACCTTTGACGGCACTATTAAGAATGCTGTTAATCTGCATAGACACTTTCATGAGCATCATGCGCTGTTCAGGAATGGTTGATCGCTTCTCTCCAAGCTTGGTGATCTCATCGCTCGTCGCCTGTAATTTCGTGTTCATCTCTTCTTTCAAAGATGGCAGCTCTTTGATGAGATGGGTGAGCAGAAGCTTGCTCAGACGCTCACGCAATGACTCGATGCCCACACAATCACGAGGGAGATCCACGTAGCGACCTTTGCTGAAGAACAGAGCCTCAGCCTTATTGCGCTCAACGAAAGTGAAGTCCATTTCGTTGTCGCCGCGGTTTTTGAGCATATGCCAGCCTCGTTCAAGATAGACATCCTTGTTCTGCGCGATCTCAATCCAGCTCAATTCGTTTTCTGTACCCTCGCGCAAGTAGTCCGGCTTGGTGATGATACCAAGCGTGCGCTTGTTGTCTTGATCCGCCTTGCGCGCATAGTCAACGATGAGCTGGTTGGCCATGTCATTCTTCGCGCTGACAACGGCCAGGATGATCGTGCGCGGGTTGCTAATGTACTCCTTAACCAAGTTGAGAATCAATTCTTTGTCGGATTCGGTCTGAGAGCGATTGCTGCTATGGATTAGACCCGGAAGATCGACCAAAGTCCTGGATTCATATGAGACACGTCAAGAACAAAAATTGCATATACGTGCAATGCTTACAGCTGGGGACGATCTGGGCCGTCAATCTGGACTGAGAGGACATCGCGAGAGAAAGCCCTCGAACCAATGCCACCAACTACACCAAGACCCATGGCTTGCGTAGCTTCTTCGATAATGTCCGGGAGCTGGTTGAAGTCATCGATGGTCTTGCTGAAAGATTTGAGCTTCGTCTGCTCCTGCTTGGGGCGCAGCTTGTCCGGTGTTATCGTGATTGAGATAGTTGAGTTGGGTGCGCGGCGAAGAATGATCTCGGTAGCAAATCGCGTGCACAAGTTCTCTTTACGCGGAAACGGAATCTCTGTGATGGCCTCTAGGACGCTCGATTTGCCAGACGATTGGTCACCGCATACCTGTCACAGAAATTAGGTCGGCTCACAGTGGGAAGTATTACACGCAAAATACCTACCACAAGCTGCGGAAGCTCGACGATGCCGCTGAGACCCGTGCGACGGAGCTTGTCCACGATATCCATAACCTTGCGCTGGTCTTCATTCTGAAGAGCCCTGAGCGAGCTCGTGGTCACGGCATCTGGGTCGATAGCCATGGGCGTGACAGGTGTGACTGCTCAACCTTCCTCAGTGTCAGAGGTATCCGAAGGCATGCAGGCTGCAGTGCTAAGCTTCAGTCGGTTCTTGAGCCTTAGTGTTGGTTGTTTTATGGGACGGCCGCGTCCTGTCATAGAAAGGGCACAATAAGAGAAATTGAAACGTGTGGTGCGCGGGCAGAGGGCCAACTTTAGGCGGTGGAATTGCGAATTTAAAGATTGGTCGCGTTTGAAGTGAAGGTGAAGAGAACAAGATAGCAATAGGAAAGACCGCTTGTCCAATCAAACTCAGGGTTGGGAAGAAAGCCGGTGATTGACTTTGAATCACGGTTGCGGTTGCAAGCATACAGCGAGCCTGCGACAAAGGCGGAGTTTCGCAGGATACCTTGGCAAGTCGTGTCTCATATCATGAGTTGATGTTTGCCTCGCAACCTACCCTTGTCATCCGAGAATGTTTGACCTTCGTCGTTCGCTGTAGGGATGATCAAGTAAACGGAGCGTGGAGAAGCTGTTGTCTCGAATCCAGGGTACGGTGGATCATTCGAAGAACGGAATATTTCCGCTGGCTACAGCTTATTTTTGCACTTCCATGGATTGAGTTCTATAAAGTACAGTATGCGTATCATAGTCGCGAGAGGTCCTGCCGATCGCTATATCTTAGGATTACTAGGCACACTGTTTTGCAGGTAGTCCCAATCCTCCAACGTATACACAACGAACCCATCATCGTCATTGCTTGCTCCTTTCACATTATTCAACGCAGAAGGATTCCAATAGATAGTGTCGTACCTGATACTGTCTTTTGCCAAACCAGCTTTCGCGCTCTCCATATCTTTCCTCTCTTGCAGTTTCCTCAGATCAATACCATCGTTCCGTAGCGGCACCTTGTTTTGCTTGTTATTGTGCATGGTGGTGATGTCGTTCAGCACCCGAAGGAAGACTGGAACAGCGTATTTGGGCAGTTTCGCGCGTGAGTGCGCGAGGAGAGCGTTGAAGTCAAACTTCGGCAGCAAAGCAGGGTCGATGTAAATTGCTGCACAGCCGGCGCGCCCGTCGTGTCCCGGTACTTGGACGCCGTAAACGTTCGCTTCGACAACACCTGGGAAGTGGCCTAGTACTTCGCTGACCTCGGCAGTGCTAACGTTCTCGGACTTCCAGCGGAAAGTATCGCCTAACCGGTCGAGGAAGAACCATCGGCCGTCCTCGTCTCGTCGAAGTGCATCTCCTGTGCGGTAAAACAGATCGCCCTTTTTGAAAACGTTCCGCACGAACATCTTGTTCGTCGCTTCGGGATTCTTGTAGTATCCGACAAAGGCCGCCTCGTTCGGCAGCCTCACCAAAATTTCACCGCCCTCTTCGTACGGTTTTCTCTTGGCGAATCCGGTCTTCGAATCCCGGTAGATTGCGTTCGTCTCGAAGTCTATCTCCACCGGGATGTAGATATCGTACGTCTTCCTTCGCATGATCGCACCTTGGTGGCCGACTGCAGTGGCCTGGAAAGGTCCACGACAAATGTTCATCAGCGACAGAACACCTTCTGTACTATTAAAGAATTCGGCCACCGTCTCTATGCCAAACCGCTCCACGAAACGATGCCATACATCCGGTCTCATGCCGTTCCCAAACATGACCTTGACGTTGTGCTGCTTATCCAGAGGACTTGGAGGGTTCGCGAGGAGATATCGTGCGGTTTCTCCAACGTAAACGAATGCGGTCGATCGTGAGTCGCGGACGTCGGTCCAGAACTTCGATGTCGAGAACTTCTTCCCAATGCAGAGTGTCACACCAGAAAGCATGCAAGATAATGCTGTTGTGCCCCCCGTGCCGTGGTATAGCGGCATAGGAACATACCACCGATCGCCACTCGGTCCAGGTCTCATGCCTAGGTCCTTCGTTCGCCCCACTGCAATAACGCCAGCCCTCTGTGTCTCAAATGGGCACGCTTTGGGATGTCCAGTCGTACCACTGGCGTTGTCAGTATCCTTCCGATGTAGCCAGGCTGCTTGTAGACAGACCTCGTGTAGAAAAGGAATATGGGGAATGTGCCCGTCACACCAGCGCGATATTCGTCCTCGGGTCTCTTTGGCTCCATGCGCAGAATCTCGCCCTTCGTGTGCTTGTCCAGTATCCTTATGGTCATTCCCAGCTCTCCCTCAATCCTGTCACGAACTGCTTCTATCCGTGCCTGCGCTTCCGATTCCTCGTCTACGAGCAGCAGTTTACCGCCTGCAACTTTCAGACAATGTACTAGGGCATCTCCTGCCAAATGGTGGTTGATGAGGGCTGGCGCCGATCCTACACCCCACGATCCCAGATGCGCGAACATGAAGTCAGGCTGGTTCGTCAAGTAGAGCGACACCAGCTCTCCAGGCTTCACGCCATTTTGTAGGAAGTATTGCGCGTATCGGCATGCGTTCGCATACGTCTCTCCCCAGGTGTAGCATCCTGTTCGTGACCAGATAGCTTCGCTCGACTCGGGTTGCTGATGTGCTTGCGCTTCGAAAAAATACCAGAGGCTTCTACCTCCGTGCTTCTTGCCTGGTGCGCCATGTGCGTTAGCAAAGCTCCGATGACAGTGGGCAAGGGTCCAAGTGGGGCCAACGTACATGCGGCATCGAACTCGCGTTGTGATGCTTTTGATCGTCGGAGGGTGCTGAGATCGTTGCGGATGTGGAACTTGGCGTCGAGGTAGGCGGCGCCAGCTGTGGCTCCTGCAATTGCGCCTGCGATGGGTACTAGGATTGCTAGGTCAGTTTCTGCGTGCAATGCGGAGAGGACTCCAGCTCACGGATAGGAAACGAACCGAGAGCCATGATAAGTCGCTTATTCGAAGCTTGGGAGGGCAACTATGAACCAGAAGAGCAGCTATGGAACATGGAGGACGGTACCAACAAAGGATATGGGAACAGAGGTATATGTATACATAAGCCGGCAGTTCTCCACGGTTCCCCAGAGATAGTTTGATCCCCATGTTCATGCCGACGCACGTGACTCTAGCCGAGAGCCCCTCGGCTTGTTGTTGACGAGCGCCGATCCTTGGGCCCCACAATTCGACATCGAGCACTGCTGGTCGTGGGCATCTTATTGCTGCCGCTTCATACGTGAAATAACAGCAAAGACTGTCTGAGTGCTTGTTTGAATATACATGCAGACTTGAAGTCGCTATGGTGATGACGAGGCCCTTCCGAAACGGCTCTCCGATGGCTGGCATCTAATTAATGGTAGGTCGCGATGCATTGATGTCTTTCGAAAACATGTACTCTTAGATGCATAATTTCCTTTGAAGAGCTAGAATGTAAGAGGATAGTCTGGGGTATGTTGAAGTGCAACGTAAGTAAAGACAGCTGAGGGCGTACAAACGCATCTAAGATGCCGGCAACATAAAATGAGGCCATGCACCCACCCCAAGAATCCTCGAACTCGAATTCGAGTAACACGTTCGAAACCTTGCTTATGGCTTGGGTTGGAGGGGCGTGACCGGCTGCCGCGCCTCGCTGTTGACGAGGACATCGTGGTTTCCATCCCAACGCGCCGCGACTTCCTCAATTGGCCAGGAGATTGCGCCGCTCACTATACGACAACTCCTCGCTGCGCGCGACCTTCCGTCCACTATTGCGTCGCGGTCTCCCACCATCTACAAGGGACGCTCCGTGATTTCCAGTGCCTAGTCCTGTGCACAGTTGCTATCAAGAGCCACGCCTTGCGAGCACCCCTCTTCTTATCAAAACATCGACCAACCCAACAACATACAAGGTGTATAGCATAGCGGCCACGAAACGGTCGTTCTCTCACTAAGCAACCTGCAGGACAGATTACGCGCCATGGTGGGCCGCCGCGACGCTCCCATGTACCACTGCGGATTGTGCTCAGACGCCTTCACCTCCAAGATCGCGTGTGTATTTGCGAGAACCTCTGAATCAAGTCAAGGTCGCTGAGCATAAAATAGGTACAATAGACATATGGCGGACCACGAAGAGCACGAGACGCCTCAATGGCCATGCTCATTATGCCAGTTCAAGTTCAGCGACTCGTACGCGCTCGAGACGCACAAAGCCCAGACCGGACATAGAAGTGTTGATTACCCTTGCGACAAGTGCGGCAAGATCTTCCAGACAGAGACGAAATTCAGGCAGCACGGCCAGTTCCCTTCGCCGTGTTATGCAGACGCTTCTCGCACGCGTCCCATCCGAAATACATCAGGTAGCCAGACTATACAGAAGGCTGCAGTGGCGACAACGGCACGAGGACGAGGAGGCTATGTCGATCTTGATACCCCTGTATCAGTGGACGCTCCAGCTGGTAAGCATCTTCGAGATCACTCATTGAAGGTTTCACTCAACGTATGTTAGTCCTGCCGTATGGCAACTCTCCGGACCCTACCACCAGGTCATCTACGCCGAGCAATGACTCCGGAGTCTACTGTCATGATTGCAAGCGCAGCTTCGCGTCTGAGGCTCTCTACACCCGACATTGTCTGTCATGCGCAGTTCAAAATCGGCCTGTAGCAGATCCAAAGCCCGCTGCAGATGCGACTCATCACGCGCGTGCTGCAAAAAATATGTCTCCTGCCGGGGCTACGCGTCCATTGGAATCCCAGTCAACCGGTAATGCGTTTGCTCGTCTCCATCAAGCGCCGCCAGTCCCACCAGCTGCACACGGCAGACAATCACGCCCAGCACCAGCGCCGTTCCCTCGGGCTCAAATGTCCACTCCCAAAACACCAAATGCAATATGTTGCCGTCTGGGCAGCTGCGGAAGATCTTTCCAGTCGCAGGCCGCGCTAGCTCAGCATCAAAAGGACGGCCATAGCGACTTGGTATGCGGCGTAGATGGCTGCGGACTCAAATTCCAGTCCCAGGCTGCCTTGGATCACCACAGTGAGATGAGCCACATTGTACTGTGTGCTTTCGGTGGCTGTGGAAAGCCTTTCCAGTCAGAAGCGGTGTTGGTCCAGCACAAGAAAGATACTCACAGCAACAGCGTTCAAGGTTCTGGTCCTCAACCTAGCCAGTCACTGCCAGCACCGATGGCACCTGTTGCACCTCCTCATATTGCACGTCCACAGGCACAGGCCCCTCTGCCTTCCGGATCGACTCCTCCAACTGCGGCCTCTGGTAGCCTGATGTGCGGCATAGGTGGCTGCCCGAGGACCTTCCGGTCAGAAGCAGGGCTAAATCAGCATCAGGCTGATAGTCATGGTGTGGGTGGTCAAGTGTTGGATTTGCATGGAAGAGACTCTTGGATGCTCTCCCAAAACGTCCGCAACCAGCTTCGTGAAGCGGGTGTCCTTCGTCATGACGGAACCGCTCCTCAGCAATTACGTGGAGGACGTCGTGCTGCTCCTACGCCCGCTGTGAGCGTCCCTCGGCACCCTCAAGGTCCATCAGCTGCACAACGGCTTCCGCGTAACCCAATGGCTATGCCACCAGCTAGCGCCTCCAATGTTCTTTCCATAGGGGGGCCAGCCGAGATTGAACAAGCCAACGAGCTCCAAGGGAAGATCATGCGCATGCTCATCACGGCAGACATCGCCATACAGCATGACGGCAAAATCCCCTACGATGGTGTGGCGTGGCTCCGCATTGGTGTAGCTAGACAGAGCGAGGCTGTCGGCATGATGGGTGAGCTCGTCCATCTACGCAAGCTCAGCAATCAAGGTCAAGCAAGGCAACACGTCTCACACCCTACGACCTTCGAACCGAAATTCGTTGGTGACTATCTTAGTTCAGACTTCGAACAACTTCCCGAGCCGCGAGACGGAAGCCTTAGAGTTGTTGTGTTGTGCTGTAGCAAGATCATGCTGGAGAACAGTTGCGAGGAAGTCGTCAAGGTAGCTGCGGTTGACGTTCTCACTGGGCGCCCCCTAATGAGTTATCTCGTCTGCACCGATCCTACAGATAAGGTCCGAGACTGGCGCACAAGTCTTACTGGTCTCTCACACTTGCAGGATTTCGAAGCCGCTCGCCTTCAGAAATTCAAGGTCCTCAAGGGCTGGACGGCCGCTCGTGCTGCACTCAGCAAATTCGTTGACCAGAACACGATTCTACTCGGCTACAACCTACGTAGCGATCTTGATGCACTCCGAATCAGGCATGGACGGTGCGTCGACCTGATCAAGCTTGTCGAGAAAGCCGCAGAGAATCACCCGTTGTCCAGAAAGCAGCTTCGACTTGAGACCCTGTTGCGCGATCTACCTGGATTTGAACTCCGAACTGATCATTTCGGGCGCGACTGTCTACAGGATGCGTTTGCCGTGCGGGAGCTCGCTCTCTGGTATCTCAAGCATAACGGCGAGTTTGTGAAGTACGCGAAGGAGAAGGCACTCGATTATCAGAGGGTGTCCAACTGATGGGCAGAACTACACAGCAATTACAATGATTCGTCAGGCATCGTGAGTTGCTTTAGCATACACATGTTTGAACCCGGGTCTGCAATGCACGTCGTAATTGTTCAGGGCTGTTGGAATTCTGCGCTCATGGTCTTGGAAATTGTTCGACCAGGGTGAACTTTGGAGTAAGTAATCAAAGAGAAGAGGCACAACGTGTGGGATGAACTGAGATGCGGAATATAGAAAAGTAAAGCTAGCAATGCTTTGCAGTCGGATAGCTTTCGAGCCGGGCACGCTGTCAACTAACAATCGAATGAAAAGTCCCCGCTCTTTGCCCCTTTGAAGGATACCAGGGTGAACATGCAAGTGACATGAAAGGCTTTACGTAGCGAAAATACTATATCATGGTACCTTGGTATGCGGAGCCCACATTTTGTATTGCTTGCTACTTTCCTTGCTCGCCCCTCGAGGCCTTTGTTCGTCTTATATCACCCAAAGACATATCAACTCATTTTAGAGGAAAGATACGCACTGCGGGACCTCTGCTCACAAAGCTGTGATAATTTTGGACAGAAGGCTACTTCGGAGCTTGGCAAAGCAGGTCGAAAACACCGATCAACAATGTTTGAGCAAAGCAATGGTATGCGAGCCAGTGTTATAGAGCAGTTGCAGACGGTCTTGTGAAAATAAAAAACGAACAGCACCGTGTAGCGTATCGTGATGGCCAAGACGTAGTTCAGGTACGACGGGAGGCGCACGGATCAGGACTCCCGATGCAGTCCGCTAGGCATGGGTGCACACAGTACCTTTCTACGAGGTTCATCAGTGCTCGGGCACCGTGACTGAGGCTGAGCAACGTCAGCCTTCGGGCAAGTACACAATGTTCCTGGCGAGGCTGCATACTAGGTCTCTTCGCTCTTCCACATGGTCTCCTACAAGTCATGAAATGTGACGAATGCGTGCAATGATTAAGATTGACATTCATGCGAAACAAGCAGGACCCCCTTGAAGCGAGTCCGCCGGCAGACAGGCTCAGGGTTGCCTTTCGTACACGGGGCGTATGCTAGGATGCTTCCTCAAGAGTTGCGAGGTGGTTTGCAAACCCGCGGTGTGCTGACTGCCACAGTCCGTAGAGGCCAAGTCCCGCGGGCATGGGAGTACAAGTCCAAAGGTCAGACGGTGGCAGTCGCAGGAGATCGGGCAACTAGATGGGGTAAGATATCAAGCCAGCGCGAGCAGTTGCACAGTTTGAAGAGAAACTCCCGGAGACAGCCGCGGCGGGTGCAGAGCGGGGTGAATGCGCCCTTGCGCGAAGTGTGTCAATGTAGGGACCTCACAGCGCGTCCTGTCGAAGAAAGACGGCCGCGTCACGTACCTTCCTGTGCTAGCTCGTGGCGATGGCGAGGCCCTTGGATGTGTGGGGAGCAATCAAGAAAGCGTTGTTTCAGTGTTTCAGATCGAGTACGAGCCCACGAGAGCAGCCCGCGCGCATGCCCGCAGCACGACTGCATGCGGGCTGCGGACAAGTGGTCGCAAGTGGCCAGTCAGGGCGCTCAACAAGCAGGCGCCCGCGTAGACTAAGCCTTCGGAGTCTGCTACGGTGGAGGTGTAGGGGGCCCGCCGGGTGGCTGCTCTTGCCCTAGCCTCACAGTTCCTGGGCCCTGGCGTCGACTATTCACGGGCAGAGCTAGTCCCCTCAGCAACCCCCGACCACGCCCCCGATGCTAGGTTAAACGTCCAAGAGGCCCACCAAATTCAAGAGTCCATTCTCTCCTTTCGACGATTCACGCAGCTGCCACCCATCTCCCTCACATGCACGCTGCACCGAGTGCGGCCTTTGTACCGACACCTTAACTCGACAACTTGACAGCTACACCCGCCTGCCACCACTGCCATGGAAGAGAACAAGCCTACCGCCAGGCCCGAGAGCACACACAGCTCCGACAGGGACGCCGTGAGTATCTCGCTCGCAACTCGCATATATCCCAGGAGCGGCTGCTGATTTGCATTTGCTCGCAGGACAACTTCGAAGATGCCACCGAAACCACTCCCCGACCCACGTCCGCCTCACGCTCGCGGTCGCTGATTAGCAGGCGCGAGTCGTCGGCGTCGACCGCCCCAGAGCAGAACGCAGATGCAGAGGTGCCCGAAGTACCTGAAATACCAGATGTCGACGGAGCGCTCGAGCAGAAGGAGCCCATCCCAGAGGCCGACGAGCAAAAGACACATGTCACCCCGGCAGCTGCGGAGACGGCCGTTGAGCCTGCCGTGGACGACGCTGCGCAATCCCCGAATCTCACGTCGCATAGAATATCCGTCACATCAATGGACGATGTCTCGCTCGAAGAAGGTACATTTGCCCTCTGCAAAGCGGTTGCGCCTTACGAAATGGTTGCGAGTGTTGCACAAGCATGCTATACGGGAAATCACGCGACACTCCTCCCTTGCGCCCTTTCTGCACCACCATACTTCCACAGCATTGTAGATCTATCCTTTTCGAATTTGTAAACTGACAATACCCAGAAGCCGCAAAAAGCCCCGAGCTTGGGGGTGCGCCCAAGCTACCGCCCCGCGAGTCCACAAGCAGCCTTCAAGGGCTGTCTGGCAAAATGTCACCAGTCAAGTTCCCTCCACCTCCGCCGCCACCTGCTTCCGAAAAGCACACCTCATTGCCTCCGCCGCCCACCGCCCCAACGCGAAAACTCACAAGCCCTTTCTCGTGGCTTTCGCGCAATAGCTCCAGCAAGAAACAGCCAGAGTCCCCGCCGCTCTCTACAGCCGACAGGAGGAACACCAGTTCTTCCCTGCAAACCATCGGCAGCAATACTGAACTCGGCAAGATTGAGGATGAGGATGCAATCAAGGCGAACCGATCGAGCACGGGCAGCCTGCGTGACCGTTTCAAGTTCCTGAGAATGCGAGAAGAGGCCGGTATCACAATTGACGAAGCTGGTGAGCCTGGACAAGGACCAGCTCCAACCGGTCTGGGTATCGGCCTAACCAGTCCTTCGAGCGTAGCTGGTGACGAACCTACAAGCCCTCTGCCTCCGACTCTCGCCAAGCAGCCCACCGTCAACCCCAATCTCGCTCCTGGCACTGCCGCTGGTTTTGCTGCTGGCCCTGCAGTAGATGCAACAGAACCGGTCGACTGGGATCTGTGGCAAAATGTGGTCAACGAAGGGCCTGCTGCTGTCGCGCGCACCAGCGCGGAAGAGCTCAACCGTGCCATTGCAAGTGGTATTCCTCAGGCCATCCGGGGTGTCATCTGGCAGGTTTTGGCACAAAGCAAAAATGAGGATCTCGAGGTTCTGTACAAAGAGCTGGTTGCTCGTGGCACGGGCAAAGAGACCACCAAAGTCAAGACTCCGCAACTTTCGAATGGCTCAGACAGCAAGGAGAAAGATTCGATAGCCTCGTCTTCGTCCTCTATCCACTCCGACTATTCAACACCCGCTACGACGACCGGTAGTGCACCCATGGGTTCGCCGTCTCTTCCATCGGATAACCATGAGGACATGGCAAAACTTCAACTGAAACTTGCTGCAGAAAAGCAAAAGAGCACGAAGGAGGAGATTGCCGCAATCCAGAAGCTCGAGAAGACCATTAAGCGCGACCTTGGCGCACGCACCAGTTATTCCAAGTATCTGATGGCTGCAGGCCTGCAAGATGGCCTTTTCGGCATTTGCAAGGCATATGCCTTGTACGATGAAGCTGTGGGCTACGCCCAAGGCATGAACTTTGTCGCCATGCCATTGCTCTTCAACATGCCCGAAGAAGAGGCTTTTGGCTTATTTGTGACTCTCATGAACAAGTACGGTCTACGAGACCTGTTTGTCCAAGATATGCCCGGACTGCATCTACATCTCTACCAATTCGAACGCTTGTTGGAAGATCTCGAGCCCGCCTTGTATTGCCACCTCCGAAGAAAGGATGTGAAGCCCCAGCTCTATGCTACACAATGGTTTTTGACCCTCTTTGCATACCGTTTCCCACTTCAACTGGTTCTCCGTATCTATGATCTCATTCTCAGCGAAAGTCTCGAGACTGCCATCCTCAGATTCGGTATCGTCCTCATGCAAAAGAACGCAGAGGCGTTGATGGGTATGAAAGATATGGCCACCCTGACTACGTTCCTCAAGGAGAAAATTTTCGACGTTTACATTGATAAGGCCCCCTCGGCTTCTTCTATCCTCGAAAGCGGCTTCTTCGGCTCTACTGGTGGCATCGATAAAGAAATCTATCGGGCTGATGCGCTCGTCAAGGATGCTCTTGCTGTCAATCTCACGCCTGAGATGGTAAAGCATTACACGACCGAGTGGAAAGAGCAGCAACGGGTTGAGAAAGATCGAGAGACTGAGTTGCAAGGCCTGAGAGACAAGACTGCTATGCTTGAGAACAAAGTTCGCACGCTGGAGCGACGCGCAGAGCAATCTGATACGGAACATGTCCAGGTAGCATCCGAGCTCATCAAAACAAAGGTCGAGAATGACACGCTGGCCGAGGAGAATGAGACACTGAAGACCAAGGTCGAAGAGCTTCAAAAGATTGTGGACACGCAACCCGCTGAAGTCGAGGAGAGGATGCGGACTGAGATGGACACTGTTATGCAGAAAAACATTAGCGTGCATAACGAGAACCGCATGTTGGAGGAGAACATGGCTGAGATGGAGAAGGATCTCGTCGACACGAAGATGAAATATGCGGATGTAAGCATCACAGCTTTTCGCTTTTAATTCTCAGCACTGACAATTCCTCAGATCAATCAGCAGTATGAGCAGCTCAAGCAGAAGTGGAACAACATCACACAGTTGATGGCACAGTGACGGGTTTACCGCCATGCATCTGTTCTGTACTCTTCCGCGACCCTGCAGCATTTAGACCGGCGCACATCTGCATAACAGTGCTGCAACATGCATTAAAGACGAATCTCTCAAAGCGACGACCACCTCTTACTCTGGTTCTTCATGTCCATATTACCGCTATACCCGGTCCACTGGGAGATGCACACATTTTCTCACTTTACCGCACGCTCATGGACGACGCTTGATTTGTATCCACCACGCATCTCATTATATACCCACGGCCTAATGAGGAGACCCTCTTTTTGGTGTTTTGTCGCTTTTCTTTGCGCTTCTGCGCTGCTTCTGGATCATGTGTTCTGCATTGAAGGCTTGGATGGCGTAAACGGTGCTTTGCTCTTGGGAACAACATAGGGACGAACTATAGCTTCGAGGGACTCATGGGTTGTTAGTAGTCGTAGTATTCTAGTCTGTAGTCTTAGTCCGAGTCATGAATAGATCCGAAGGGGTTTCTTATTGTTGCAACGAGCAATTTGACGATAGCCTAGCGAACACGTAAAATATGTGTTTGGGAACGATCGATATCAGCGTGGCTCGTTCACACGATAGGGGACAAAGTTTGAAGGGTCACAAAGAGGAGTGTTGATTAAGTGCGCCGCGTCTTTCACCACTGAGTTTGATTTGGCTGCGGGCCGTGGCCGGGGACGAGTTGGTCACGTGAGGCATTGGCTTCCAACCAAGGTTTCAAGGTTCTGAGGTTCCAAGGTTTTCTTGGGATAGACGCTAGTCTTATTTTGTAACTCGCTTGGTCCTCCCTTCTCTTTTCTCCGCTCTCTTTCTTTGCGACCACACGACAAGGACTCACCTCGCGTCTCGAGTCAACAACCCGCTTGCGAGCTGCCTCGACTTCTTCTAACCTCTGTTAACGCGTGTGATCGTCGTTGCATTGACTGTAGCTACCAGCGGCGTGCGCATACATCATGGCGACGCCCGACATCAACGCCATTCTGGCGGCGCTTGGTACGTAGCCGGTGCTTGCTTTGTGTTGTATCCTGCTAATAGTCTCACAGCTGCCCGCCCTGCGACTACAACTCCCTCACAGACGCCGCAGCAAGCCGCGCCGCCGCAGATGCCGCCTCTACAAGGCCTGCCTCCAGGCTTTCCCGGAGCGCTGTCAACTGCAACGCCGCCCACTAACTACGGCTTTCCCCCTCCGACGAACCAAGGACAAATTGACTTGAGTGCCATCAAACCTAGTAGCTCGGGTTCTGTCAGCATACAGGACGCGCTCGCAAAGGCGCGTGGGTTTGCGGCGCAAAAGGGCCTGAGCTACGAACCGCGTCCAGGTAGCTTCGACATGCATCACTCTGCAGCGCCTCCATCGACTTACGCAGCAGCAGCTCATCAAGATGATCCTCGTTTGCGCGGTCGTGACTTCCGAGACCGGTCCCGCTCACGGTCGCCGCAGCGTGATAACATGCGTGATAGTTACAATCCGTACCGAGAGGAGCGACGGGGTCATGGTTATCGTGAGCGCTCTCGCTCCCCCCCTAGACGCAATCAATTCTCTCCTCAACCCCGCGGATATGGCGGTCGTGATCGCACTCCACCTCAGAATGACAATTCCGAAGTGATTCTCATTGATTCGTCTTTGGTTGGTCTTGTGATCGGACGCCAGGGCGAAAGCCTGCGTCGCATCGAACAGGAGTCAGGTACTAGGATCCAGTTCATCAATGGCCCCAACACCGGGCCCACTCGTGAGTGTCGCATTACTGGCGGTCCAGGTGCCCGTATCACCGCGAAGCGCGAGATCAATCGCATCATTGAAGAAAATGGTGGTAATCCTGCCCGTGAAACCGGCCGTAATGCGCGCGCCGGCGTTGCCGTGAAAGCTGCTTCAGATCAGCCTGCTCTGCGCGATGGCGAGGAGCAATCCCAGATCATGGTTCCTGATCGTACTGTCGGTTTGATCATTGGTCGTGGAGGTGAGACTATCCGTGACCTCCAAGAACGAAGTGGCTGCCATGTCAACATTGTCGGTGAAAACAAGAGCGTGAACGGACTGCGCCCTGTGAACCTCATCGGTAGTGCCACCGCTGCCGCCAAAGCAAGAGAGCTCATCATGGAGATTGTCGACAGTGACACCCGGGGTAATGACGGACCCCCTGCACAGCAACATCCGCAGCCCAATAGGCGTGACAACTTCGACCCGTACAGTGGTGGCGCCGGGAAGATAAATGATAGCGTCACTGTCCCTTCAGACGCAGTTGGCATGATCATTGGCAAAGGTAAGCTTCTTCGGTGTTTTGCTGAACAATCAATCCTAACTTTCGTACAGGTGGTGAGACTATCAAGGACATGCAAGCCACTACAGGATGCAAGATCAACGTCTCACAAGCCAGCGGTGCCGATATCGAGCGTGAGATAGGACTCGTCGGTACTCGTCAAGCCATCGAAGACGCAAAGCGCGCCATCTGGGAGAAGGTGGATCAAGTCGTAAGTGACTCTTATGTGTAACCCATCTTATCCCACTAATGCCATGCAGAAAGAGAAGAATGCCGGTAGACGTGGTGGTGGTGGCGGCGGCGGCGGTGGCGGCCGTGACAATGGCAGCTATAATGACTACTCACACCAGCAGCAATCCTATGGACAGCCCGCCAGTCAATCAAGTGCACCTCAACAAGCAGCCCAAGGCGATGGTGCAGCTGTTGACCCATATGCCGCATATGGTGGTTATCAAAACTACCTGAACCTGTGGTACTCGTCATTAGGTTACCAAGCGCAACAGCCCGGTCAAGCGCCTCCCGGTGCCTAGAAGATTCGATCCATCATGACTGATGCACATGTCACTGAGAGAATGTCGATTGACGCTTGCTTGCATGACCGATGCTGAGGATTATTCTTCGTGCGACATGACTACTCTGGACTCATTCTCATGGGTATTCATGCCTTGCGCGTCTTACTTCACGGACAGAGCCAACGGATGCATTAATCGCTTATCAAAGCTAAGGACATGAGGTATCTTATCGACATGGTCTCTGTTTGGCGCATCCGCGCTTTGGGACTTGATTATGTTTACGCCTTCATCCGCGGTGACACATCTAGGCTTATCTGTACTCCGGATTACAGCCAGCTGTACGATTTTTCTCGACTGCCCCCCCCTCATACTTGTCTCGTCTGGACACCCATCTTCTCAAAACATCATTTCTTCAAAATTTCTATTGCAAACCATCGGTTATACGTTTCTTCGGCGGCCTCCCCATGTCTCCAATTGTATTGGCCAAATCCGGAATGCTGCTCAAATAGGATGAACACGTTGTCATCAACTTGGTCGGCGTTGATGGTTCTCTCTGCTTTGATGTTTACATCTCGGATCCGTGCAACGGACTGACGCCCGTTAATCAATCTGCTTCGAACGGGCGGCTTCCAGTGCACAAGTCCTCTGCTCCATAATTTGCGTTTTCTCATTGGGAGGAAAGGAAAGGGCCCTACGCGTTGAGTACCAGGGCAATGTAGCCATAGTCTTTGTACTGCGCTCCTCTGCGCCCCACGTTTAAGGAAAAATTCGAACAATTGAAGCTTGTATTGCACACGGCCATCTGTCCATCTGATCTCCCCCAAAGAAACGAGACTGGGTTCGCATCTACGAGTTACGTACGTACAGCTAGTGTGATATACTCGCGGCGAGAACCCCGAACGTTGCCAAGGCTGGGGTAAACCACACGCGGTGCGATCTGCAACCACCACCACCTGCGGGCATCTCCACACAAGCATGACGTCCACTAATCGCAGTGGTTTACCCCGCAAACTAAGGTAGATATCCCCGAATCCGGAGATCATGCCATGGTCCGACGAATGACTGGGTTCCGCATGTCCTGCGGCCGCAGCTCGTTCTTGTTATAACCACTGCATTTCTGTGTATCATAACTCTCTTCGTACACTCCGATTCTCATCTCCTATTCCAAGGAAGGAGCTGAGGAAACAGGGGATACGATGGCGACCTTGGAGAAACCAGGTATAGCAGAACAACTTGAGCATGGGCACAAGACAGTCACTGCAGAAGGAGGCGAAGTCAACGACGATGTCATGGATGTCCATGATGAGAAGGCAAATAAGCAGCTCAATCGCAAATTGGACATGCGCATTATCCCGCTATGCTGTTGGATCTACCTACTCAACTTCTTAGATAGAGGTATGCTCCTCACCCTCTTTTCCCTCATCCTCCCCGTATGGGTTGAATGAGGGATCGAAACATAGCTAATTCGAAGATATCCAGGCAACATCGGCAACTCCAAAGTTCTTAACGCCGAAACCAACGATGATCTGCTGCAGCAGACGGGCATGGGGAACGGCGGATATGCACTCACGGTCACGCTGTTTAGCATAGCCTATGCGTTCTTCGAGGTTCCAAGTAATTGGATCATGAAGCATTGGGTGCGGCCAAGCTTGTGGCTGGGTTTCTTGCTTGCCGCGTGGGGTGTGCTTACGATAGGGTACGTCATCCATCCCCTATATATGACCTTGCAATAGAGCATGAAGATGCAATGGAAGAACGGCGACGGGGCTGACGATGGAACAGGTTTGCAGGCGTGCAGGACTTTGCTACGGTCGTGGTGCTGAGGTTCTTAATTGGCATGTTTGAGGCGGGTTTCTTTCCGGGTGAGTTGGGCAGGAACAGCCTTGGACCATGGACATACTGACAAGAATAGGAATCGTTTATTTAATCACAATCTGGTACCGGTACGACGAACGGGCTGTGCGCATCGCGCTGGTCATAGCCTTTTGTAATCTTAGCGGCGCCTTTGGTGGAGCAATAGCCTACGGCGTGGGCCACATCAACGGCACCGCTGGTCTTGAAGGATTCAGATGGTTGTTCATCATCGAGGTACGCCATTCCCCTTCTTGCTCATTTCGTCCCAACGACTGAAGACGCAAAGAACTAACCGTTCCAACTCCAGGGCATCATAACCGTGCTCTCCGCCTTCCTCGTCTGGTTCTTCCTCCCGGACTACCCCACGCGTGCACGCTGGCTTTCACCAATAGAGAAACAACTGTCTGTCGACCGCGTCGCCCTCCGCGGCGGTGGCTACCAGCAAACTCATGCCTCGCGCCGCGAGATCCTCGAAACCTGCTTCCATCCACGCATGCTCCTGCATTACCTAGCCTACATCGCCGATGTTGTCCCCCAAGGCTCCTTCACCTTTTTCACGCCGACCATAGTCACCGGGCTCGGGTACACCAGCATACATGCGCAACTTCTCACCGTCCCCCCCTGGTGCGTCGGCTTCGTCGTCGCCATCACGGCTTCGTACAGCGCAGACCACTTCAACGCGCGCGGCTGGCACATCGCCATCCTCTCCACCCTCGGCGGCGTAGGCTGGCTCACCGCCGGCTTCCTCCCTGCCGACGCCTACGTGTCCCGCTATGGATGTCTCTGCCTTGCCGCCGTGGGCGCCTTTCCCGCCGCCCCTTCCCTAACCAATTGGGTTACTTGCAACACTCCCTCTCTCCTAACGATTCCGCTGGCTATCGCGCTGCACAACAGTTGTGCTGGCTTGGGCCAGATCATCGCGCAGTGGATTTGGAGACCGAGTGAGGTGAAGCAGGGGTATCCGACGGGGAATTTCATGTGTGCGAGTTTCAGCTTTCTAGTGGCTGCTATTGCCATTTTTTTGAGGTTGTGGTATGGAAGCATGAATGGGAAGGGGAAGCTTGATGCGGGGTTGGTGGAGAGGGTGTGGGCTTATTAGGCAGACGGCCCAGGAGTTAGTAACATGGGTGATGGACTAAAGCTAAGTCTACGGGATTTATCAAAAGATAATGATGGGTTGAGAACGAGGCTCTAACGGCTGCACTTTGATCAAAACTGTAAGCGAAGGCTATAATCTCTAGCTCCTGCCGCAGACTTCTAGGAACTATCGCTCCTATTACAAATCTACTCCACTGGACCCACCAGTGGGTTTGCTTGGATTATATTGTGAATAGAGAAAGACAAGACATGATACGTATGTAGTATTGAACGTATGGAGTATCTGTGTAGCTTTACTTATGGTTTGGGATGCATCGCTGTCGAGGTTTGTAATGACAACAGTGTCGATACTTTACGTAGCTGCAGGAGTGATGAATTAGAAGTGGATATGACCGATTTACAGCTTGAATTGTGAAGTAATATCGCAAGTGTTGAAGCGTCTTGGGTCAGCTCCTAGCCCTTTCAGAACAAAGGTATGCAGGTTATGAATTCCAGAAAGTAGACTCTTCTTACACAGAAATGGGTACGTATTTTACTTGCTGCATCGGTATGCCGGCTGTAAAGTGATCCTCCACATCGTCAAAGAATGCTGTTTCGTTGAGATCATCTGGTAGTACCACGTCAAATCTCTGCACAACACAAGCTATAACGCTGCGAATCTGTAGCATGGCTAAATTCTCTGCACACAGCTGCGGATGCACGGTTTTCGAGAAGTGAAATTTCGAGGCAAGAATTCGCCTACAAGCCCATCTCGACAACTTAACCGTATAAGACCCAGGAAAGCACCAAAGAGGGTGGAAGAACGCTCATGGTAAAATTACTGCGGTGAGCGTTCCATGGAAGGAGGTTTCTGCGGGTGTAGCAAACCCAAATCCAAAGATGAAGGCTAGAAACGTATAAATAATTTGCGATAGAAGTGCTTGTCAAACCATTCCAGGATTAGAATGTGAAGAAGTACGGCAGTAGTCCCTCCAAATGCATATATTGTGGTTTTGACGAATCATGTGACATCATCTTGACCGTGGTTTTATCAGATTCGAATTTGTCGCAAGCACTCTTCTCCATCAACTTGTACCAATATTTGAACAGTTCTTTGCTTTGAATGGGCAAGGCAGTTCGCTCAGAGATCACTAAAACCTAGCTGAAACTTCACAACTTTCAACGCATTCGAAGCACGTTCAAGATAACCAATTTCAGCCACGCAACAGCACGGGTCCATTCGATACACACATTTTACCCCACAGGCATGCCGCCTGGCAACTCGGTCAACCACCCATCCACATCCTCCTTTACCTTCTGCTGCTGCACACACTTATTCGCCGCCGCAATACTCTGCGTCTTCAACTGCGGGCAGTTGATGTTACAGTTTGTGTCCATGGCTTTCTGCAGTGCGTCACCCTTCCAGCCGAATACATAGTCGCCGTGGTTACCGTAACCGGTACTGTTCCACTATTAGTATATGCAGCATCTTGTCTGACGGGAGAAAGTGGACTGGGAAGGGTGTGATTCAGTGTAACGTACTTATCTCCAAACGACCACACGAAGGGCTGGCTCCCATCATCCGGCCACAGCGACTTGTCGTTGAACCTTTCGGTCGCGAAGATGACTTCATAGAAGAGCTGGGGGAGTTTGACGGGGTGGGTAGCGGGACAAGGGCCGTTGGTCTCGAAGGTACCGGAGGACGCTATGGCTTGTTAGCGAGGATTGCTCCATCGTTTCGTCTTTCCCCGTCAAGATCGCTATGATAGGAAGTCTTACGATACGCCACGTGGCTCATATGGTCGGGACTATCGAGGTTTGCGCCATCCCAGCAAGTTGGGAATCTTACGTTCACCATCAGGCCCGCTGGGCACGCTTTTTTGGGGAAATTCAATGTTTCGCCGGTCCGTGTCATCATATCTTGCAAACATGTGTATGTCAATTGGCGGAATTGCTTTGCTTGGGCTTCTGTGCGATAGGTGGGATTTCCTATTGTCCACGTGTCAGCGTCACACCATTCTCGTCTCTCGCTCCTCCTCTATTGATTACATCGTCGATAGGCGCAAGGAGGAAGCTTTGAACCCACCGACAATCATCCTAAACCCCTTCTTGAATGCCGTCACAGCCCCCGGCGTTGCGCCATTAACATTCTTTGGAATATAATATACCGTCATCCCACCCGTCGCACTTTCGAAATTTACATTCCCCTTCTGTGGCACGCGCTTAAATGTGCCATTCTTCGCCCTAAAGTACAACGTCGCTGTCCAGTAGTTGCTAAAATCCTCGGCGAAGGTACATGTGGTGCCTAAGGGTGGGGATACAAAGTCAGCGTAATGTCCACAGATTAGAGAAGTGGGTGAAGTAGGTGTTCTAGCCTGCAACGAATGTCTGAAGATTTCAGTCCTAGAGGTGTAAGGCCTGGAGTCTTAGAAAATCACCCAGCCTGAAAACCCACTTTGTACCCACATGTGGCGGTGTCTGGAGGCGCGACGCCGGGGTCCATAGAGGCGTTGAAGGCATTTCCCCCGATTATCTGGTGGACGTGCGGAGACTGAGAAAACCCGGGGTTGACGAGGGGATCGAGGCGCTCGACGACGAGTTGGGAGCAGGAGAAGCGAAGGAGGGCGTGAGCTGATGGCGCCAAGAGCAAGACTAAAAGCTGTTTGGTGAACATCGTGATGGCGTCTGTGAAGATGTGAGATTACCATGGTAAAGGCGAAGTTGTTTATATGGAGAGAACACGCACATGCGTATCAAACGTGCGTATCTTGGGTAAATTGCTCGATATGGAAGTATCGCATTCCTTGGGTTGTGCCCATATAATGTGGGGTTAATATAGCCGGGTTGTTGTCAGTTGTATATCCTGCTGAAGGTCTGGTACGAGCGAGAAGCCTGGGAGGCCGAACAATATAGATCCTCCTCCAATGGAACAGTAGAGCGGTTCGAATCTACCGCATTCTGTACGGAAAAAGCCGTACGCTGATGTCGAATGAAGCTTTGCGTGTTAACGTTCACGGTCTTGGCATGCAGTGCTGGATATTACGGCACATGTCTCTTCTGCCGACGACCTTCTCGAAAGCGTACAAAAGTGGCCCCACATCAGCCGAAAACCGGGTATAGAGACTTTAGGACGGAGGACCAGGAAGATTATTATAGTTTGTACGATTGGACAAGATTACAACAAAACATGGATGCGAGCAAGTCGAAGGAAATGGGAGGAGTATGTAAAACTTCGTATAATGCAGACATTAAGCTATGTGACAATGAACATAAGTTGGAGCCGACCAAGTCCGAGAAACATCCGCGTGCTGAAATAGATTGAAACGCAAAGGGTGGTGCATATCGCACCTGAGTAAGACTACATTGTCGCCATTGGAGATACCCCTGCATCTCCCATAGCAGCAAATCAATTTCGATCCCCAGCTGGCGCCAGGTCCAAGCTTCGGAGGCTGTCAATCGACTAAATCGATACCCTCGTCATCTCCAGCCGAGGAGGTAGCAACCGACTCCCCTTCCTCGTCGCTCCCAAGATTTATGAGGTCGCTGCTATCAGACTCATTGTCGTGGCCCCATGCCTTCTTCTTCGCTTGCCTCCTCGCTTTACTGCTATTTGCGCCCTTCGCCGGACTCACGTCTCCACCTTTTCTGCCGCCGGTCCTGGTCACCAGGTGGTCGATGACACATCCTTTGTTCCAATCCCCATAAGTCTCGCCTGTATTGGCGCGGCACCTCGGACATGTCTTGCCGTGCTTGATAAAGAGCTGATGCAATGGATACTTGAGATGGTCAGGAATTCTGACCTCGCAGTGGGCGAATGTCCTGTCGCGCGTCGGTTTGCCAGGCTTGCCTTTCTTTCCAGGTGGGAGCAGAGCCGAGTGGCCTGGCGGCGGGACCCAACCAAGCCACTGACAGAGACGGAAGACGTGGGTATCAACGGCGAACGATGGGCGCTGCAAGCAGAATAGCGTGACGCACGATGCAGTCTTTGCACCAATCCCAGGGAATTTGGTCAGCTCTTTGAAGGCCTCCTCAACAGAGAGGAGGTGATAATGATCCAGAGAGAGAACATCGTTCTGCGCTTTTGCTATCTCAGCATCCTTCTCCTCTTTGGTTTCGTTCGTAGAACTGGCAACAGGATCTGATGATGCGGCGAGCTTAGCTTTTCTGTCCTGGTTCTCTTCCCAGACCATCTGTAGGATCTTCTTCATGTATCTGCTCTTATTATCAGCCAGTCCACCACTCTTGATGGCCTCGAAGACTTCTTTCTGATCAGATAGTCGAACTTTGTTCCAGTCAACACTGCCTTTGCCGACTCCTTCTTCGAGTATACCAAAGCGCTTGACAAGGCCTTGGAATGCGCGCCTGGAATTAGCACCGGATGTCGCGGCGGAAAGAAGGGTACGGATAAGTGCATCGAGGACAGATGGCACTTCTCCACAGCCCGTGACGTCGAGAGAAGGAGGAGGCACCACCTCTGGAGCTTTGACCTCTCCGTGAACGCTTGACAGGAGACGGTTAACTTCTTCACACTCCTCATGAGTTGGATGGGGCCAGTCCGGATACGGAGTCGTGCCTGGGACAAGACCGTAGCTGTTGGTTTTCTTCGACTTCTTGGCAGATGACTCTGCAGTGCTCGTTGCCCTGTTCACAACATTTTGCACATTCTCCTTCTTGGGAGTGACACTCTTCGCTGGGCCGCGCTTCCTGGTCTTCTTCGCGGGCAGTTCTCCGTCCAGACTCTCTTCGGTAGTAAGTGGCTCGGGAATCCTGCCTAGGTTGTGCGGAAGCTCATTAATGTCATCCTCATCCTTGACAGCTGCGCGTGAGCGCTTCCGCGGGCTGTTCGGAGTGATAGGCAACGTTTTGGGAGCAGAAGGCTTCTTGAGTGTAGATGCTGACTTTGGGGTCTTTGCAGGCAACCCATCAGGAGTAGCGGGAGGACTCGACAGGTGGGAGTTTTGTGGACGCGATTGAGACGTCTGCTCCCTGGCTGCTGAGCCTCTAGTGACCCTCGCCATGAAGAATCGAGTCGTGCACACCGAGGATCTGCAAAGACAAGTTATAGGAAGCAGAGATGATGGGTGAAGTCGGATTGGGAACGACAGCTTGAACTTTATGTGCAGTAAATGAAGGACATGGCGATTGTGGAACGTGAGTCACATGTGAGGAAGGGTTGTCCGCCTAGTGTTACAAGTGGTGAATGTGAAGGTGCGTAGGTGGAGGAGGGTTGCAAACGACTACGAGAGATACTGCGAAACATGACCTGGCGATTGGTGAGTTGAATGGATGACGTCTGCGACGTGATTGGCGCTTGGACCCCTGTTTGACGCAGGGACGGATGTGGCGCTTGGTCCAGCCTTCCGAGGTTGCGAATGCCCCCACATGAGGCATCAAGCATCGCGTTTTGGACATCAGTTACCACCTTAAACCTCGCTCAAGCACACGCCTAGACTCGAGGATGGCCGGTCGAGCTCCCATTGTTGTGCCTGCGCTGAAGCGACACACAGCCACCGTTATCGTTGCCCATGGCCTCGGTGACAGTGGGGCTGGCTGGTAGAGTTCTCAAAGTTCGACAACAGCTTGAATACTGACAGTTCACAGGCTCTTCCTCGCCGAGAACTACCGACGACGATCTGTCTTCGAGGAAGTTGCATTTGTCTTCCCTAATGCGCCCAACATTCCCATCACCCTGGTACGCCCGCAGAACGTGCCAGTACGGCATACATAACTGACTCGATAGTAGAATATGGGCATGCAGATGCCAGGATGGTACGACATAAAGTCGCTTAGCACCCTCCAAGACCGCGAAGAAGACGAACAGGGTATTCTCAAGTCGCGAGACTACTTCCACTCCCTCATCGACGCCGAGGTCGCCAAAGGCATACCCGCGAACCGCGTAGTCATTGGAGGCTTCTCACAGGGCGGCGCAATGGCGCTGTTCTCTGGAACGACCTACAAGGAGCAACTGGGGGGCATATTTGGCCTGAGCTGTTACTTGCTCCTGCAGAAGCGCATCAAGAACCTGATACCGGAGAACAGCCCGAATCAGAAGACACCAATCTTCATGGGTCATGGCGACAGCGACCAGGTAGTAGCATATAAGTATGGCCAGATGAGCGCCAATGCCCTCACCGAGATGGGCTACAACGTGGACTTCAGGACATACAAGTAGGCATGACTTGAAAACTCCTACGATCGCTGCTAACCCATCTTCAGGGGCCTCATCCACTCCGCTGACGAGGAAGAGCTCGACCATCTCGAAGCGTATCTGACCCAGCAATTACCCGCTGTTGGCGACAAGAAGCCTGAGCAGTCGCTCTGACTCCCCAGCAACATTGGTATCTTCTCCGTTAGCTCGACAACCATTTTGGTTCTGGCCGTTTCTCTGTTCGTTGCCTGGCTGGCATGGTTCAAGAGAGGCAATCGTAGACAGCCCGAGAGGCCTTCATCATATACCCCACCACAAAGAACACGATAGCATCATAGTCACATTGGCCAATGAGCCTCATCAATTCACTTCATTAGTCTTGCGGTTTTAGCAATTTACGGCAGGGGTACGATTCAAAAAGTCATCTTGGTCCCCCCTTTCTCCACATCCTCTCTCTATCTGCTTCTACGAATGTCGTCTGTACTCACGGCATAGGGCGCAAGTCGTGTGTCTGTGCCTCGTCTTACAGTTCGACCGCCCGTACCATCAACAAGTTTAGACCATCATGCAAATTATGTACTCTAGGGGCGGATAACACAGCGTCTCCTTGGCAACTCCTTGAATGGAGCCTATGCTAATCCTCTCGTCTTTGTCTAGCACGTACTCTCTCAGGATGTCCAAGTATGATAGCAACAGTGGTGTTAGCTTCATAACCCCTCTGCGATGAGCAAGTGCACCTCCTTTGAAGATAATGAAGACCCCGTACTTGGCTCTGGGTCAGCATCTTCGTCGATGATCATTGCACAAGAGTTGTCAGGCATGCCGCTCGTTACCGTAACTAGCACTGAACGCGCATCGTCAGTCAACACGCACCGACTGCTAAGACACGGTAAGCTATCTGGCGACGTATTTCGAGAGCCGCGTCAACCGCACCACCCGTATCAGCAGTACCGCTATCTGAAAACTCTCGAGCATACCAAATCATGCTTTGTAGACGTTGATGGGGACGGAAAGTGGCATGGGCACCGGACGGATCTTGTGATTGTCTGTTGACTTCTATCAAGATGTTCCGCCATAGAGCGATCCGATGCTCGATATGGAGGCCCGAATATTCTTGACATATCGAGATGAGGCCAGGGAAATGACTCTCGGGCCGCGTTACGGCTGTGTAATCCTCATGGACGACGACGTCTCGAACCAGCCTTCGTTGCGTCTTGGGAATGGAGTAGAGAATTTGGATATCCACAGAGCGGCAGAGAACCTAGACTTCCTGCTGTTATTATCAGAGGTCACATGAATTTATGCGCGCATCCTGATCACCTAGTCCTTCTACAACTCTTCCATGTCGTCGTGCGAAGGTATGGTCCCGGAGCCGCAGCTCATCAAGAGCTGTTCGATATACCAAACATTTTCGGCCGCCTTTCGAACTGAGGAAGTTCCGACAAGATATTCAACAACCCACAAACTAACTCGCGGCGTGATTCGAATAGCCCCTTTGCCACTTGGCCCATCAGACAACCCGAAGATCACAACGATGTCCTTCTGTTGATCCAGTAATGTACCAGCTGGTCGGAAGTGAGGAAACCGTTGAAGGAGCTCAGCTGTGATTTCCGGATGGACCAAATCTCTGCATCTCTTTAGGATTCAAAACTGATCGATGTACTACTGGTCTAAGATGTGACCGTAGAGGAAGGGCCCTAGTCGCAATTCCTTGAAGAACACCGTGTGAAAGTTGATCGTGTTGCGTTTGACTGCAAAGTTACGCGTCTCGTAGGCTATGGACCTACAGGTTTACATTATAGAGAGATCAACAGATTTTCCATTGCTGGTCAACTTGCCTGATTGTGGGTTATAGGGGCACCCGTCCTTAGTCATGACGCAGTGCGAGTAAATCTTGTCTCGAAGCTCCTTGAGAGGTTGGTAGTTATACGCGTATTGTAGCGTTGTCGGTCTTGGTCGGTGAGGAGGAGCCGTGTTGAGGCGCGAGTATGGAACAAGAAGGGCAATCAAAAGCTGGACACGCCGAAAAGATAGTTTGCGGGTGTCGTAGTGAGTGTCGATCGTTCTCACATCGCCTCTAAATTTGGTTCGATTGCGATTTTTGTTGACTTCAGACAGCGCTCCACATGATTTTCCCGATAGTCTCCTGCGGAACTTCGAGCCATCGTCCCACTGAAACCACACTGGTCGGTCCCAGCTCCCACGAACCAAATTACCATTCCCCACCATATTCCATTCCTTCTATCACCATGCCAAACTCGACCTCGCAATTTCATACCCCTTGAACAAACCTCTGCACCCGCTCGTCAGCGTACCTTTTCCTACTAACTTCCTCCATCAACCGCAGACTCACGTCCGAAAACTCTCCGCACTACCCGCATCTTTCGCAGCCTCAGAATTACTTTTCAAATGGCGTCCTCTCGGCGTCTCACTATGCATGAAGAAGTACAGTCAGATATTGGAACCCAAAGGAAATTACAATTAACATCTCTACTCTACTCTAACCCTCAGTATCAAAGCCCCCCTCTATACCTTACTCGCCGCAAGCAGCACATCAATCCCACTCGCATGACTCGCCGCATTCGCATTCGTGCTACCGCCTTGAAATAGATCCGTAATAACACCATCCCCATTACGAGTGTTGTTCCACACAGAATCTGCGTTCTGTTTGAAGAAGTCGGCAAACTGCTGCTGCGGCTCGTTGGCGTGTAGGGTGAGCAGACCGCTGATGAAGCCACCCTTGAACATGGAGCCTTGCTCGTCTAGCGGGCTGGGAAACTGTTCGTTGAGAATGTTATCTTCTGTGAGCTTGGAGAGGGCACCTTTAGCTAGGGGTGTTTGCATGCTGGATGTCGTGTCAGAAGCTTACAGCAGGAGTGATAAGAGGGGACACTTACGTCAATGAAACCACCATCCGAGAACGTCTTCGCGAGCTCCGACAGACCGGCAAGGACGGGACCCTGGTTGTACGTGTAAATTGGTTTCCCGTTGTTTTTGCAGGTTCCCATATCAACGCCGTCGTTGATAAGGTTATCCCCATTGATGACGCCGCTGCTCCAGATGAAGTCCCACTCCTGGTGCGCCCAGTTCTTGTAATTCTCCTTCTCGCCGTCACCCACGCGGTTGGCGAGATGCGCAGCTACGGACAGGAACAACTCGTTGGCAATAGCAGCGATGTTGTCGGCCGCCTTGCTCCAGAAGATGCCGCCGCACGGCGTGTGGTATCCACCAGTCATGTCCTCGAAAAGATCCTTCGCTGTATCCAGATACTTCGAGTCGCCGGTGAGATCATACGCGGCGATCCAGCCTTGGGCCCACCAACCCATGTCGTCATAGAGTTAAAAAGATCTATCTGATAGCAGATATGATAATATTAATCTACGTAGGATAGGCTCCTTAAGTATTCCCTAAGGTGCTTATTTATCTAAATTACTACCTATAGATAATTAATTAATTAACTTAATTATAAATTATTTTCTATCTAAAGTAGGGTTAGGTAAGTTAATAATTAATAGCCTCCCTAAACACCTATACTTCTATCTTTAGTTCTCTTAGAGAAGCTTCTCTATAGATATATTAAACTCTAAGGGGGGTTTTCTCTCTTATTCTCTACCTAGTTTATAAAGACGTTTGTTACGGCTACTATACTATAATAGAATTACGGGACTTACGTTAATAAAAGTAGCGACTAATTAGATTATATAGAAGAAGAATATAATTATAGGTTAGATACTAAGTATAATATAGGCACGTAAGGAAGTTATATAATTAGATCTATAAATCTATAGAATAGAGCTATAGAGCCTAGATCTATAGAATCTATAGGTAGAGCCTATAGAGCCATTACTAGATAGTAGTATATAGAGATAATAGATTACTACTAGATAAGCCTTTATTATTAATCTATAATATAGTTCTCTACATCTAGTTTCCTTATAGAAGATTACTATTAAGCTCTTAGTAATAGATTCTTATAGTAGTAATTAATTAATATTTATACTATATATAATCTATACTACCCTATACGCTACTTATTTCTTACTAGAACCCTAATAGGGCTATAGCTAGTAATAGAGTTCTAGAGGCCCTATTATACTTTAATAATTATATTTTAAGAGTCTCTATAGGTATATATCTAGATTACTAGTATTAATAATAGCTCCTATAGTAAACTAACTAATATTATTAGACCTAATAGACCTAGTCTAGATAAAGGAATAACTTAACTACCTTAATAAAGAAAATACTAGGGCTAAGAAAGCCTATAAGTAATTAGTTAAGTAAGTTAGAGTTATATTAGAAGGAATAGGGGAAGGAGCTAATAATATAATAAAAAAATAGATCTAGTAGATAGAACTCTAAATAAGAAATAGACTACTAAAACTTATAGATCTAGAGAAGTTTAATAGTACTTAGACTAAACTTAGGGAATTCCTAGCCTTAATATCTCTTTACCTAGACCTAAATTAAGAATATCTTAGAAATAAAGACTAGAAGGTAGTCTATATAGCTACCTACTTTACTAGAAAATTAATAGACTAGTTTAATAGTTACCTTATAAATTAGAGAATAAGCTAAGTTAATAACTAGAAAATAGAAACTAACCTTATCTTTATAAGCTATACTTACTTTAAGGAAAAACTATAATTAACCTTTAGTAATATTAATATAGAATATATAGCTAAATAGAAACTTTTAAAACTTTAATAAACTAAGATAGTAGTAGCTTATATATTAGTATTTAAGTAGCTAGCTAATAAGGTCTTAGACTATAGAGAAAGGGCCCTAATATAAAAGTTCTATAAAGAACTAAAATTAGATATTAGGTATAAAATAATTAAAATAGAGAAACTAATAACTCTACCTATAATAATTAAATAAGCTATTTAAGTAGATAATAAGTTATTCCTATAGAAATAAGATAATAAGAGAGAAAGTAGATATAGTATAAATAGCTAAAACTATAAAACCTATAATAAAGGGGACCTAATAGTCTTAGATACTAATAAAGAAAAGAAATTAAGTTAGAATATAATAAAGGAGAAGTAATATAAAGAAGGTACTTACTTTAGCTATAGTAAGAAAGGTTATATAGCTAGGAACTACCTAAGTAAAAGCTAGAATAAGTCTATAAAGGGTACTAAGGAGGAACTAAGAAAATAAAAAACCTTAAGAGATACTAAGAAGAAACTAGCTAGTAGTAAAGAATATAAGGCTATCTATTAGGCTAAGTGCTCCTAGAATATGTATATATTATATATAAAAATAAAGAAAGATATAGAATACTAGCTAATAGGTAAAAAGTTAGTAGTAACCTAAGAAGAATAAATAATTCTATAGCTTAAGGAATAAAATACCTAAGTCCTAGGATTTTTTAATATAAGTAACTTAAATAGTAAGTTAGATAATAAGGAATAGAAGAGTAGTTTAGATAAATTAGTTAATACTCTATTCTAGTTAACCCTCTAAGGGGAGGAACCCTTCTCCTTATTACCTATATAAAAAGTACCTATATCTTCTAGAAAGAATATCTATATTAGAGAAATAGAGTACTTCTAGCTAGAAGGACTAGCCCTTAAGGTAGCTAAGATAATTAGGTTAGCTAACTTTAGATAGTAAATTAAGGGAATATACTTTTACTATAAAAACTTATATAGGGAAATAATCTATAAAGTTTATAAGAGCTAGAAGATTTAATTCCTAAGAAATACTAAGTTTACTAGCTTTAATAAGTGGGTTAAAAGGAATATAATTCTAGTAGTAGAGATGCTAGATAGTTAAACCTAGACTTAAATAGCTAATAAAATTAGATAGGTAGATAAAGTATACACACCCTAAATTATAATAAAATACTAGATTCTAATTAAAGAAGAATATTTAGAGGATAAAATTAAACCTATAGAGAGGGATAACCCCTAAATACTAACTAAATATTTAGTATATTATAAACTCTTATAGATATTATATATAGTAAATAACTATCTAATATACCTAGTACTAAAGAGGAAACACTACACCTTCCTAATTTAAATAATAGATAACTCTTATAATAATCTTATCTAAAGGGATAAAGTATATAGATAGTATCTAGAGAAGAAGGTTAGTAGATACCTAGTACTAGCTCTAGGACCCCTTTTATTATATAAGTGTATTAAGGGATAACTATAGTATAAATACCTAGAAAATAAGTACCTAAAGTATATAGTAATAAAAATCTATTAAATCTAGTAAGGTGTTATGATTATAGTAGGACTAAGTAAGGCGAGTAGGGAGGATTATACTTAGAATATTAGTAATAGAGGTAAGCTAAATTAAGCCCTATAGGCTAGCTAGATAGGTAGCTTATATTATTTATTATATAATAAGGTCTAGTATAAGTAGGAGACCCTAGGGACCTTAGAGACCCTAGGGACCTTAGGAGGTCCTAGGACCTTAGAGTCTAGATAGGATCTCCTAGATAATAAAGAATAGTATATAGTCTAAAGGAACTTTAGAATCTTTCCTATTCTTTATAGTTAAAATTCTATAGTTAAAATTAGAGTATATCTTCTATACTAAGATCTATTAGTTTTCTTATATAATTATTACCTTACCTTTTATAGTAAGACTAGAATATTCTCTTACCCTATTATTATTTATCTACTCTCGTCCACTAAATACCTATAAGGTCTAACCTAGGTTAGGTATATAGAAACCCCTTATAACACTTTAACTACCTAAAGGTATAAGACGTAATAGTAATACTAACTAGCTTATAATATTATAATCCTGCAGGAGAATAGCAGATAGACAAAGATAACTAATAGGGTAGAGCTAATAGGGCTAGGGGCTAATATATTATAGGATACTAAGGAACTAGAAAGGTTAAGTTAGTAAATATGTAACTATAATTTTACTAAGATAATAGGATCCTAGAAGTAAAAGGACTTAGTAGAAATAGAAGAGCTACTTCTAGGCTAGAACTATACTCTCTAGGAATAGAGGTTAGTAAGGGATTATAAGGACTAGAAAGAATAGTATATAGTTAAGGATAGCTCCTAAGTATTTCCTATTCTTTATAGTTAATTCTTTATAGTTAAAATTAGAGCATATCTTCTACACTAAGATCTATTAGTCTTTTTATATAATTATTACCTTACCTTTTATAGTAAGATTAGGATATTCTCTTACCCTATTATTATTTATCTACTCTTATCTACTAAATACCTATAAGGTCTAACCTAGGTTAGGTACGTAGGAACCCCTTATAACACTTTAACTACCTAAAGGTATAAGATATAATAGTAATACTAACTAGCTTATAAGTATTAAGGGTAGCTCCTAGAAGCTCTACCTCTAGACCTATAACTAGTGTAGCTATAGTTATAGCTAACTAGGCTAATTAGATTTAATAACTCTAAGAGTAACTAGCATAATTAATAGAATAGTTCTAGGGATAGGTAATAGTTACTACCCTAGTTAAAGGAATATTTAAAGTCCTAGAACTCTTTAATAGAAACTAAGAAAAGTTAAAACTATTCCTTACTAATATAGAGCTATATAATTACTCTTATAAAGCCACTATAGGTAAAGAATAAGACTAAATATTAGCTATAAGAATGCATATGGTAGGATAGGCCACTAGGTAGATATAACCCCTAGTAGATAACTATATAGAAAATAAGGATAATATTAAGAAATATTAGGAGGACACTAAACTAGTCTTTAAGAATTAGAAGTTATTCTAGAAACAGATAACTATTATATTTAGTAAAGTTAATAAAGCAAAGTAGGCTAAATAATAGATCTAAAGACTAAAATAGACTATATTAATAGGTAAGTATATATTATTATTTAAATAACTCTAAGCTAAAATAGACTAGGATAATACACTACTCTAATTAGCATTCTATAATAGTCTAAAAGAGTTAGTAAAAGACGGCCTTATACACTATATAGAACCTAATAACCTAGAAGCGCTAATAGAACTAGCTATATATATAGATAACTACCTACATAAATAAAACTAGGAAAAGTAGGAAGTAACTAGGCCTACGTACTACTAGAAAGCTAATACTTAAAAGAGGTATAACTATAGGGATAAATAGGATAAAAATAGTAATATAATTATAGGGGATAAAGTATAAACTAAGAGAGAATATACCCTATAGTAAAAAAAGTAGAATAAGATCTACTAATAATACTTTAAGAATAAGGCTTACCTAAGTTATAGGAAGTAAGGGTATTTTAAAGCTAACTACCCTAACTATAAGGAATAAGGTAAAAGAGCTAATATAATTAGAATAATAATAGTAACGCTATAACCTAAAACACTAGAGTTAGGTAA